AACGTATTGAATAGCTTTGTCTAGAACCGCGGGCTTGGCCTCTTGTTCGCCTGATCTATATTTCGCATAATATAATAGATAGTATACTATAGCGTATTTAAGTAGTTATTAACGCTAGAGGTTAGTAAACAAAGTGTTAAGAACTCGAAACCTATACGTTCATAAGAGTAAGTAATTACCTATCTAACGAATTAATTTTCGTCTGAATCCGACCTCGAATAGTAGACTTATTACGTTATAGAGTTAGCTACTCTAATAATAAGATTTAAATTAGCTAAGACTTCGGCTGCGTGACTGTAATCCCCTACTCTCCTTTAATAACGTCGGTTACTTAATAACTATATAGTATCTTATAGTAACTATGTACGTCTATACCTCGGACTAACTAGAGTCTATAGCGTAGAATTAATTATTATTACCTATATTATTTAGATATTTATATAAATTATAAGGTCAGACTCTTATATCTATTTACTTTAGTACTATCTATAGTAATAAGAGGGATCCTTCCGCGTGCGCCGTGTCTACAGTTACTACTACGACTTTATAGACATACTAGTCCTAATTATATACCTAGTATAGTATTCCTATCTATTTTGTAAAATCGCTATTTTACTACATTAGCTATTCTAGTTCTCTACTAGTAGCCTTTACTACGTATAAAGTAACGAAATACGTTATTAATATTAGTATAATATAGAACTAAGTGCTATAGCTATCGAGTATAGCCTACTCCTTTCTAATCTTATAACTAGAACACTTACTCTAACTAGTGTTAAAGTAATCTTTAATTTCCTTGTTTTCCTTTACTTACTATTCCCTTAGGACAAGATTGGGTAGATTAAGCGTATAGAGTAATAAATCGTAGATATTATTAATCTGCTTCTTATTAATAGTATAGTATATACTAGAATGAATAAATACTTAATATACGAGAGAAATCGTACCTAATAGCTAGGTAGGCGCGTCGTCCTACTATACTTCTTACTATTATAGTACTTAAGCTAGCTATAGTGCGTACGCCACTAGTACCTAGTAGTATACTATAAGAATAGTAGTAGGAGTATATTAGAATAGGGAATATTCTAAAAGGTCTAGAATAGATACTAAGGGGGTAACCCTACTACTTAATAGCCTAATCGGATATCTAGTACTTATCTACTATTAGACAAGTACTACTAGAGCTATAACAAGAGCTAGGAGCATTCCCTTACTAATGCTTAGAGGCGACCCTACCGCTAGATGCTTAGGCATCTAGTACCTACCTAGGATAACCTAGCTACAAATCTACTATTAGATTTAAGAGTAGGGGCGCTAAGAACGCACATAGGGTATTTTACAAAATAGCTATATCTTAACTTACGAGCGTGTTATAGAGCTTACGAAGATGTCTAGAGGATATATAGAGACCTCTTTCTCCCCTAAGGAGAGAGATGAGTAAGCAACTCTTTCTTTAATCTACCTGCCTACCTGTCTTCTATCTATACTACTAGCTACACTACTAGCTACTCTACTAGCTATAAGATTTAGCTAGTATACTAGATCTCTATAGTATAATACTTCTTATACTATCTCTACGACCTCTAGACGCTCTACGGCTAGCTACTGCACTACTATTCGGCATTCCTACGCTCTATACTACCGTACACCTTTTAATAGAGTATTTAGTAGTAGTAGTCAAATGCCTACTAGGTTTAGTAGTAGATTAGAAATATTAGTAGGGCTTATATTACCTTCTCTACCTACAATAGTTATCCTATTATTATTATCGTACTACTATTTGAATTGACAGTCTTAATTAACTAAATCGTTTTCGTCGTTATCGTACTAATTAAATTAAGATCGCCCCTAGACTAGTCCTACTATAGTAACCCTGCTCCGGCTCCTTCTTTAGTAAGTAACGCTACGTACTAGATAGTTATTAGATAGGAGCCTATACTATTAATTAGTCGTTAAACACGACCGAAAGATAACTAGTACGCTTAGTATCGTCGTCGTCTATAGCGAAACGTACGCTACTAAGTAGGATAAGTGATACTAACTTATAGTAGAAGGGGAGTGCTAGTATCTAGCTCTGGGGCACAGACTAGCGAATATTAAAGCCTTTAGGGGGTTATAAAGTTTTTAAAGAGTTATATACTTCCAAGTAGTAGTAGACTTCTAGATTAATATAAGCTTTTGATACTTCTATCTTAAAATCTAACCGTAGATTTGAGCTCGGCTAGGTTGCCCCAGGCATGGGTGCCTTATAAGGCATTAAGAGGCGGGATCGCCCCTAAGCGTTAGCTAGGTAGTGGCCCTAGCCCTTCTAAGAGCTCTTACTGTATTTCTCCACTACTAGGTAAATACTAGACACCCAATTAGCTGTATTTAGAGGCAGGATCACCCCCTAAGTTATATCTAGCCTATTAGAATATCTGTTATATTCTAATACTCTACTCTCCGTAGTTATATACATACGAGCTCTGTTTATATTCTTTATAGCTCCGCCTATAGCTTCGCTATTTTATCGTAAGAGAAGCGGTTCTTCGAAAGTATAGCTAGTAGTGTAGTTGAAGTAAAAGCTATTAGACAAGGGGTACGATATATCGAAATACTCTAGATATTCGCTCTGTGGGGTGCGGTATAATAGGCTCTAGAGGCCGGTCTAGTAGACTACGAGCTAATACTACTAGAGAGATAGTGGTCGAATGCTTATAAGCTATGTATCAGAATCTCTAGCTAGAAGCTTTTTAAGTTAAGTAGTAAGTAGTAGACTACTACCTATTAGTAATTCTAGATGTCTACTAACTCTAGATATCTTACTAAACTCTATTATACTACTATCGCTAGCCCTACGTATCTAGTAATAAGACATATACTCTAGCTCTAGATACCTCGTTGAACGCTAGATATATAGAAGCTCTAGACATCTTATTAAACCCTATTATACTACCGCCGCTTATAGTACATATCTCTACCTTATACTGGTCTAGGTAGGCACTTCGGGCATAGTAATCTGTACATCCGCGGCACTAAGCCGTACTAGCCTAGCTGTACTAATAGCTATTCCCATTTTGGCCTAAAGTATTAGAAATAGGAATATTCTAAAAGGCCTGAAATAGATACCTAGGGGTAGCCCTACTACTAGATAGCCTAATTAAAGTGATAAGCACTAATACAGTAGTAGCTAAGCACTACTAGAGCCTTAAGAAGAGCTAGGAGCATTACCTTACTAATACTTAGGGGCGACACTACTACTAGATACATAATAAGGTATTTAGTACCTACCTAGAATAACCTAGCTAGAAATCTACGATAAGGTTACGCGGTAGGGGGGCATTTAGAACACGTACGGAGCATATCGTAAACTAGCTATGTCTCGTGTTACGAGCCTGTAATAGAGTTTAAAAAGATGTCTAGAGGATATATAGAGACCCCTTTTTCTCCTAATAAGAGAGACTAGTAAATAAGTCTCTCCATATCTAATTTACCCACTCACTCTCTACTTATCTACCTACCTGCCTGCCTTCTATCTATACGACTAGCTATACTACTAGCTATACTACTAGCTATACTACTAGCTATACTACTAGCTATACTACTAGCTATACTACTAGCTATACTACTGGCTATTCTACTAGCTACTCTACTAGCTACTCTACTAGCTACGATATCCAGCTAGTATACTAGAGCTCTATAGTATAATACTTCTTATACTATCTCTACGACCTATAGACGCTCTATAGCTAGCGACGGCACTACTACTCGGTATTTCTACGCTCTATAGTACCGTATATTTTTTAATCCAAACCGCTTTACTTGCTTATAAGTTTAAGTATCTCCTAGGACATAGCTAGTAGGGTCTATATATAGGCTAGCTTATCCCCCTACTTCTCTTTAGCTACTTACGAACTATTCTCTTTAATCGGCACTATAGGTAGCGTACGTTCGCTTAAGTAGGGCTTGTATTCTTATTATAAGCCTTCTACTCTTCTTATCTCTTCTAATTCTAATATTAAAAATCTTAGCCTATATTAGCTACGCTATGTCTAATCTAAAAGTCCCTAGGCGTTAATATAGTACTATAAGATATTACTTATATAGGCATGTTGCTTTCATTCTTATTAGACTATTATATACTCTAGTATCTATTATTTAAGTTTATATTAAAGATTTCCACAGTATATAGCTTAGTAATAAGCTATTATAAGGGTATAGCTTAAGTAGATACTAGCTTTATAGTATAGACATTCTACCTTAAGAAAATATTCTTATCTTAAACCTATAAAGCTCGCTATAAATATCTATATAGATTATCTATTATCTATTAATTTCTATCTACTAAGAGGTAGTAGAAGTAATTACTAATATCTAAGAGACTTAAAAGACCTAGAAAGACTCTAAGAACTAAGTAATAAATTAATCTAGGTTCCCTACTAATCCTATTAATAGAGAAAATAGTCTATAGTAATTATACTATATACTTAGGGCTATTATTACTATTATTATTATAAAGAAACTGTCTCTAATAATATTCTACTAGGCAATTATATAGTAAGTAATTATAGTCTTATCTACATAATCTAAGCTATCTAATATTAGCGCGAGCAACCCGAAGTCGTCTAGCTCGGGTCCGGAATCTTCCGTGCCTGAAGTTTGTGCCTAAACATTATATCGCGTATTCTTAGGGCTGAGGAAAGCCCTCGGGAATAACCTCCTAGACTTTGTGTAACGCTATCAAGCATCGTATCTAGTGGTCCAATGACAACATCACTCGAGATCCGTCACGCTGCGGCTAGAAGGTGGCTTTTGAGCGATTGCCCGAAAGGGTTCCTCAGCCCTTATTAGGAACAACTTCCGCAGCAGACTGAAAGCTGAAATGTATCCTGAAGGATCTGTAATAAGTGTGCTGGCAGTGTACAAAGATCGAGGTACGGACCTTCAGATTACCATGGGACACTGCGGCCGAGAGCAGTACTTCTTCCATTCCTTTCCACACTACCTCTCTTGCTTTGGACATGACAGGATCAGTCGTCCGCGACCCGCTATGCGGCATCTCAGTCCTCATCTCGGGCTCGGGCATATGCGGTCTGATGACTGCTTTGGAATGTTGGAGGAAAGGATGTACTGTTCGCATTCTCGAAAGAGCCAAAACGGAGCAGACACAAGGTCAAGTCATTTGCGCGCCAACCGAAGTCGTTGCACTGACATACACGTAGGCGACTCGTTCATGATCGGGCCTAGCGCACTGAACGCTTTCAGGAACTGGCCAGAATTGGAGGAGAGGGAGCGGGAGGTTGCATACAAACCCATGATCTCTTTCTACAATCACCGAGGCGAGCGATTGGCTGGTCCATTCAACACTAGCAATGTCGTCTCGAAGAACTGGCAGCATCTCGGGGACGAGGACTCACCTATCACACGGCAGTCCAGGCCAAAGTTCCACTCTATATTGCTCGAACAGCTCCGAAAGATTGGCATTGAAGTGGAATACGACAATGGGGTAGTCGACTATTTCGAGGACGCGCCGAACCAAGTCGGCGGCGTTGTCTTGGAAGATGGTTCAAAACACACCGCGAACGTCGTCGTTGCCGCGGACGGGGTGAGGAGCAAATCATGGTCTCTTGTGGCAGGACATCCGGTCCCCGCTAAGAGCTCAGGCAACGGAATCTTTCGCGTCGCATATCCTGTGGAGCTGGCTCTGGCCGATCCGATGATTGCGGAGCGATTCAGGCTCTATGAAGATGGACGCTCCTCCACAGAGCTGTGGGTCGGACCCGGCTTACAAGCGTTCTTCTGGAGAAGCGAAGACGAGATGTCTTGGGCGATCACTCACCCAGATTGGGGTTCCGCTGAAGAGTCCTGGGGCAATAAGGTCCATCCGGATGAAGTGCTCAAATTCACAGCTACGATCGATGGCTGGCCCGAGGTTGCCGACAGAGTGATCAGAGCTACACCCACCGACAGTCTCGTAGATTGGAAGCTAATGTGGCGCGATCCACAACCCACATGGACTTCACCTGGCGGGCATGTTGTTCAGCTAGGCGACGCAGCTCACACCTTTCTCCCGAGCAGCGCCAACGGCGGCACCCAAGCAATGGAGGATGCCATCTCTCTCGCAGCTTGTATTGCTCTGGGCGGGAAAACCAACATCCCAGATGCCACGCGAGTGCACAACCTCCTACGATTCGAGAGGGTGTCTTGTCTGCAGGCGTGGGGCATCGCGAATGCTGACGACCGAGATACGAACAGACACAAGCAAGAAGAGAACAAGTTTACATTGACGATCGGGAAATGGATCCTCGATCACGATCCAGAACAATATGCAAAGGAGAAATATGCAGAAGCTTTGGCCCATCTTAAGGAGGGAAAGTCGTTCCAGAACACAAACACGCCGCCAGGCATGGTCTATAGGCCCTGGACCATCGATGGTTTGATTGCGGCAAGGGAGAGAGGGGAGCCAACAGTTTTGGGTGGAGATTGGAGTTAGCGTGTCGTTCTCAGCATACAATATTGCCTCTGAGAGCTGCATTTCTCTCGGTTCCAGACATGAAAAGAAGTAGCGTACCGGGGGGATAGCGATAGCTCGTTTACTAAGATAGAACCGCAATTATACTTTTTGCGGATGAGCGATAACATTTGCAACCAGTCATGTGTCGCATCATATTCCGTTCAGCCCCGCGAGGTCATGTTAAGATCGTCTTCACTGCGGAGTACGGTTAACATTTCGCTCCTTCATCGGGCGCCCATTCAGTTCGAACTCCTGAAGAAAATTCTGGAAACATGCTTGAATCGAAGTTCATGAGGTTACATACCAGGACGGGCCATGCTCGGTGATCCGGAGGGTTGTTGAGAGTGAAGTGTTCCGAGTGGACTCTGGCTGGTGGACTGTTTGCAGGATCCAAGAAAGCGGCACGGAAAGCTTAGAAACGCTGTTGAACAACGGAGAAGTGAGTCGTCGGACCCTCGTGATGCGCGCTAGTAGCTAACATTGGCAATCTATGCACAGAGTTAAAACGAGTCTGACGGGAACGACCAAAGCAGAGCTCGTTCGGCTGTAACACAAACAAAACCAAGCACGTATGACGTAGTCTTTGTGCCTTCGGCCTGAGAAGATTAGTGATGTCTCAGACCTGTTGAACAGGATAGGTTGAATAGGACATTAATCAACTAGTATAGGCTCTCCACAAGAACCTTGACCCTTTCGTACAGCGGACCGCTCTCCTGCCTCGTCGCTAGCTTCGTGATTACCGGCACTTGATCTTTGCCCACACCCTTCTCCGTCAACGTGGTCTTCAGTCCAAGATCCTCAACCAGCTTCAAGATGGCATCGCCAACCGCCGTTGCATCCTTTTTGTTGTTGCCAGACTTCGCGATACCAATGAAAGGAGCCATGCGCGCAAGCTGCTCGGCATCATCCTCCGACATCTCTGCCTTCAGCTTCACGACGTGGCCTAGGGTCAGACAGGAGGTGATGCCGTGGGGAATCTGGTATGGCGACCCGAGTGCGTAGCCAAGAGTATGCGAGAGGCCAAGGCCCCCTTGCACGTTCAAAGCCAGGAAACCAAGCGACGCAAAAGCAGCTAGCTGGAGCTTTGTGATGACCTGCTCGTCCTTGGGGTTCTGTTTGTATTTCCTCAAGTTTGTGAAGAGCTCTCCGGCAGCGTGCAATGCCATCCAGCGGCATGGAACTTCGGTCGAGGTGGGGTGGTACATGAGCTCCACGGCGTGGTCCATAGCTCGCATTCCTGTACTCATCCATAGCCAGGGCGGCGTCTCGAGAGCAAACTTGCTGTCGTAGAGAATGACATGGGGTGCGAGCTCTGGATGCGCGACTCCTGTCTTCATTCCTTGCTCATTCGTATAGCCAGCACCGAGCGTACACTCTGCGGCGCTGAGAGTCGTCGGAATTGTGATGTGGTATAAGAACTTTCCCTTCTTCTTCTCATTCAATCGATAGCTAATTGCCTTGGCAGAATCGATTGGACTGCCACCGCCGACACTGATGATAGTATCGATGTTCTCATCTTGCATGACCAGCGCCGTGGCCTCATCTAGCTCCTTGACGGGTGCATGCTGCCCAATCTTGCTGAAGGTGCTTGCATGTCTGTCGCCCAGCTGCTCCTCGACCTGCTTAATCAGAGCAGTTTTGTTGGCGAGTGACGATCCAGTCAGAATGAACGCTCTGGATGATTCGGTTGGAAGACATTCGAGGAGATGGTCTTTGACGCTGTTGGGCCCGTAGTGCAATCGTTGAAGGTGAGTAGGCTTCCAGAGACCAGACAATGGATTCTGCGAGGATGCTGTCGCTTTTGATTTGTACCGTTTCTGGTGAGTGTTTGGACGTGGTACTGACCTACGGAGACGGAGATTGAGTCCATTATGCGTGCCATAGTGGTTGTGTAGCGTCTCGTGGAGGCGTATGGATGGAGATGGTATACTGGAGCGAGTCTGGGAATGTAGTAACACTGTCGCTGGTGCTGCGAAACCCCGCGAACCGTGACGCAATGTGTGTAATGGGGGGTTTACCACCACCGCGAAGCCGCGGACTGCTGCCATTCTGCCGGATCAGGCGCCCAAGAATTGCAACAAAAGTACATGTATCTAGTGCCAATGCTCCTCACTCTACAGCCGAAAGTTGTACCTGAGCAGAGGCGGAAGGAAAGGCCGAGATTCATGTGATGGTCAAGTGTATCTTGTTGTCCCCGTCGTACCGTAGGCATAGAGCCGAGCCGAGCCGAGGGGAGAATGCGTCATGTGACAAGCGCCAAGACCCGCCGACTCCCTTGGTCCGCACCACATCCAGCGCTCTACCATCTACCCACACTACCTACGACTCTTCTCTTCAAGACAGTGACGATAAAACTCTCTCCTCTTCACGACAGTGACGATAAGAGCCAGCAACGTCGGTATGGTGGTCATCATCATGGCCGACGACGATGCAAGATGTCAAGCTCGGTGAGTGATTTGTCCCGCCGTCTTTCCGTACTCCAAGAAGTTCTCTTGGGCAAGTGTGGTGAAGCAAAATCTCCGAAAGAGCACCGCGACCGTTTTTAGACGTCGCGCGACGCGCCGGGCGATACTACCAAATATGCCAAGAGATCTGGAGAGTGGATCGTGTCTCGGAGAATAGGTTGCACCGCCCTACGGCAAACCATGGACCAGGAAGAAACGCCTTCGCTACATCACTTCTCCAAGACGCGAAGAAGAAGGAGAAGAAGAAGAAGAAGAAGAAGAAGAAGAAGAAGAAGAAGAAATCTTGCGAGATCTCGTCACATCAAGAGAGTTTGCCTTGAGAACATGCACGCACGCGACATCCTGAGCATGTCCATCGCATCCAACTGCTATTAACGGAACTTCACCAAACGTGCCTGGTAATCGCCCCAGAAGCAGCACTTCATCCGCTCCTACGTATCTCTCGCCGGTCTCTCTTCGTTCACACACCAACTCCGTAGCAAGCGTGGCAAAACGATGGGGCCAAGTCCCACTTAACTTGGCAACAAATTTTGCTCTCACGTCAGAAGCGCGGCGCAGAAGGCCTGCAGAAGCCGACGTTCGACGCTGCTGTAACGTAATGGCATCACGGGGTTTCAAGTACCTGCTAGTAGTTAAAGAAACAACGGATCTGCGCGGGTGTGCGACATCACCATCACCATCCTTCGAAACTACAGCGTCGGATCGTCTTCTTGATCCCGCGGTCTTGTCCCGCCCTACGACCAACCTCCCGGCTGTACTTCCATGCTTTTGGTTTGGATAGAAAGGAAACCAAGCTTTTTGTATATCGACGGTGCACTCCTCTTCCTCAAGATCCGACGCCCCTTTCCAAGAGCGAATACTGCTTATCACTCGTGACACCCTTGGCGAGGGGAAAGTCAACCCAACGCGACAACATTCTTTCCCGGATCCGATCCCAAGGCGACAGGAAAGCATCATCGACAGCCAGGATTGGATTACCTTACCCAAAGCGACAAATTCAGCCATATGAGAGACGTCCGTGACCGATAGGCCAACGAAAAGCCCACTGCAACAAACCCTACCCACGCGAGACCGTCTTTCTTCAGCCCTACGCAGCCTTTCGCTACCGGCATATATGAGTAAACGAGAGTGACTTACTTTTGACTTCAAGGAGAGAAAGCAGCCTTGCTCCCTTCCCCGACGCCGACGAACGGACGCCCATCATGGCGTCTTCCCTAGCCATGGCCGAATATGGCACCTCCTCTTCGACCGACTCGCGTTCACGACGCCGATCTTCGAAGATTGCAGCATTTTCCAAGGACAAGGAAGAGCCATTGCCGCGAAGCTCGAACTCAACGGACCCTGCCGAAGATGTTCTCGAAGCGTTGGGATACACGCCACAACTCGCTCGTTCGCGATCGACATGGGCGGTGACGTTCATGTCGTTCGTGCTGGCGTCCGTTCCTTATGGAATTTCAACAACGTTGATATACCCGCTCACAAACGGAGGGCCGGCCACAATGATTTGGGGTTGGGTTCTGGTCTGCATGTTTATGATTTGTGTCGCTGCTTCGCTCGGAGAAATCACTTCGGTATGTCTACTGCAGGCTTTGTTCGCGTGTTTTCGGTCAAAATGTTGCGGTGCTTTCGTATTACTTGGGGTGGAAAGCTGTGCCGGCTGGTGTCTGGTAGACAAGGTGCATGTGGACTTACATTGTGCAGGTCTACCCAGTTTCGGGCGGTGTGTACTACCAGACGTACATGCTGGCTCCCCCATGGTGTCGTAAACTCACAGCTTGGTTGACCGGCTGGGCTTTTGTCCTCGGCAACATCATCATCACGTTGTCAGTCAACTTTGCGACCGCCCTCTTCCTCATCGGATGCATCAATATCTTTACGGACGCCGATGGAGTAAGCATCTTCCCAGCGACAGCGTGGCAGACATACCTCATCTTTGTTGCAGTGACGTTGATCTGCACGGCCGTCTCGACTTTCGGCAACAGATGGCTTCCACTGCTCGATACCGGTGCGGTCATTATGACTTTTGTCGGCGTCCTTGCAATCATCTGCACCATTCTTGCAGTCGCAAAAGAAGGAAGAAACAGTGCCGCCTACGCTTTCGGTGGTTTCGAAGTGTCCTCTGGCTGGAGCCCGCCAGGATGGGCGTTCTGCATTGGTCTGCTACACGCAGCATACGCTACATCTGCCACTGGGATGGTCGTTTCCATGTGCGAAGAAGTCCAGAAGCCGGCTACGCAGGTCCCCAAAGCGCTTGTCGGTGCCATCGTGTTGAACATGATCTGCGGGATAATCTTCCTGGTCCCGATCTGCTTCGTGCTCAAGGACATCGCAGCCGTGGTCGCGGACCAATCTGGTCAACCGGTACCTGCCATCATTCGTTCCGCGGTCGGTAGTGAAGTTGGTGCATTCATCCTCTGTGTTCCGTTGATCATGCTCGGATTCTTCTGCGGAATTGGTTGCTGCACTGCTGCTTCTCGTTGCACGTGGGCCTTTGCAAGGTAACTCTCCGTCATACGTGGATTCGGTCTGACGCATTTGCTGACACCCGGCACAGAGATGGCGCGCTTCCAGGCTCGCGCAGGCTCGGATTCGACCGGGTCAACGACAAGACGGGCATTCCTCTCAACTCCATGCTGCTTAGCACAGCCATCCAGGTGGTTCTTGGGGTGATTTACGTTGGAAACTCAGCCGCCTTCAACGCTTTCAACAGCTCTGGCGTGATCTTCTTGACGCTGAGTTACGTGACTCCGGTGGCAATCTCGCTCTTCTCGGGCCGCAAGTCCATAAAGCAGGGCAAATTTGATCTAGGATGGGTCGGTGCCTTCTGCAACGTCGTGTCCATTGGTAAGCCAGAACCTGATAGAAGTCCATGAAGGGGATGTGCTAATATTCTCCAAGGCTGGTGCTTATTTGCCATTCCGCTCTTCTCGATGCCTTCGGCCTTGCCGGTCGATGCTGAGTCGATGAACTACTGTTCGGTTGTCTTTGTGGGCGGTCTTACGATATCTTTCGTGTGGTACTATGCAGGGGGCAGGAAGAACTACAACGGTCCTACGATGGATGACGCTGAGGGCGGTGCGCCGCCGAGGATATGAGCATGTCTAGAGATCTGTGTCCATGTTAGCGAGCATCTACGTCTGTGTATATACTGTACCAATGAGACTACTCCAGTGCAGAGAGACGATATGACAGGAGGACGATGCAGAGTCGACGGTGAAGATGGCGGAAGTAAACTAGAAAGTGACCATGATATGACGACGTGCAGCGTATTTGCTTGCCCAAACGAGCTGGACATGTCGTCGAGTGTAAGGATCATTTCGCGAGAAGGACGCATTCCCTTACGATTTGAGTCTACGGCCGTGCATATCCTCACGTCTCCACGTGGTGGCAATCACCCACACTTCATCCTCTTCTGGTCAACGCTTCGATTCGAGAGCTCTGCGGATGATTGAATGCGACGGACTCTGACCGACCTGATGCCAAGCAGGACGATGGATGACATACGAGTATGTTCGGAGTATTATTGACAACAATGACGGACGGCCGCTCCGTTTGACTCCAGCGAATCGACGTAGATTTTGTCGTCTTGGGTGTCAGGATGCAGCTATTTTCAGCCGTCCAATCGACGCGTCCAGCCAACATTCCTCCTCCCGCGACACGAGAGCATACTGTGATACTACGTTGCCAAAGGCGGGAAATGACGTCTTTACCTGCCATCATACCGTCTCGTCAGCTGTGTGAACATACCTGAATCGTATTCTTGGTGACTCCGATCAGATGCAGATGCAGGCACACGCTTGGCAGCCTGGCAAGCACATGCAAGCATTCTTGTGCTATTTATGAGAAATCCACCGCCGTGTCTACCTTACTTCTCCTCCTCATCCACAGCAAACATCTACTCCAACTGCCCGACTGGCGAGACACCATAAGCACCGGCTCTCAAGAACACCAAAGTGACCAACAAAACCCATACCAAACCGACTAGGGTCATCAATAGATCAACATGACCATCACCCTCATCCTCTTCACCGCCCTCGCAGCTCTCGCTTCCGCCTCACCACTCACCAAGCGAGCCGGCGGCCCAGCAATCGTTCCCATTCCCTCGGACTGCCCGACCACCAACCCTCTCCCAGCATCGACCGGCTACATGCCCACTCCGGACACCGTCTACCAGGAGTTCTACACATCCAGCCGTCCCGCTTCCGAGGTCGCCCAGGAATGCTTCGATCAGTGTTACGGCTTCGGCGCGCCGGGCACGTGCAAAGCCGCCGTACTCGCCTACAACGTCCCCACTCCAGAGGGCTACTACGGCACCGCAGGCGGCGTTCTGGAGATCTCCTGTATGATGTTCGAGGACTACTTGGACGAGACGAGTTTTGCCGAGGCCCCGGCTGGCCAGTACACCAACGAGACTGCCGCGAACATCTACTGCCAGAGATCCTCGTAGAGCAAGGCCAATCCGCTCAGGGGCGTTCGGGGCTGTCATCACTCGGCGGGTTGCTTTGAGTTTTGCACATGACGATTAACGAAGCATGATCGAGAAGTTACAGCATAGAGACATCTACACCAGCAGCAGCAGCAGCAGCAGCAGCAGTATCAGCATCAGCATCAGTATCATAGTAGCACATGCATAATGTAAGGTTATTCCAAATGCAAGAACGACTTGGCATTTGCTTTTATCCACTTGCCTACGAGCGCTCTCTTCCCTGAGACCGAATGCTCGGGAAGAGGATCTTCATCTCACGTACGAAGAATCACTGCCTTCATCTCCATTACCAGCGAAAATTTCTGGGCCATCCAAACATAGCATCCGCCAAAGAATCGTAGCTCACCATCGGAAACACCTCCTCCCTCTCAATCTCATGCACGTTCCCATATCTCCCGTCTTCCCCCTTCTTGACCTCGGTAACGTTCACCCTCTGAATCAATAAAGCCCACCTTAGCAATCTCGCCACCCTCAGGCTTGGGACCCCATATATTTTATCCCCACCACCCTCCTGCCAAACATCCTCAACACCATGGAAGTGTCCCCGCTCATCTCGACAAGTCTTATTCACAGCAAGAAAAGCATACCACGAGACATTCTGATACTTCGGGTCCCACGTGTTGGCGTACGCCCAGAAGAGGCTCTCAAAGTAGCGTGGCCGAAGCAAATAGCGGTTGTCGTGATCGTTCTCCGGAACCAGGCCTGTAGGATTTCGAGGACAGCTGGCGAGGTCGATCTGGTGGTCAAGGGTCTGAGATGCATGCAAAGGACCTGACGTCTGGCAGTCCTCGATGTCGACGTGCCACTCCGGATCAGGAAGGGCATGGATCGCCGCAGAGATATTCATTCTCCTTATCAACAGCGGATGCATGGGCGGGTCGATCGCCTTCTTGACCCTGGAGCGCAAGAGCATGACCAGGATGATTGCGGAAATGACGCGAATGACGATACCGAGTCGAACTCCTTGGACCTTAAGCTTGAGGCCGTCCCTTGGAGGGAAGAAGTCTTTCCGGGGCATGCTGTGCTGGTGGTGTACGTCAACGGCTTCGGTCTTTCGAGGTGATGTTGATGGTCTTTGGATTGTGACGTGCTTGCTCTGGATCGGCCGTCCGAAATGGAAGCATCGGCTTCACGTCTGTTCCTGCCCATGATGTCGGTTTCACTCCATGTCCGGGCTAGCCTGCTCTCCCCACCTCACACCCATCTCCTTCCTCGGATCAGCGAATTCTCCAAATTCTGCCCCATCGTCAAGAGCACACCGCAAACCCCCAAAAGTAAGGTAAGGTACATGAGCTGCCAACCATGCACAAGCGCAACGCCGACAAGATTCAATACACCGTGTTACGCCACCGGCAGGTGCCCAACAGCCGTCGCCCCTTCCACCTTGGTGAACGGCGCCGCAAACGCGTATCGCTTCACTCCGGCTCTATAGTCCTTTCCGGGTATCCTTTCGTGGTCTGGTGGGAAGTTCTTCCTCCGGTCGGCGTAATACCTGGCCCTCAAGTCCTCTCCGTCAGTCTTGGTGTGGAAAGTAGCATACACACTCGCCCGCGGCGTTTCAGTCCTGTTCGGAGCAGACTTATGTGCGAGATGAGAGCCAAACACGAGCAAATCTCCAGAGTCCAGTTCGACCGGTATCCAAGTGTGAGCAGCGACCCAGTCATCACTGATTCGTCCTCGCTCGGCCACATCGACCTGCATTCGGTGCGAGCCTGGGACAACCTCGACACATCCATTGGCCATGGTTGCGGCATCGACGGCAAGATTGGCGGTCGTGTGCTCTATCTCGCCAATATGGTCATACGCCGGAGCATCCAGATGTGCGCGGAATCCATTGCCGCCCGGGAGCTTGTAGTTGATCTTGTCCTTGAAGAGCAGCATGTCGTCCCGAGTGACCTGCTTGAGAATGTTATTGAGACATGGCCCGTGGAGCAGGGAGGAGAAGCCCTCATGGAAGTCAACGAAGTTCTCGGTACGCATGAGTTGGCGCTCGCCTGATTCGGTGATTTCATCGTAGGGCATCCACTTTCCATTCTCTCGGGGCAGGTCGCGCACTTCAGCAGTCCGTTGCAAATCTTAGCTTTTGTCCGATGATAATGCTAGCCGGCTGTATCGATCATACCCATTGCTTGATTGTGGCCGGATCGATCAGGCCATGCTCATGAACTCGAAGGACGAGATATCCTTCTCGATCAAAGTGAGCAATCTGTTCTTCGGTGAGAACGAGTCCAGGCATGTTGGATTCTGGTGCCTGTTGATGTTCTTCTTGTAGCCTGTTCCACTTCATCATCCGTCTCACACATCCATCTTATGCATCTCATCATGTTGTACAGCTGCTGATATCGTCACGGGGTTCTCTCCGATTGAGTATGTACCCGTGAATTCGGTCCCGGTGCGAACAGCGACAGGTGCCGATTTCACCGTCGATAGAGTTTCGAAGGCAAAGATCGCCTGGTTGTACATCCTCACGAAGAAGCATGACTTGCTGTACAAGCAACGGTATTCTCTCCGTACGCACAAGGCTGCGAACCGGCTCGTCAGCACGACTCTACATCATCACCAGTCGAGATTTGGCCTCTGCAATGGTGGCAGCTACACTCTCGTCGGTCGAGGTTCACGCGCGAGAGACTGTCCCAGTCCTGTTCGACTTTATCACCAAGCAGCGCAATGGTGACTACCTGGGCGAAGCAGTCTCGCAACTCCAGCACTTTTTGCAAGCAGCCACATTGGCACAGAAAGCCGATGCAGATAATGAGACAGTTGAGGGCACCTTGCTCCACGATGTCGGTCGCTTTATTCCGGACGCAGATGAGATGCCACCAATGATCGCACACGACGGAACTCTTGTCGCGAAAGCGAGCCACAAGGTCCTGGGTGAAATATCTCTTCGTCAGTCGGGCGTTAACGAGCATATCTGCCAGCTTGTGGGAAGCCGTGTCACCGCAAAGCGATACTTGACCGCAGTCGATAACTCCTACCTACTATGACGGCCTGAGCTGGTATAGCAAGACAACCCTAAAGCATCGGGTATGCCGTCTTCCCCCCAACGACGAGTCACCAAGATATCTCACCATCTCGTAGGGCGGTCCATTCACACCAGAGTCAGTCACAGCAGCTCAGCGAGATCCTCTACTTGAGGCAAGCTTGCGGTTCGTCGATGCGACGATCTCGCGAAGGATCCCGATCTGAAGACCCGCCTCTGCAGATACCAATGAGACAGCAATCCAATCATTGGTAAAGTCTTGGTAATGTCTTGGTCGCAGGTCGGAGTGCATGGTCAGACCTCTCGTCTGCCGGATAGACCCTCCATTGTGAGATGTGCGGATGGCTTCGACCCAAGATACCTGGATTAAGGGATTGCGGATGGCATGCTCCTAAACCTGGCGACACCGAAGGAGCAAGGTCTCTGAGGTACCGCCAAATCGTGCATTCCCCGTTCTACCAACTCGAACAACGTCCCCGTCATCACCGCGGTACCTCCAGCCATTCATGGTATGTCTGGCAATCACTTCCTCGATCGTGAGAATGGGGAAGAGAGAATGATTTTCGACGATAGCTTCTTGTTCGGCTCCACCATACAGGAGCAGATGCAGAGACGTGGCGTGCGTGTGGCGGCTGTGACCGCGAGGACAAGCTGCGAGAGATGTTGCAGCACGGCCTTCACAATGCTATATGTTCCTCCGCAGAGAAAGCTGCCAGTTGTTCCATAGAACGTAATGGCATTGGAGATGTGGAAAGCTGGCTCGGTCAAAATCCACTATTCCAGTACTCTGGAGCTATCGATGTTCGTGCTCGATGCTGGCGTCAATTTATTGGAGGAGGACCGCGCCGATCTGTTTTACCTTACCCTTTCCGACTACATCCAGCATACGTATGGCGCTGGCTCGAAAGAGTCTGACCACTTCTTGGCCGCCCTTGATGTTGATCCAGCTGGGCGCCCGCGTGTTCGTTACCGAAGATCATGGAATGAGCGACAAATAAAAAGCAGACGGCATACAGAACCTGCCGTACCTCGAGGATGTACCTGCAGACAATTTTGGCGATGGAGCAGCAGGAGTGATTTGTCCCATCACAGATGCGTTGGTGCCACATCACGGAGCTCTCGGCTCATTCGTTCGCGTCAGCTTGAAGCGTGCAGGCGGTCTCAATGAGGTCTCGCAGTTCTGCAAGTCTCTGCCGCAGGTCGAAGAGGCGATTGCAGCACGCGAGGCTTACGACAAGTACGAGCTGCATCCTGGCAAGGAAGGCAATTTGATTGTCATACCTCGGAAACCTGCGGTCGTTGGCAGCCGGCAGGCTGAACACGACCTCTCCAATCTCGGACATCGTCGGTTGAGGTCTTATGGTGGCGTCTCCGAACAGGACGTCCCCCTTATGCTTTTGGGGCCATCACGCGAAGCAGACGACCTCTGCGGGCAATGGCACAATCTTGACGCTTCCGACCTGCCTCTGAACTAGTGAGAGCATGCTGGTTGCGCTTGTGGTGCTCAATCTGGTGATTTGGCACTTGATGGACCCGAACAGACTGCTGACTCGCTCTAATATTCAGCCGAGAACAAAAGCCACCTTCGCGTCAAACGCCCAGTCGTGCCAGTATTCTCATCACATCTGTGACATCGAGTTGTAGTTCAGGTCAGGCTGATAGGTATTCATGGCGTCTTGATTTGACAAGAAATCAAATTCTCCCATGAAGAAGTTGTCAAACGACTGGCCATTCCATTCAGTCGACATGTCGAACAGACTTTCATCAAATGTCGGTTGGCTCATAGTCACATGAGCGTTGGATGGCACAGGGCCTTGCACTTCTTGCGGCCCGCATCGGTCGAGTAGGCTCTCTGCTCCTTTGGCCACGCCGACTAGAAGGTGGCGAGGGTGCATATCGGCAGTAACATCTCTCAGGACAGCTACCAGATTGGTCTATTCTTCGGTCAGCACAGAACCGATCAATGCTCAAGAAGAGTTACACGCACAACTAGGCTCCTAATCTCGCTGGTATCGACGCGGACGGAGCTGGCATATTTGGTAGAAACTTTCAGCACGAACACCACGGCAAAGGCAATCATCAAGTCGAAGTAAGTCGGCAAGCCATTCAGGAAGCTCTGGATCTCGGTATCCGTAACCACAGCCCGGATGATCGAGGTGGCTGACAGTACGGCCGAGTTCGCTATCTCATCGATATCGAGCGCCACATCCGGCGCTTTGAAGCCTGGCTTGCCGATGCCCCGGAAGGCCATGGAGTAGAGGTACAGCTTGGCAAAGTGACAATGGAGGCCAACGCCCTTTCGGGGGTAATCCCCGACATACTGGTTGAGTCTGAATCGTTGTGTCCAGTCGGCTCTAATACGGTCGAGGCTTATGCTGAATCTGCGCAGCGGCTCGATCATGCTGGCGTCCAAGGGCCTCTCCACGTCCACTCCGAACGTCCCGTAGATCTCGCTAGCCACCGACCAGAACTGGACCTGCGAGATAAGTCGAGCGTCGTCCTCCACTGCATGTTCAGTCTCAAGAAATTGCAGCGCGGCGCGAATTGCATCATCCTGACGGGTCATCGGCGGTCGGCCATACGCCACAGAGAAATGGTGGTCGCACACGAAGACCAGGTAGTACAGCCTGGTACGCTGGTAATGGGTCCTGTCGTTGTTTAGTGCCTTGAATATACTCCTGTGCAGTTGAATCTCGGTCGCGATGCGGACAGCCGTGCCAACGCAGGTCCAGGAAATGCCGCTCAGCCAGAAGGCAGCGACGCAGAGACCCCGTATGTCATCGACGGTGTTGCGTCGAGAAAATGTCTGCGACGCTGCAATCGAGACAAACTCCTGATAGCACTTTTCGAAGTCCGGAGTGTTCATGTGAAGGGCTCCGACGGCGCAGATTGCTGCAAGAAGTAGAGGCGACGCTTGCCGCACCTCCGACAGGTCTCTGCGATCGCCAATGATCCTATAGAGAAAGTGGTCGAGGCGATTTTGGTAGATATCGAGATAGCGTTCCGCCTGGTCTTTGGTAACGATGCCACGGGTGATGATATCGTGGTCCGCGCGATTGATCTCCAGACCCGGGATTGCAATTGGCGAAACCACCGAGCCTGGGATCGCTGCAGGCCCGGAGTCTGGATCCATGACCACTTCGAAGTTCAGCGGGGTGTGCTTCTCGGTATGCGGCGATACCTGGGCTTGACGAGCATGGGAATTCGAGGGCTCCGGCGTGTCCTCGTCAAGCTCCTGGTCATCTTCTATCAGGTCTGGAATCTGAAGTTGGTTGGCAAGTTTGCCCAGTGCCGATTCGAAAATTCGGAGCTTGCGGTCGACGACGTGTTTCCAGCTGGCGTCGCTCTCGAGGATCATCTGCAGGCTTTTGTTGACAGTGCACGGTAGGCCGCGTTTCTTGCATCTCGTACATGGCGGCTGGCCGTCCCGCATGTGGCATTTGATTTTTTGCTTCCGGCAAGCTACACATGCGGTGATCTTGCGAGTGATATCTGGCGGTTTGCGGTCGCCGAATTGGTCTCTCAGGGCCATGACTGCCGCTGAGTCTGAAGGAGAGCCGCTCATCTTGGCGACGGAGAGGGCGGTCTCATGGCATGCAGACTGGTGTATAGACGTGTAATGGGCAAAGGATTGCAGAGTCAGGTAGACAAGACAACGGAACCCTGGAATGATAGGATGTCGGAGCTTGTGCACAGGGGTTTTGCAATGAAGATAGATCAACTCTAATTCCTTGGCAGATATCTCTATATACATTTCTTACCAAATGGCGTGATTTACACGCTTTTCGCTGTATAGTACATTAGTAGTCTCTTTATAATATACTCTATACCCTATATCTAATTTATCTATTACTCTTATACTAAATATAAATATAGTCTAATTTAAGAGCTAAATAGTCTACTATATATAGTAACTTTCTATATCTTTTCTAGAATCTTTAAAAGTAGTAGCTAAGCTTCTTTTATTTAATTAAGATTAGAGCTATAATTAAATACTATAAACATAGGGGTAATTAAATTAAGATAGATTAACGCTAGTTACTTAGCATACTAAACCTCCTTACTAACACACTTTTAAAGTCTCTATACTAGTACTACTATAGCCCTAAGGCTTAGAAATTATTTATAAAGGTTAAAGAGGCTAGGGAAATTTAAGATACTATAAAGGACGCGGTTTTTTAACTATTAGAATACATCTAGAGACTAATACACACTTAAATACTTCTACTAGCTATATAACTATAAAGAATAGTACCCTACCTACCTAATAGCTAGTAAATAGCTTTACTAACGTATAGAACTTAGAGTAGAAGCTAAGCTATCCCCTACCTAAAGACTACTACGAAAGGAAGCCCCTAGACCTAAAAAGAAGGATACATCCTACTAGATTAAAATAATAGCTAAAGGCCCCTAAGATTTAAGGAAATAGGACTATACCTTCTTCTAAAAGTATATAGAAGCCTTATATTTAACGTTAAGAAGAAGGATAAGGGAAAGGAAGCTATAGATACTATATAGTAAGAGGTAGAGTACTATATAGATCTCTAATAATAATAAGAGGCTTAGGATTTAATATAGGTACTAATATAGGTTAGAGATAGTAGATAGCCTATAGTAATAGATCTATTAGACAGACGAAGCTTATATTAACCGGGCTATATCTCTTTATTAACGAATCTTTCGTAAGAAGGGCAATTATAAAGGCATAATATACGAGTAACTAGAGCCTAACTATTTAGTAGCCTATATTACTACCTCTATCTCTTAGTAGTATAAATTAGAGCTTGTCTTCTATAACGATAAATAGTAGAACTATAGGTATATTATAGAAATCTAGAAGGGCTAAAAACTACGAAGAAATAGAAGATAGAAGATAGAAGAGTAGTATTAAGTAGAGTTAAAGGAATAGGCTAATTTAGAGCCCCTATATACCTAGAAGAAGGGCAATTTAATAAGCTAGCTCTACTATATAGAGTATATCCTTCTAAAGTATATTAAATAGATTAAAAGTATAAAGAATTAAGGCTATCTAGCTATTTTAATAGAAGATAGTAATCTATTATATAGTTATAGATTAAAGGACAATCTACCTAAAAAGATAAGGTAAGAATAGCTAATCTAGCTTTACTAGTACCTAGTATAAAGCCCTAACCTTAACCTAATTAAAGGTATATAGCTACTACTTAAAGAGAGCCTTAAAAAGATATATAGGGAGTTACTATATTAGATAGACTATTAAGCTCTTAAAGTAGCCTATATCTGTACCTAGAATAAGATTTTAATAGATTAAATTAGACATAGAATATAGAGTATATAATAGAGGTACTACTAACTTACTTTAAATAGTAGATAGTATTATAAAATGGCAGCTTAGGAGGAAAGTAGGAGTAGGCCTAGTAGTAAGCTAAGTAGTCACGTAACTAGGTCACGTAACACGCTAAGCTTAGTAATAGCAGCTAGAAGGAGGAGAGCGGGCTTCTCTCTCTCTTACCTTCTACTACCTTTATACTAGACTATCTTAGATACCTCTATATAAATTAGGTCCTTCTTCTTTAATTATTAAGTCCTTACTTCCGCTACAAACTACGTAACATATCCTATATAATAGGTTATAAGCCCGGGTTTGTAAGATAGGTCTTAAATCAAGTAAGAAGTACAAGTTATTCCTTACCTTATAAGACCTTACGGGAGGCAGAAAAGGAAGGCCGACTAGAGGCTCGCTACCGTAGTATACCTAGAAGACATAGCTCTTACTATAAGTGTATATAAGTCGTGAAAGTAGCCTAGTAAGAGAGCAACCGGTCTGCTCTCAATACCCTATAACGGTCTTAGGAAGAGTCTATCTAGACTACTACAAATTCGAACCCCTCTATGTGTCTAGGAGGCATACACCTATAAGAATCCGCCCTTCCCGCCGACATCCGGCACTTCTTTATGTGTTATCTAACACATACCTTTTCACTAACAACTGTTTTACTATAAAGCCATAGTATCTACTTATTAAAGAAAAGTATAGAGTTAGATTCTAGGTCTTTTAGAAAGAGGAGGGTAGTACCTCTATTATTAAAAGAAAATTAGAGAATATAGTTCAGTCTTTAGGAGGACAACCTTAAAGGGAAGAATGTGTTTTAGGTTATTTTAAGTAGTTTAGCTTTAATAGAGACCCTAGTATTAATACTAAAGGAAATCCCTTTGCCTAGTTTAAGACATTTAGTTCACTTACTAGAGTAGTCTTAGGCTAATATAAAAGTAAGATATAAACTAGTTATCTACCTATTAGAAGATAACTAGGATAAGGTGATTAATAAGAAGAGGGCTAAAGCTGTCTAGGATAAAATAAAGGCTAAATACTATAAAGTGTACATTACATATACGATATCCCTAGTTAAGGAGTATGTTATATTTAGGATGTTAGAAGAATAGACAATTAGAAAGGCCTAGGTACACCTTAGCAATCTTAGGAGAAGGATTGCTAAAGTAGATAAGAGGGAGTCCTACTATAAGAGTATAGAAAGGAGGATAAAACATCTTCTTACTAGTCTACTACCTATATACTAGAGTATAGTAGACACTATTCATGCCTAGACTAGGATAACACCTAAAGAGGCGCTTCACCTCTTAGAGTTACATAAGGCTAGGCTCTAAAGACAAGAAACTACAATGTTTACTAGGTAAAAGGGAGGACTTACCTACTATCTCTATAAGAAGTAGCACTTAATTAAAGACTGTCCCCACCTCTAGTAGGCAAAGCAGTCTCTTAAAGGAAAAGAGAGGGGCAGGTCCCCTCTAAGGAAGAACAGATTACTATTAAGGATAAGCCTATCTAATCTCTAAAAGGAGATAAGATCGTTAAAATCCTTAGTAGAGAAGTCTCTAACCTAGAAGAAGTCTAGTTAGAGAGCTAAGAAACCTTAGAGAGCTTATGCCTTCTAAGAGGCTAAGGACTCTATAGCTAAGTCAGAATCCCTATCTAATAATAAGGAAACTAATAAGGTTGCCTACTCTATAGTAGAAGCAAAGGGTAAGTACCTATCTAAATGGTTGCTTAACTCCTATGTATTATCCTATATAACTGACTAACCTTCTCTCTTTAGAACTATAAAGCCTCTTTAGAGGCCTAGATAGATTAAGGTTAGTAGTAGCTTTATAAAAGCTACCTATATAGGAGAAGTAGAGATAGGAGGGGACCTTAGGAAACAAATTGTTCTAAGAGATGTTCTTCTTGTTCCTAGTCTTAGTATTAGTCTTGTTTTATAGAACTAGTTTAGCTAACAGTTTACTATCTAACTACCTAGTTTCACCCTTAGATCTATGTCTAGCAAACTAGTTGTCTAGACCAAAATTTATAGAGGTGTACCCTTTATTTTATCTCTATTAGATAACCTATAGGCTATATTAGTAATAGATATAATAGAGGAGTATATATATACCTTGCTTTTAGCTAAGGAACAGGCTTAGTAGGAGTTATAGTATAGGAGATTTGTATATCTTAGAAGTAGTAGCTTAAGAAGCTTGTATAAGGTTACTATATTAAATTCTCCTATTCTAGTACTAAGTGAAAAGCACCTATATAAGGTATACTTACTTATAAACAAACGAAAATATAAGGGTCCTGTTACTAAAAGGAAAGGTAAAAGACTAGCCCTTATATCTATTAATATCTATGGGCCTTTTAATAGTACTATCTTAAGGCTTAGTTTTAAGTACTAGCTAGAAGTAGTAGACAACTTCTCTAGGAAGAAGTAGATCTCCCCTCTAAAAGCTAGGACAGATACTCTAATAGTACTAGAGGAATAGAAAAAGAAAGTAGAGAGGTAATTAGGCTGCTTTCTAAATTCAATTAGGAGTAATAGTATAAGGGAACTCCTTACTATTTTCAAGTAGTAGGAGAAGAATTTTGGCATTTAGGTTGACATAACTAATACCTATAACTCTCTCTAAAATAGTGTAGTAGAAAGGTTAATCTAGACCTCTAAGTAGACAGTACGTATAATGCTCTAGGATTTAGGCATGCCTATAGAGTTCTAGCTAGAAGCACTACTTACTTAGGCAGAGATAAGGAACAAGCTCCTAAATAGTCCTCTAATTAATAGAATTTAAGTGTTACCTAATAAAGCATTTATAGGTAAGGTCCTATTAGTTAACTATTTTAGGGTTTAGGGATGTAAAGTAGTAGTCTATATAGATCTAAGGTCCCAGCCTTAAGGTCTAAGAAGAGACAAATTAATAAACAGGGGGAAAGAGGTTGTCTTTATAGGTTATATAGATAGAACTACAAAGTAATAGTTGTTTTAGGAGCCTAATATAAAGGCTGTTAAAGCTTACTCCTAGGTAGATTTCTTTAAAGAAGAAAAGGGAGGGGATATAGATTTAGGCATTTCAACTTCAAACTAATCTAGTAAAGCCCCCTAGAGGAATCTAGTTAGGAGACCAAAACAACTAGCACCTCCTACCTTGTTATTAGGGCTAATAGATTAGCTACCACCTAGAAAATTGTTTATATAGCTCCCTCCACCCCTATTAGATAGTAGGGAGTACTAGAAGATAGATCTAGAGGGGACTTAAGAAAATTTAGAGAAGGAACCTAAGGCTATACCTTAGGAGTTATCTAAAATTCCACCTTAGGGAGAATCTATAGGATTAGCTAACCTAGATACTAGCTATTAGGGACCTACCCTAAGGAGCCAAGCTTAGAAAAGGAGAAGGGATCTAGATAATAAAGGAGACTAGAGTATAAAGCACTATAGGTCATTTATCTCTATAATGTTCTATCTAGATCTAAGTATAAGCTAGGCTAAGGAATTTTTAAATAATATAGAGGAGTATATATTTGCTATAGTAGGCCTAACTATTGCTATATAGTAGCAAGTACTAATCCTAAAAACATATAGGGAAGCTATATCTAACCCTACCTAGGGTTATATATAGAGAGAAGCAATCTAAAAGGAGCTTTAGGCTTTAGAGATAAACAACACTTAGGAGCTAGCTATGCTACTATAGGGTGCTAACCTAGTCACTTCTAAGTGGGTCTTTAATATAAAAAGAATAATTAGTAGAGCTATTAAAAAGTTTAAGGTAAGACTAGTTATAAGAGGGTTTTTATAGAAGTTTAGTATTAACTTTATAGACACCTTTACACCTACAGTCAGGCATAACATACTAAGAGTGTTTATAGTAGCTATATATAAGAAGGATCTAGAACTGTACTAGATTAATATAAATAATATATTTACTAAAAGTACCCTCTTAGAAGACATCTATATAATCCTACCCCTAGGTGTTAAGATTCCTCTAAACATAGTCCTAAAGATTCTAAGGAGCCTATATAGACTAAAGTAGGTAGCTAGAGATTGGAACAAACTCTGTGTTACTAAGCTAGAGTAGATTAGGTTTATATAGTTAGAAGTGGACCTATACCTTCTTATCTATAGGGGGAGGAACATAATAGTCCTTACCTATATAGATAACATCCCTATTACAGCTCCAAAGCTATTAGATGTTCTCTAGTTTAAGGGAGAGTTTAGAAAGGTCTTTAGAATTAAAGACCTTAGGGAACCTAAAAAGATCCTTAGTATAAAAATTATAAGGGACAGAGTGTAGGGCACTCTAAAACTTAACTAAGGACATTTTATCTAAATAAACCTTGCTAAGATAAGCATAACTAAAGACAAGGCCTATATTATATACTTACCTCTAGACAGCTATAAGAGCCTAAAACCTTTAGGCCTCTAGGATAAGAGGTGTAACAAACAGGAGTACTAGAGTTATACTAGTACCTAGATGTAGCTAATAATAATAACAAGGCTAGACATTGCTTTCCTACTTAGGAGACTAAGCTTATATATTATAGACCTATTAAAGCAACATATAAAGGCACTAAAGAAGCTTATAAGGTACCTAAGATTATACCTAGATCTTAGCCTTTACTATAGGAGAGGAGGAGGTTGCCTTTAAGGCTACTCTAACTTAGACTATATAATAGACAAGGTGGACAGAGTGTCTGTCCTTAGGTATGTCTAGTTCCTTTATAGCTTACTAGTCTCCTAGATAAGTAGAAAGTAAAAGTCTGTTATAATATCAACTATAGAAGCTAAGTATATAGCAATAAACTCGTATATAAAGTAGTTACAGTTCCTAGCTATATTGCTTCGTAAGATAAGCTGTCCTAAGCTTGTTAGAGAGTGCCTATTTCAGCCAAAGATTAAGGCTAACAATAACACTACCTAATTACTTAGACCTGTCCTTATTAAAGGGGACAATTAGTTAGCTCTAACCCTTATTAAAGATGCTTATATCTATAAGAGATTAAAACATATTAATATTGTATACAACTTTGTTAGAAATCTTTAGTAGTAGAGGAAGGTTATAGTAGAGTATTACCTAACAAAAGAGATAGTAGCTAATAGACTAACTAAACCCCTAAATAGTCTACAGTTCTAGAATTTTATAAAGCAACTCTAGCTAGCCTAGTAAAAGGAATAGCTAAACTAGGAATTAAACCTAGGTCTTTAGAACCCTATCGTACACTCTAATTATTAGACAGAGCCTAAGAGCGTAGGGACGCTTCGCGGATGTCTATTTAGGAATGACTTTATAGGCCTAATGTTCTAACCCCTAAACTATTTAGCTAGAACTAAGAAGTGTACTAATTAGGTAATAGAAGACCTAGAGTTTGTTCTTATATTACTTTAGTTAAAGGGTTTCAATTCTTTCCTCCGGACCTAAGTGGGAGTGTTATAAAATAGTAGCTTAGGAGGAAAGTAGGAGTAGGCCTAGTAGTAAGCTAAGTAGTTACGTAACTAGGTTACGTGATACGCTAAGCTTAGTAATAGTAGCTAGAAGGAGGAGAGCGGGCTTCTCTCTCTCTTACCTTCTACTACCTTTATACTAGACTATCTTAGATACCTCTATATAAATTAGGTCCTTCTTCTTTAATTATTAAGTCCTTACTTCCGCTACAAACTACGTAACATATCCTATATAATAGATAGCGTATAAAGGATAATATTTGGTAGAGATAGTATATAGATATATATACTAAGCAACTAGCGTTAATCTATCTTAATTTAATTACCCCTATGTAAAGCTAAATAGAGTCTTATTACCTTATCTCTTTAGGTAGAATATAGCTTACTAACTATATAACTTATTACTATCCTCTAATAAATAGTAGGGTAGCCTTAAATTTCCTTCTCTTCTTAATCTATTTAATGTACTAGGTCTTATCACGCTCTTTACACTCTCGCAACTCGTCCCTAACACAGGTCCAAGCGTAACGGCTTTTTTTCTTCCGGTGGGATTCGTTCTTACAAGGGTCAGAAGTACTGCCCATGGCATAGCGGCTGCTCCAGGCAAATCAGGAGCCATTCCCATCACGGGTCGGATCGGTCTGAGCGGAGTCTTGGGCCGCTGCAACAACTTTACCGATCCCAGAACCAAACGGTACAATGATTAAGGGAACTGGATCGGGAGTATTATATGGCAAAATAGTAGAGCATCATCTATGTTCCCACGCGAGCGTCGAGTCAAGAGAGACCTCCAAGTCTGTGGCAGATGGAAAAGTGGTCTAATGTATCGATCAACAAGACATGAGAGGAGAATTTGTATGACATTACCATCCAACAGGAACCTAAGACTACATTTCCGCTCGCTGATCTTTACACTCACCACGCCTTCGTTATTCTCCCTCGGAGCGATTGCCAACAAGACATTTTACGCCACATGACTCCGCCCATTTCAAGAAATCCACCCGGAGCGCCGCTGGTGATCCACGTCTTCTTCTCTCTGTATGTAGTAAGACATGCAAAATGCCTCTCTTGAAAGCATCTTCCGAGCGAGCGGAGATGCTGTAGATAAGAGGGTGGAGTATCCGTACATGAAGTGCCGCCAAAGATGTGCGACAATTAAGAAGACGCGCTTTTGGAGCTGGCTGCACAAAGCAAACAGCCACTGGGTATAAACAACATCAAAACAGAACACAAGGCTCAGAGGTCAAGAAGTTCACGGCTTCTTCTCGCCCTCACCACCCTGTTGCTGCTGGCCTTGCTCGCCGGATGCCTGCTCGCCCTGTTGTTGCTGATTGGCCTCTCCAGACTCCTGGCGCGCCTTGTGCATCTTGTCGAAGAGAGTTAGAGAAGCGGTCTGGAGCTCGTCGGTCTTCTGCTTGATTTCCTCCGAAGTGGCGGAGCCCTCGCCGGTCTGATTGGTAGCGATGAACTCGCGCATGGCGGTGATCTTCTCGCGGATCTGGTCGGCCTCGGTCTTGTCGAGTCTGTCCTCAAACTCCTTGAGAGCCTTCTCGGTGTCGTTGACAACGCTGTCGGCACGGTTGGCAGCCTCAATAGCGGCCTTGCGGTCCTTGTCGGCGGCTGCGTACTTCTCGGCGTCGTTGACCATGTTCTGAATCTCGTCGTCACTCAGACCAGAGCCAGATGCGATGGTGATGGATTGGTCCTTGTTGGTTGACTTGTCCTTGGCAGAGACGTGGACAATTGAGTCGGCGTCAATGTCGAAAGTGACCTCAATTTGTGGCACACCACGGTGCGCTGGTGGGATACCGACCAGCTGGAAGTTACCAAGCAGCTTGTTGTCGCGGACAAGCTCACGTTCACCCTGGTAGACTTTAATCTCGACAGCAGATTGGAAGTCGGCGGCAGTAGAGAAAGTCTGCGATTTCTTGGTGGGAATGGTAGTGTTGCGGTTGATCAGACGGGTGAAGACACCACCAAGCGTCTCAATACCAAGGGACAGAGGTGTGACATCCAGAAGGAGCAGGTCGGTGACCTCACCAGCAAGAACACCACCCTGGATAGCAGCACCAATGGCAACAGCCTCATCTGGGTTGACAGACTTGGCTGGGTCACGGCCGAAGATGCTCTTGACGGACTCGATGACCTTGGGCATACGGGTCATACCACCGACGAGGATGACGTCCTGAATGTCCTTGGCCTGCAGGTTAGCGTCCTTCAGCGCCTTACGGACGGGCTCGACAGTGCGGCTGACGAGAGGCTCCACAAGCCCCTCAAGTTGCGAACGAGTGAGCTTAGTGTTGATGTGCTTGGGACCAGAAGAGTCGGCAGTGATGAAAGGCAGGTTGATGTCGGTCTGCACCGAGGAAGAGAGCTCGATCTTAGCCTTCTCGGCAGCCTCACGGATACGCTGGATGGCCATGCGGTCGTTCGAGAGATCGATGCCCTGCTCCTTCTTGAACTGCTGAACGAGATGACGGACAAGCGAGATATCGAAGTCCTCACCACCAAGATGGGTGTCACCGTTGGTGGACTTGACCTCGAATACACCGTTGGAGATCTCGAGAATGGAGATATCGAAGGTTCCACCACCCAAGTCGTAGACCGCAATCACCTTGTCGTCCTTCTCAAGACCATAGGCAAGCGCCGCTGCGGTAGGCTCGTTGATCACACGGTGCACAGTCAGACCAGAGATTTGACCTGCATCCTTGGTTGCCTGTCTCTGCTGATCGTTGAAGTACGCTGGCACGGTAACGACCGCGTTCTTGACGTTCTTGCCCAAGAAGCCCTCAGCGGTCTCCTTCATCTTTCCGAGAACAAAACCACCAATCTGCGAAGGCGAGTATCGCTGGCCCTGAGCTTCTAGCCACGCATCACCGTTTGTGTGCTGGACAATCTTGTATGGGACCTGCTGAATATCGCGCTGGACCTCGACGTCGGAAAACTTGCGGCCGATGAGACGCTTAGTGGCGAAGAGGGTGTTCTCGGGGTTGACGACGGCCTGGCGCTTTGCAGAGATACCGACTAATCGTTCGCCCTCCTTGGTGAAACCCACGACTGAAGGAGTTGTTCGCGCACCTGCAGATCTTGTCAGCCATCTCCTGCCCATTCACCCCATCTCGATACTGCCACATACCTTCCGAGTTCTCTATTATCCGCGGCGACTTGCCCTCCATGACCGCCACGGCGGAGTTTGTGGTGCCCAGATCGATACCGATGATGGGACCCTTCACCTTGCCGCCATCGGCGTTGGTGTCTTCCGCATAGCCTCTCCGAAACTGCGATGTTATGGGCGCGCGGAAGGCTGATGATCTGAAGGTGGATGTAGCACGCGGGACGGCCTGGTCTGATATCAGTGTTGATGCTCGCGTGATGGTATTGGGATAGCTGTTGCTACTCACGTTCCGCATCACTCGTGAGGAAAGCATGGTTCTCGTATTAACACACTATGATACACGCAGTGAGGAAGAAGGAGATGGACGATGGAGGATGGACGATGGGGGGCGTTGGTAGCAGCGCAAGAGATGGGTTGATGAGAGGATCGATGTGTAGACGTGAAGGCGAGAAAATCTCCAAGCTCGGGGGGTCCGTGCTTCTGCTGCTTCTTCCACACGCTTCCACGAGAGCGGATTGACGTCTCCGCGTCATGGCCGAGGATACCACAATTGGAGCAATTCTATCACCAAATCCATCATTCCATGATGACAAAGATACGCCCAAAATCACGATGATGGAATGGAACCCAGTTCATCACGCCTGTGAGAACTTTATAGTCTATTGAAGTGCACCAAATCCGACAATTCATATGCTCTTGGCATGTTCTTTCGGAAGGCATTGGCATCGCCATGTGACCGTGGCCCATCGGGACGCACCTTACCGCACTGCTTCCGTCCCGAAAATGCACGTCTGTCTGATGAACTGTACGATGCGCCCCAATCCTGCAGAGAAGCATGGCGCCTTGCCATGCAGCTCTTATGGGCGACGCCGGGCGGCGGGCAACATTGCAAAGTGCACCAAACAGCTTGCATTCTTCGGTTTCGCGATATTCACTTGACATTCGGGCTGCTGAAATTTTCCGACGCATACCACGTCAGTGCAGGGAAAAGACCTTGTCAAGTTTGATCGAGCAAAGAGCCAACTGCACGTGGGTTCCACTCGTCTTATGGCAACGCTGTTGGACATCACTGGCGATCGAGCGTAGCTGAATAGAAAATGCCTACACAAACTCGGGCTGACAATACACCATGTCGACTCAGTGAGCCTTTGGATCTGCAAAATGCGTGAACTATGCCCGTACGCGAGGACATGAGGGGAAGGGGAATTGGCAATCAAGCCTCGTCTTCCTTGCGGAAGACTCGGCGACACCTGTTGGAGGAAGCACTCCATTTGCTCATGTAACTAGAGCTAGCTAGGGCATCATGGCAGCGACAATCTGTGTCCAGCTGCTACCGAACGCCTAGAACGCCTCGAGTCGTCGTAAAAGCATAGGAGAGCTTATTGGCCAGGGCGACGGTCGCCAAAGCGGCGAGGGCGCTCTGCAGCCTGCTGCTGCTGAACAGCAACGACGTTGACGGGGATGCTGTCGAACTGTGCCCATGTCAGCCGCTTCGTCAGATGTGTTCCATGACTGTGTGTAACTTACGCCCATGGACTTGAGCAGGTCCTTGGTCTCCTGATCCACATCGAGCATACCGCTCTCGCTGTTCTGTGTGAAGTCCAGAGCCGACACCTCCGGAACGTACTGATCCTTCCTCTCACGCTCCTCCTCTTGCAGCTTGAAGGAGATACCACGGACGGGACCACGCTGGATACGCTTCATCAAGTGGGTGGTGTAGCCGGCGATCTGTACAAGTCGTTAATATCTCGCACATGTCTTTCTGAAGAGAAGTGCGTTCTGACCTTGTTGCGCAGACGCTTGCTGGCAATGACGGCGATCTCATCGCAGATACGCTTGTTGGTCTCGAAGTCGAGGGTGAGCTTGGGGTAGTATCGCTCGATGATGACCTTTGCGGACTTCTTGACGGTCTTGGTTCGTACGCGTCCCATGATGGCGGTATTTGGCGGCTGTCGTGGGTATCGGAAGGTGTTGGCGTTGACTACTTGACGCTGAGGTTTCGAAGCTGGAAGCGGACATTTGTGTGTTGCCAAGAAATTGTACGGGCCGCTCAGCAGCTGCAGCCGAGGATCTGCCGAACCTACCCGTACAACCTGTTCGCTCACACGGCAAGCATTTCGCCGACATCACATTCATTCCATGCAGTCCGTTTCAATGCCTTCATTTGTGTTGACAGATTAAGATGTTCGGACCACACGAGTGCAGGATCTGGGTCCCGGCGTCTCGCGAGGTACTCATGGTCGACCAACTCCCCTACGCGCCGCAAGCCGCACAGCTGAGCGCTTCGAGTTGGAGAAGTATACTATACTCGCCTTAAAGACCCATACATCCCCAATACCCAAAGACTACGGAGCGTCAGAGCAGGCGCAGGACGTCCCATCCGAAGAATCCCTTAACAGTCTCATGGGAAAGACCACTTGCCATCCCGTCCACTCTTTCTTTTTAAGACGCTCTGTGACGCAACACCTCTCCTTGCCTTCGCTTTCTGGTCGATCCAATCGGTAATCAGAATGCACTTCCACCATGTTCTTTCAGTCTCGTTTTGAAGCATCACGCCCTCTGCGTTGGCAGGCTTGATGTTCGGCAGTCGCCACGATAGCTTACAGCAAATACCGTTTGGCGAAGAGGAGTTCGAGACGATTACCATGATCGTCAAGACGACACGAACGAGATTCGATCTCCAGGTTCACATCAAGACAACGACCCGCGAGCATGAAGCGGCTGCGATGCCTACGCCAATGGGTCCTGGAAAGCAACTAGATGCCGGTGTCCGACATGGGATGGACAAGAGGAAGGACGCATTTGACAGGACCGCTTGTGCCATGTGCGCTAGGTCCCATAAATGCCAGCCGGGAATGCCTCAATGGTGGTAAGTTTGAAGCATCGTATCTTGATTTTCTAAAGGGCGTTACAATATGAAGACGACATATCGGCACGGACACAACCCTTTCACGATTCGAGTAGCACTGGATTATACTGTACCCCAAAGGTCGCGGGGACAGACCGATCAATGACATGAAGCTCTGTAAGGAGTGTCTGCATTAATTCATTATGTACACTTTCACTAGGCCCATGCCATGCCATCACAAGGTCGTCTCATACAGTCGTGCAGAGAGAAGGATGAAGTTAACCAGGGAAAGCAGACGGGGTGTAGCTCTTGTCCGGCTGCACGACGTTGCCACCATCGAGTTCCGCGTCGGTGTAGCCGGGATAGATGATCAAGCTGTCGGTATGGACAGACAGAACGGTGAAGCCGGAGGCATCGTGGGTGCTGCCCACAGTGTAGGCGCCGCAGACGAGGCTGTTGTAGGAAGCATCCGAGGCAGGAGATCCGTTAACGTCGTAGGCGCAAGGAGTGGAATCGCTGCCGTCGTTGGTGTTGACGGCGAATGTGATGTGGCAGGTGGTGTCGTCAGCATTGCAAGTGCGTTGGAAGCTCTCCATGGTCCAGGTTGTGTCGGCGGCCATCATGGACTGTGCAGCAACTGGAGCGGGTGCCGCGAGAGAGGTGCCGGCAGCGGCCAGAATGGTGAGGGCGGTGGTAAGCTGCATGTTGAAGTCGAGATGGGTTGTTTTGATGGATTTGTGATTGCAAGGTCTTTGTTACTCCGGTGTGTGGTTTCTGTGAATCGATCGGACAGCATCAGTGAGACAAGGTGCCTCTATATGTGCTCTGGAAAGCATCGAGGGTGTGACTTCCTCCACCTTGCGTATCCAGATTAAACACGAGACGGATCTTGGCATGAGTATATTGAGAGGGTCGGGTAGCATAGCGACGTTGTAGAGGATGTCCGTATTGGGACACAGCCCCAGAGCGTAGCCAAAGCAATTGCTCAGCTGCGTCCATCCAGACGGCTCAGATGATCCGGTTTCGTATTCGACTGGCGATCATCTCAAAGAAGAGTTCGTCCACATGACTTGGGTATCTTACTTCAGCGTTCAAGTCTGTACAACATGGCGACGGACGCAGGCCCCGCGGAGTGCGGAAGATGGCTGTACATACAATAGTGCGGTTCAAGGCATGCTGATCATCCGTATGTGCGCAGATGGCGTGCATGCGGTCGCCGGATTCAAACTTGCATAGAGTGCTGCAGGGCGCGGCTTGGCTCGGCTCGGCATGCTCACAAGAATAGAAGCGCAAGGAGTCGGGTGCCCACGAGTGAAGGAGCGGGCATGTATGGGACGAGTGTGTACAGGAGACACAATCGTATTCACCACGATCCTCGCCTCGTCCTGAACATCAGCCTGACCATCAGCCTGAACATCAGCGCATCCGGCGGTGGCCTAAGCTTACAAATCCGCAAAATGTGGCCTAAGCTTACAAATCCGCAAAATGTGGCCTAAGCTTACAAATCCGCAAAATGGTTTTGCCGGTTTTGCTACCGTACCACCACACTCTCACACACCGTAATCGTAGTAGTTAGGCACTAATATACTCGCTATCGACTCGCAATCTATCTATTAGGTCCTTTATTGTCTACTTTGTCGTCATGCCGCCTTAGGCCCTTAATTTACAGCCCTATCGGCTCTAGATTAAGCTTTAGATTCATACTAGATATACCTACTAGCGAGTCGTATAGAGCCTACATAATACTAAGGGTATTCGCTACGGTATTAGAACTCTATAGATACACTTATCGCGATAGGGAGTAACTACTCGCCCTCGAATTAACTATAGTAGTAACGTAGTACTAATTAAGCGGATTACTAAGCTATTCTAGCTATATACTATTAGCGATAAGAAGAGCTATACTATACTACGGCTTAATAGCTATAATATCTCTTTAAGGTAGTATTAAGAGCTCCGCCGTACTTACGGCCTTAAGCGTCGACTAGAACACGAGGAATTAGAAGCAGCTACTACCTACGTCGATAAGGTACTTCGAGTAGTACTAATTAATAGGCAAACCTAAGACTTTAGCTATCGTAAGCTCGTACGAGAGTTAAGAACCTACTAGTATATTATAGGTAGGTAGGGAATCGACTCGTAGCCGACTCGTAGCCCTCTTCTTACTATACTAATACCTACTAGGGACCGTATCTACCGGATTTCACGGCAAATTAACGCTCTACTATATAAGCTTCGCGAACTACGTAATCGCTATCCGAATAGGCTACGGTACGTACGACTAAAAGCTAATAGGCCTAACTACGTCTAGTTAATTAATGCCTTCTACAAAATCGAGCAATTCGGCATTTAGATTTACGCCTATATTAACGTCTACTTACGCCGGATTATCTGGTTCTACGTTAGCCTAATAGTAAAGACAAAGTACTTAGTGTTTTCGTAGTACTATACTGTAATTAACTATATCTAGCGAGTCCCTTAGCGAGTCCGCTCTAATTAAGGTGTCGAGACACCTATACTAGTAGACGCCTATCTACGGCTTCGAGAGCTTATCGAGGGCCGTAATATCGACTTTGTTAAGGCCTTCTTATATACTACGAGTAAAGGCAATTAGACTATTAAGTACTAGTAGGGCGAGATAGCTAAATTAGCTATAAATCGCTAGAGAGACCTATTTAACTAGTATATTAACCTACACCTTTTCGAGGCCGCTAAGCTATCTAATCGACTCGCCTTCCTCGTAATCTATACTCTAATTATACGCTATATAGTTAGTTACTTTGTCTTAGAGTAGAATCGGCACCCGGTACGAGTACAAAACCTTAAGAGCTATATTAGTAGTATACCGGATTTGCTCTACGAGTATCTAGAGCTCGAGGACACTACCTAGCGTAGGCATCTAATTAACCCTAAGAGTCTAGCGAGTACTACTCTTAAGTAGTAGATAAACCGGATAGACGGCTATAGTAAGCTCCGCGGGTAATTAAAGAGCTTTCTATATTAGTACTAGGTAAGTAGCTCGAAATTGGACCGTACTCGTAGCCAATTTAGCTGTACTCGTAGTCACTCGCAGCTCTAGCTACCCGCCTATAGAGTTACCCCTCTCTTACTCCTACGCTAACTACGCCTCGCTATATATAGACCTTAGCTTATACCTGCCTCCGACAACTCTATAATAGGTAAACGAACAGCTCGTACTCGCTAGCTACCCGTTAACCTTTAAAGGTAGCGAACCCGGATTCGGTAATAGGCCTAAGAAGCTTTATATACACGCTTATTAGTACCTCCGAGGAGTAGCTAAGTAGTACCTAGATACTAGTAGACGACTCGCTAAGTATATCGCGCCGACTCGCTTAAATAGCCTCGAGCCGTCTAATCGTACGAGAACCGTCTTTACTACTACTAGGGAGCCTCTATAAAGCTTCGTATATACTCGTAGTAGACTCGTAACGTTACATTCCTTAATACTACGTCTTATCTTTCTATATACGTCTATTATAGCTTCTTCTACTAACTTCTAGGAAGACTTCTATATATCTAACAAGGTAGATTATACTCTTAATTATACTAAAGAGTATAGCGATAAGCCCCGCTATAGTAAATGCGGCCTTAGGAACCCGTTCTTTACTATAGTAGACACTAATATAGCGAGTCGCCGCGAGTCGACTGTAGGCCCTTCCTTAATACTAGTACCGGATCCGATCGATTCCCCTACTCTACGGCGGAAGGAGCCCGCGTCTATAAAGGGCTATAGTAGCTTTACTAGACTCGCTAAAAGCTTATTTAGCCGTACTAATGCCGTTTTAGCCGCTAATAAGAAGTAGCATATCCGCCCGCTTAGTAATATAGGTATTAATCCGTTATCCGGAGAGGTATAAGGTCCTCGTACTAGTAAAGCGAGTCTATATAGGAGCACGCTAATCGCTACGAATCGACTTAAGGCGGGTAGTAGTAGTAGTACCGAGCTACGAGACGACTCGTAGGCCGACTCGTAGTCGTAGAACAAGGGTAGTAGACCGAAGAAAGTACTAAAGGGCCCTAAGCTTTACGTTATAGTGTATATAAGCAAAGTAGTAGTTAATGTAGTTAAGAAGGAAGGCTAGTAGAGGTGGACGGTTAGAGATAATCTAGAGCTAGTCGATTACTAGTCTATCGTAGGCTACTAGAGCGACTTTAAGGCCCTACTACTCGACTCGCCGCGTACTCGTAACTAGCTTTACTACTAGGCTTTATACGCTAGCTATATTAAGGTTAAGAAGGTTACCGGCCTATAGTACTACAAACGTCCGTTTATATATACCCGGTACGACAAAGAGTAGAAGCTCTTAATTATACTAAGCTCGAACAGTAGAGACAAAGACGACCTTAACGAGCAATTACTACTATTTAAGCGTAGGTACTAGGCAAATCCTACGCGAAAGGAGGTAGATATTAGGGTCGCTGTCCTTGTAGCTAAAGATAAGCGGTAGAATAGGCTTCCGAAGGACTACGGCGAGTCTAGCGAGTCTACCGACGACAGCTCCTCTTTAGATCCGGATCTAATAAAGAGCCTTAATAGGCGCTATCGTAGTAGGCGTCTAGGTTAGAGGCCTAGTACTAAAGCTAAAAGAAAGATAGCTAAGGAGGTAGTAGCGAGTGTAGTAGCGAGTATAGTAGCGAGTACTAGCGAATCTAAAGTAGTGCCTTCTACTAGCCCTAATAAACTAGCTAAATTCCGCTAGCCTACGAGTCCCTCTACGAGTGCCTAATCTACCGAGAAAGAGGCCTCTACTAGTCCGCTAGTTAGTTACAAACGTTAAGCGAGTCGCGAATTACCCTATCGATCTACTCCTTCGTCTATATCCGGTACCTAGGGATTAAGCGCCTATAACCCTATCGATATTATTAACCTTACTAATAATAACGACGACGACGAGCCTACGTACGTACGAGTGCCTAAAAGCAAGCTAGTAGTAAAGTAGGAGGCACGTATAGTAATAAAGAAGGAGCCTATAGATTTAAGTACTATTAAAGAAGGAATAGAGATTACTCCTACGGATTTAGTAGAGCGAGTCGCTAGCGAGTCGCCGGTAGCGACGGAGATTTAGGGCGATAGGTAGGTTACTAGCTTACCTAAGGATACTAAGGCTACGAGTGTACTAGCGGAGCCTACGAGTACGCCCCCGAGCGGACTAGCGAGTACTACGAGTGTACTAGCGGAGGCAATAAGGAATAAGAAGCTAAGGAAGGAGTATATAAGGATTCCGGAGTTTTAAAGGGTTATAAGGGCGTTAAAGAAGCTATAGCGAGTCGGTAGCGAGTTGGTAGCGAGGCTTTAAAAGGATAGAAGGGCGTATAGGGTTAATAGTATAAATATAATAACGATTAAAGGCTTAGAGATCTCTAATATTAACATTCTCCCGACTCGTAGGCTAAAATTAGGTAGACTCGCGGGCGATTTAGGGATTCTACGATCTCTAAGATTCGTAGTATTATAATTTGCCCGACTCGTAGGCCTAAAATTGCTAGATTCGTAGGCGATTTAATCGCTCTAAGATTCTATATGTCCTAAGCTACCCGACTCGTACGGAATCGTAGGCTAAAATTAGCTATACTCGCTATAACTCGTAGGCTAGAATTAATCTATACTATCTACTAAGTATATTTGCCCTTATATTTAGCTACGAACTACTCGCTACCCGGTAGCTACGTAATAAAGTCTATTATATAGTAGAGCTTAGCCTCTAGATTATTAATACGCTTATAGGCAAACCCTAAACCCTCCTTAAGCCTAGTAATCTTAGTTTAAAGACTCGTAGGCTTCTACGAGTCGCCTATCTCAGCCCTAGAGTTACCTATAGTAGCCCTAGAATTACCTATAGTAGCCTACGAGTCCGGCTTAGGCTTTAGTAAGTTATCCTACTTATCCTTCTACTTCTCGTACTTCTTCTAGAGCTTACTATTATAACCTAGGCGACCGTAGCGCTTATAGAACGCGTATTAAGTGTATTCCTTACCTTTATAGATAATGTAATCTAGACCTCTCGTAGCGTACTACTTATAGCCGCTAGGCTTAGAAGATAGTATACCTACGAGTCGATTAGATTTTAGTAGCGAGTCTATATAAATTAGAAAAAGCATACCTAGATCCGTCTCTATTATCTCGCTAGCGTAAGTAAACCGCCGTAGGCTATTAGCCGCGGACTTACGAACCTACTTATTACTAGATTTAAGATTGTTTAAATAGCGCTACTAATCCTTATCGGAGATATACTAGAATGTAGTCTTATCCTACGTCTCTAGTTTGCGGTAGGACTCGCTAGACTCGCTAATTAGCTTTTACCTATTCTTTAGGCTTCGGATAGCTTACCTTAGGGCCGATATAGTTACTACTAGGGCGCTCTCGGGCGTAGACTAAGGCGGAGGCGAAGGAGTAGGTTAATAATTAGGCTAGTATCGGTCGTAGAGTCGTCTATAGATAAATGTAAGAGTCTCCTAGTCGATTGATACTATAAATTGTCGATTTACGAGTCTACGAGTACGATCTAGGTAGGAAAAGAGGTCTAGGTTCGCTAGATAAGAATGCCTTCTTATAAAATAGCCTACTTATTGTTAGTAGCTGCCTTATTGTTCGATATTGTAGACTCGTACTTACAATAGTATGAGCGCGACAATAGCTTTTAATTAATATAAAGCCGCGTACCGCTATTGACGGGTTCAATATAAAGCCAAAAGCTGCGCCTAACTTCATATTGACCGTTTACGTCGACAATAGCGGTACGCGACACTCGTGGAGCCTTATTGTCGCCGTCGTAAGTTGTTATTGTGGTGGTAGAGTGAGTCGCGACTCACAGCGAGTGCCGCTTCGGCAGTCGGCAAAACCATTTTGCGGATTTGTAAGCTCAGGCCACCGCCATCCTCGGGTGAGCAGCGCGTCTATTCCTGGAGCACAGTACGATACCTAATCACCTCGGCCAAGGCTCTTCCTCCGTCTCACCGTCTCGCGGAATCTGCCCAGGCATCTACACGAAACATCCAACCAGCTTCAGGTCGAGATTATCTTAGGCCGCTAAAATATAGAAAGCGACTAATTGCAGACAAATTGGTATCTCGAAACTTGCAAACTGCATTCAGGCCAGACGACTCCAACAACCCGATTCGTTCCTCTCCACTCACCTCACCAAAACTCATCGCTTCTCAATTGCCGACGTAACAACCATTTCCTGCTCACTCCCGCTCCCATTTCTCCTCGTCATCCTCCTCCTCCTTTCCCCAAACGCAATCGCCACCAAATAAGCCGTTCCGAAAATCCCAGCAAGAACCCCATACGCAATCTTCGCCTTTTCAAGATCAGCGAACTTCCCACCCAACTTGAGCCCCAACCCTCCATTCACCAGACCCAGAATAATCGCACCTCGGCCCAGCCAGAGGTGAGCCTGACTCCACAGAGTTCTCGCAGAGACCTTCTTGAACCAGATGTGGTGCAAGGTGCCTGTGATGGGCTGGATGAACATGAGAATGTAGACGACGATGCCGATGATGATGTGCGTGTCGCCGATGAGGGACAGCTTGTCCGTCATCCAGGCTCCCAGGCCCATGGCTGCGGTGAAGAGGGCGAGGCCGAAGAATTGAAGGCCACGATGGACGTTCATAGCCTGGGGAAAGTTGCCGACGCGGATGAGGATGGCTCCCGAAGGAAAGACGAGGATGAAGGCGATGGAAGCGAGGAAGCCGTGAGCCTTCTTGATTTCTTGGAGGTTACTCGGGATCGCAAAACGGCCTGGAGCAGCAGAGGTAGATGTTGTCGTCGTTGTGTTCGTAGTAGCGGCTGCAGTCACGAAAGGATTGACCTCGCTGCCTCCCTTGGCAGCCGTAAGGTTCCAATCAAAGACGCCGTAGTCGTCGTGGTAAGAGATATCGGCATCCAGTTCGTCTGACGTGATTGGTGTTCCCTTCTTGTATGCGTGAATCCAGCTTCCATTCGAGCTTGTGAAGTCCATTGTGCCTCCGGTCCAGCTAGTACAGTTACTGCACCGTACGTTGGCAGTCATCTTCCCATCCGAGACCGTGCTACCGCTGAGAACAGTGATTTGTGCTGTGGCTCCGTCGTGAGACGGTTCGACGTGACCAATGCCCCGACGGGTAGATACCGTGACATTCGATCCGTTCGCTGAGGTGTACATGACGAAAATGCTGCTGCCCGCCATCCGCGATCCTTGACCCAGGGCGACCTAGAAGATGTTAGGAGAGCTGGGGCGGTAAGTAGATGACTAGTCCTACCCATTCATAGCTCGTGGGAGCAGTCATCTGGAAGAAGATATCGCCAGTGCCAGAGCTTGCAGTCTGCTCTGGTATACTGAGTGAATAGCAGATGCCATTCGTTGTATCGGGACATGTTTGAGAGACCGCTGCGTTGACCAATGGCTCTGTGCAAACGTCAGCAAGTATCCTCCAAAACCACAGACGTTACCGATACTCACGCAGCGCCAATGCCATCGTGGCGATAACAATCCTCATCGCTTGATTCATGTTAACGGTGGACACAACCAGCGTGTCCGCAATTTCAACGACAACAGATGTAGATACGGCGTCATCATAGATAACAACGACGCCTCCTCTTCCTTATATATGCTAAAGACATGCCGGATAAAAGACCGACATGTTTCACAAACCCTACGGGCAGCTCCCTGGGGGTACCGCAGCTCCCTGATATCACGTTAATAACGCTATCGTTCTCTCCGTCGACCGTATTAATATAGCGGTATCCGAAGGTATTCTTCGTTTCATATCTACCGGCATAGGGAATACTACCCCCCTACCCTTCGCTATACCTAGCTCCTTCTACGAGATCCTCCCTCCCTTCGAGGGGCCCCTTCTACTACTAGGCCCTCCTACTATACGTCCTTCCTTAGGTTTGCTTCGACTAATAGAAAGGAATCTAGATAGATCGTCCTCGGCGTATTATAAGTATAACCCGATATCCTCGAGGGAACCCTAGTATTTAGTATCGTAGACGAAGTAGTTAGCTATATGTATACGACAGACGTAGAGAACGATATCGTTACTAACGTTATGTTAGCGAGCTGCGGTACCCTAGGGAGCTGCTCGTAGGATCTGTGGACATGTTTTCGTATCCTCACCTCTGACAGCTGTGTGATAGGCCGTAGTCGTCAGGGTTTCCATGTCTTCATCTCGGAGTCTGGGGCACCCGCGTCTAGACGGAAATGTACCGAAGTAGCCTGGACAATAAACTCTGTAGCTGGAACAAGCGTCAGTGGCATATCTCGGCACTCTCATTGGTTCCCGGGGACGAGGAGATCTCTTCGTCGAGAGGGGCTTTGTTGTCAGGACGCGGTTGTTGCGAGAGAAGGAAACATCATCAGAGGTCTCGCTGGAAGATGTCGCTGTCGTACGACATGGTCCGATTCTGTAAAAAGTTCTGTGAATGTGCAGCCTGGCAAGACGCGCGTTGAAGAGCCCTGCTTAGATGCCGCTCAGACGTCAATCTTTCCAGCTGACAACAGCACCTTGATGCCCTGGCTTCCTGTAACGAGTCTCGGGGCAAACTGCTCTCCAGCCACCTCAACGTCCTTTGGACCGCAATTCCCCAACCTTGCACTCTGCAAAATAGGCGATGGCAAGAGACTCGCCTGGTCTCTGATCAGTACAACTGCGCGACTCGCAAGTTTTGAAATGCACTCACCAAACCAACGTACAACTCCGTATAAGCCCACGAAAGACCCAGACAACTCATCATGGCCTTTCCAACCGCAACCATGTATCGGCTCAGCTATTTCCCGCGAGGAGCTTTGGGGTGCCATCGCTCAGGAACAAAAGGAATTGGGATCAGGAAAGATGCGCTCGTCGTGGGAGACCGTGTAGGTAACCATCGAGGCCTTGGCCCCAGCCGGGATTGTTCAGTCCCCATGGATTAGAAGGCCGCCATCGTAAGCCCTGTCTCTGGGCTCTACTGTTCCATAAGCCAGAGGGAGACCTTCTTCGATGCAAGCCGAGAGGTACGGAGGGTGGGCGAGGGCTTCGTAGTCTCGCGCAGTCTCCGGTTCTGTAATGGCTTCCATGAGTTCAGAGACTAGACGAGCTCTTATCTCCGGTTGGTTGAAAACGTAGAAAGTAGTAACAGCAAATGCACATGCAACAGTCTCGCTGCCCGCACCAATGGCACCTTTGGCTTCGTATATCAGACGACTGCGAGTGAGATCATGTTCCTCGAGATCTTGTTGGAGGAGAGAATTGAAGAGGCTCTTGTCTTGTGGGTTCTCTCCTGCCGCACGTGGCTGAAGAAGTCCGTCAACATGGTTCTCAGTTCTCTGACGACGATTAGTTCATGTGAGTGACAGCCAGAACGTCGATGACTTGCCTTCCAAGAGTTCAGCAATGGTTTCATGGCAGGATTCATGCTTGTAATGAGCCTGTCAAGTATCAATCGCGATAGCCTTGGTAAGATTGCAAGGTGAACGAGGAAGTGCGTAAGTTCTATCATGCTGTTCTTCGCTTCATTAACCTTTGTGTGAAAGTCAGGCGCATCCAGGGAATTGTTCGCTTTGTCGAAGGCACAACTCGCGAGATTGTCTGCCGCAAAGCATTCCCTGAATGTCATGAGCGCAGAGCACGCGAATTAAGTCGCGAGAAATCAGAAAGCCACACAGCACCTCTTGCTCACATTGAGGACCTTGCCGATGTCGAGCAACTTGTGACAGATGCTGAAGTGATAAGGTCTTCCTAAAAATCATTTTAGCAGACTCCATGAATGTGAAGCGAATAGGACGGTGTGCTGCGGAGATAGAAACTGGTGTGACAATCGGCAACTCGGTCAATGTGACGTGACCATCAAGGTGCTGTTTCCAAAGTGCTTATGGATACTCCACCGGCAGCATGTCTGTACAAGTCTTTCTGCAGGCGCGTCGAAACTTTTGGCAAGCTGTGTCTAGGTACCCTTGGCCATCAACTTCTTCTCTGGACCAGCCCACTTAATCTCGTACGTGTCAATGCCATGGTGTTGGCCTTGCCAATCGTGCTTGTGGAGGCCGAATCCCTCCGCTTCTGGTTGCGGAATTCGAGGATACATGCCCATCTTCAGCACGACTTTGCCAGGATAGGCCGCAGTCTCAGACTTGACAGGACTTGTCATCCAGGCGTTAGCATGCTCGAGTGCGGTCACGGAGCCACGAGAGTACAACTCACTTTCCATCTGTGGAGCAGAAGGAGCGGTACACAGGGTTCCCACTCAAGCTGTCCTTGTCCTCATAGGTCTTCAAAGTGCCGTCTCTGTCCACAATGCTGACCTTCTCTTGCTCGATAAGCAGGTTGGAGGCTACGTAGGAGCCAGCGACCTTGCGGCAATTAGAGCAATGGCAGAGATGGCCACGCTTCTTGATGAAGAGCTCTGGATCGTTGATGGTGACGGTAATGCTGCCACAGAGGCAGGATCCGGACATGCCATCCTTGAACTCGTCGGCGGAGTGAGCCTTGGGGTCACCGGTGGGGTCTTTGGGCATTGTGGATTGCGGATTGTTGCTGTTGGGGCTCGCTGGGCGTAGGATGATGTTGGAGGTAGAAGGCCCGCGATTGGGGGCTGGCGGTTGTAGGAGATTGAGAGCTGCTGTTGTCAGTGTATGTATGTAGAGGTACCTTGGCTGGCTTGGGCTGAGAGCTGCGATGCACGTTACGTATATCGCCGCCGTGTCCGGGTCGGTGGCTGCTGGTGTGAGTCTAGATCGGATGCCATCCCGGCTACGCGCTTCAGAGGAATGGGCGCTGCCATTTGCTGGACTCAGTCACCTTTCGCTATGAGTCGTCGGACAGAGCGTGTGATTTCTCGGAAGCGGGCAGGCGGGGTGCGGATCGATGGTCGGACCTTCGGAGCAGTTTTAGCCGAGCCGAGCCGAGCCGACCGGCGCAAGCACATCTCAGTCTCAGTCGCGTCGCGTCGCGTCTTCAGGGTACCAAGTTCCGGTCAGTTCCACAGCGCCTTCGCCTCACCTCACGCATTCGAATCTACACCACGCCAAATGATATGACGCTCCCGTCGCCTTCTGGACCCAATGCCGCACAGCGACGATGACGATTACGATTACGGGATAGACGATGATGATACCGCTTTCCTGCGTGCCGCCACCCAACTCGAGGCCACCCAGCATGCTGCCGCCTTCGACCCTTCTCCTCGCCCGAGCAAGAAGAGGCGTGTGAGGCGTCGAGGACGAGCCCAGGTAGATGCAGCCTGTCCGGGCGAGTTGGAGTGGTCTGAGACCGATGAGGAGAATCACAGTCCTCCCGCGTCTTCCCTATCCGGTCCTCCAGGGAATGGTCCAGCACCGGCAGCGACTACCGACACCCAGCATGACCTTGATCCCGCCGATAATGATGACCCCAATTACTACTTCCCCGGCGAGCTCGCGGAAGACAATCATGCAAAGACTTCCAAGTATCGCATCCATGTCCCTGAGAATGGAGGCAAGTTCCCGGATATGATATTCAGCCAAACGCAGCATGGGCTAGACGATGACCTCGCCAAATTCCGTGGTGCCGTCTGGAAGAGACCTCCACGGCAAGCACCACTGCCCAATCTTGGAGGAATCGCCAATGCAAACGGATTGGCGAAAGGCGCTGCTCCTCCCATCGCAAATGGCATTGGCAGCTACTTCCGAGCGGTCGGCCGACCCGTACCAGTGGAAGACGATGCTGCATTCGCCGCGAGGTTGCAAGAAGAGGAAGACGCCCTTGATCGAGGAAGACAACCCGTGCGGCCAGTGAGACCTCGCGTCGAAGATCGTCCCACTTTGGGTGTATCTCAGCAAGAACTCGCTACCCAACTCGACGACCTACCCTCCGACGCTTTCTCTTCGTCGTCGCCAGAGAAATCGCCAACCAAGGCAGTGATCGAGCTGTCGTCTCAAGTCGACGATAATGTACCGCGGCGTCACCAGTCGGCAAGACCGCGTGCTCCCAAGACTGGGCTAAAACAAATGACCATCTTCGGACAACCTGCCACTCAAGACCTGACAGCCTCACAAGCTGCTGCCAAAAGACACGCTTGGCCCTTATCAGCGCGCGACGAGCCACCGACTCATCACAAGCTGGACGAAGAAGCCATGAAGACGTGGGTATATCCCACAAATCTGGGCACTATACGCGATTATCAGTACAATATCGTCTCACGCAGCTTGTTCCACAATACACTTGTTGCGCTACCAACGGGTCTTGGAAAGACCTTTATTGCTGCCACAGTCATGTTGAACTACTACCGCTGGACAACGAAGGCTCAGCTAGTTTTCATGGCCCCAACAAAGCCGCTCATTGCACAGCAACTGGAGGCTTGCTATGGCATCGTTGGAATTCCTAGCCGAGACACCGTGCTTATGACCGGAGAGACGACCCCAGCCGCTCGGGCAGATGAATGGCAGGAGAAGCGAGTCTTCTTCATGACACCGCAAACAGTCATCAACGACCTGAAGACCGGCATATGCGACCCCAAGAGAATCGTCTTGCTTGTTGTGGATGAAGCACACAAAGCTACGGGCGGCTATGCTTACACAGAAGTCGTTTCGTTTATGCGCCGGTTCAATAGCAGCTTCCGGGTGCTGGCACTGACAGCAACACCTGGCTCGAGCACAGAAGCAGTGCAGGCCGTCATTGACAACCTAGGTATCGCGCGTGTCGAGTTGCGCACGGAACAGTCTCTTGACATCCGCGAGTATACCCACGAGAAGCAAAGCGAGACCGAAGTGTTCGATTTCAGCGACGAGCAAGAGCGCATTATGGACCTGTGTTCCCGCGCACTTCGCCCTTCTCTGGACAAGCTGAACAGCCAAAATGCATACTGGTCGAGAGACCCGATGATGCTTACTGCTTACGGTCTCACTCAAGCCAGACAGAAGTGGATGAGTTCTGACGCCGGCCGTAAGGCGCCCATGCCAGTCAAGGGCATGATCAACTCCATCTTCACGGTGCTCTCCAGCATCGCGCATAGTATCAGCCTGCTCAAATTCCATGGCATTGGGCCATTCTACTCGGGCATCCTCAGCTTCCAGTCGAGTGTGAATAGCGGTGAGCAGAAAGGCAAGACTGCAGCCGCGATCGCGTCCTCGGACGACTTCAACAAGATGCTGTCCACCGTCAGAACGTGGACCAACAACCCCGAGTTCATTGGCCATCCGAAGCTGGAATACCTACGCGAGGTCGTGCTGAACCACTTTCTCGATGCGGGAGAAGGTAGACAAGGCAGCGATGTTCCTCCAAGCGCCACGCGAGTGATGGTCTTTGCGAGCTTCCGGGACAGCACCGAGGAGATCTGTAGGGTGCTGAAACGCAATGAACCTATGATCAGACCACACGTGTTTGTTGGTCAAGCTGCATCCAAAGGTCAAGAGGGCATGGATCAGAAGAGGCAGAATGCCGTCATTCAAGACTTCAAGAGCGGCAAATACAACACTCTGATCGCCACTTCCATTGGTGAGGAAGGTCTCGATATCGGCACCGTCGATTTGATTGTATGCTACGACGCCTCATCATCGCCGATCCGAATGTTGCAGCGAATTGGCCGTACTGGTCGTAAACGACTTGGCAGGGTTGTCTTGTTGCTCATGAAGGGCAAGGAAGAGAATGACTATGCCAAGGCGCAGGACAACTACGCCTACATCCAAAAGACAATTGCAGATGCGTCCAAATATGCGTACAGGGACGATCAGAGCCCACGGATTCTTCCCAAAGAAGTGAAACCGGTCGCGGACAAGCGTCCTGTCGACATTCCCGTCGAGAACAGCCAGCCTGTGGACCTGAACGAGAAGAAGCGGAAAGGAAGGGGCAAGGGCAGGACGAAGCGGCCGCCGAAGAAATTTCATATGCCTGACAATGTGCGTACGGGTTTCACGACGGCTGCCAACTTCGGCTTTCACGGCGATGATCCAAGTGAGGACGAGAGGCCGAAGAAGAAGTCGACTAAAAGGCAGCAAAAGTTCATACCGCCACCTACGCTGTCAACACCTGAGCCTGAAGCTGCACCTCTACCTTACCTTGCAAATGTGTTCTTGAACGACGAAAAGCTTGACGAGCTGGCGGAGAAGTATGCGCGCTCTGCTGATGTGGAGGGAGATGCACTCATTCGTGAGCCAGACCTCTCGCGTTTCCCGGAAAAGCTTAGAAGCCTTGGACCTACCAAGTATGTAGCACACGGACAAGCTACGCGGCTAGTTGAGAAGACCATGCAAGTATGTACAGTACGCGCGATTGTTCAGAGAAAGTGACACTAACGATGCTCGCCAGGTCATGCGCCACGTTGACAATGAAAAGCTGCACCGTCTGGACGAATGCCTTCACCTCAGCGATCTCGAGGATGCTGGGACGGCTGGGAGACGCTTAGTGAGCCCAGAGGCTAATGACCCAGACAATAGACCTCTTCCGGTCGTGAGCAAATCGCCGATTGCGACTGGAACAGCAGCAGTGAAGAAGCGGCGCGGTCGTCCCAAGAAAGCAGCAAGCCCTCCGCCGCAGCCCGACGATTCAGAGGCAGAACCAGACCTTCCGCCGGGACAAATGCCACCTCCTCCATCCCCTGGACCTGCGAAGAGACCGCGCGGGCGTCCTCGCAAAGAGCAGACATTACAGCGTACTGCTTCATACGGCTCTGCTGCTGGAGAAGGTGCTAGTTCGAGCCCTGCAGCGACGCCTGCCGATATGCGCCTTGCGACGCAAATCATGCGAGGTGAAGAACTTGGCGAAGAAGACACGAGCGGGGAAGAACAGGAAGAAGAGGCAGACAGTGAGGATCTGGCGTTTATTGCAAAGTCCAGTGACCCGTTGGAGATGGCAAGCTCATTCCAACACTTCCCCGATGACGATGATGATGATGATGAGAAGGACTCATCGGGCCGCGACGAGTGTGATGTGAGTGAGAAGACCAGCAAGGTGGTGAGGAAGAGACGCGTGGTGGAAGATAGCGAGGATGAAGAGTGAGTGAGCAGTCGACGGACTTCGAGTCTATTGAAGCAGAATCCGCTACGCTTATATCAGCAGACGTTTCAAGAGCTACCTTTCGGCAGATACTTCAATTGGCGGTAGAGGCTGATATCGGCAGTGCGCCATCTACCTTCTTTACCGTTTCGCTGTCCCCACCCGCCCACCATAGGTTGCTACTATCACACTGCGGCGTCTCATCTCGACCGAGTGTCATGTTTGTTTCTGGGCGCATCATTACTTATGCCACTCACACCCATCCCCACCACATACCGTCTCTTCGGCCAACATCCAACCGCAGAGTACTTCTCCCATCGCAATAACCATCGCTTTCTCCAAGACGAAGCATCGGCTAATGCCGCCTGCCCAAGAGCAAAAGAATCAAAGGCCCTTGGTCTGCGCAACAACGTCTCCCGAGACTCGACTCAGGAAGAACAAGACAGCTGTTGCAGATGATGCCACACACTCTCGACACTCTCGACACTCTCGACATTGATGAAAAGCATCCGTCTTGAAGCCGTTGGGGCATGTGTGATGGATGACTCGAATGGCTCAGCCTGCGCTCAGTCAACAGCATCATCTATGGATCTCCAACGCCGATGTTCACGAAACAAAAGTCAAAGGGCCACTTCTCCGCCAACGCAGCATCCCAAACACAGTCTCGGTCTCCACTCATCACCATCCTCAAACGGGCAAATTTGCAAATCTCGCGCCTCAAAGGTTTTGCAAACTACCTCGGAGTTTGAGGCGCAAGCGTTGCCTCCAGGCATATGTAAATGCGCAGTGTCCGCCGCGATGCCCGTCTGCGCGCAATAGGCTGCTCTGTTACATCCCAGGAGCTTCATTGTCGACATCATGAAGTTCACGTTGTCAGCAGCGCTCTCGGGCGCTCTTGTCCCGTTGGCTGCGGCATTCCCTTTCAAGTTGGTCGAGAAGATGCAGAATGACCCCGAACTGCAAGCACGTAGTCTCGACATCCTGAACGAAAAGCGACAGCCCGGCGCAGATGCTGCAACGGGCCTCTTTGAGGCAGTGCCGACGTTCGATGCTGCCAAGCAGTATATCGATATTGGCCGGGGCAGTGGTCATGAGTGGCAAGCACCCGGTCCTCACGACCTTCGAGGGCCTTGCCCAGGACTGAACGCCTTCGCCAATCAGTGAGTCGAGAACCATGATGGGCACGTTGGCGCCCTTGCTGACACCGACACAGCGGTTTCCTCCCGCGCAACGGCTATGCCACGATCCAACAATATATTGAGGTCACGGAACAAGTCGTGGGAATGGGCAACGATCTCGCCGAGTTCCTCGCTGCACTGGGTGCCGTCATCGACAGCGGCGACCTCATGGCATGGTCAATTGGTGGCACTCCTCCGCCGGGAATTGGAGGCCTCGCTGCTCAGAACGGAAATGGACTGTCGGGATCCCACAACAAGTGAGTGTAGCTACGTCTTGAAGGCACCTCCTTACCCCTCGACACTCACTTACCTCCCATCTCTCTCCCTTTGCAGATACGAGAACGATGTCTCGCCAACCCGACCAGACTTGTACGAGTCTGGTAATAACTACATCACCTCGGCCGACCAGTTCCAGGACATGATCGACGCATCACCCGGTGGTGTCGTCACGCTCGACAGCCTTGGCACATACCGTGCCCAGCGCTTCGCACGCCAGAAGGCACAGAACCCATACTTCTTCAACGGTCCATTCACTGGTACCGTCGTCCAGCCTGCCGCGTTCACCTTCATCTACCGCTTCATGGCCAACCACAGTGCTGAAGATCCCATCGGCACCCTGACCTACGATGTCCTACAGAACTGGTTCGGTATTCAGGGTGAGAATGGAGCATACACCGCGCCTTTTGGCTGGGAGAGCATTCCAGACAACTGGTACAAACGTTCCTTAACGGCTCCTTATACCATCGAATACTTACTTGGCGATATTGTATGTCTCCAGAAACCATGCTCATCATTGTTGCTGGAGATCAACTGCTGACTTTCTTTCGTAGCTCAGCGTCGCTGCTCTGCACCCCGAGCTCCTCGACATCGGGGGCAACCTGGACGGGAAGGGCAACAACTTTGCTGGCGTGGACCTCAGGGACCTCACCGGTGGAGTCTACAACAGCGGCGATCTCCTCAGGGGCAACAACCTGGGTTGCTTTGGTTTCCAATCTGTCGCACAGGAGAAGGGCGACCTCCTCTCCGCCCCTGTTCTCACCCAGCTGCAGGACCTGCTGGGAAGCGTCGTGTCGCAGCTGGGCTGTCCGCGACTGGAGAGGATCGACAAGAAAGAACTGGAGCAGTTCCCCGGCTACATGAGGGCACCTGCATACAAGAACAAGGCAAGAAAGAGGGAGGTTGTCAATGGCGAGCTTCACTAGATGTGGTGAGAGGGGATCTGGTGGGAAGGATGGAGTATCTTTGTGATGGTGATGCATCAGGATCGATGCAAAGTCTTACGAAAGTGAGTAAGGCGTGTATAGACGTCGACCTAAGGCGTTGTGCTGGTATGCATTCGGACTCCTTTCCCCACTCTCCAGCACTTTCTTGCAGCAAGAGGAATGTGTCCGCACAGCGGCACATTTTTCTAATCCCACTGATGAGATGCTCCTTTGTCAAATCGTCCTTCCTCTGCTGTTCCTTCCGTGTCTTCTCCGTCAACGAAAACTTGTACAACGGTCTTCGAGCAGAGGCGTAGCAAGAAGCATCAAGTCAAAAACATCGCTTTAGAGACGTGAGATGGACTTTGCGAACAGATCATAGTTGATTCAGGTACCGCAGGCTCCGGTATCCTTATTCGAACGAATCGAGCACCTTTGAGTTAATCAGGCCTCAGATATCAATAGGAATCCGACGACGGGGCCCCGAACGCATCAATGGAACCGACAGATACCTCGGTCGCGCTGAACAGTACTGGGAGGCAGTTCAGCCATGATTCTCATCCTATGGTACCGCGCCAGTGGGCCGGCCAGAATACGATGACTGGGAAAAAGTCGGTCATCTTGGGTGGAATTGGACATGGAGATCGCTGCAATCGAGGGTTATAGCGGGGCGCGAAAGGGTAAGGTATCCAGTCAATTCTTCCGCACTATTGATTCACCCTGGTCTCTGCGGTACAATATCCTCTCTCTTGCTCGCGGGACGGTGCACATTCACAGCAGTTCCATTTTTGACCGACTGGTCATCGAACCCAAGTACCTCTCCAACCTCCTTGAGTTGGCAGTCGCATCACGCTTACCAGTACGGCGACTCTGTATCATCCCGTCGGTAACTGTACGATCAAAGAAAGTTGGAGGGGTAGGGCATCTATCTGTATTTGAAGGTCAACAGGACGAGCAATCGGATAGTGGAGGGGTACTGTGGATGAAGAGAATGCAACGATTGGCATCTCCAGCGCTAAACGAGAAATACAGAAGATCTGACGGATTTGAACGGGACAACATCGAGACATGGCCGAGCAGATCGAAGATCGCAACCTCAGCCTAGCCACTCTCAACAACTTCTCCAGCTGCTTTCCCTCCAGCCTTCCCATTCAACTCCAACTCCAACTCGGGAATCTCGTTCTCAGCACGCTCTCTCTCAGCACGCTCTCTCTCAGCACGTTGCCTCTCCAGCTCCACTCTTCCAGGTGGTCGCCTCGCAGCAACCGCCCTCCGCCCTCGGAGCCCCAACACCCTGAGATCCTCATGAAGACAAGCCGCAGGACCGTGTGCTCCAGAGGTAGAATTGACACTCCCATCCCTTTTCCCCATGCTAGGTTGAGGTTCTTGTGCTGATGTCGGTGGATTCGTTTCAGTGGCGGAATAAGGCAAGGGAACGCCAGTGGGCAGATCATTCTTGTCGCTTCTTGAAGTCGGTACTTGCCATTTCTGTCGAGTCGCGCCGTTGTATCCTTCCATATCTGGTTCAGAGGATTCCGAAAAAGGGTCTGTGGCGCTTCGTGTAGCTGCGTTGGGATCGAGGAGTGGCAGGGTGACGGGGGGCTCGTGTTGGAGCTGTTGGGTGGTAAGAGGAGAAGGTATCTGTAGTGGTAAGGGAGATTGTCGCTGTCTCCATGATGGTGCAAGAATCTAAGAGGATACTGCTTTGTACATGATGCAGAATAGTCACTTGCCAGTCATTGTCCGTTAGCGGTTTGGTAGTCATCAGATCGTGGGAGCAAACTATGCAGTCTGAACTGGAGCATGACATGCACACGTGGAGGACGAGAAACGCACGGAAAATAGCGGGCTTCGTTGTGTGTACGCTGCGGACCTTTCCATATGGACCAGTACGCGGAGCTTCGGAATTTTGGTTGACTCTGTAGGAATAGAACAGTTGCGAAGGGTCTTCAGCTTGCCATGGGGGGATTCGGCTAGTCTTTAATGGATCTCATTCGCATGACTCTAGGTAGCAGACCTCAAGAAGGACACCTCTGGCATCGACTGCAGCCATCGCTCAAGGAAGCAGAGTCCTCAGACCCGTATCCCGAAGCCGGCATCAGGGAAACCTTCTCATAGCTATCCTTCACTTTTCCCTTCTTACCAAATCTGAACCACCTCGAAGCCTTCTGCCAGGTCGACAGGTCCGTGTCATTCCTCTCCTGAACCCCATACTTTTCCTCGACATCAGAGAGGCTCTCAACATCGCGGAGGCTCTCAACATCGACCTGCCATCCTCCTTCAGCGGGCTGATATGAATCATACAGCTCCCCCAGACCCCTCAGACTCTTCGAGCCAAGTGTATCGGACGAGGCTTTGCCCGCGACGATAGTGGGAATGGTGATGAGATCCGTTGCATGCTGGGTTTGGGTGGACATAGGCAACCAAGGCCGAGCTTTAGTTTGGAGAGGCCAGTCTTGGGAACTGGAATAGCTTTCACGGCCGACGAGCCCGCTGCTTCCCAGACCAATTTGGTGCTCCTCATCGTACAGATCTTGCGCGTCCTTCAGAGCCTTGCTTGAGTCAGGCAAGTCACCTCCGCGCGTCTTTTGGCGCCGCTTAGACCTCGCGAAATTGATATCTTCTTTCATCATGTCACTGTCACTAGTCTCGACTGAAATTTCCGGAAGAGGTTTCTCTTTGATCAGAGCCGCTTGTGCTGAGATTGAGTCCATTGATAATATCGTGAGCCTGCGTGGTGATACAGGAACGGCTCCTCGGGTTCAAAACTCTTTGTCGAGAAGGGTGCCAAAGCATAAGAGATCCACAGCGAGTTGAGTGAGCCCTTCTGCTTGATACGGCTGCATCCTCGTGGCAGTCATCCACCACTGCAAACAGGTCCTCGGGCGCATGCGCGCCACGTCGACTCTCAGTGATCAATCAACCGCGCCAATCTGAAGTGGTAATGCCATGTTGCTCTACTTGTCGGCTTCCTGGGTGGAGCTGTCGACTCCTTTCTTACCTCTGGCCTTTGGCAATGCGTGAGAGTACACATCTTGACCTATCCGCACCTTCACCTCATTGAAGGGAATCTCCAACTTGCTCAAGGTATCAAGTGATTCTGCGGGCAATCGTTGCTCCATTGTTCCGGTCGGCTTGTACTCCTCGGCGAGGTGTGAATGGAGGGACCAGGCAATACTAATATGGAAGCTGTCGTGAGTTGGTCCATCGTATTGTCGCATGCTTTTCGCGGTGGTCTCTTGGTCGGGCTGGTAAAGCAATGGCTGCTTGAAGCGGTCTGCAAGATCGTTGCAAGCCTTCAGCAAGTTTCGCAACTCATCTCCCTCTGGCCGGCGCAAGCGAAGTACTAGGAACCAGCGGGTGCGGTCTTCGTTGGCGTGCCACATCAAGTCGAGAGGTCTCACGGTGAAGGTGCGTACGCTAGTTGCGGCAATAGCTGATTGTATCTGAGGAAGAAAGCGGTCCTTTTGGACCGTCTTCAATGCCAAGGGCCTGGATAAGGAAACGTGTAATGGCAGCTGAACTCCGAGGTCGTTCTCCAGCAAACTACGAAGGGCGTTGACTGTACTATGTGCCCCCGCTGCCGTGAAGGATTGTCTGACTTGCGCGACCAAGTTGGCCAAGAGCTGAGATTCCGGTTTGTTGGGGGACCCTCCTGTTGATTAGCTCTCCCGATGCGAAGAAAATGATAGGAGAGAGAGAGGGAGGGAGAGAGAGGAAGAGATTCACTCCTTACACTCGAGATAGACATGGGTTGGCCAATTGCCCACGACATGCGGAATCACCCTCTTGCGCCCAGCATGAAGAGACGGGTCATCTTGGGTAGCGGTACGAACAGTGGAAGAATACAGATCGCGGAAAGCGGCGGGCAGAGGAGGCAGTGTCGATGATGTCTCGGCCCCTGACAGCCGTCTCTTCGTGGCGGGCGGAGGGCGTGGACTGTTGTCGGGCTGGTCTTGGTCGTGGTCGTGGTCGTGGTCGTGGTCGTGGTCGTGGTCGTGGTCGTGGTCGTGGTCGTCATCCGAGTCGGAATAGTCGACGAGGCCCATGTTGCCGTACAGCGGCGGCGGCGGCGGCGGCAGGGCAAGTGGTACGATAAGTGGTAGGAAGGACGGAGAGTTCTCATTGTGCCCGACGTCACGGGGATGATTACTGAACACGTGACCGGGGGTGGTGACTCGGGATTGACGCGTGTATCGGAGGGTGTGCACAGTCCGGGCGATGATCCGACGTGGGTGAACATGCGGGCGGCAGTGTGGCAGGGCACAAATAATGCGAATTGTGAGTGAATGGTGAATGAGATGAGAGGTGTCAGCCTGCAGGGTCTCGGCGGTCCAGGCCCGCTGACGTAGGTTTCCACTTTCGGGATGCTGGCGGAAGACGTGACGGCCACCTGCCGCGTCACATACCACGTCCTCTTACCTCTTATCCTGTTCCTGTGCCCGTTCCCGTCCATGTTCCTGCACATCCCCATCTCCTCCTACTCAATTCACACCTTGTCCTTCACCACCATATCCGCATTGCGGCGCGATTGAGTATACACTTCAACCAACAATGGCTCAAGCAATGGGCTCCAAAGAGTAAGCCGAGCAATGCGAGGTCGAGCACGTGGAAACAAAGCGACTGACGCCCTCTCCAGAGCGGCTGCCTACCTGATCGACCCAATGAATGCTCCAGAACCATCCCAAGAGACCGGTCCTGGAGCGCACTTCGGCAGTACCTTCACCCAGCGCCAACCCACTGGCACATCCACCACTTCGTCCCAACGCTCTTCTTCTCTGGGGTCAAATAACCCATTCCGCAATGTCTCCAACACCCAGACCTCGCCCAGACATTCTCCATCCAACTCCAAGAACCGCGTCAGCAGCTCTTCTCGTCCGATCAGCAATAAGGGCAGCCCTCCCCGTGCCTTCCCAGCATACCGCGCGGAAGCATTCGGAGACTACCACGACGCCCCACGACGCCGCTCTGGCAGTCAAGGCCGCTCGCCTCCTTCCTACAACGATGCCACCTCGGGCGCCCAACGCCATCGTCGCCGCACGAGCTCCCTGAAGGAACGCTATCCGGGCGATGACAGCGTTCACCCACTTGACGTGATCAGGAAGAACAGCAAGAGAGCCGATCGCTCTCCACACTTGAAGAAGCGCCATCAGCCAGGCGCAGACACCATCGATCGTTTGGATCCAGCCATTGGCGGACGTGCATACCACCACGAGGGGCCGTATGACGCAGCACTGCTTGCTAGGAACAGCAGTTTCGAGATTGCGCCCATTGCAGCACTGCAGTCGAGCAACGAAGAGGCATTGAAGGCCACTCCGCAAGAGAACATTAGGGATGCTGTGGAGCGGCACAAGCCTTTGGATGGTGTTGCTCAGGTTCCGCCTGGCGTGCCCGATCGCCTCGGACGTACATACAACTATGAGGAAGGAGCCGACCTGATGCGCGAGGAGAACAGTGACGGCCCAGGCTACAAGCGCTGGCCTGACAAGGTGAGCATTGCCTCACCTGGGCAGATTTCTTTGCTGTACTAACGACGCCATCAGGAGTACGACCCCAGTGACCTCAAGGGACGCGGTGATCTTTCCTACGGCTTGGACAAAGCCCTCAAGGCACACAAGATTAGTGACAGTGGCATCGAAATGGTCGAGGGAAGCCGCCTGAACCGCGACTACGACCAGGCCAAGCGTCATGGCAGCCTTGACGGCCGCGACCCAATTGACATTGCGGGTGGTGAGAGCAGATACGTCGACATGCAGTTGGCCAACGCCAAGGACAACGACATCAGACGCAGCAGCAGCCTTCGCCAGGGTCTCAAGAAGCGCATTGGAAGCTTGCGCAAGAAGAACCGCGACGAGTAGACTTGAAAATGCTGGAAGACTGAATGATGGTGGAAACTTCTCTAATGTGTTAGTATGATCACGGCTTGTATGACGATTTCGGCATGGTAGTATATGGATATAGAGAGCGCATGTCAGAATGCCAAAATGATATCGTTGAATATACAAAAACGGATTAGCCAACAATTATAGCTGCTTGTTTTCTTCCCAGCCCAGTATACTTGCATTTGCCTCCATGTAAGTGTCTAGCGCATTGGCATTGGATCGTTGAATGTGAGGTGGCCAAAGCTTCGGCCCGAAACGACCTCTCTCCGCTTGAAGATCCATAGCGACCGGTACTTTTCCACTACAAATCTAGAACATCTCCTCCTCGTCAGACCATGCTATGACAGGTATACAAATCTCACGCGTCCGGCTTCTTCACGCCTGACAACCTCTCCGCAATCTTCATCGCAATCCCCTCCCAGTACTTCTCGTTGACAGTCCTCCAATCGGTGCAGTCACTGGTTTGGCGGAGAATCTCCATAAGCTGGAAGAGTCTGTGAAGATCGACTGCCTAGCCCTAGGGCAGATGGGTCTTGTGCGCGTCTAAAGTAAAGAGGAGGGCTCCATGATCTTGCTCGCTCCGTGCCTCCGCCTGTTCGGTCATTGTCGACCTGCCGTAATTCCGTTGCCATCGGTTCGAAATAGTACAGCAATCCAGTAGCGTACAGGTACTCGTACGGATCGGGCACCATCAATTGCAATAATGTGTCCAGGCATGCGTGACAAAGCCCCTGAGAATTTCAGAGAGTACAGCGTCATACGCTACCGTCACCCATCATGCTCTCAAAAGACCAGACCTTCTCTTTAGGCGGCTTGAAAGCTGCGGCGTTTGGACTGCCCGCTATGGTAGCAGGCTCTTGCTCCTCCCGCTCCTTATCATTCGCTTTCACACCATCACCCGTGTCTGGCTGTTTCATTCCAAGTCTAGCCTTCTCCGGGACATCCTCGCCAAGCTGTCCCTTCCAGTACTCCGGATCATACCCGTCCACAAACTGCGTGTATTGTGCTCCCGCCCTGATCCAACCTTTCATCCCGCCTTCGAGAACCATGACCTGCATATCATCATCTTGTGCTGTGTTCCGAACATGGTCCAGAAACCAAGCAGCGCACCTGGCCCCTCTACTGCCCTCTTTGCAGCTGCCGCAGGTGAAAACGACCCATTCCATGTCACTTTTGTAGGCCAACTCGTAGAGAATGCCGCGATTCCACCAGAAGCCGTGCGCCGGAATGTTGATGCTCCCGCGGATGGCACCGCCTTCGTAGTCGGTCCGGCGAACATCTACAATGAGCATGCTGGCTATCTTCATCGATAGGACCATAAGCGCCCGCCGTTGGGGAAAGACATCGGCGGTCATCGTGGGGGCTGGGAAGGCGGCGTGCCATGGCTGCTGCTGTTCGGAAGCCATGACCAAGCTACACCTCACACAGTAGTTTACGGTGCTGATGTATCTATCTCGGTGAGAAAGCTACTGGTGTAATATGTGATGACTGACTAGGGACGATCGAGGCACCCACTCCGGATAAACAATGATCCAGAGACTCGGGTATCCGGGAAGTCAACCGGCTCTCAACCTTTTCACAACTTCTCCTGATGCGATGGAAATCAGCACTTCGTTCCGTGTTATACTCCGGTACGGCAAGAAGTCTGTCTTCATGGTATCGACCGAGGGCTAACCGGTTGACGCGGAACTCACATCACGTCTTGGTCCCGGGCGCGGTCGGAGATGAGATACGAGCATGTCAAGACTCCTGCAGGCGACCCACTCGAGCACTACTGGATAGAGAAGTTGACAGCTTCATGAGGGGGAGACTTGAACGTCAACAAGCAGTCTTTGTCCTCTCAGCATGGTTCTGACTATGGCATGAGATACCTTAACAGCGCGTGGTTGGAGCAAGACTTGAAGCGGATCTCGGGCCATTTTGGAAAGCTGGACTATGGCTCACGGCTCCTCTCTGGACAGGAGCCTTCGGGATGAATCAAATGCGGACTGCGAGCGCTCAACCAGCACAAAGGATCACAGTCCGGACGCCTAGTCGACATCGACACACATTCCACCAACATCTCCGGTGTCGCTAGGGATGCCGGAAAGAGGATCCACCTTATGCAGCTGCCCTCCTCCAATTTTCAGGCGATGCCACCATGAAGAAATCAGGGGTCAACCGGAAGATACTTGCCGTTGCATCGCAGACCTCCATGCTTGCCACCTTTGCTTGCTGCGCGTTTGCGCACTCCAGCCTTTATTATGCTGCCAGATCATCTAGCCGAGCCGCGGGAACTCGAGCCGATTGACTAAATCCTGACGACTTGCGAGCAGATCACTATCGCAGAATCGATCAATCAAAGCACGGAAAGTTTCCATATCACGCCACTCGGTGAGCTTCGGAGGAGCTGACTGCTTGCTTTACACCACGACAGTTCCCAACGGGCCAGACCTGAAGAACTGATGCATTCATTGAAGAAGACACAGTATTCATTTAATGCCGATGGTTACCGAGAGAATTAGAGGGAACCGATGGAATCGTCCGTGAGCGATTCTATAAGAGGGCCCCGCCAGGATAATAAATTGGTTACAGGCCAAGAGAGCGGCTCGGCATACCGCTATTCAGGGGTTGAGAGTGGAAGACTGGATGTATTGGGTATGTCAGTACTAATCGCACACTGTTGATTTGTCATCATGCCACGAGGACCACCTTTTTCGCGAAGGATCCACATCTACTGACGGAGTGTGTTCGATTCTGAGCTGAGGTTTTGTGGGTCGAACAAGTGCGCGTGGTCGACGGAAGCGCTATCATGCCGAATCAATGGACATCTCACGAGGTGGACTTCCGACTCGGGTGGTGCTCACGAGAGGGTGTACTGAGGTCCTCGGAGAAATGGGCTGCGGTGAGAGGCAAGCAAGGTGGGAGAGACGCAAGGCCCGCAGCAGCAGTGCGGCTCAAAGAAGCACAAGGGTGCACGATGAGACGCATGGCTCTGGTTGTGGAGTAGTCAGACTGGATCTGCAAGATCGTTCCTGTGGCGACACGTCCGTCGTTCCTTGCTGCGCTCCATCAACAACCTGTCGCAACGCGGAGGGGGGGGGAGCGACTGTCGCAGTTCACTGTGCACGCTTCTACGCGCCGCATGGGCGCTCTCGGACATCCCAAACCGACGATGAATTCTCCGTCGAGACTCCGAAGCGCAACCGATGCAGCGGGCCGCAGGAGGCGTCCATCAGTTTTGCACCATCTCATTACTCTATATCCTTGCCACACGCAGCACCCACTGTGCACCACTCGAGTAGACTACTGCACGTGGTGGACAGGAGGATGCATTTGTGCATTGAGAGCTTCTATCTTGAGCACCCGCCGTACCACGACGCTTTCCATGACGACGAGGGCGGGAGTCGGCACGCGAGAACTGATACGCTCGAGGCTGTATCCTAAACGCCCATTGTGGTCCACCGCCCGTGGCGACTCTGCCAATACAGGGCGCCCTGTCCCGCACGGCATAGAAAGAAGCAGCGTTTGCTCCTCTTTTCTCTTTTGTTGTAGGTCTCCCCTTTCCACCTCCGCCTCTTCTGTAACCACCTGCGCATCCCTCTCTACGCCTCTTTGATAGCTACTTCGTCTTGGCTCTTGCTTTTGGGTTCGTTCACCATGCGGTTACACTCCATCTTTAATTTGGCCGCCCTTGTGGCGCCAATCGCCGCCTCGGTCCTACCAAACAATGAACGGTTACACGCGGCGAGAGACACGCGAGCAACCGCGTTCACACCAGCCAAGCCCATATCCTTCTCGAGAAAACGAACGGAGCCGGCATCATTGCAGGCACGGCAAAGCAGCAATGTCCAGGTGGCCTTCGATGAACTTGTTACAACCGTCTGGGGCGAGAGCGTGATGGTGATTGGATCTATCGATGCTTTGGGTAATTGGGATACTTCAAGCGGACTATCCCTCTCTGCCAGCCAGTACACGGCCGACCATGCACTCTGGAGCGGTACCGCGAGCATACCTGCAGGCACATCCTTTCAGTACAAGTACATTACGATTGGAACGGATGGAACCATCACATGGGAGGCGGATCCAAATCACTCTTACACTGTGCCCAGCAGCGGCTCCAGTGCCACCATTTCAGACTCGTGGCAAAGCGGTTCTACGACGACCACGACATCTGCTGCTGCATCAACATCGACGACCGCAGCGAGAGACACTGGCTGTACGAATGGAGCGACTTCTCGCAACTGCTGGAGTGATGGCTACGACATCAATACTGATTTCGATACCGACTGGCCAACCACCGGTCGAACTGTGACGTACGATTTCACCATCACCAACACCACTCTTGCGCCTGATGGATACCAACGTCAGGGCTTCGCCATCAACGGCCAATTTCCCGGTCCGACCATCTACGCGAATTGGGGTGACACTATCCAGGTCACGGTCACCAACCAGTTACAGAACAACGGGACTGGGATCCACTGGCACGGCATGCGCTTGTATCATCAGAACTCTATGGACGGAGTGCCTGGTGTGACCGAATGCCCAATTGCGCCAGGCTCAAGCAAGACCTACACGTTTCAGGCCACTCAATATGGCACTTCCTGGTATCATTCGCATTTCAGCGCGCAATATGGCGATGGTGTTTGGGGTCCCATGGTGATCGAGGGTCCAGCTTCTGCAGACTACGACATCGATCTCGGTCCTCTACCCATCCAAGATTGGTACTACCCGGGCATTTACGCCACGGCGGCGCGCGCAGAGCACTCCAACGCCCTCGCTCCCACAGCCGACACAGGCCTCATAAACGGCACGATGGTGTCCACATCGGGTGGCGCCTACGCCCAGACCATCCTCACAGCCGGCAAGGTGCACCGTCTCCGCCTCATCAACACAGCAGTCGACAACCACTTTATGTTCTCCCTCGACGGGCACACCCTGACCGTCATCGCCGCCGACTACGTACCTATTGTTCCTTACAACACCACTTGGATCTTTATTGGCATAGGCGAACGCTACGATGTTCTCATAACAGCCGATCAGTCCCCCGGCTCGTACTGGTTTCGCGCCGAAGTACAAGACACTGCCGGCTGCGGCAGCAACTTTCAAAACGGCAACATTCTCTCCATCTTCTCCTACGAAGGCCATGAATCCGAGACGCCCAGCAGCAATGCAACCTCTTACACTCAGCGCTGCACAGACGAAACGCAACTGGTCCCGTACTGGAATTCCTACGTTCCGCAGGGAGATATCCCCGACGAATTCGAAGTCCTCGACACTGCCATCAACCAGAGCACCTCGGCCGATGGCTCCTTGAGCCTCTACTGGCAAGTAAACGGCGTGCACCTCGTAGCAGACTGGGCGGACCCCACATTGTCCGGCGTTCGGTCTGGTCAATCGACCTGGTCTAGCGAATCCTCCATCATCAGCCTCAGCGAAGGACAATGGTCCTACTGGGTGATAACAGAGGGAACGGGCTCTCCATTCAACGTCAATATCCCTCACCCCATACACCTACACGGCCATGACTTCTACGTGCTCGGCTTTGGTACGAGTGCGTGGACATCCTCCGACAAGAACAATCTCAATTACGAAAACCCCCCTAGGAGAGACGTGGCCATGTTGCCGACGAACGGATGGTTGGCCCTGGCATTTTATAGTAATAACCCTGGGGCTTGGATCATGCACTGCCATATCGTGAGTAGCTCAAATGTCTCCCGAAACCCCAATCAATGATTGGATTGCTAATGAACTCGATAGGCATGGCACGCCGACGAAGGATTTGCTGTCCAATTCCTCGAATCCCAAGACACGATGTTGAAGGTCGACTCTCTACCATCAGATTACGACAGCCAGTGTGACTCTTGGGACAACTACTACCCGTCCTCGGCTGCATATCTGCAGAGCGATTCGGGAATCTAGAAATCGAAAAAAGTTTTTTTTTTGTTTTTTTCAAATGTTTAATGTAAATGACGATCAGGAGGAGACGAAGAGCCCGCGCTGTCCACTTGTGGGCCAGAGAGATGGGATGTTTCAGACATGATGATCCTGTAGCGGATGATACCAAATAGATAGAGCAAGTCTCAGGAGAGATGCCCATACTTGGCTGACCAAAGGATCAAGTAAACCTATGAATGGAAGGCGCTTGATTCCAATGTCCCTTTGAATCTGAAAGAGCTATTTGAGAGCGTGACGATGGCCTTTACGAAGTTCAAAGAGCTTTGGCCGATTCTCACGCTGCTATAGCTACCAAGATACGCCATTATCGATTATGATCCATTGTCAGCAGCCCCCCTGCCATCTCATGTTCCACAAAGACCTAATCATCTCCATAATCTTCCTCCTCTTCATCATAACCATCATCATACTCCAGCCCCCCATAATACCCTCCATGCTCCTCTCTCATATGCGCATATATGTCCTTCTCATGTTGCCTCTCCCCGCAAAAGAAGCACCAATGTACCGAGCACTGCGTGCACTGCACATGATCACAGCCCCCAATCTTCTCCGTCTCGATCCCACAACCCGGGCAATGCCTAGTCTTCCTCATCCTGCCCTCGCTCACTCGACACTCCTGGCAGGTAAAGTTTTGGACCTCTTCCGGAGCACCCGCAGCACAGACCCGTTCGATGTATTCCTTTGCGTATCCGCAGCAGTGACACCACGCGTAGATCCACTCTCCGCTACGGGCGACAGCGTCAGCTAAGCCGCCAATGGCATGCACACCCCGTCCGCAACGGGAGAGTGTCTTGGCGGTCGGGGCACGTCGACAGAAAGGACAGTGTAGAGCCGCGGTGTTGATGATCCGACCGGCTCGGTTGAGACCGTACCAGCCGCCCAGACAAGCCTTGCATACACGCTGCTGGCATCCAGAGCGGCCGCACGCCGGCAATGAAGCGTCCTTGCGGAGGTTGCCGAAGCACAGCGAGCAAGTCGCGGATTCGGTACGTCGGCGGAAGATCCAGGAATACAGCTCTTCTACAAGGGCGAGACTGTTGTGCAGAGGCTTGCCTTGATATCGCAGTCGTACGTCTTTGGCGTCTCGCGCTGGGAGAATCCTCACTCTGTCGCAAAAGTCGTCCAGAGGCACAGACGTTGACGCTGCGTTGTACAGTGAGCGGCCATTGAACGGCTGCTTCAGCTTCTGATCCTCATTCTGGAGAAGCCAGTCCTGCCCGTTCTCTTCACGCAGTGCATCGGCGGTAACTTCCAGCTCGACGATCGTCTCCTTCCCGTCCTGGCAGCCAGAACACGTGAAGTGGTCGGAATCCTCCTCAGATCGATACTCCTCTGGCCAGATGGTCCGACTGCAACACTTGATGCATTCGACGACTGGGGCTCTCTGTCCTTCACGACAATAATGGCACTTGGGACGCACATTGAGCCCGTCGACGTTATAGACCACGTACTGCGCCCGACACTCTCGTACAGAGCATTCATACCAGTAACTCCTTGGGATCCCATCCACGTTCTTGCCCATACCAATGTGGATGTCGTATGGCTCCTCCTCGTCGTTCTTGTTGCACCAGCAAGGTCCACAGATACCTTCAGATCCCATGACAGTGACCGACCGAGGGTACTCACACGACTTGCAAAGGATGGTCTTCCCGCCCCTGATAAGACTCTTGTCCGGACGCCAACCAACCTTCGCGTGCAGAGTCGTCTTCAGATTCATCTCCAGCATCTTATACTCCACAAGCCTCTTGAAGAGATCGCGATCCTTGTCCAGGAGTATTCCCTTCACGTGCCTCCTTAGATAAGCCTCGTCCGCATCCAGGAGCAGCGAAAGACAGCTCGTATTCCACGTCTCCGGAATTTCAATATTGTTCCATCTGTCTCGCCAAAGCAACATTTCCGTCTCAGCTGCTTGGACGAGCGGCTGGATACCCAGTCGAATGGCAAGCGCAGCGAGCAAAGCACCCGATCTACCTCCCAACATAGTCCCAGGAACGACAATATGCAGCAGGATCTTCCAGAATCGTCGCCCGTACCGTTTGTCCGCTAGAGCCATGGGAATCTTCGTAACATCAGAACCAGAAAGATGAGCAGGCATCGTCTCGGCCGACTCAATGAACGTCAACCTCGTAAGAACTCGTCCCAATCGTCTCAAGATCCTCCAATCACAAGAACGACCGATCTCCAGTAACTCGTCTCGCCGAAAAGTAGTAATAGGCTTGTGTTCCTCATCCCCCTCCTCATCTCCATCTCTCTCCATCGTGAAAGTCAGCGTGGGGTCCAAACACACACAAGGGAACCTCTCCGCCTCTTGAACAGTCTCAATCGTCTCCATAACTTCCGCAGTATAATCATAAGACTCTTCCAACCAAGTCTTCAACTTCGCCCGCTCATTCGCATCCCTCAATGCATCGACTTTGAGACCGAAGAGATTGAGCATGTCCTGTCGACTGTCATTCTCCCGATGATTGCAGAAAGTACGCCAGAGGCTTCCGAAGACCGGATTGAGGCTGATGGAAGTAACGTCCCTTTCGATGATGCGTCGGAGATGAGTCGTGACCAGAGCTCGATAGCGTTCGCTCTGTTTATACGTCGTGGCAAGATCCTGCAGCGGGGTGGCTTTCTTTGGCAAGAGAGCCTCCAGATTCTTCCTCGTGAGAGGGACTCTCAGAACATCGACCATGGCTTTGAATCTCTGAGGCCGTAGGTGCTCCGTAGCTCCCGGATCCAGTTCGCTCTGCAATCCGGTCATACCTATTGCTCCATCCTGGTAATGCGTGAACTCAGCCGGCAAATTGACTTCTCCCGCGCCCTCTTTCCTGACTCCCATCCAGGCCATAAGCATCTCTATCGTGGTTTCGGAAATTTCCCTGGGTTCGCTGCCCCTCAGCTGCAGACAGGCTCCATCGGTAGCAGTGCTGAGGAATTGATAATAGTGATCTTCCCTCCTGTAGCCTCTGTCCAGAAGACACATGACCTGTGCCATTTTCTTCCCGCTGCGCAGGGTACTCGCAGCACTCACCCAATCTGCGAACAAATGCCCAGTCCCTCCATAGCTTTCTTTCCTCAAGAGAGCTTCCTGCTCTGAAAGATCGTTCTTGTTTCCTGTGAAATATTCTCTCAGCTGACGGTCCTCCTCCACAAGACGGTAGGGTGATTCTATCGTGACATGAGATGAAAGAGCATCGTGCCCAGAGGAAAGGCCAAACATACCTGCGTACTCTTCAAGTCTAGCATGAGGCGGAGCATCCGTATAAAGCAATAGCAGCGTCTTCGCATCACTCCTCATAACCTCATAAGCTTTCGCAAGGCCCGTCTTCGTCGCTTCAGGATAGTCTCCTCCACCCGAGGCCACTAACCTCCCAGCAATATCGACCAGATCCGGCTGTTCTGCGTCATTCTCCATCAGCTCGACATTCATCCATCCAGACCATTCTAGCAGATCCTTGTCGCAGTAATCCCGATAGGCCAACAGTCCGATACGTTGGAAGCAATTCGTAAGTGCAGAAATGGAGATGATCTGAGGGAGAGACTGGCGCAAGCTGGCGAGGAAGCGAGACATGGAAGCAGTTGCGTCGACGAGGATCAGGAGGTCGATAGCTTCCGATGTCTCCATATTCACGTTACCAGAAAGACTCCTGGAAGGTAAGACAGCGGCACGAGGAACGACATTCTCCACGGCAGATTCGCCGGCCTCCGGCGCAGAAGTGTGGCAGGCCATTTCCATGTTTCCAATGAAGCTGCTGCCAGCGCAGAACAAGAAGACTTTAAATGTTTTCTTTGGTCCAAGTTGAGTCAATCCGGCAGCACGTGAGTCAATGCCTCCTTGGAGACACCGCAACTAGTCAATCCGGTTTGCACTCTGTCGTCGTAACAACGATCCCGAATACCGCGCCGAGTGGGAACAGGATCCTCGGTAGGTGGTGCACTGAAGTTAGCGTTGAGCGGCTGTCACCTATTGTTGGGAGCTGAGCCACAGTGGTAGCCAAAGAATTGTGAAAGGACAGCGAGGCTGTGATCAACGGCAGCTCCTGGCCGTGAGACCGCGAGCTATTTGCAGCCGCGAGCTCGGTGTCGCAGTGAGTCCCCTTCCTGATCGACAACTCTAAAGAGTCACCGTCGTGAGCCGATGAAGGCCAGACCCGCGGCAGAGCTGTAAATCCTTCAGCGCACAGACCCTTTAGAAGCAGACAAAACGACTACAGCAGCAGTCACATATTCATGATCAGATGGATATCATATACTTTGCGAACCTTTGTACACATTCTCGCTCTTTCATTCATCAATACCGGTCGTGGCCCGTTTTTGATTCCACTCGCGAACTATGACTGCGTCGGCATATTGACAGTAGCCTTCGAGCTGACTGCATCTTCGCTCCTCCACAAAGAAGTAACGGTCTTCTGCTGTGTGTAGAATTGAAGACCCGACTTGCCGTAGAAAGTGTTCGCACCACCGCCAGCAATCGACTTCTTGTTACCCGTGAAGCTGAACATTGGCAACGGGACCGGGATAGGAACGTTGATACCAACCTGGCCGGCTTCAATCTCTTTCTGGAATTTGGTTGCTGTTGCGCCGCTTGAGGTAAAGATCGCAGTTCCATTTCCGTACTCGTTGGCGTTGATGAGGTCGATGGCGTCGTCGAGGGTTGGTACGTTCAGGCAGACGAGGACAGGGCCGAAGATTTCTTCCTTGTAGCAAGTCATGTCTTTGGTCACATTCGCAATGATTGTTGGGCCGACCTAGATAATTGTGAGTTAATGAGCGTTCTTGAGGCGAATGGTACTGGGTATTCTCACCCAGTTGCCGTTAGGGTACTTGGCTGGCTTCTGCCCACGTCCGTCGAGCACAATGGTGGCACCTTCTTTCTCGGCAGAAGCAATGAGACCTTCAATCCTCTCCTTTGCTTGCGGGGAGATGACAGGTCCAAGATCAGCACCCTCCTCAAAACCACCGTTCATGCTCAGCGCCTTTGCTCTTTCAGCGATCTCAGGTGCCCAGTCCTTCGTTTCGCCGACGAACACGAGAGTAGACAGAGCCATACATCTCTGGCCCGCAGCTCCAAACGCGGCTCCTGCGATGGCGTTCAGAGCCTGGTTCTTGTTGCAGTCAGGCAGGACGGCAGCATGGTTCTTTGCGCCCAAGTTGGCCTGGACGCGCTTGCCGTTAGCACTGCCGCGAGTGTAGATATATTCTCCTGCCTTGTTGGAACCGACAAAGGAGATGGCCTTGATCCTTGGCTCATCGATGATGAAATCCACGGTCTTCGCAGCGCCATGGATGATGTTGACGACACCGGGTGGAAAGCCAGCCTTCTCAGCCAACTCAGCCAGGATCATAGCAGCACCAGGGTCACGCTCCGATGGCTTGATGACGACGGTGTTGCCGGTGATGGCCGCGATTGGGATGGTCCAGAGAGGGATCATGGCAGGGAAGTTGAAGGGGCAAATGGCCGCAACAACGCCCAATGGCTCACGGTACGAGCGAGTCTCCATGTCCTTTGCAACCTCCAACACCTCTCCCTGGATCTGTGTTGTAATACCGCACGCAGTCTCAGCAACCTGCAAGCCACGCAGAACATCTCCTCTTGCATCTGCGAATGTCTTGCCCTGCTCCAACGTGATGCTGGCCGCCAGACGATCCCAGTGCTCCCGGATCAACGCCACGTATTTGAACATGAGCTGCTGTCGGTGCAGCAAGCTCGTGGCCTTCCATGCCGGGAACGCCTTCTCCGCACTGTCCACGGCAGCCTTCAGCTCCTCGTCTGTTGATTGCGGGACGCGAGTGACGAGGTTGTTCGTGGCGGGATCGTAGAGATCGATCCATTGAGATGTTTTGGAGGCAATGAACTTGTTGTCGAGGAAGTTCTGGGTGTCCAGAGGTTGCTCTACTTTCTCGTGGCTGGTAGGGTAGGACGCTGGGGATGTCGCCGCGGTAGTCGTTGCTGCGAGGTGCTGGGTGGTGGCATGTAACCGCCTCACGGCATTCTGTCCTGCATTTGCACTTGGAGGCATCCTGCTGAGAGCAATTGCGCGTGGAGCTCGAGATACAGTCGGTCGAAGGGTGAGACTCTGAAGCGTTCGGCTTGAGAGGGCGCGGCGAGATGCCATTCTCGCAGTCATCCACTGAAAGAGACTGAGGGGAGGAGAAGTGCACTCGGAGAGTCAAGAAAGGCCCGTCGAGAGACTACGCAACTAAGTTCCCGGTCAGTGTGTAGCTAGTAGAGGATGTCGCTTGCTTCCCCGCCGCTGGATGGTTTTAGGCGGATGTGCACCCGAGGTCGGCAGAGCGGTGTCCTGGCCCGTGTGCGTATCTCCATCATCGTCACAAGCGCAGACTACTGTGACAGCCATTATTACAGCACGCTTGGTCTAACGTAATGGACGTTCACTTGGTGGAAGAGCGAAAACTGTAACAGCTGCAGCACCAGATCGGGTGTCCAGCGAAGACTGCTTACTCTTCGCCAAATCAACAGGGTAGGCGACCGCGAACGGGAGTCACACGATTAATTGTTGCGTTACTGTTTCAAACTGTGGCTTCTATACACAGCCCTCCGGTCAGCTCATTTCCGGCACTCTCATCCTCAGTCATCGACCGTAACGTAAGGCATATCAATAATCGCTGTGAGGAAGCTGTAGCCGAGCATGTTGCCTTGATCGCTGTCATCACTCCTCCGGTCTTGGGGCGGACGAAGCGCCCGCCTCTCCGCTCTGCTTCTTCTTCCTGTTCTCTCCCAGCTGCAGGAGGACCAGACTCACGTCTCGCGCCATCTCACCGGCTCGTCGCGCAGCCTCAGCGGCATAGATCGAGGCTTCAGCTGCGTTTCGTGCGAGCTGAGAGATCAATGTGGTCGTCTCTGGACTCTGCGGGTCCAGTTCGTTCGACTGGAGCATCTCCTGGATGTTGACGAGCTCCCGCGTCGCGTTGGCAATGTCGGGTCCCCTGGAACTACAAGCAGGTACTGGGCGCCCCTGTGGAAGCGGTATCCGGTCTCCACGGCCGCTCAAAAGGGAGTCAATCTTGCCTTCCAAGCGACTAATAGCTGGTTGAACTGCCTCTGCGGCTGCACCAGATATGATCTGGAAAGCATGGCTGCTCTCGGCTGGGGTAAGCTGCTCTGCTGACGCCTGAGCGGGTGGCTCGTCCGCTGGCGGAGCTGGCACGCTCGAAGCGCCAAGGACCTCGTGACGTGCGTCGTCCTGTGCACCGGCCTGCGTCTGCTCCTGCTCTTGCATGCTGTTGCTGCGATCCATCTGGGTCGAGTGGAGTGTCGGTGATGGCATGGACTTCCAGGACGCATCATCCGCCACAGTCGGCGATACAGGGCCGTACTCATCCTCGATGGCACGCCTCGATGCTTCTGCAGACTTCCTGCGCACCATCTCATCAACGTACGCCTCCTTGGCAGCCTCAATATCTGTGTCGCCAGCCTCGGAGAGGGGCGAACTCTCGCGTGAGACGTTGTCGGGCTGGTGAATTGGCCTCTTCTTATGAGTCTTCGTCGCCTTCCTCTTTTGCGAAGGATCGTAGCTGCCACTGTCGTCGTCAACATTTTCACCCCTCCGCCGCTTAGCTGCACGCTCGGCTTCTTCGAGATCCGCTTCAGCAGCCTCTGAAGATGTGATCGATTCCCGTCTCCGCTTCTGTGGTTCGTGACTGCCTGCTGTCATGGACTCGTTGTTTGCGTCTTCGCCCGTGCTCTTGTCGCTGCCTCGGCCGCTGACATAGGCGCTGTCAACGTCTCTCTCGCGCGAGCCCAACTGACGGGAGTGCAATGCACTGGTAGTAGCGGGCAGGTGCTGAACGCTTGGACTAGCCTTGGCTTTCGCCCCAGATCCTTTGATAGCCTTCAGTTTCCTCTTCGCTGTCCTGACATACTCTTGGAATTGCTCGTTCTGCGGTGTAGTCGCGCTTTGAGTGAGAATCGCTTCCAGTAGTATTCGAAGCTTCATATCGCGAAGAGCGTCCTCATAAATCTGTTGCACTGCGGCAGCCAAGTCATGCTTTCCCACCTGAATTGCTCGTTCTCTCGCCGCCTGAACCACCTTCTTCAGCTTCTCTCCATCGTATTCGAATTTTGGGTCTTCCGTCCTCGAGATGGAGTCCAACTTCCCATCATGCCTCGACGCGCTGCGCTTCAGCGCTTTCTTCTTCGTGGATGCCGCCTTCTCAGCCGCTTGCCTCTCTCGAACATGTTGCGCTGCCTTCGCCCTGTTCTCCCGCCTCACTCTGTCGATCTCTGCCACTTTGTCCCTGACTTTGTCTCTGTAAGCCGAAGGGACGATGCTGAACTTGTGATGAGTGTCGCCTATTCTGTCCATCTCCACCACCCAATGTGGAACTGCCATATCTTTCCACACAGTCATCCATTTGCCCATTAGCTCATCATACTCCGAACCAGCCTCGTAGCCCTTTCTCCGGTCCTCCTTGGGGTTGTTGTTTTCGTCGATCCAGATTGCAGCTTCCGCATCACAGAACTCCTCCAACTCCTTGCCAGACAGCTTGGGCGCACTTTCTGGAGCTTTGGGGTGCTTGAAGGTATCACTGATGAACTCCCAGAAACGACCGATATGAGGGTCAAGCAACCACTCCTTGGTGCTCAACAAGTGCTTGAGCAGCCGAGTCTTGTACTCGAGGGTATGTGGATGATTGACCGCCATTGGAGCGCGCGCGACGGGCGCAAAGAAAGTTCGATCACAGCACCCCGAGAATGAGTAGCTCTTGATCGGCGAGAGAGGGGAGTCAACGGTGGCTGGGAGTCTCGATCAAGCGGATATGAATTCGACGCAGGCCCGGTGGGCTGTAGAAATAGTGGCTGGAAGTGTCAAATGTCAGCGTCACGGGTGCAACTCCAGCTTCGCGACACGCGACACGCGACACGGCGGCAGCGACAGCGACAGCAAGAGCAACCTGGGCCATTCACTCCGGATGGAAGCGATGGAAGCGATGTGGGTTGCGGTTCAGGTTCACGTCCGTTATCGAAGGAGCTGAGATACTCCGCACGAGCTTCCCTTAGAATGGTTACAGCTACACGGCTGAGTAATAAGGGCGCAGAGGGGAAACGATCCCGAGGTGTGGACTCGGGAGGCATCTCCGTAGGTATCGTGACCTCACCTCAGCATCATCCATTGTCGACACACTCCCATCATATCGCCATATTGCTGCCCATGGCATTTGCAACGATGAAGTTGGTCAGGCAATGCAGGGAACATCTCTCTCAGAGTAGTCGTGAAGGCCACACGATCATACACAATGATGCGCTCTTGCGAGAAGCTCAGTGGCCATGTCGTCCGACTGCATCACCAGCGAATTGTGACGCTAGCCTGCAAACGCAGTATAACTAAATGTACATTCTCCATTCCTTCTCTCCTCTCTGATTCCAGAACCCATCAGCAGCAAGCTCAACACCACACAACTCAGCGACTCCAGACATCACGCCGACACTTCACCTCAACCACACCCAAGAGAGAATACAACATGGCATCCGACAACTCTCGCCAGCACAACAACCAAGACTTCCAGCTCACTGAGCTCTTCAACGTCAATGGAAAGGTCGCTCTGGTATGACCTCGTCAACCAAATTTTGTCGCTGTTCGCCAACTAACCTCGTCTGATAGGTCACTGGCGGTGGCTCCGGCATTGGTCTGATGGCCGTTCAGGCCCTCGCCGTCAACGGAGCAAAAGTGTACATCTGCGGTCGTACAGAGGAGAAGCTCGACACCGTCGCCAAGACATACACCCAGGATATCCCAGGTCAGATCATCCCTATCGTAGCCGACGTCTCGAAGAAGGACGACGTCAAGAAGCTCTACAGCGAGATTGCCCAGAAGGAGGAGAAGCTCGACATACTGGTCAACAATGCTGGAATCAGCACCACCACGGTCAACACCGAAGCCGGCAGCGCGGACGAGCTCAAGGCGGCCCTCTTCGACAACGAGGAAGTCACCTACGAGGATTGGGCTGCTGTTTACAGCACCAACGTGTCACAGATATACTTCATGACGACAGCTTTCCTGCCATTGCTGCAGAAAGCTGCTGAGAGTCAGCACGGATCGTCAGGCTCCGTGATCAACATCGCCTCCATCTCTGGCCAAGTCATGACCACTCAGCATCATCCGCAATACAATGCCTCCAAGGCCGCTGCCATCCATCTCAGCCGCATGCTGGCACACGAGGTGCAGAAGAACGGCCTGACCATTCGAATCAACGACATCTCTCCCGGAGTGTTCCCGTCTGAAATGACCACTCAGGAGAGCGGTGCCAACCAGAAGTCGCACATCCCAAAGGAGCAGCATGAGGGCAAAACTCCGGCTGCTCGCCCGGGCAATGACCGCGACATGGCTAGCGCTGTTCTCTTTGTGGCCACCAACACATTCCTCAACGGCCAGACCATTACTGTGGATGGTGGCTACACGCTTGTCGCGGGAAGATAAGGTGCAGGTATGGACACACTTGGCCAGCTTGGCGCAATGCGTACAAGCGAATGATGTGACGAGAGTAGTAGCAGTTGATGGCCTCATGACTAGGAAGATAGTACTGGTCAGTGCAGGTGAACATTGAGAGACTTCGACTCATCTTCCACTCCAGTCAATGATGTTTGCCACAGGTCGCCCGGCCTATTCCACCTGACCGTAAGCTGTAGGCTTCCTCATACCCATTTCATCCCCATCTTGTGCATCTCCACAGCAAGCTGAAACAAGTAATCCAGACTCTCCGCTTGTGTCTTGGCCTGCTTCACATCCTTTCCCCAAACATAAACTCCATGCCTCCTCACCAAGACCGCGCAACACTCGGGCCACGCCTCGATAGCCCTCTCCAACGTATCCTTCAAGTCCTCCTCATGGGCGGTGTTCTCGATGATGGGGATTTCCATCGTATCAAAGAAGCCCAGGTTTCCTGCCTTGCGGCCTCCCTCAAGAATCTCTGTGCTTCCAACTCCGCCGCGGGAGATGCCTTTTATCTGTTCAATCTCCTTGATGGAGAAGATGGCGTTCTGAGGCCAGTCCTGGGGCGTGGTCGAGGTCGGCGGAGCGAGCTGAAGGTTTTGCTCGCAGATCAGAGTTACGAGGACAGCCCATTGGGAGTGGGTGTGAATGCAGCAGCCCGCATTGCGTTTCGTGAAGGAGGCGAGGAAGAGGGGTGTGCAGGCGGAAGGTTTGAGAGACTTACCGTGTCAGCAAAGAGAGCTGGCAACGACTTGGAGAGCAAGGGAAGAGGAAGTCCTAGACCTACCGTGGGACGTCGTAGGTATTCTCCCGTCTGGAAATCCATTACGAACATGTCGGTCGGTCGCATGAGTTCTTTCTGGACTCCCGACGGAGCAATGAAGACGTGGTTGTCCTTTCGGATGGAGAGGCCGCCGCCGGTTCCTGTGACCCAGCCATGGCCGTAGAATTGGTGGCAGAGGGTGCAGATGTGGTTGGCGGGGTGGTGTGGATCGTCAGAGAAGATGAGAGCGTCAGCATTGTTGCCGTTTGCTTTCTTGGGTGCTGAGGCCATTGTGGTCGAATGGGCGCGTGTGCCTCCGGACTTGGTCGGATGTGGTTGATTGAGCTTAAATGAATTTCTCCGACGGATCAATTCCGCAGGTGGTCTGTGTGCTTGCCAGCGCGGGGAGAGGACGTTTCTGAACTTCCATCAAACAACCTACCTAGTACACACTGACTGTTCTCGTCCGATTTGCCGTCTGTTCTTACCGTTGGACTCATCGCCCTCCTGCTTGCTCACATCCCATCCAGCATACCTTAGATCCATCCAGCCCCCTGGGCGCACCGGGTTACACCAGGTTCAGTAAGGTAAACACGCATGTCACCTGGAAAGCCCTGGATATACCCTGGGAGCATGGTATCTATACAGATGCTCATGCAGCCATAAGACTACATGCGCAACTCACGCCTTTCCATCCAACTAACTCTTTCCATAACGGCGATGCGAACCTATTCTGGCATGGCTGGTGAACATACAGCTTCCGCGAACAAGCGAACTCCTGTCGAATGTTCTGCGCCTTCCGAAGTGCTACCGGTGTCGATATGTCCTGATGCTCCCTTCCATCCGTCATTACGTAGGCTTTCGCGGGAGACCTGCCGCATGCACCTCCGCGCCAGCAGATTGTCGGCGCCCCCAAGCGACATGCATTCAAAGAACAGTGCAGCCACCATCGATAGGAGCCAGCCTCGGTTGCCTTGACGTCGGAGCTCAAGACGACAAAGCCGCAGCTGTGATAGAGACAGATATATAAAGCTGGATGTGATCTTCCAATTTGGATATTAGTATCAAGCCTTTTGGGTCCTTTCAAAACAAGTCCTCTGCCTCACATCCACTTTCTCAACATGAAGTTCTTGTTGGCTATCCTCCTGGCTATCCTCTTGGCTCTGCCAGAGATCTTTGCAGTCCCCAAGATCATCCGTCGCCAGACTGCACACACTCTTGCAGAAAAATGGATCGCTCAGATCAACGAGGACTCGCCTTTGGCTTCGATCCTGACCACCGTTCAGGCTCATGCCGGTATTCAAGCCTGCCAACAATACAAGATTGAATGCTTCAAGGACCTCTCGTTCGACGGCGACGATGCCATGTTGGACCTGCTGGAGACTGTCGGTGCCATCAAGTCCATCTAGTCCGACCAGGTCATGCACACTACCGCGCGAGCTGGATAGCTTGAGGAGCGTACACCCACTTCGCAGTCCAATGCTCCATGGGGACTTGGCCGCATTTCTCACAGGTCGAAGGGCAGCAACACCTACGTCTACGACAGCTCGGCTGGCCCCGGCACTACGATCTACGTGAGTGGTGAGTACGCTTGAGTTGGTTGATGAGCCACAGTCAACGATACTAGACACTGGCGTTAACACCCAGCATGTTGAGTTCACAGGCCGTGCCCAAATGGTGTAAAATATGTGTCTGGAGAGTCTGCCACTGACGGTAACGGTCACGAAACTCATTGGTAACAGCTTTTGGTGTTCGCGATCTCTTATGCGTCTAACAAGGAGGTCAATAGCTCTGGTACTGCTGCGTCTCGCGCCTACGGCGTAGTAAGTCTGTCCCTCAACCCTCCACGGCACGGCCGCTGAAGAGCCGCAGGCCAAATCCGCTAGCATCATTAGTGTGAAGGTACTCGGCAGCGATGGATCGAAATCAAACTCGGGAGTCATTGCTGGCATCAACTGGGCTGTCAACGATGCGAAGGTGAAATTCCTGTCCAGACCACGGCCGGGCATTCTTACCTGACCTTCAAATGGAACAACGGTCGTACATCTTCCCCTGTCATATCCATGTCCCTCGGTGATAAATGCAACCAACAGACCAGTGATGCCGTTGCACAAGCCGTCAACTCCAGCAATTTTGTCAGTGTGGCTGCCGGAAATGACAGAGAAAATGCAAGCGGCTCCTCGACTGCCTCGGAGCCGTCTGTCTACACTGTCGGTGCAAGCGACATGAACGACAAATCTGCCAGCTCCTCCAACTACGGCAGCTTGGTCGACATTGTTGCACCCGGTGTCAATGTGCTCTCGACCCGGAACGGGAGCACGACTGCGACAGAACAATCTCCGGTACCTCCATGGCTACTCGCCAGGCATTTGGAGCATTATTATGATGAGTAGGCCGAGGATAGGCTTTGGAAGGTCAGTTGCGATGTTGTTGACGTTGCATATGATTGAAAGGCCCGTGCTCAACTGCCGCTAACGTTGCTGGGGCCTACTTGGAAGCGGATAATCTCATACATCGTGCAGACTCACAGCACTATGTGTTAGTTGACATAGGATAAGTCGATGGATGCAGATCGGTCGAAGCACATTTAAGAGTTCGGAGTCAACTGAAACGCGACGAATGATTACGAAAGCATGACGATAAAAACTCGTCCCGGACCTAAACGCAGCACGAGAAGTCCTAAGTCCGTTTCACGTATTTATCACGCCTACTCTCATTCTGAACCGCCGTTCATTATTGAAGGTGCTCGACCGCAAGACGACTCACAATCATGGCCGTTGACTACAACAACGACCTCCTACTCATAACAGCAGCCAGTGGTAAACAAGCCACCGCGCTACTCCCCCATCTGGCTCCCAGATTCAAACGCCTCCGCCTCCAGTGCATCTCAGACTCCTCCCGCAAACGCCTCCAAGAGGAATATCCCAATGCAGAGGCTATCCAAAGCGACTTCAGCGACCTCACCAAAGCAAAGACTCTCCTCAAAGGCGTAGCAACTTGCTACCTCATAACCCCAGCCTTCCACCCTCGAGAAGCCCAACACGGAATAAACATGGTCGACGCAGCCACCCAAAACTACCGCTGCGGAGAAGGACCCTTCAAACATCTCATCTTCTCAAGTGTGATCCATTCTTCGATCCGAGCAATGGCGAATCACGATAATAAACGCTACGTGGAGGAAGCGCTCGTAGATGCAGATATCCCGTATACAATCCTGCAGCCCACGCATATCATGGACACGACACCGATCAGGATGATTGCCGAGCAAGAAACCCCGGTCTTCAAAGCCAGATTCGATCCGAGGACGGAGTTCTCGTTTGTCTGTACGTATGATATTGGGGAGGCCGTGGCGAAAATCATCATGCACAGGGAACAGCACTTGTATGCTACCTACCAACTGGTCAGCACATCCGAGCCATTGAACTACGTGGAAGCGATGGGAATCGTTTCCCAAGTGATAGGGAAGACGGTCCGGATCGAGAGGTTGTCTGTGGACGAGGCGGTTGAAGGCTTCAGAGGTCTTATCGCTGCTGGAACTCCGGAACAGGACTCACAGGCTCTCTTGAGTAACGCGGCGAGAATGTTCGTTTACTACAATCGCAATGGGCTGAAGGGGAATTCGAACGTGTTGCAGATGTTGCTTGGAAGGAAGCCGTTGGAATATCGGGAGTGGGTGGAACGTCAGCTGAAGTGAGATATCTCTGAGACGATTCTCTAGGCTTCAGCTTGGTCATGAAACGTAGAAGCGCTTCTAACAGTTCCCGTCTTGTCTCGAAGAAGGGAAAGTGACCGCCGTGATCGCAGTGCCTGTAATACACTATGTTGTGCCTTCTTGGTTTCTCTCCGCCACGGCCCGCGGTTGAGGAGACGGGATCCGGAAGCGACAGTATTCCGACGGGTGTTTCGAATTCTTCCGTAAGGAGGGAGCACGTTACTTGCTTCTTCAAATTCCCCAGCATAGAGCCTAGTGCTGTTGCAGATACAGCATCATCTCGTCCAGCACGCCGTCCATCGAGTGGATGTCTTTGAAACTGCGACCGTGCGACAGATCAGACCAAGCATGGAAGGCTTCTGTAATCCAAGCTGCCACACCGACTGGTGAGTCTGTCATGGCGTAGCCCAACTCTGCAGGCTTATGAGAATGCAGTCGGGCGTAGGCGCTTCGAGGGACGCAACGACGCATTTTCGTCTGCTACAGATGCTCTCTCATCCTCACTGGCATCTGAAGGGACATATCCTGACTTTGGTGCGGCACCGTGGTGTCAACGCTGATCGTGATAGTCAAAAGCGAGTCTCTCTGCGACATGCGAGCGCCAGTCATCTCGTTGCGCTAGGTACGTGTCGTAGCCAAGATCTTTGATCATAAGCTCAGTTCAGATTTCCGCGACTGCTTTGGGCCGTAGAGGTCCGGGTGGGTAAGGCTTGTCGCCATTTCGTGGAAGCTGTGGAACGAATACGGCCAGCCGTGCAGAAGCAGGACAGGTCAAGCGTCCCACCTGGGCAATCCGGTGAGACTCATCTCATTTAAGTCGCGGTATTATTGACCACCATCAGTCGTAGAGCCAGTCGGTATCTTAGACTGCTGCCGATGAGGTCGTGTGGATGGAAGTAGCACTAGCCAGACGGGACAGCGACTTCTGGCTCCGGCTCTGGCTCTCGTCCCACTGCTTCTCTTGATGCATTGTGGTATGTTGCAATGGTTCGAAACCTTCACGAGCACAACAACATCCCACTTTCTCTCAATCTGCCCTTCTCGTCGCTTTCTATGCCTTCGTGGACATGACCATGGCCGCCCAGCAGCATTCGACCTGCCCAAACGAGCAAGTCGGCCGCCTCAATGAGCCGCGTCGATGTTCAAGCTCGCCTAGAACTTGGCGCGCGTGGTTGATATCGCCCTGCTAATTGGTTTCTCACCGCTCCGCCCGCAGGACGCAGTGCCGCCTCGACGACGCAGTGCTGCCGCGGAAAACAATAGTTACCACTGTCAGGAGAAGCTGGCACCTCGACGCACTACACTGCCAAGGCACGTGTTCAGCCCAGATCCCAAATTGCTGGCTGTAGGCACGATCCAGCTCCCTCTACAAAACGCGGCCGGGTCACCCATGGCACCACTCCATCCGGCCTTCCCCTAAGACAGTCGTCTGTCGCTTCAATCACCGATTCCCCGGCGACCTTTTGCAAAGCTGCCGACATGTTCTCGACGCTCGCTGCAGTGGCGACGGCAGCCTTCGCCAGTCTCGCTGCTGGATGCGAAGACCATGACTGGACCTCGCCAATGCTCGGGGGATATGTCAACCACGCGCTCATGTCCCAACATGACTTCGAAAAGCGCACGCAGCCTGGTGCCCTGCCAACACTGCCACAGCGCGTGATGGATATCCACTGGGGCCAGATCAACTTCCTTACGACCACTGACACGCATGGCTGGCTTCCTGGACACCTGCTTGACGAGAACTACTCTGCCGACTATGGCGACTTCGCCGATTTTGTCCGCAAGATGAAGACCAAGGCCGACGTGATGGGAGTCGATTTGTTGCTGGTCGATTCGGGAGATCTCCACGACGGGACTGGCTTCGGCGACGCTACCACGCCCAACGGAAGATTCACGTTGCCCATCTTCAAGCAGCTGCCTTACGACTTGCTGTCGATTGGCAACCATGAGCTCTACACGACGGAGATCGCAAACGATACCTACCGTAACTTCGCACAGAACTGGGGAGGCCGCTACGTGACTAGCAACGTCGACATCTACGACAATGGCGTGAGGAAGCCCTTCTCGCAGCGTTACGCCTACTGGCAGACTAAGATGGGCATTCGTATCATGTCGTTCGCCTTCATCTTCAACTTTACAGGCAACAGCAATGCTACCGTCGTCACCCCAGTTGGTACCGCTGTGCAGCAGTCCTGGTTCGTCGAGCAGGTGGAGCGAACAGACATCGACCTGTTCCTGGTCGCTGGTCACATCACGCTCCGAGACTCCGCGGAGTGGAACATCATCTACAATGCCATTCGTACTTACCAGCCTACAAAGCCCATCCAAATTTTTGGCGGGCATCGCCATGTGCGTGACGGTGTCGCCTGGGATGCTTCTGCCATGGGGACAGCAGCAGGCAGGTATTGCGAAACTGTAGGCTGGACATCGATTGACGGTCTCTCGTCGAATGTCACCCGTGCCAAGTCTCCTATGGGCGCGGGCAACATCAAGATCACGTCAGGCACGAACATGACAGGCGGTGTGAGACTTAATGTGACCCGTCCAATCTCGTCAAGTCTGACCTGGACTCGCCAATACCTCGACTTCAATCGCCCAACCTTCGAGAAGCTGACTGCGTCTCTGAAGCAAGAGTTTGACACAGCTTACGGCAAGGGCATTACGGCGGGCATCACAAAGAACATCTCATCGCTCCCGCAACTCACGGACGTCCTGGGATGTGCCCCAGACAGCTACTACATGGACCGCTTCCCCACCACGTCCAAAAATAACCTCTTCAACTACCTCACCACCACCATCTTTCCAGCCGTGGTCTTTGCTCAAGGTCGCAACTCTTCTCGATACCCTCGGGTTGTCCTGACGAACACTGGCGGTTTCCGCTACGACCTTCTCAAGGGCCCCTTTACGATCGAGAATGCGTATCAAGTGAACCCGTATCAGAACCTGTGGCAGTACATGACTGCTCCTTGGGGCGTTGCAAAGAACCTTCTGAAGGTAAGGCCACTGACTAGTGTATCATTGACGACGGGCTGTCTGACATTCGCAACAGAACATGCAGACAGATCCCGTGTACAAGCGACAGCTGACGCCTTCCAACGCGACGTATGATCCAAGCACTGGCCTGTGGACTACCCCAGGTTACGTTACCAAAGACGACTTTGGATCTGGAGGGGACAACACGATCCACCTTGACCAAGGATATTATGCTTCTCAGCACTATGTCGCCGCTAATGTCTCCACTGCAAACATCACGGACGATTCGACGCTCGTCGATGTCTACGTGACGAGTTTCTTCGCTACCGCCGCGGCTCAGTATCTCCAAGGAAACACGACTGACTGGATCAACGTCACCAACAGTACTGGCGGCAGTTTCACGTCGTTTGACACGATTCCACTCTACGCCCGTCTTTATTGGGGCAAGGATTGTTGATGGAAAGCCAAGAGGGCAAGGGACTGATCTGTATATAGAGACGCCATCGATATACATATGTATCATGCATGATATCCTGAACGATATGTTGGCTTTCTGGAATGAAGAAGAGAACGTGTTGAGGTATGGCGAAGGAAGTGAGGTCAAGTTTTGGACATCATTGTCCCAAAAGAAGTGATGACGACTGCAATCCAACCATTATTATTATTATTAGACAAGGACCCTGTTCTCTTCGTGAGTGTTGGGGCTAATAGCTCAATCACGTGAGACAGACGAAGGCTGCAGCAGACGTTGCTTTTCTATCTGCGTACGAATGCTTCTTAGCGAAAGCGAAAGCGAGCCAGGTGGAGGTGGGAGATGCCGCTCGGAGGACGGATCGAGGGGCCCGCCCTGCCCTAAAGAGTCGAGGAGAGGGAGGAGCCGACGGCCTGTCCCGTGCTCTGTCATTGGTCAGTCGGACCCTGTGGAACACGCTTCGGGTAGGGGAACTTCACGTCTCCGAGAAGCACGCTCTGTGCGCTGGGCACGCTGGGATCTGGATCTCCAGCCTTAGCGGGAAAGACAGGACGAGTGAAACCACCGGCTCGCCTTCCACAGCAATCTGACGCCTGCACGATGAGGATCCACTCACACACTCGGCTACTGACCGACGCCGTGTCGGACTCTGGACTTTCGAAGTGCCGCCGGCAACGTTTCCCCCATCAATGGTCAATGGGTCCAATCGTGATTTCAAGCTGAGTACGAGCCTACGAGGCTGAACACCCCCGGGTCCGTGATGAGAGCACTGTCGTTGTCTGTGTAGAGCAAGGGGCCGTCGTCAACATACTGTGATGGCATGATCTGGGAATATCTTCACCATGAGCCACTTTCACGGTCATATGAGCAGAGCGGTACGGGTCCGAATCGATGGGCGCTTGTTCCTGCGCTCCAACAAACGCTCAAGGACCCGAGATTGGGGGACTTGGGGATCTCGGAGGGGAATTTGGAAATGTCGTCATCTCAGTTTCGCGGTCTAACAAATCGTCCGTTTGCCCATGTCCTATCGGTAGGCTGCCGTAGCGACGGAGTTCCCGACCGAGTGCTGGTTGCTGGATCTTCCATGCGACGCCCTGGCCGCCTTCGGGCTAATGAGAGCTTGTCCCCTCTCCCGGATCTATGTATCTGGTCGACCCGAGCCTGAGAGTGAGCTTTACAAAAGCCAAAGATCTCGCTCCTTCCCTTAGCCTGTAATGTTCGTCGAGGCCTCGGGTTGACCTATCCCTTTCTCCTATCCAACGCTACCGGAGCCATGACAATCCAACGGCAGGGCTCTTGGAGCTACCCATCCGTGGGTAGCGGTGCTGGGGATGATCTCTATCGGACTGTTTCCACTGCTCTCTCGCGGACATTCAGCGCCGGGAGGAAGTCGAACGACGACAGACCTGAACAGGATTCCAGCGACGGCGATGAGTGGACCAGAAAGACCGAGGACTGGAGGATGATGGATGAGATCAAGGAGATATCAAAAGCATCAAAAGACAGGAAAATAGGCGTCACATGGAAGGATCTGACCGTCAAGGGCGTGGGATCAGATACCGCCATCCAGGAAAATGTGCTGAGTCTCTTCAACATACCTGCCCACATCAAAGAAAACCGGAAACCGAGTCTGAACACCATCATCGACAACAGCCATGGATGCGTGAAGCCGGGAGAGATGTTACTGGTCCTCGGTCGGCCCGGAGCTGGGTGCACCACGTTACTGAAGATGCTCGCCAATCGACGACTGGGCTATGCTGAAATCTCTGGCGACGTCAGATACGGCTCGATGGATGCCAAGGAGGCGAAGAAGTATAGGGGTCAGATCGTCATGAACACCGAAGAAGAACTGTTTTTCCCGACGCTCACCGTAGGCCAAACCATTGACTTTGCGACCCGTATGAAAGTCCCACACCGCCTTCCAGAGGGCATAACAGACCCCAAAGAATACCAGCGCATGAGTCGCGACTTCCTCCTCCGCTCAATGGGCATTGAACACACGCACGAGACCAAAGTCGGCAACGAGTTCGTCCGTGGCGTGTCCGGTGGCGAGAGAAAACGAGTATCCATCATCGAGACAATGGCCACAAGGGGCTCCGTTATGTGTTGGGACAACTCGACGCGAGGTCTCGATGCCTCTACCGCCCTTGAATACACTCGCTGCATCCGCGCAATGACCGATGTCCTCGGACTCAGCTCCATCGTCACACTCTACCAGGCCGGCAACGGTATCTATGACCTCTTCGACAAAGTCCTGCTCTTGGACGAAGGCAAGCAGATCTACTACGGGCCAATGCACCAAGCAAAGCCTTTCATGGAAGATCTCGGCTTCCTATATACTGACGGTGCGAATGTTGCCGACTTTCTGACGGGTGTCACCGTGCCTACTGAGCGCCGCATTGCGCCTGGTTTCGAAGATCGCTTCCCTCGAAATGCCGATGCCATCCGCGATATCTATGACAAGACTACTATCAAATCCAACATGGCTGCAGAATATAACTACCCGGAGACCGAAGAGGCCATAGCACTCACCAAGGAGTTCCAGGAGCACGTCCAATACGAGAAGCACCCGAGCCTGCCCAAGAGCTCGCCTTTGACAGTAAGCCTCGTCACCCAGATCAAGGCCGCCGTCGTCAGACAATATCAGCTCCTATGGGGCGACAAGAGCACCTTCTTTATCACTCAAGGCTCAAACATTTCGATAGCACTTATTGCCGGCTCTCTCTTCTACAACGCACCCGACAACACCTCTGGGCTCTTCGCAAAAGGCGGTTCCATCTTCTTCACTTTGCTATATAATGCGCTCTCGGCCATGTCCGAAGTTACAAGCTCATTCGCTGCGCGCCCTGTCCTGGCTAAGCATCGCGGATTCGCACTGTACCATCCCGCGGCGTTCTGCTTGGCTCAAATCGCCGCAGACATACCTCTCATCTTCGTTCAGGTCACGTTTTGGTGTGTTCCTGAGTACTGGATGACCGGTCTCCAGGGAACCGCATCGGCCTTCTTCACCTTCTGGGCGATCGTATTCGCAAGTGCCATCTGTATGACATCCTTCTTCCGCATGATCGGAGCCGCGTTTCCGACGTTCGACTCAGCCTCTCAGGTCTCTGGCTTCATGATCTCCGCGTATGTTATGTACGTCGGCTACATGATCCCGAAACCCAACATGCATCCGTGGTTCGTGTGGATCTACTGGATCAACCCGCTGGCGTACGCATTCGAGGCGCTATTGGGCAATGAATTTGGCGGCACAACCATTCCTTGCGTCAATGCCAACCTCGTTCCCCTCGGCCCCGGGTATAACGACTCGAACTTCCAAGCCTGCACGGGCGTGAGAGGTGCTCCTCTCGGACAAGCTTCTTTGAGCGGTGACGACTACCTGGCCGGCCTCTCCTACGATGCTTCCAACATCTGGAGAAACTTTGGCATCCTCTGGGCCTGGTGGGTGTTTTTCGCTGCCGCCACCATCTTCTTCACCAGCCGATGGAGCCAGATCTCGGGCAACTCGGGCTTTCTAGTCATCCCACGCGAGAAGGCGAAGAAGGTCAAGTTCTTGACTTCTGACGTCGAATCGAAACCTTCCGGGGACGAGAAGATTCGCGCCGGTGATGAAAAGGCAGTTGGGGAGAAGGAAGCCAGCATTGACAACCAACTCGTCCGCAACACCTCCGTCTTTACGTGGAAGAACCTGACGTACACTGTCAAGACACCATCCGGTGATCGTGTCTTGCTGGACGACGTGCAAGGATGGGTCAAGCCTGGTATGCTCGGCGCTCTCATGGGTTCGTCCGGTGCAGGCAAGACGACGCTGCTGGATGTCCTCGCGCAGAGGAAGACGGACGGCACGATCAAGGGAAGCATTCTCGTTGACGGTCGCGAACTCCCCGTCTCTTTCCAACGCTCGGCTGGGTATTGTGAACAGCTCGATGTCCACGAGCCCCTCGCTACCGTCCGAGAGGCTTTGGAGTTCTCTGCTCTGCTCCGCCAAAGCCGCGATATCCCTCGCGAGGAGAAGCTGAAGTACGTCGACACAATCATCGATCTTCTGGAGATGCACGACATCGAGAACACTCTGATCGGCACGACTAGCGCTGGTCTATCCGTCGAACAGCGAAAGCGCCTCACGATTGGAGTAGAGCTCGTCTCCAAGCCAAGCATTCTGATCTTCCTCGACGAGCCTACGAGCGGTCTCGACGGCCAGGCTGCCTTTAACATCGTCCGTTTCTTGCGCAAGCTCGCCGACGTTGGCCAAGCCGTTCTGGTCACCATCCATCAGCCTTCCGCCTCCCTGTTCGCACAGTTCGATACTCTTCTCCTTCTCGCCCGAGGAGGCAAGACGGTCTATTTTGGAGACATTGGAGAGAACGGCTCGACGATCAAGAGCTACTTCGGCCGCTATGGCGCTCCTTGCCCTCCCAACGCCAACCCTGCGGAACACATGATCGACGTCGTGTCGGGCAGTTTCAGCAAAGACCGCGACTGGAATCAGGTCTGGCTCAGCAGTCCCGAATACGCTGCAATGACCACGGAATTGGACCACATGATTGAAGATGCCGCGTCCAGGCCGCCGGGTACCACGGACGACGGCCACGAGTTCGCCACGTCCATCTGGACGCAGATCAAACTCGTCACGCACCGCAACAACCTCTCGCTGTACCGCAACATCGACTACGACATGAACAAGATCGCCCTGCACATCGGCTCCGCCCTCTTCAACGGCTTCACCTTCTGGATGATCAACGACAGCGTGCAATCGCTCCAGCTCCGCCTCTTCACCATCTTCAGCTACATCTTCGTCGCGCCGGGCGTCATCGCGCAACTGCAGCCCCTCTTCCTGGACCGCCGCGACATCTTCGAGGTGCGCGAGAAGAAGTCCAAGATGTACCACTGGTTCGCGTTCGCGACGGGGCTCATCGTCAGCGAGATCCCGTACCTCGTCGTCTGCGCCATCCTCTACTTCGCCTGCTGGTACTACACCGTCGGCTTCCCGGCGGACTCGGACAAGGCGGGCGCCGTCTTCTTCGTCATGCTCCTGTATCAATTCATCTACACGGGCATCGGGCAGGCCATCGCCGCGTACGCGCCCAACGCCGTCTTCGCCTCCCTGGCCAACCCCCTCGTCATCTCCATGCTCGCCTGCTTCTGCGGCGTCCTCGTCCCCTACGACCAGATGCAGGACTTCTGGAAATACTGGCTCTACTACCTCAACCCCTTCAACTACCTCATGGGCAGCATGCTCGTCTTCACCACTTTCGACGCCCCCGTCGTCTGCCGACGGTCCGAATTGGCCATCTTCGATACGCCCAACGGCCAGACGTGCGCGGAATACCTGGCGGGCTACTTGCGAGGGTTCGGAGCGCGGACGAACCTGCTGAACCCGGACGCCAGGACGGGGTGTGAGGTGTGTCAGTACCGCACGGGCGCGGACTACCTGTACACGCTGAATCTGCATGACTATTATTTCGGGTGGCGGGATGCGGGGATCGTGGCGCTGTTCGCGTTCAGTAGCTATGGGTGTGTGTATGCGTTGATGTGAGTTGCTTTCCTCATGCCAGAAAAATAGGCCCCTATGAAGGGGAATAATGAATGAATGATGATTTGCTGACTATGACGATAGGAAACTGAGGACCAAGGCTAGCAAGAAGGCGGAGAAGTAGGCGAGCGATGGGAAGAGGAAGAGGAAGAGGGAGAGGGAAGGCGATAATAGTAAATCTGTGTGAATTTTAGCGATGGCGTTGGGATCGACTGTTCGGGTTGAACGGGGATTGAAAGAGACGGCTGTCCATTGAAACGACGAAGAGAATAGAAATGGAACATTAGATCCTATCATGGCAATGCGTAGAGATATGCCATGTCATGTCAGTTCACTCGCTACTACTCGCTATGGCAAGATTCACCGGACCGAAAAAGAAGAGGGGTTCTTTCTTTCCCCGAGAATTCCGTCGGAATGTAAGGTAAGGTACCATGAGGTGGCAATGGGTTGTCTACCTTACGTGGACCCAGGATGTATGTCCTCCTGCAACCGCCAGATCTGCAGTGGTGGTGGTGTGGTTGTGACGGAGAAGCGGGCATGCCGAGATACCCTACTACAGTCTACTACAGGCACCGGCGCGTGTCATCAAATCATAATGCCCATCACACTCACATCATCGCTGGCATTTTCCCCCTCCGCCCAAGCGAGCGAGCGTGTGAGAGGTGGCTTTTGGAGCGGGAGACACGGATTGCCGCTGTCGTGGTCGGGAGGGAGGGACAGAGGAGGCCCGGCCGGCTGACGTGCATCTTGTCCTGCATATCGCTCGCTCTGTAACTTTTCGCCGTGCAGGAAGCGTGACGGCGAGGCCCCGAACGAGACGAGAGGTATGATAGTAGATAAGAATATACGGCGACGCGGAGGAGAAGATGGTGGTTGAATATGGTGGTGGTATCGGCCGCAGCCTGATAAGTCAGGAGTATCGTCATGGACCCTCTTTGGCTTGCGTCTCCGTTGTTGCCTCGTGATTAGTATTATTACTGTCTGGTGGCTTGGGCTTGATGAGCAAATTGCGGGCATCCCTCCTCCTCCTCCTCCTCCTCCTCCTCGGATGCCCGGTGGTATACCGTATATTGCGAGTATATGAGCTTGACCAAAGGGTCTTGGGTCGGACTACTATCTTATGGGGCCACAGGGCCAGGGGTTTAGATTGTTTCGGAGGGGTGGTTTGCTCTCTACTAGCTTGATGAGTCAGTTAGGTTGTTGAAGATTAATCTGTGGCAATTTCCAGGCGGTGCGGCCGGCGGTGGAAAAGTTGGCCTTTATCACACAGCTTCACAGCTTCACAGCCTCCTCCGCCTGCGCATGCCATGTCTTCTTTTGGTATTATTATTATTATTATTATTATTATTATTATTATTATTATTATTATTATTATTATTATTATTATTACGGCCATGCGGCGACATTGGGGATGGGGCGTTATTTTCCGTTGGTGTGATGGAGTGGTTGCACAGTTGCGAGAGACGATCCGGCTTCCAGCCGACGAGAGCCGCTTCGCGTGGGTGGTCCACGTGCCCACGCATGCAAATTGCAGATCTCGCGGGCAGGTCTCGGCAGTGATATCGCCAGCGGTACTAGATTTTCTGCTGATGAGATGAGGCTTATTATGTTGTTGGGCAATTGCAGGGCAGGCGCTACCGATCGACATACACAGCGTATGACGACAGCCTGGCGCTGTGCGACGGGTCCCGCCGTGGTTCACGCGGCCTTTTGCCTCATGACAGGCACGAGCACCGAGGGGGAGGGAGAGGGAGAGGGAGGGTAGTGTGGTAGGGCATAAGCAAAGTAGTGAAATGATTCATCGACCATGGTGGCACAGGTGGTTCAACCCGCACCGTGCGTAGAGACGCCCGCCCGTATAACATGGGAATGGTGGGAGGGGTTCTGCGCGCGGACCGTCAGATGGAAGGATCGTGTTCGAGAGCGGACGCTTGGCGTGAGGCGGTGCGGTCGGCGGCCCTGCACACTACTATGTACTGTGGCCCTGAGAGTGAGATGAGTGTTTCGCTCGAAACAGAGCACTGCAGCGCCCTACTGCACAGCACGGCAGAGCACTCGCCAGCGCGGCCGGGCGGGATCGGCCCGTCGGACAGCAGACCACGGCTCCCCTGCAATCTTAATCCCGTCCGCCCGCCCGCCCCGGCCAAACCTACAGCCAGACGGGAAGGCACCACTCACAACTTGGCGGCCGCGACTGCTGCTGCTGAAGTCGTCCTCCCTCCTCCCATCCAACCCAACAACACCACCGCCCTCCTCGCCGCCACCGCCCCCGCCCCGCCCCGCCCTGTCCGCGCAAGCTCTCCACCTCAACCCACGGCATTCGGTCCACTCCGCCGTCGACGAGAGCGACCACCGACTTCCCTCTCCGCCCCGCGACCGCCCATCCCTTTCTTCCAATCCCATCCCATTCCATACCATACCATACCACTCCACCTTGCGCTCAGATACGCACACCACACTCGCTTGAACCGAAGACCACATTTCTCCCTCCTCTTCTCCCATTCTCCCATTCTTACGGCCTTCTAATATCCACACCTCGCCAAGAGCCATCCGTCCGTCGTCGCGAAGCTCCAGGACTCTCATCACCAGCCGCACCGCACCCACCCTCCAAGGACGCGCATTGTACCGCTCCGCCAAGCCTCACGGCGCGTCACCCGCGAGAACATCTCCTGCTCAAAGGCAGTCCGACGACCAAGTAATAGGGCTGGCTCCCGAGCAATATCCCCCCTTCAAAGAGCCCGCTTTGTCTGCTTCTACCCGCCTCACCGGCTCCTCTTTGTTGCTCGCCGCCCATCCGCACACGCGAAATCACACTCAATCACGGCGCCAACATAGCCTCTCGCACTTGACCCCTCCCTTCGACTCTCTCTTGGCCTGTCTGCCTCTTGCGCGCCGTCCATCTCCAACTACCGACATTCCTTTGCAACGCGACAACCACCGACTTCGACTGGAGGATGACTTGAATCCTTCCCCACACAAAATCAAACACACGCACCACAACTTTCCGTTGCTCGCGTCCTTGACCAGCAAGAGCCCGAACACCTGTGGCACTCGTCACTGTACACTCGTTTACACCCAACTACAGACCGTGAGTCGGAGGCCGCCGTGGGGAATGCGACATTGAGCTAACGACCTGCAGTCAACACCTGTTTCCACTTGACATATTCGAGTCTATTCTAGACCTTAATCTTTTTCACCATGAGGCCCGCCACCACACTATGGACAGCCGCCTTTGCGGTCATGTCCCTGCACGGCCCTTTTACCCTCGCGGAGGCTGCGCCCGCACACCCAGACCAGGATCGGCCCAAGTACTACTTTCCCAGGCATGTAAAGAGAAATTACCCCAACATCACAGCCATCACACACGAATCATCGACAACTCCAGAAAGCACATCGAGCACATCTTCGCAAGCCTCCAGCCCAGATGGTGAAGCAGGGGGTTCGTATATGCCGCCCGTACCCGTGAGTCTGCCGGCGAGCTTTTCATTGACCAGCACTACTTCCTATGTGCCTCCGCAAAACACCTCGACCACAACCACATCCTCTTCGACCTCGTCGTCCAGCTCGAGTTTGCCACCCTTGATTACATCGCAAAGCGTAGAGACGACCGCTCCACACACGACCACAAAACCGACGAGCACAAAACCGAGCGCTGGCTCTTATGGAGGAAAGCCCACCGACGAGGTTCAACCGACTCCCCGCCCCTCTTCCGAGTCCAAGACATCGAGAATTGCGTCGGAGACATCTTTTACTTCTGAGCCCAGCGGGGAGCCCACAACCCGCAAGCCTACAACAACTGAGAGCAGCAAAGCCGACACGACGACAACCGACACCTCCGGAACCTCTGGCCCGCTGTCGATACCAGGAACTGGAACATCAAAATCCACATATCAACCCAGTGCGAATGGCATGCCAACGTCGGTAGTCCAGCCAACTGCGTCTCCTACGTCCACTGACGGGGGATTGCTTGGTGGACTCCTTGGAACTGGCTCGTCGTCTCCCCAATTCACGTATCAGCCAAGTGAATCTACGGAATCTTCGTCGTCGTCCCGACAGTTCGTCTACAGCCCGGAGCAGACTGCTGGGACCCCAAAGCGTCCTGGCTCCGCCGGAACCACAGGTGGAGTCTCGGGAGGCGAGAGTGTTTCTCCGACCGCAAGCACCGCATCCGATGAGACGTCATCTTCGACATCTCGACAGTTCGTCTACAGCCCAGAGGAGACCACCGGGACTTCAAAGCGTCCTGGCTCCGCCGGATCCACAGGTGGAGTGGTGGGAGGCGAGAGTGTTTCTCCGACCGCGAGCACCGCATCCGATGGGACGCCATCTTCGGCAAAGACAACCAGCTCCAGCCATCCTCTGCTCGTGGGCCTCTCGACGATCATCGAGAACACTGCCATCCTCACTCCCACCTCCTCCAAGGCACCCGAGTTTACTTACAAGCCAACTGGGACAGACAACTCCACCTCGAGCGAAGCTGGACCGACTGGGACGCGGGAGAGCTCGAGCGGTACGGAACCAGCGTACGCCGCCACTGGTACATCTCCCACGCTGGGTTTGCCCACGGCGACGCCTCCCGCAAATACCACAAGCAATGGAGGAGGGGTGAGCAGCGTCGTGTCTTCTATGGCCTCTCAGATCTCGAGCGGGGTGTCTTCGGCGCTGTCAGAGGCAACTGCTACCAACACCACGGCCGGGTTTGGTTTGCCGTTGGCGACCGATGCATCCCAGAAATTGTCCGCGCTCGCTTCATCTCTCAGCGTTGAGCTCTCCAGCATTGCTGCCACCGCTTCTGATTCCCGGGTCTCCAAGTCGCTGGCCTCCGAGTTCTCTGGCATTCTTTCCAGTGCTGCTTCGTCGTTGGCCGAAGCCACCGCGACCTCGACCAGGCCCTCGGCCGTGAGCGCCACCGCGACCTCATCCTCCATCACGGGCACAGAAACCTCGTCTGGTAGCTACACGTCCAGCACTTCCACGGGCACTTCCGGTGTGCCGGTCGTGCCGGTGCCACTTACAACGCCTTCTGGATCTTTGAGCATGTCGCATCCGGGATCCTCCACCAACGAGACCGAGATCGCAACAGCGACTACGAGCTCTGGTGTTGCCGGTATTACGTATTCGCCTTCCATTCATCTGACCACCGGTGCTTCCTTGACGCTCCCCTCAAGCTCATTGACTATCAGCTCTTCTAGCTCCACCAACGCGACAGCCGTCATCATTCCCATCAACACCTCCTCCGGAATCAAGACCCAGGAGAGCTCGACCGAGTCTGCCACGTCGAGGGAAATGACCTTGACGCATGAGCCAACATCCACCGTGGAGGCAACCACCACGTCGAGCACGCCGAAGACCGCCGCTGAGACCACGACAGCCGCCCCGACCACGACAGCCGCTCCTACCACTTCCAAGGCTCCACACTCGATTGAGCCGACTGGCAGTGACTCGGCTACGGTATTCGTTGTCCCGACCTCGCTCGTGTATGCTCCAGCTACCACAGCCACTCCCACCGCGACGGAATCCGAATCCAGTGGTAGCGTGTCGGTGGACAGCACCCCTACCTCGGTGGCTACCGGTCTGCCAACATACATGCCTCGTTTCGTCCAGCCGCCCAATGGCATGCCAACGCCGCCTGCCAACTCTACCCTCATCCAGGTCGGTTTCAACTATGGCCTCAACTGGCCTTTCGTCATCGGTACGGACACCTCTGCCAGTCAGATCTTCACCTACCTCCCCATGGGCATTGCGAATGGTCTTGGTATCAAGGTGGAGCAATGCAAGATGGCTGGTCTGATGCCATACGACACCACCGCTACCCTGAACTACATCACCACTCTTGCTCAGGCCTACATTCCCTCCACCCTGGTCGACCAATTGCAGCTTGATCTGAAGACGCCCGTCTCGCCAGTGTACAAGAACGCGAACCCCGCGGTCCATATGCTCATGTCCATGATCAACCCGACCATCCCCATTCTCCCTGGTGCGAACATGGAAGACTCTTCTCGGTCCAAGTCTGGCAACAGCAACCCACAGGCTACCGAGGCAGGCAAGGGCTCCGGTGGCGCGCCCATTGGCGGCGACTCCGGTGCATCTCAATCCGTCAAGGGTACGTCGGTCGGCATTGGTGTCGGTGCCGTTTGTGGTGCTGCCGTCTACGCGGCTGCCATGATCTACGTCGCACGTCGTTATCGCAAGAAGCGCGCATCCCATCAGCGCACCAGCTCCGTCCCCACCACTGGCGAGATGACTCAGAGGTCACCCGGTGTCCTTTCCGGAGGAGGCATGGGCAGCTATTTCATGTCGGGCGCCAACGGTCGTGGGTCGGGCATGACGAACGGAAGGAGCAGCGGAGGCAGAAACAGCGACGGCACCGCCGGAAGCAGTAACAACGGCCGCAGCGTACGAGACCAAGGCATCAGCGCGCCCATCATGGCGGAGAATAGCTTGGGATGGACTTGAAAGAAAGAAAGAATGAAAGAAAGAAAGAAAGAAAGAAAGAAAGAAAGAAAGAAAGAAAGAAAAGAAGAGAGCTGCATTTCACGAGACCCGATCTTGATGTAATAAGAAAAAAGAGCTTTTTGTTGATTTTTGTTCTCTTCAGGATCTCCCTCGGCTGCCGAAAGCGAGCGCCGGATAGGAAGAGGGGAAGGGACAGAAAGGAAAGGAAAGAGCGAAGAGCACAGCACAGCACAGCACAGCGCAGAGCTGCATTGCTTAAATCTTTTTTCATCAGCTGCGGACGGAGACGTACCAGCTGCCTTGAATTTTTGACCATGGGCTTTGATGGTCGCTTTCCTTGTTCTTCCTTTTTTTTTCTTAAAAAAAAAAACTTGAAGTGAGAAGGGGGGGATGACCCCCTACCCCCTCGAGCAGCCATGGCTATTTCGATTTCGGACTGGGGGGTGGCAGTTCGATATGTGTGTACATAGATATGAAGAGAGAAGAAAGGAAAGGAAAGGAGAGGAAAGCTTTTTTTTTTTTCTGCTCTGAAAATCTTGATCAATTCCATGTTTTCTTTTCGTCCAACTCGCGCGCGCTCTATGAAGGGGTATATTTTGTTGAAGCTCGCACATGGGCTTCCTCGGTGTTGAAATTTTCTCTCTCTCTCTCTCTCTCTCTCTCTCTCTCTCTCTCTCTCTCTCTCTCTCTGTGTGTCTCTGTGTCTCTCTGTCTGACTCTCCATCTTAACACCAAAGCACACACCTCATGAGCAACATCATGTGATATTTCTCTCATTCTCCACGCCATCCACATACGTACTCAATCGCCCCATGCTCAGCCTCTTCACATCGTCCCCCAGGGGAGTCACCGGCCGCGAGAGTTCCCTCTTATACAGCGCAATACTATCCCTCCACGCGACGTATTCCGAATCCGCGTAGCCTATGACCTCGGCAATCTGGGAACTCTTGACGCCGCGGATACGCTTAATCTCCGCGGCCGAGTAGTTCACGATGGCCTTGCCCACGTCTTCGCCCTGGTCCAGGGGGGCATCGCGGGAAGGGAGGACGATGAGGCGAACGCATTCGTGTTGGCCGAAGTGGCCCTCGAGGTCGATGATTCCGACGGGGAGCAGGCCTGCCTTGGCCGCGATGGCGGTGTGCGCTCCTGAGTCGATGTAGAGGGTTCCGTGGGGTGCGAGGCCATGGAGGAGCCAGAAGTAGCGGTCTCGGATGGGCTGGAGGTCCGGGAGGAAGCGGGTGTGGAGGGGTGGGAGGCCCGGTTCGGAGAGTTTAGGGGAGGAATGGACGCCGTTGACGACGATGTCTGCTTTTTGGAGATGAGGATGGGTCCGTGGTGAGGTTGGAGAGGGAGGGTCCAGGGAGGTGGAGCGGGCTGGGAGTTGGGGGATTTGGTCGATGCTGTTGTGCATGATGTGTGAAGCCGACTTCTGGCCCTCGACGTAGCGGACTATGGCCGTGATGTTGCCCGGATTGCTGCTGCGGGTGATGACCGTTGTCACGCCCGCTGCTGTTGCGAGACGAGCTGCGGTGATCTTGGTCCCCATTCCACCCGTCCCCAGTGAGCTCCCTGCGCTGGCCGTGTCGACTGCTAGCTCGGAGATGTCCTCGACCACTTCTATCGCCTTTGCGTCGGGATGAGTGCGTGGGTTCTTGTCGTAGAGACAGTCCACGTCGGTCATGAGGAAGAGGTAGTCTGCTTGCACCATGCCGGCAGTGATTGCGCTGAGAGTGTCATTGTCTCCGAACTTGATTTCTTGTACGCTCAGGGTATCGTTCTCATTCACAATGGGGATGGCTCCCATGTTTAACAGTTCGACAAAGGTATTCTGTGCGTTGAGGTATTGCGTTCGATCGGCAATGTCGTTTCTCGTGAGGAGGATTTGGGCGACAGGTTGGCGCATATGCATGAAGAGTTGATCCCACATGGCCATGAGCTTGCACTGGCCTATGGCCGCCAATGCCTGCACTTGTGGAAGATGCTTCGGCCGCCGCTCCATGTCGACCTGCCGAAGGGCCATTCCAATGGCTCCCGAAGAGCATATAACGACCCGGTGGCCTTCATGGCGGAGGGCGACGGCGGTCTCGACGATGGTAGAGAGGGTGGAGAGTAATGGCTCGTGGGATTTCTCGTCGACAATACTCGAGGTGCCTGAGGGGGGGGGGGGAAGAGTTAGGATGCTCTGCGTCTGTTTCGAGGGGACGTCCTTACAGGACTTCTCATGTACCGAGCTTGATGACAATGGTGAGATGCTTCTTCATCTTGGCGGCCAGTTGAGGATGGTGTCGGGAGAAGTGGGCTCCGTGGTAGAGACAGTGGGGTGGCAGTGGGGTGAAAGGTACATCCGCTGCTGCTGCTGTCGTCACATGACCGTGTTGGCCATCGTCTCAGCAACAGCCACTCTACAGCAACGTCGACGACAATCTTCAATCACGATTGGTGCCTGCCTTCATTGCTACTCTCCAGCGCAGTAGAGAAATTTCACATGCCATCAAGACGAGAGACCAAAGCTAAAAGTGGACCATCAGGAGGAATGTCCGCCATGCTTGCCCGGTGACGAGGAAGATGAGGACGACGAGGAGCAGGATAGAGTACCATCATGTATTCATTCTCATCAGATGCTGACTCTCTTTCCCACCTCAAGCCAGCTCGCAGTCGCCGTTCCTGGTAGTCACCTCAACGAGTGCACATCAAGGCAAAATGGAACGACGGCCTACACCGCGCCACACGACTCCTGCGACTCTCGAAATGCTGTATGAGACACTTGTTAGTGAGCTCTCATCGGACGTCTCGGGTTGCCGGTGTAGCAGATGATACGAGACGGGAGCTCGCGACTATGTTGTCGCTGTGCCCCTGCCCGTGCAGCTGCAACCCAAGGAGAACGAACACCCCGGTTGCGCTTCCATGTTTCCGGATATTCTTGTGAATTACTGGCCCACAGGTACCGCCCTGGTACCGTCGAGAATTCAAGAAAATAAGATGCATGCTGAGTTGCCTGTGTGATCTCAGTGTAGACTATAGTGTCCATCTCATCAAGCCTGGCAACACGACTGGGCTGACAGTGCGAGTGACAGACAACGGTGCGTAAGGACACAAGGTCTCCATTGGAACTTGGAACTCGGGCAAGATCAGAAGGAATCGCAACAGAAACGAGATTCCCACAGTACAGGACTCAGGACTCCGCCGCAACGCATGAGCGGGAACGATAGACCGGGAAAAAAAAAATGGGGCCACCAACAATGTTTGTTTCCCCTGATGAGCAACCAAACCAAACCAAACCAAGACTTCCTGGTCCGCCGTCTGTAAAAGGGATTTGCTGGCAGGGAGAGACAGTCCGTACCTGACTTCCGCTGCTTTGCTTGGCTTGGCTTGGCTCCCGGTCCAACGGTACATGTACATGTACATGTACATGTATGCGCGCGTGCATCCGTCCTCGCATACATACCATACCCACGCAAAGCACGCAAGATAGATCCCAAACCAAAGGACCGGCCGAAGACGGAAATGAAAAATAATGACCATGGTCTTTTGTCTTGTGTCCGGTATATATGTGTATGTATGGTAAGGGCCTTCGCTTCGTATCCCGAGCGCACCGCACCACGATCCCCCCCCCCCCCCCCACCCATCCTCTCATCACGACTGTAATAATGGGCTCTCCGGCTTGATGGATGGGGATCCGGCCGGATCTGCCGTCGAGTTTTGCAAAAATCTTCATCTGCTTGTCATATTCTTGGGCTAGCATCGTTGGGATTCCGTGGAAAGAGAGAAAGAAAGAAAGAAAGAAAGAAAAGAAAGAACAAAAGAAAGAAAGAAAGAAAGAAAGAAGAAGCTGCAGCCTGCAGGGACACCCGACACCCGACACCCGACGACGAACAACGTATGCACATGCACGCATGCCCTTTGATTAATAAGGTTTTCTATGGAGCGCGCAGCAGCAGCAGCAGCAGCGGATACCTTATGCGGTTCCGGGGGAGTGGAAATGGAAGCAATTGGAGATGGGTACCCGGCATCCAGTTTACGTGTGATAAGGGACGGGCGGGGGGGAAGATGCTTGTGCACAGGTGTGTGTGTTGCATGTGAACAGTAAGTCTAGATGCGTGTGCACAGGTGTGTGTGTTGCATGTGAACAGTAAGTCTAGATGCGTGATGTCCATGGAGGGAGGAAAGCAGCTGTGCTGTGCTGGTAGTACAGTCAAGAATTGTTCAACGGAATAAATGTGATTTACATCGTGAATCTCCGCGAGCGCGGTGCGATCGTCGACACCCGACCGACGCATTGCTGATTTTCCTCCCACCCACATCCCAAACCATTCCCGTTGTTCGCCACCTCGTCCTTCTGGTCCCGTCTCTCACGAGTGCAATCGTACAGGTGCATGTCAGTAGTTTCTCACGCGCAAACATTTGCCGCCGCCGCCGCCGCCGCCGCCCCAAAAGCACCATGCTCAGTCCTCCCAAAAACAATTTCCAACGCCCGCCAATCTCTATGCCCATGAGGTCGATCCGCCTCACCCATCCGTCAAGCGCCTTGCGTATATGCGTGAATGCCCGGTCATCAAATTCGTAACATCAAGGAAAGAAATCAAAATGAGGACTGACTCATTTCGCGCCAAAGAAACCGGCTTGCTGCAAGCGTAATTGGTTAGCAAACTTGGTCCTTGTCGGAGGGATTGCGTCACGACAACATACCAGGCAGGCCTCACAGGCATCACCCGGTCCGCCTCCCAGGACGTACCCTTGGCAATTCCGCGCTGCGTAGTAATAGCAGCGCTGGCATTTCAATTCCCCTCCGGATGAGCGAGTCGATTCCGTGCGTGATCTTTTCGATCGTGATTGGACTCGCGGTGGATGCGACGGGACTGGTCGGACCGCTGCGGCGGGTTGTAAAGGTGGTGCTTGGCCAGGAACAGCAGGTAAGGGTCGCTTCGCGTAGGTGCTTATCGCTTGTGGCGGTGGAAAGCTGGTCTGAAGCTTTGGGAGCGAGGGCCGTCGTCCATTGTTGCCTTGTGCCTCGGCGAAGGGCAGTGTTGGGGCGGAGATTGGTGGGAGAGGAGGCGATGGCGGTGTAGTTGCGCTCGTGGAGGGTCGTGGGTATTGATATTCGTCGGTTTGAGGGTAAGTTCGTCGATTGAGCACGGTCCCCAGTCCCCATCTCCGGCGGGCGCCGAGGAAGGACTTCTTGCTGTGAGTGCTGAAAGTATCGCTCTTGTCCTCTTCCAGAAAGAGTGACAGTGGCCTGGATGATGGATATGCTGATCGGAGGTCATACGAAGAGGCAGTGCTGCTGCAGGAGACGCTTGAAGTCGACGAGTGTCCCGGAGGCGTGGTTGGGAGGTCTCTGAAGAGGTTGTCGAGATAGGCGGGTCGTTGTAGAGACATGGTCATGGTATCGATCGCTCTCGGGATGTGTATTTGAAGGGTTGGGGAGAGTGGTGAAGGCCGAGATGGAGCGGCGAGAGGGTCGGGGGTCCCGTCGCAATGGCCAAGCGATGGTGGTGGGAGTTGTTGAAGAAGTGCAGGCGGGCGGAAGCGAACGAGTGGATGGTGCACACCGGGTGTATATCGCTGTCGAGTATGGAGTCGCTGATGATGCTCTCAGAGGTGTGGGCGACGAGACGCAGGCGCAGGCGCGCCAGTGGTAATGGGTAATGGCTTGCTTGAGTGGTAGAGAGGTAGGGAAGTAAAGGCCCCTGCTCGACCTCCTCTTCCCGTGGGCTGGTGATAAGGATAAGCTCGCAGGAGGTGTCTTAGCTCTTTGCGCCATCAACTCAAAGGACCCTAGAGGGAGAAGATTGCAACGCGCTGGGACATGGGCTCCGAGGGGCATGGATCGACTGGTACTGTGCTGTGCTATGCTGGGCTGGGCTTGGCTGCAGAATGACGCGAAAGTGGACGGCAGTTGGGGATGTTGCATGCGATGATAGCCGAAAGCAGCAGCGGTGGCCCGGCGGTAGGCCAGCGGCAGGGCAGCGGTCGGCGAGCGTCGATGAGATGAGCCGGGTATTGATGTGAGGAGAGACACAAGGAGGTGAGAACAGGATCACTCGGTGGTGGTAGCAGTGAGTAGTGAGCTTCGTTTCTCACACTTGAAGCAGGCGCTAGCGACACTACCCGTGTCACGGTGCGTGTACTATACCGTACCTGTACCTGTGCGTGTACCTGTGCGTGTAGTGTACACCTGTGCAGTGTGTGTGCGTGCGCGGTGCGGGTGCGGGTCTGGGTGCGGGTGCGGGTGCATGCAGGGGCGATCCCGCGCGGATGGAGATATTCAGGATACCCGTCGGGGATGCGGTGCCACGACTCCCGTCTACCTCCTTCCCTCTTCCGTTCCTTCCTCTCCTTTCTCCTTCCTCCTTCCTCTCTCTCTTATACAGCGACATGGTGGAAGGTCAGATTCAGCGTGTGGCGTGGCGGGGCGGGTGATGGCAGCCTTGGATACATCCATCTCATTCCCGCCTTGGCTAGCACGACCGACCTGGGTGAGACGAGCCCATCCCGTACTGGTCGTCGTCGAGGTGCGCAGTGTGCAGCGAAGGTGTCGGCACGAGCAGGACAGGCACAAGCGTGAAACACCCTGCACCTCGACCCCGCCATGCCCCGATACCGCCGCGATCCCGTCGTCATGCCATGTCTCGCCGCCTCAAACAAGCACCGCCATCCATACCCGAGTATTCCACATGTGCACATGCCAGCTGCCCGGCGCGCGGCTGTATCGCCGGTGCATCGTCGCCGGCGTGAATTGCTGCGACGCGACGACCAACCTGGCCGTAACCGTAACTCGGCGAGAAATCGAGTGCGATCGGGGGGCCGGTGTCCGTCAGCCGCCGACACGTGCTGCAACTCGCGCCGCTAAGCTCGACCACTCGACTTTCTCCCCGGCCCAAGGCAGCTCAACGTTGCTAGCGTGCATATCATCCATCTCCTGCGGGTCTTGTCCCCCCGATCGGCAATACCAGGGCGGGTCTAACACTGTCTACGCTGTGTTGGCTGTGTCTACACACCACGTCATGATTCAATACTTCAGGCAAGCAGTGGATGATTCTCCCTCTCTTTGCACGTCGGCTTCGGTGCGAGAGGACCGGCCAGATCCAGATACTGGCCGAGATATCGCCATGTTACGCCTGCCAACTGCGGAACCAACGGTCAGAGGGACTGCGAGCTTTGCCTACACAGCCCTCGTATATCCGATGAGAAAGGCCCCGATAGCCTCGTGTGTTGGCCCTCCTTCTCCACAGCAGGCCGAAGACACGGTGGTCAAGGCGAATTCCTCAGATCCGAGTCTCACAGCCCGTCTTGCCGTGGATATGTGATGGTGATATCGGCTCAAAAGTTCGCCAGCCGCTAAGCCGGAGAAGCCGCGGTTGCCCTACTACCTACCCTGTGTGCTGTGTACCTCCTGCCATCTCTCATCGACCGTCATCTGAAACAGCCCCGAGCTTGGACAGCGCAACACTTCAAGACTCCTCCAGAAGACTTCCGCCTGCCGATCGCCCTTTTCGCATCCGCATAACACTTCCAAGTTCACAGCGCATGGATTCCACGGACGAGATCTCGATCCTGAGCCTTGGCTTTGCGGAGAGAGCTGTCTTCCTTGTCACACTTGACTTCTCGCCAACTCTCACCTCCTTCTTCTCCTGATGATGATGATGATGATGGCAGAGGAGACGGAACTCTTTCCCGGTAGCACTGGTCGCTCGTTCCTTGCTGCTCGCCGCCGACTACGCGGAAACCCGTGTTACCAGAGTAGTGTTTCCAGCATGTGAGAAGGAGTGATAGTGATGACCATCCTGGCAGTCACCATCACAACGAGATCTTCAAAGAGCGTTGTTGACCCCTTTCGAACGAGCTCATGGTTGGCCTGACGAGCAGCACCCTGAAAACCCTTCGAACCGACGTTGAAGAAGGTTTTCCATCGCGGCAAAACAACCCTCTTGTTGCTACCGTGGTCTGGACTGCGACCCACATCGACATCAGAGAACTTTCTGTCGTCGCAGGACGCAACGGCGATCTACACCAAGAGCCTGGGTTCATGAGTCGGATGCATTCCATCTCGCACGCTGGGCGAACGAGCAGGAAGCCAACACCGGCGTTGGACTTGTCCGTCACAACCACGCGAAGATGTGCTCTGGATGATCACAAGCATTCGTCGGTAGAAGCTGTCATCGTAATAGGCTGGACGACTTTGCCGCGGGTTGCTGCAACTATTGCCAAGAGAAGCAGTTATATCTAACTTGGTATTTTCGGTGTCTGCCTCCGCTGGCTGGGAAAGACATGGCTGCGCTGCTCTGCCCGGTCGACTCAAGATGCACTACTACCTGTGCTCGGAGTTCACGCTAAGGCCAAGAAATGCCGAAGAACATTTCCTGACGGCGCGCACTCAACTGTCATGACTCGATCCAGGATCGATGCCCAACCGCGGAGGCGGCTCCAACCAGGTCATCATTCCGGGAGGAGATAGTTCTGTGCACAGTGTGTAGTGTGTATGACCATCGACAACGGACCGTTATTCTCACTCGCAGCCGCTGCCACGCGAGAAGGCTGAGATGAATGACACGAGTGAACCGTTGCAATTCCAGAATAATCTGCCTGGCCCACAATACACATGGAGAGGAGTCCGAGCGGCAGCCACGCTCGTAAAAGACCATACGCACGTTGGGACTCCAACGTCCCAAGCTCATCACCATACCTACGTTTCTGACAAGATGAACCAACTCCCAAGGGTTGCCATGACAACGGAACACCCCTTCGCTACAGACACCAGAAAGCCTTCCTTTTCCTTCATCCCCTGGCCCGCCACTGGTTTGGTGCCATGACAAGGCAGTTCTGCGCATCCTGCAGCGGCAAAAGAACGACAGGTCCCCGGAATAGACGAAACGAGCACAGCTTCCCTTCCTTCCTCATCACACACTGCGACAGCAACCGCGGCTCGACAAGACAACGACGTCTTTGTCGATACGTTCGTTCTCGACCCAACGTTTCCTCATTACAGACCAAAATGACACAGACATCTCAGCATAACGTTCGTTCAAAAGATAGTAAGCGTGCTACGTGCGCACATACATATTTGTTCTGATGCTACGTGCGCACATACATATTCTAATGCTCCGTACGCACATACAGATTTTTACTCAATCGGTCACCCATCACCGCCGCCGCCGCCGTTCCCCAAATGCGAAGGTATATACACTCGTGATATCTCGAACTGCAGCTCCCCGGCCACGGGGTTAGGGAGTTCCACATCCTCGCAACTAGCATCAACAACATCAGCAACAAAAAACAGCAACAGCAGCACCAGCACCGGCAACATAAAAATGCCAAAAAAATTTGCATCGTACAGAAAACAGAAAAAAAAAAAAAAAGCAGGGTATCACTAATGCCTCCCAAATCCCAAATCCCCAATTTGTAAAAATCGAAACAAGAAAGACCAAAAAAAAACCACATTGCTAATATCATAGATAAAAAAAAAAAAAACGCCCACAGGTGTCATATTTCCCCTTTTTCCCTTATGCCCACTTTTTCTGAGTCCTGTTTGTTGTGAGTGTGTGAAGATGAAGAAGAAGTTTTTGTTTCCTTGACCTCCCAATTTCGTGCCGTTCCCGTCCCAATGCAGCAAAAACACACACACACACACACACACACACACACACACACACACACACACACACACACACACACACACACACACACACACACACAAGTTAAATGCGTGCAACAACAACAACAGACTCGCCTCCTTTCTCCTCCAAGTCGGAGTCGGAGAGAGAGAAAAAAAAAAAAGGGCGCCGACGCTTGTTGGAGAAAGCAAAGGGAACCGCCAAATGCATGCCGTGCCATGCCATGCTCCCTCCCCGCAATCACGATGCACCACCAGCAGCCTTGACTTCCTGATCCCCGGGCAAGAGCAATTCGATGCAGAGCTGGAACATATCCGCCGCCTCATGCAGAAGCTCCCACCGCGGTTGGCGGAAGATATCCCTCAGCAGGATCAACATGCCCACGCATTCGTTGCGATCGTGCAGGCCTTCCAGCTCCTCGGGCGTCGCGACGCCGCCCATGCGGATAAGGTAGTTCTGCATGTCGTACACTTGCAATTCGCGCGACTTGACCTTGAAGTGGGGAGGGTTGATGGCGCCGTCGAGCGCGTAGCCGTACGACCAGACGATGAGCATCGCGAAATAGACGATCCACGGTCGGTTCAACAGGTAGTCGTCGCGGGCACTATAGGTGAAAGAGGGCGATCCGCGCGCCTTCTCCCCCCTCAAGTCGCCGTCGGGGATGAGAACCTCGCACAGGAAGCGAAGGGCGTAGAAGGTTGCGTCGCGCGCTCGAGCCGACGGTGCCCATTGTTCTCGCATGCGCGTCTGCACCGCTGCCCGATCCGCCTCCGTCACGACGCGACCGAGCGCCCGGTCGGAGCCCGCAAAGACCTCACAGTCCACAATGTCGGCATGCATCGCCATGTGCGCCAGACTATGCAAGCACGTTCGTGACTCGAAGACATTATCGCGGTGGTCCGAGTGGCACCTCGACTGATTTTCGGGATTCGCGACCTGCGGCCAGGAATCGCTCTTTGTAAGGCTCTCGTCGAAATCTCTTCGCCAGAAATCAAAGGCGCGGGTGATGGGAGAACGCCAGCGAGTCGGGTTGCCCAGCGTGTTCGATGCACCGATGGAAGAGACTTGCAGGTCACGTTGATTCATATGCCAGCTGACATTGAGCAGGCCTGCCATGAGGATGACCCGACCAAAGATGTTCGTCCGCACCTTCTGGCCGTTGAGCATCTTCTTCAAACCCTCCAAGAAACTCACAGGCTTGAAGCCGTTCGCTGCCAGGCTCGCCTCGACCCGTTGCACCTCTGCGCTGCTTGTCGCAGACCAGAGAGCCTCGTCGCACGGCAGCGGAAGACGGATGTCGTGTGGCGACATCACCGCCGCATGGCCAAAAAGTGTAGCGTGTGTGGAGTCAATGATGAACGCCGCAAACGCCACACGTCGCGTTGCTTCTGCTGTGATCCATCGATTCCACCAGGCATCGGGTGTGTTTTGACCGCTCGTGTTGATGGTGCCTTCCGGACCTGGCGGCGTCCTCGTCGGATCATTGACGCCGTCTGGGGAGTCAAACGTGCTTCGTCCGATGAGCGAGGACCCTCTCCGCATGACCGTGAGTGTCGTGGCGTGATGGATATGCGCGCGCTCATGCAGCGGCCGAGTGCTATACATCTTCTCAAATAGCTCCAGCAGAAGCATTGTCTGGAAGGTCCACAGCTTTGCCGTCGGTCTGAACTCGGCATCCTTGAACACCTCCCAGCGGATGTGGTATGCGCAGAAGAATGCAAGCTCTGCGCAATGTTTAATGAGCTCCGGAGAGTGTGTCCGCTCCAGACAGCAGGCGCCGAGGCAAGCCATAGCAAGGAGCAGCAGGTCGGGACATGTCTCGGCATTGAAGGTCGGCCTGTGCATGATTGGCATCTGCTGGTGAATGTGTATCCAAAAGCTGGTCAGATATGTCTTCCACATATTGACGCTCATGGGATGATTGGGGTCGGAGATGTCGCCAGCAAGGATCTCCTCCTTCGACTTCCGGCATGGCAGACTTCCAACGTCCTCGAAGTTCCGTACCACCTCGAGCAGACGGGCTTGTCTGCGCTCGGTGACAACGCTCTCCCGCATGCTGAGATCCATCGCGATGACTGGCGGAGCAGTGTTCGATTGAGTGTCTTTGCCCGTGGGTTCCGGCATCCAAGTCTCCGGTTCTAGTTTCGGCATCGGTATGCTGGGCATGTGCGATTCGTACGTCGTCTCTGGAGGTGGCGATGGTGCTCCAGAAAGATCAATATCCCCACTGGCGAGTAACTGGTTGAACAGGGCGTCGTCCAACGCTGACTGTGGTGACCGGTGGAAGCCGTCGCCACCAAAGACTGGCATGGCGTATCCCGCCCCAATCTGCTCGAGCACGTTGAAGTCCATCATGTTGTTCGTTCTAGAATTCGACACTTGGAATGGATCCATTGTGCCCATCGTAGGAGGCGACATGGTCGAGCCAGCTCGGGCATTACCTGATCCGGGCGGCGCGTAACCTGGTTGCACGCCGTATGGCTGTAGAGCTGGTAAGGTCGGATACGAGCTGGTCGGAGGGGACCTGTATTCGGACTGTGCGGGCGTCGGCGGTTGGTAGGATGAATACATAGTTGCCGTCGACGACGAGGACAAGGGTGGCGGATGCATCTGTCCTACAGTCAAGGGCGGATGCTGTAAGCCGCCATTTGCCATGGGACTCGGTCTGCCGTATTGCTCATCAATGCTGTAGCGCCTCGCGCCTGCCTGGGGCGGCGGCATGGCGGCGGCTTGTCCATTATAGTTGGTCGCGTAGCTAGGATATGAGCTCGCCTGACTCATCTGAGCGTCGACTGCTCCTGACAAAGCGCCAGTCTGCATGGGTGGGAGTCCATTGATGCCTGATTGATTGGAATACTGCTCCGGTTGTACTGATGGAGCAGAGTACGGTTGTACTGGCTGAGCAGTCGGTGGAGGCGCATAGGTCTCTTGCTGCGACGGCGGATGGGCGACATGATGTTGCGAGTCGACGGGGGATAGAGACATCGCTGTAGTCGTCCCGGAGCCAGAGTTCGGATTGGCACCGGAAGCATGATTGGTGTTGTTGGTGGCAACGCGCTGGCTGTTCATGAAGGCGTCCTTGCGCTGCAGGTGTGAGCCCTTGGCGGTATGGCGTTCCTTGTGTCGCGCGCACAGGTCGGCGCGAACGAAGTGGCGATCGCATCCTGGAAAGTCGCAGTGGTAGATCTGCTTGGGCGTATCTAATCAGATGTTAGCGATCACATACTCACCCGACAAAGGCTTCGGCGGTAGTAGTAGTGGTAGTGGTAATGGTGGTGGTAGTGGGTAGTGGGTAGTGGGTAGTGGGAGCGGGGAGGGACGAACGGTTCAGCTGATGGCGGTACAGATGCTCGGCGCGCGAATATGACTTGCCGCAATCGGGTTGCGGGCATTCGTACTTCTTGTCGCTTGTCTTGATCACCCTGCGCTTCTTCTTTGGTTTGTTTGCGGCCAGGTCGTCGACTTCATGTTCCGCATCCTCCATCTCCACATTCTCGTCGTTCGGGGAAGCTGCCGCAGCCGCTGCCGCCTTCTCCGCCTGCATCGTGCTGCCCACGCCGGCCACCCCGGGCATGTTCATCTACCACGCTGGGTGGATGCGCTTCGGCCAATGTGTCGGAAGTTGCTGGTAGCGCGACCACGGCTGCACAGCATGCTCGAGTTGGACCGATGTGCCAGTGCGGCGCTCTTCATCTCCCGAGCACGGGAGGCGAGGTAGATGGGCGACGCGGGTGGTGGTGGGAGGGAAATTGGTCGGGGTGGTGAAGTGGAATGGCGTCAGGTGGTGGGCGGCGGAGGAAGTGTGTGTTGGTGGCAGAGGGTCAGGAATGGCACGCGGACACTCTCCGCCAGCAGTGCGTGAAGGAGCCAGCAGGGCTATTCGCTCTTCCGCGGCGGCAGCGAATACGCAATGCAATGTGATGCGCAGGGAAGGCAGCGAACGTGGAGAGGATCCGAGAGGGCGGCAGGCTGCGGAGAGGTCAGGCCGGGGCAGGAGAGTGAGGGCGATGATATTAGTGCCTGGGGGCGCGAGTGTTGGTTGCTTCTTGTGCGACGTGCGTGCCGTGCCGTGCAGTGCAGTGCAGTGCGGAGAGATGTAGATATCGAATGGATGGATGCTACACCCGTCTGTGAGTCGTTGATTGAACGTGAATGGAAGCGGCCCGTCTGGAGTCTGGAGCCGAGCCTGTGGAGCTAAGGTAGAATAGAGTGTCGAGACAGGTCAAGCGTGGGGGTGATTCGGGATATACTGTACAGCTGCGAGAATAGTCGACCCAGATGTCTCTCCGCTCTCCCCTGCACTCCACTCTCACACACTCGGCGCAGTCGACTGTGCGTAGGTACGCCTCGGAACAGGAATGGAGGATAAGGAGACACAGGCGCATCATCATTTACATCATCCCCATCATCCACATCATTATTCACATCTGCACATCCGCTGCGCGCGCGCGCGGAGAGCCTGCCGTCGCCAGCAGCGCCACCCAGCAGCTGGGCCAATCCAGATATTTGCGACAGGCTGGCGCGTCAAGAGCGCTCAAAATTGAGGACCTCTGATTGCTGCCTCCATACCCATCCGCTCTGCCTCGTGTTTCCGCGGCCACGGCCCGTGCCACTAACTTCACACTATACGCGCCCGACTCCGAACTCTCCAGGCTGCATCCCGCACCCCGGCCAAAAAAGACGACATCCTCCATTATTATTGTGCATCCTCCCATTCTCCAATCCTCCAATCCTCTAATCCTGCACACTCCACACTCCACCTGCTCTCTCCGCCCGGTCGCATGCTCTTGCTACCCATCTGGCCTCGCTCCGCACCCTGCTGCACCCGTCGCACTCGCACTCGCACTTGCACTTCGTCTTGCAGCCCTCCGGCAAGCTGCCAACAGGCTCCTCCCCACCACCACCACCACCACCACCACCACCACCACCACCACCAGAGTTTACTAGGCGAGTCCCTGGATCGCATTGCTGGGCCGCTCCACAGTCCGCGTGAAGCAGACTTCACGGTTACGGAGATCGCACCCAAGCAACCACAACACCTTGTTCCGACGTCTTATCCATGCCGTGAGCCTCAGCTGGTGGGTCCTACCAACGTCCCCGGATTCGCAATGTCCGACCATCATCAACATGAGATCGGGGAGCCATCACCATTTCCGTCTCGCGACACACTAGACACCTTCAGGTTCTCCGCTTGCACCTCATGCCATCCCGCGTGGGGTGTCACCACCCCAATAGGGAACTGCAATGTATCCACCCACGAGCATCGCATCATGTAGACACCATGCATACCGGCACGCAGCTCTCTCCGCTTCACCTCTCCCCGAACACGCGAACCCTTCTGTCCAGTCATCTTCACCTCGTATCTGAAGCATGTTCATGGCCCGACAATTTGCATCTGTGGAGTGCACGGTCCCACGGTACAGATACACTTTCCAGCCTTACGATCTTCTGGAAGAACCAAGCCCGACGCTTACCAAAAGTTACACAAAAGCGTGGGGATGATTGTACATTGCTCCAGACGAAGGATTCGTGGAGGATGCGAGCCGATGGCTAATAACGACGTGATCAGCCACCGACGAGCGCCCACATATGCCGTGGAGAAGGGGCCGGAAATGCGATGGAAGCGAGTTCCAAGACTGCCGGGTGCCACATACACGATCCTAGACGTACCATGGCAAGAAATCATGCACAGTGCGCGAAGCCAACGATGAAGCACGTCAGAAGGCAATCGCACAGCACGCTACAACACCATTCAAACCCAAAGGCTGCGCAATCATCGCCGGGATATCCTCACGACCTTACGACATACCGGCACACCAAGATCTTGGGCTCCAAAGATGAGGTGGCGTCCAAGGCGCGTAGAGCCAACGTAGCGGAGCCATCTCCGTCCCGTTCGCTATCATCAACCGTGTTTTGGACTTCCAGGCACTTATCCCCATACAACCAGATGCAGCACACCACACCACCTGCTGCTGCACGCAATTCAATATGGCCCCGGCGTGATTCGCGATATGGTACTCCGAAGACCCACGTTGGGATATCATTCGCTGTCGATCCACGTTGCCTCGAACGTTCGGAGAAACGAGAGATTGACTACTGCGTCGGCACGGTTCGATATCCCGGTCCAAGAGCGATGCGGTATCCGGGTTCAGAGCGTGCTTCTCTCGCTTGTCCAGACATACGCTTGCGCAGGTCAAGTGCATTGGCTTCTTGTTAGTGATCGTAAGCGAGATGGCACGGGTATGCTGAATGCTGTCGTCCTGCTCGACCCATGAGATGAAAACGGAAAACACGAACGGATCTTTGACCCAGTGTTGTTCACTTGTCCGAGACGTCTGTGCGACGCTTTCTATACTTCCTTCGCCGTCACGCACCGAGTGAAACTCTCGTGACAAATGGTGTGGCAGCTTCGTTCTACAGCCCTACGCCCGCGCTGCTGCACACTACCTTGGGTCTTGCTCGCGTCTTGGAGGTGTTGGAACGCCATGTGGATGTGCATTGTATGCATCTTGTTGGCACGTGGACGTGAAAATGTTGTTGTGCCTGCGTCTGCCCCTGACCGCCCACATCACGCCGCGGAGTCCGCCATGCCGTTCCTCGTCTGCCATGTAACGACACTCTTCCTTCAATGTCCTTGCGCCTCTAATGTGGCTGCTGCCACCGCCCCATTTCCGTTTTCTGCCTTCTTTCCGTAGTACTCATCCTGCATTCGCTTCAGCTCCTCGCTCGTATCCTTCTCCGGGTCTGGCTTCATGCCCTTCTTCGCCCAGAAATCCGCACGCTCCTTGAGCACTTCGCTCGCCCACTCCTGCACCTCGGGCAGGACAATCCTGTCCGCAACTCTGGAGAATTCAATCCTCACATCGTGTACGCGCTCGTACTCGATCATCTGCAACAGCAACTCCATCTTATCCACATCGTGCACGAACTTCGATTCGAGCGTCTCGCTGTCTTCGTATTCTTGCCATATCGCTCGGATGTTCCGGCCAGCAGCTCCATTGTGGACGTTGCCGAGCAGGGTCTTGGTGAGGTAGTCCATTGTGGTTGCCTCGCGACGGGACTTTTCGGATTTGGTCACGCCGTCTACCGGGGTGATGTCGCCTACGAGCGATTCAGCCATGTCGTGGACCAGAGCCATGGTGGTACATTTCGAGATATCGATGCGAGAGGCGAGGGAGGGCGGGCACAGGAGGGTGATTATCGACATGCGGTACCTGTGCAACGGATTAGACAAAGGTCGGTCCACGATTCGTTCCGGCTCTAGGAGTCGTGGCCGCTAGGGCTATGGTCGCCACTCACATGTGATCGGAGATCGATTCGCCGTGAGTGATGCCGAAACGTCGCCATCCCTCACGCTTCGTCGTCTTCAGGCGCTCCAGGATATGGAAGAACGGCACGGGCGAGGGGGAGCTCGTCTGTGGTACTTCGGGCAGTTCGGCGAGCGCTGTACGTTCATGTCAGGCCAGAGCGTCCCGGTGTGCATGTAGGCATGCATCTTAGTACAGGTAGGCGTACCGCCCTTGTTGTGGAGCCTTCTTCACGTACCGGCCTCTGGCGTCCATTCGCCGTCTGCTTGGGAGGGAGTGAGCATGCCAGACGTCGGCTCTAGAGAATGCCAGTTAGCGATTGATATTTCGTCGATAGGAGGAAGGTGTTGCAACTACTTGGTTCGGCGTTTGTTTCTACCGCCTCTGGTGCCATGATTGAATTCGTTCCGTGGAGTGGTTCTGTTCGGATCAGTCTGACCGGTAAGGGCCAGCAGACCGAGAGTGATATGGAAGTCGTGTTTGCTGTGCAAGGTGCCAATTGCTTGTGAAAGTAGAGGAAGTATTGTCAGGACGGTTGCATCAACAAACAACGGAAGCCCCGCTGATTTGGTGTTGAGATTGACAGCTTCCGTCATTCGTCGCTCGGTCTCGGGATCCGCGTCGGGACGTTCATCCCTGCAGCGATCGCAGGCACGAGCTATCCTATTCTGAGACCACACCGACTTGTTTGTGTACTACTGCTGTCCAGGTACCACACTCCTGCATACAACGGCCTCTCCGTTACTCCCTTTTCTACCAACGCAGTGCCAAGGAGCACCATCTCCCCGTCCACGCGCTGACAGCGAATGCTATACAATCATCGAGCAGCCCAACAGTGCCTGAGCCCGAGGAGATGATCAGCATCTGCAGGGTATGGAGAGACCGCCGTCTGCCGCAAACTCTGTGGGAACATCCACTTCCCAGAGGAGGAACGCTTCCTCACGGACAATAGATCCCAAGGCCATCGCGAACAATGCGTCGCCGGTTATCGCACTGTTTGTCAAGAACCTGCGACTCCTGAACCTCGACCTCCTCCCAGACTGGCCTGCAATCACGCCGGCGAGTCTTCACAACGATGCGAGGACGAGGATTCGTTGTGCAGAATGGGCTCTATATCAGTTGTTCCGCATATACGATCCTGCGACTACGACGGAGAAGCTGCAGCCCTTCTTCCCACCCCTGGAGCCTCTGCAGAGCATTAACCTGCGTGCCGGATTGTTCCGGTGTCTGAACGAATTCAAGAAGAATGGGGGGCTGGGGAGAGAGACGGTACTCAGGAAATCAATGCTAGACGATTGCCAGGGAGACAAGTTCTGGGAGCTTTGCTTTTCTTTCTCGGCAATCGTCCTGCGAAAGGTCATTGTGGAGAGCAACAACAAAGATGGTAGATCAGTCGCTGAGCGCATTGGTCTTTCTCAGGGCCTGGGCAAATCCCAGCGAGAGAGCATGATTCCGCTGGCCGTCGCGCACAAGGTAGCACTGTGCAAGGTTTTGTCGGAGAAGGAGCGCAAGAGACGAACATATGCAAGGCTGTACGAGGTCCTCATGGACAAGGACGAAGATCTGCAAGAGAGAAGACTGCAGGCGCAAGAGGGAGCACGTTCCCAGCCTCGGAAGGCTACGATAGCCCAGTATGTGCTGGACAATAACTGGGTCGGGACGAAGGAACTACGGGACACTATCATGAACGGTGATCATGCCGCAGGCGGCGACAGCTTACTAACAAGAGCCTTTGATTCTGTTTGGAAAGCCAACGAGCAGGACAAGCTGTTCACGCGGCCTGCTGCTGAAATCGGCATCCTCGAAGACCTGGAGAAGCGTGCCCAATATCAGGAACGGAGACTACACAAGTGGCAGAACTTCCATGAGAAGCTTCTTAGCAGCAAGCCGCCTCCGTCTCGAGGCTCGGTGACTTCGCATCAAAGCAGTCAGCTGTGCTTCGACAAGCACCAGAACCTCACACTTCGCGATATGGCAGATGTCTCGCCGCCGAGACCGCCACCCTCGCGTCATGAGAAGCATGACAGCGTTGTTAAGTACGACGAGATGCTGACTGCCATGCGCGAGGAGCTGCGGAAGAAGTCTGCGACTGCTCGGCCTGACCCATCACCTGAGCGAGAGCAAGCGCCGCGATCGCGTCCTCAAACGCAAATGTATCGGAGACCAAGTGTTCCTCCTAACTCCATTCAAGCGGCAAGCGAACACCACCAAAGGTCACAATCGCAAACTGCTGTTCCGGTTCGATCCGGCATTGGCAAGCGAGTCTCATCTCGGTCTCGATCTTACCAGCAGCCAAAGGTGGTCAGCCAGCGCGAGCCCATCCCGCTGAAGTCGGAAATCTTTTCGCCTCTTAAGACGAAGCGAAACAGCATGTCTCCGGCGTCGCCGGGCCGGATGTCGATGCTGGCCTCCCCAATCGAAGATCCGTCTGAAATGAACGAGATGGATACTTTCCGGGGAGCTTCACATCGCATACGACAAGGCAGTAGCAGCTCTGTTGGCTTGGGAATTGCAGCTGCTGAGGAGGAGTCAGATGCTAGTACCCCCAAATCAGCCAGATCGGGGAGTGAGAATCCCGGTACGTGGTTGCAGATGGGATCCATCTCCAGAGCTCGTCCGAATTGTGTCATGCTCGTACACGGCTTATGACTAACGTTCTGCAGATAGCGCAGTCGAGCTGCCGCCCAGGCGTTCTTCCCTTGCTGTCGCTGGCAGGAATCTCGACGGTGCGGGAAGAACCATGCGACCTTCACTGGCAGAGAGAACAAGATTGTCGATGGCTTTCAAGAGCGCAGACGACATTGGGAGCATAGATCCGACCACGGCGAACCACGTGAGTCTGGCAAGATCAGAAGCACCTCTGCCGATCAACACTAGCGAGTCGCAATCGGTCCTGGAAACAAGGTCGACGCTGCATGACCGGACCCGTCAATCCATATCTGCAGCACCTGCTTCCACAGCGGTGCCCTTGAAGATCCACAAAAAGCCTGCACACTCCCGATCACGAACATCTCTGTATCCTATCAACCAATTTGAAACTCCTGAGAAGTCGCGTCGTCGGTCGACAGTTACTCTCGAACTGAACAACGAAACACGAGATCGTAGCATCACACCGAAGGAGAAACTATTCGAGGCGGACGCAGAATATACATCCATCTTCAAAGCAAGACCTAAGATTGCGCTCAGTCCTATCATCAGCCCGCAATTCACCGAGAGCTCCATCAACGAGAGTGTCAACGTCGATGATGTTGGGATGTCAAGCCCGCTGGTTGGGAAGAATGAATAAGAGCGTGCGCGCCGCGAACGAAAAGAGAACAGGATGATCAACCTCGGCGTACTCAGCGTATTCAGCGTATGCTGAGGATGGATTGAACGGCCGGGAAGACAGACTGTTTTCAAGCTTTTGAAAATGAGCGAGCTCTGTGAGCGCATTTAGCGAGTTTCTATGGAATGGTCAGGGAATATGTGAAAACACTTTGCATTATCTATCTTTTGGCACAATCTTGTGTCATCATCTCCTGTTGGATAAGCTGACAGCTCTTTCGGATTTCACATGGGGGTAACCATGTGCAAAGGGCAATGTTCGGAGTTCCAAGACGGCTTGATCGGCGCTACTGCATCCGTGCTTACCTTAGCACATGTTCGCCTACACCTTTCGGCACTCCGCCTAGTACGCTTCACATGCGTCAAATCTTCCCTGCGACATATCATCATCAAGGCTCAACGCTTCGGAAACAACGCTTCAGCAACAACGCTTCAGAAACAACGCTTCGGAATCTATGCCAGCGAACTCATCGGATGCCGCGGATTGGTAGCTTTCAAGCTCCCCTCGTTCGCAGATGTGGCACACAGCTGAGAGGACTCCAGCTACAAAGGCCATCCAAGCTCGCAGATACGAAAAGGACGACATAGCCGGCGACAAGATTGCTGAAATGGATATTCCGAATTCATCGTCTCGCACTACTGCGATCCGCGACGAGCGCTCGCCTTTGCTATCTGACAATGAAGCAGACGGCCCTCTCTACAGAACCATAAGTGTATGACTCTCGTCTCGTCGTGGGGTTCGGTCTCGATTAACGACTTGTTAGAGGAGTACCACGGCAGAGTTTCTCCCCCCAGACGACGCAGACATTGGAACCTCCAAACAGAATACTTCCCAAAAAGGATCTGTGTCGAGCGGAGTCTACGCCACCATCTCCGTCCTTCTACTGGGCGTCTTCCTCTGCAACGCCGACCAAAGCCTCGTCCTAGCAACCTATGGCAAAGTCGCCTCAGAGTTCAACGACTTCGATTCCGGGTCATGGATCATCTCAGCCTACATCATCGCTCAGTGCGTTGCACAGCCGCTCTATGGAAAACTAAGCGATATCTACGGACGGAAAGCTTGTCTGCAGACGTCTTATATACTCTTTACGATCGGAACTGCTTTTACCGGTTTGGGGAGGTCGATGGGGGAGGTGATAGCCTCGAGAGCAGTGCAAGGCGCTGGTGCGGCGGGGATGACGAGTATGGTTTCGATCATCATTACGGATTTGGTGCCGATTAGTGAGGTGGCTACTTTGAGGGCTTATGTTAATATTCTCCAGACTACGGGGAGAGGCGCTGGGGGCGTTATTGGGGGTGTACTCACATATTGGCTTGGATGGAGATGGTATGGACACCCTTCGACATTGCAGTTGTGGGAGTGTACTGACTGGATTATAGGGCCTTTCTCGTCCAGGTGCCGCCGACAATCATCGCTATCCTGCTCGTTCAATGGCGACTAAAGATGCCGCCTACAGAAGGCAATGAACTCACGAGGTGGCAAAAGCTGAAGCGCGTGGACTTCACCGGGAGCCTTCTTCTATGCCTAACAATCTTCTCAGCCTGCTGTCTGTTAGAAACGGGCGGACAGAAGTACCCCTGGAACTCAACACCTATTATCACCATGGCCATTGCCTTCGCCACTGCTCTCATCCTATTCCTCATCTCAGCCCGATTCGCCGCTGAGCCCATCTTCCCTCTCCGACTCATGACCCACTATGCCGTCTGGACGAACTACCTGATCGTCATCCTCCAAATCATGGTCCAGTTCTCCCTCGTGATGATCGTACCCATCTACTTTCAAGTCACAGCAAAAGCTACAACCGCAGCAGCAGGCGCCTACCTTATTCCCGCCTTCATCGGCAACACTTTTGGAGGCCTGATATCAGGGCACTGGATCAAGTCTACAGGACTATACAAACCACCGACAGTCGCGGCTCCTTTTCTGGCGATTCTTTCCGTCTGCCTTTGTTTTGCTCTGTGGAATGGTCACACGACTGTCTTGGAATCTTTTGCTACTTTACCTGGCGGTATGGCAGCTGGTATGGTTTCCAGCTCGGCTTTTGTGGGTCTTGCTGCTGGTGTTGAAGAGGGGGATATGGCTGTTGCTGGCTCGGGAATGTACCTTTGCTTTAGTCTTGGTGCTATCGCTGGAGCTAGTGCTGGATCTGCTGTCTATCAGACTTCGTTGAAGATGGGATTGGAGAGTGCCTTGGCGGGGATCGAGAATGGGACGCAGGTACGTCGTCGTCGGGGGGGACTTGAAGACCACGATGATGCTGACTTTGGATATCGCAGATCATGCAACGCGCTCTGGAAGATATCACGTTTGTGCAGAATGCGGAAGAGACGATACGTAAATTGATTGTCCCAGCGTTTGTCAACAGCTTCCATCAAGTGAATTGTAAGTGCTCTGGACTAATCGGACGGACTGCGAATGCTGACTGATGCTGCTTTAGTACTTGAACTCGGCTGCGCTGGCGTGTGTCTGTTACTAGCTGCGTTTTCGCAAGGCAAGCGGCTCAAGCACTAGTCAAACAGCCTGCTGACATTTTCCTACGGCTGCTAACACGATCCGACACGACATGACCCTGGTCTTGCTGTGGCACATGGCAAGACTAAGACTCTTCAAGACATAGATGCTGAAGATGGCCGCTGTTCAAGCGAGAGAAAGCTGGTCACGAGAATCGTCGGCGGATGCACGTGATTAGAAAGTCCGTGCGTTTTGCTTTCGCTTAATTAAAAGTCTCGAGCTTTCTCTTCCAAGACTTCACTGCTCGACAATCCGCGCACAACAAACAATCACTGAGAATTAGAGGTACGATCGAGGTGAATGGGACACATGGGCGGAGCAAAGCTATATTCATTCGTGTGGAGCGAGCACGGACCTGTGCACGGACTGCAAAATCAGGAGCCAAGTATAAAACTTCTCCACTCGCGTCCCCTACACTCCCACCATCGCATATCGGAAGATTATCCAGATCACCTTCGAAGTCAAACCCCGTCACGCACCGCAGATAGAGCGCTCGCCACTCCCAACAAGCAAGCATACTTCGGCGAATTCGACTGCCATCACAACGGACGACTCAAGGCCTCGCAAAGCTACCAGCCGAGCTTCGCAACTCGATCTTCGAACTCGCGCGCTATCACGGGCGTTCGACTGGGCGCCCCTACGATAAGTCCGCTGTCAAGAGAGTCCAGCACCTGTACTACGAGCGTATCAAAGAGGCGGTAGGAGAGTGGCAGTAGACTAGCGGAAGGGGGATATGGCTCTTGTAAAGGTTTCAGAAGTAGCAGGTGGATGGCTCCGTGCCCGGCAGCTCGTATGGAGGCTTCCGATAATCGATTGTTGCAGCTGCTGAGGCGTCGATGCTTAGGGTTGTTTAGGGTTTCTTGGGGTTAGCAAACAATTACGAGATTCGATATTGCATGCATAAAGAAGAACGTACATTTTGTTTCCCGTCGGCTATTCGGGCATCTTGATTGTTTATGGCCCGGGTGGAAATGCTCATCGGACCGGACCATAAGGTCGAACTGTCTCTAACTGTGAGTCCAAGCAAGTCCGTATCTCGGTGGCGATACCGACCTACACGGACAACTCCCTATGCGTAAAGGGGATGCTTGTTTTGACAGCAATTTGCCAGTGACAACGTTCGTCGAGACGAAAGTCCGTACCACAAGATGCTAAAATACGCACATGGACAAAAAGGCCTCGACGTGGTATATCTTCGTCCATATATCAGAAGATCGAATTACAAAGGAACTATCATGTCATAGTATTTCCTGCCCCACGAACACCATCATAACACGCCACCCATGCTATCTAGAATGTCCAATCCATCTCTTCGCCATGACCGGCACACCCAAAGTGACCGGCGTTTCTCCCGGACTCAAATAGTACGTACTGCTCGTGCGACACGTCGATGTCGAAGAGCTGCTGCTAGGATAGACATAGGAAACGATCGTGACAGGCGCCGCTGTGACGGTGACAAAGCCACTTCCTTGGGTTTCTGTGACAATGTTCGCTGTCGTTACTGTGGGACCGGGGATGTAGCTGATCTCGCGCGAGATGACGGTGGAGATCACGTAGTCGGTTGTGTAGGAGACGCCATTGCTGACGTAGGTGGAGACGGCTGTGCTGATGAGGGTGCTGTAGTCGACTGTTACGGAGAGGCTGATGGATGTTGTTGTTACGACTTTGGTCGTGGGAACGTAGACCGTAGGGCCTGGACCTGTACCCGGACCTGTGCCTGGACCTGTGCCTGGGGCTGAATGAACAATTAGTATAGTGACGTCTGCGTAAAGCACTTCGTTCTTACCTGTACCTGGTCCGGTTCCAGGTCCCGTGCCTGGTCCCGTGCCAGCTCCAGTTCCTGGGCCCGTTCCGACGCCGCCTGATCCTTTTGTCTGTGTCAGAAGCTGTACTTGATAGTTATGATGAGAAGACTTACCAGCTCCTGATCCATCGCCGCCGCCATTACTACCTCCAGAACCGCCCCCAGCAGTAATCGTAGCGTAGTTGGTGCTAACGATGGTTGAGCCTCCGCTGATGTAAGTCGAAGTTGCAAGTACTGTAGATCCGCCAGAGGTGACTATGTACGTGGAGAGGACGGTAGATCCACCAACGACAAGGGTAGTGGGGATAGCGGTTATAGCAATGCCTGTGCCAACACCTAGGGAAGTCAGTATTTATTGTACTCTACGGGACAAGAAACACTCACCTGTACCCGGCCCTGTGCCTGGAAGTGTTCCTGGGCCTTATAGAAGCAGTAGTTAGTGATTGTTCTCCGTTCTCGCGCAGCGTCAAGACTCACCAGTGCCGGCTCCATTACCGGCTCCTCCGGTACCTGTTACAGTAACGCCTGGAGCAAGGCCCGTGCCAGATCCACCGACGCCATTGCCGCCTCCAGGAACGGCTGCACGCGAGATCAGTCTCGCGGAGTGCGTACCGGTCTTCATCACCTCAGTCGTTCCACTCTTGAGCTCGCAGTTGTTATTGATCGCATCTTGAATGTAGCTCACACCTGCACACTGAGTGCTGTCTAGGTTGGCGATATTGTATTGATCGCAAGAGCTGACGCAGTCGACAAGACGGCCTTGTGTGTTCGTGGACAGCGTAGGATTCGAGTAGGAGGTGTCGCAGCGAATGAGGTACTGTTCGCCGTACATGTCCGTGAAGATCTGATTGTTGGCGTATGGGCATGTAGGCAGAACCGTGGTGCCTGGGTTGGTGATGGTTGCTCCACCGCCTGGGACAGTAGCCGTTGGACCACTACCACCGCCGACTCCGTTGCCTCCAGAGCCTCCGTTGCCAGATCCACCGGACCCGCCGGACCCTCCTGTGCCCGATCCTCCATATCCACCTGAGCCTGATCCGCCCGATCCGGATCCACCAGGACCTGACCCTCCTGTTGGAATGAGAGTATAGGTGATCGGGTCTCCGTTGCTCGCGGTAGTAGTGATGACTTCTGCGCCGCTGGGAAGCGCACTCTGTGTAGCACCTCCACCGCCAATCAAGAAACCAGGTTTGGGACAGATCGGCTGCGGTGCACAATGCGTGACTGTATAGGTGGTGACTACGACTATGGTGCCCGTGCCAGAGGGCGTAAGAATCGGGCAAGTCGGATTGGCAGATGGAGTGATCGTGGCTGGAGGAAGAGTCTCAGAACCACCGCAAGGAGTGAGAGTAGGCGTCACACCACAAGTAAAGCAGATCGAGCTGCAACCACCGCTCTGAGCCGGAACCCTGCTGGTGGTGGTGGTGTAGATGTAATAGGAGCTCGTGTCAGAACCGCTGACGAAGGATGTCACGAATCCGGATGTAGGCAGAGTGGTGACCAGAGTCGTTGTGGGAGTCTCGGTCACTGTCGCCCCTGGACCCAGGGAAAGAGTGGTGGTCTCTGAGGATGGCAGGGTGGAGGATACTGTTGGAACATCACCGCCGCCGCCATACGCCGGGGGTAGGTTGCCGGCAGATGCAGCGAGTCGAGTTGCCACGATGCGGTTCGCATTTGTTGTCGGTGCGCCTGCAAGTGCGGACTTCAAGTAGCATTGGTGTTCTGTAGTGTCATATACCACGCCTGCACAGTCGCTCATCGAATCGCAGGAAGAGAAGCAGTCCGTAAAAACAGCTTCGAAGATCGCATCTCCAATAGTGTTGCCACTGTAGTCGGCATAGCAAGTCAGAGAGTACTGGGTGCTGTTGCCGTCGGTATACGTGGTCCCATCAGCCCCTGAACAAGCTGGCTCGTCATCTGGCACCTGTACAGCAGTGACGGCACCAGCGACAAGCTGCTGGCCAGTAACATCGCTGAGCAGGGTACATTCTGTGCCGATATAATTGACGGCAACGCAAGTCTCGTTATATTCGCAAAGTGCAATGCAGGAGCCCAAATTTGGCTCAGTCACACGCCTCATGACGGTCGTACTCGTGAACCCGATACCACAAGTAATGTTGTAGGTATTGCCTCCACTGGAACACACCTCACCGGCATATGCGCCTGCGCAAACAGCTGCAGTAGAAGATGGACATGCACCTGCAGTAGGCGTGGACGAGGCCGCGGCAAAGGTCGACGCAGCCACCGAAGCACTGCCAGACATCGGCATTGACGATATCGCAGGTGCGGTATAAACGACAGAAGGCATGCTCCAGGACGAGGCGGCAGTACGACTGCTTGGCACAAGTCCCATAGAGGTCGATGTGACGCCCCCAATGACTGATGTAAAGGTTTGACCATCAGACGTGTACATCGAGGTGCTGCCACCACTGAAAGTGAGGGCTGTCGTGGTCTGCGCCTCTCCCGGCCGTCCGATGTTGTGAATCGTGACCCGAACGCACTGTGCATTCTGTTGAGTCAAGTAGACACCAGAAGCGCACGACCAGAAGTAATCCGTTCCAGCCAGGTACAAGTTGCTGTCGCCGCAGACATACCATCCGTCCGGCCACAGAGCAGACTCGGGAGGAGTAGTAGCACCCTGAAGTTGATTGTTGTCAGCGATGAATAAGGTGTAGTTTGTATTGGCATCGTAGAGCACGTTGTCTATGAGCTTGAGGCTGAAGAGATACATGTTCGCAGCTTGCGATGAGCTGACCGGCTCGGTGTTGAAGTTATAAATGCCATCAAAAGAAGCATCGCATCCGGGAGGTGTGGTCGGGACCGGTGTGACTTCAGTTGAAGTGGCAGATGTCGAGGTCTGCACAATCGGCATCGCCGGTGCACTTGAAATTACAGGAGGAGCGGATGAGCTTGCGAGCGCAACAGTGCTAGTTGCTACAGAGCAAGATCTGGTGGTGCTCGAAACAGCCCGCGTACCCGTGCCATAGAAGTCGACTTGGATAGCCGCGATGAGAGCAGCATTCGGGTAGGCGAATCCCTCATTAGCGGCGCCCTTCAAGTAGCAGATGCCGGGAACAGGTCTTGTGTCATAGGTGAAGGCAGTGCATTCGCCATTTGCGCCGGACGAGCAAGCCTGAAAACACTCGCTGAACGTGCGCGCCTGAACACTCGCGCTAGATCCATAAAGCGTGTCGTTTCCGCAAGACATGATGTAGACAACACCACAGCCGTCTTCCACGTGAGCCCCATCATTTTCCGGGCAAGATGCCGAGGCTACGGAAATGGACGAGATCGAAGGCGACGGACTGCTGCCCACGGACGAAGTCATGTCGGCTGACATTGAGGAAGAGCTTGCCACTTCATCGCACATTCCGAAGTCTGTCTGGCATCCAGCATCACAGTAGCCAGGACCAGAGCCGCAGAACCCGTAGGCACTGCAACAGTTCCCATTTGGAGCTCCGTAACAGTTCAGGCCGCTAGTACCGCAAATGCCACTTGGGCTCACATTTGCGGTGGTTGACGCTGGAATCATCAGAGTAGAAGTGCTCGAAATTCTGATCAAAGATGCTGAACTCGAGACCATGCTAGAGACCATTGAACTGGACACCGGTGGATCACACATTCCGAATCCTACCTGGCAGCCAGCACCGCAATGATCAGAATCGGAACCGCAGTATCCGTATCCGCTGCAGCAGTTTCCGGCAGGCGCGCCGTAGCAATTGAATCCAGCAGAGCCGCCGCAGACCCCGCTGGGGCTCACATTAGCTGTTGTTGAGGACGGCATTGCCAGAGTGGAGGTGCTCGAAATTCCGCTTAAAGACGCTGAACTCGAGACCATGCTAGAGACCATTGAACTAGACACCGGTAGATCGCACATTCCGAATCCTGACTGGCAACCAGCACCGCAGTGATCAGAGTCGGAACCGCAGTATCCATATCCGCTGCAGCAGTTTCCGGCGGGCGCGCCGTAGCAATTGAATCCACTGGAGCCGCCGCAGACACCTCCTGAGTTCACGTTTGCGGTTGTTGAGGCCGGAATTGATAGAGTGGAGGAAGGCGCAAGACTTGACATAGCCATTGAACTGGTCGTGCTTGGAAGGACCGAGCTGCTCATAGCCTGTGTTGAGCTTGAAACAGCCGCCGAACTGGTCGGAGGAGCAGGTGCAGATGCTGACGGCGGTGCAGTCGAGCTGGACGAGGGCGACGTGGTAGTCGACGATGCAGCCTGAGCAGCAGAGGAAGATGGCCCCTGCGCTGGCGCGACTCCGTTCTGACGGATAGCGGCATTGGTGTCCGCGTTTGCACTGAGTGGCCAGCCAGGGTTCTTGATGTAACAAACGCCGCCACTGTCGTACGAGACAGCCCAGCAGCCGGAGGTATTGTCGCAAAGCTCCATACAAGTTTCAAACGAGCTGGTGGCTTGAACCAGAGGAGAGGGGCCGCCATAGTCAAAGCCACAGTAGATCGCATACGGCTGCTTGTTGGCGTCGGTGTAGAGCGTGTTGTTGAGGCCGGGACAGGAGGTAGCAGTGGCAGTCGGAAGAGCCGAGCTCGGTGCGGCGGAAGAGATCGGACCAGTATATGCAGTTGAAGAAGTGGTCTCGAGCGTAGTGCCTTGCCCTTTTTGAACCGAATTGGTGCTTGCTTCCCCGGCGACAGAGGTCAGACTCGTCGAGTAAGAAGATGTGGTTGCGACACCTGCCGGCATTTGATAGACTCGTAGGTAGTTGATGTCGAAGTAGGCCTCGGTGAGGTTCTGAGGGTTGTTGCCTACAAAGTCCGTGCAAGAGTCAAGCGACCTCGTCCGGCTGGCATTCTGAGGGCAGTTGGTCCACTGACTGTACACCTCACCGGCCCAGGCACCGCAGAAGTCGATGTTGATGATGACACTCATGTTCTGGAAGTGCGCATCAATATCGCAAGAGCCTTGCATGTTGACAGCCGGGGTGCCAAAGGTAGAGATGTCAGGCGATCCAGAGAGAATGCTAGCGGGAGTGCTTCCACGTGGGAAGAACCAAGTCTTAATGTAGTCTGATGTCCACTCGGTAGCATAAACACCACCTCCATTGCCGTTGAAGTTTGAGCCATAGTTGTCTGGCGGCGAAGTCGAGCTGACAAACTGCGAGCCGCAGCCAGAGTTTCCATTGACCGAGGAGTCGCAATTGCTGTTCTGCAGTTGCGTCGTCTGGCCACTACCAGCAATGGTACAGCCTGGACTCGTGTGAAGGGAAACGGTGTTGTTCTCGCTCGTGTTTATCCCCTCAATGATGTCGACTTCGCCGGTCTCTGGCCAAGTCGGGCCCAAAAGCCAATAGGCTGGCCAACTACCGCAGCTAGTGGGGATGTGGTTCAAATCCAGGACGAATAAGCCGTGCAGGTAGGTGTTCAGACTGGAGATGCGAACACTGGGACGGCCCATTCCACCCGTGGGCCAGATACCGGTCAAGTCAGGTTGTATCCTAGCCGTGCCTTGCGGTGTGGTCGAGACGTAGCCATTCTGTACAGCGACCGATTTATCGACATACTGGACGTGTCCATAGGTAGGATCGTAGGAACTGTAGAAGACGAACTTGTCGAAGAAAGTCTGAGCTGCGTAATCGTCGACCAACTGGTATGCTTCTGATCCAGTGGCTCCGCTTCCCTGTATGTAGCTACCACCAGGGGCGCCCTGAGCGGAGGCCAGAGAGAGGAGGGAGAGCAAGAGAGTCGCTATCCTCGCGGATGAGGAGGAGGGGGCCATGTCGACCGAACCAACGACGCTCTCCGCCGTTGTGAGAGATGCAAGAAGTTACAGACAACGCTGCTGTGACGCAGATGATACAAGGGAGTGTGCAGGGGAAGGAAGATGAAGAAAGCGTTGTTGACGGAGACGACCTACTTTTACATTCCAGCGTCTACCACAGGCCTGGGGGCCCATCTCGACCTCAGCATTCCCCAGCGGGCACGATGAAATTGGAGCACGTGCATCGACGATTGGTTTGTTTGCAGCGAAGTGCTTCAAAAAAAAAAGCAGACAGTAGTGAAGTGAACTGGTGCAACTCGGACATGTTGACTTGTCGAGATAGGTCTTTGGTGCAGTCACATCACAGTACGGGCGTTGTTGGCGTCGAAGTCTCAGGGCAAGAAGGTTCGTCGAGCACTATCGCGACGCATTCGGCCACACCATTGGAGCAGCGCGTGGGATAGTGCTCTGATACGCGGGATGGTGTGCATGTAGTGAGTCGCAGAGTGCATCGTGGAGGTGGTGGTGATGGGAAGATGGCGAGGAAGATGCTGCCGATGAAGAGCACGAGGTGTCGTTAGGTTTGAATGTGAGGTGGTGAAGTGGAAGTCAGGGGCGGAGGAAGACCTGGTCACGTGCTCACGCTCCACGTGTCCAGCTCATCACATGATCAACGCGTTGCTCCCAACTCTATCGTGTAGGACGTCGTTACTACCTTATACCTCGACACACATCACAACAAGATCATTATCCTCTACGCCTTCTTGACGATGCTATCCCGCCCCGCCACCAAGATCCCCCTCACCGCCGACGACGTAGCAGCGTACGAGCAACGCCAGCTGGCCCGCAAAGCCCGCAACAAGTCGCAGGAGCTGGGCGACTTTGACGACTACGGCAAGAATGACAGTACGCCTGAAATGACACCGGCAGAGGAAGCGAGAGCCGTCAAGGCCAAGATGAGCAGAGATCAACGCATTGGAGTCGGCGGCTCGAGAGGTTGATGCATTGGGGATACTATTCGGTACCGCAATGCAATACCTCCTACAACAGGCCAGAGCAGTCTGCTTCGAGCCACAAGACGAGGTGGACCAATTCCTGGCGTGCCCAGAGCCTCTCCTTGCTGCTGGTATGCTTGGCTGCATGCATTGGAGGCCAGAGGGATGAGTGCCAGCCGCCCGCATTCCAGCAACAACAATTGCTTCCGTCTTGCCATTTTCGCCCTCGACTATTCCAATTCTTCTCAGAGTACCTTGCGAGGCTTTTCTGCGTCCACGATCGGCACATCGCGCTCTGGCGCTCACACCTGTTATTCAACAACCTACTCATTATGGTGTTTGCTCACCACAGCCTGAGGGCGGCATCGCTCATTGCCTTCATCTTCCTGCTGTACACTCTGTTGCCAACCGCTCAAGCCGACCTCCATGTTCTTGATCTGGACGACTCGCTCAACGTCCCACTGTCCTCTTCGGAGATGCGCTTTGAGCTGAACGATGCCGGCAGTCCCAAATTGGGGCCTCGAATAGAAAAGTACGACTATCTGGCCGCGAGCGAGATGCCCGCCGATAGTCGCAAACTCGCAAAGCGTTATGGCTCTGGCGAGCCCTTCTGGTTCTCGCAGATCAAACGCCAAGGTCAACCTGCATATGGTCGCAATGCCACATATCAAGTCTTCCGGAACGTGTTGGACTATGGCGCCAAGGGTGATGGTATCACTGACGATACAGATGCGTTCAATGCGGCAATCGCGGACGGCAATCGCTGTGGATGGATGACCGGTGGCTACATTGGCGGGACCCAAACCTACGGCGGGTACTACGGGTGCGACAGTCAGACTACCACGCCTGCTATCGTTTACGTCCCCGGTGGTAGAACATACATGATCTCCAGCCCCGTCATCATGCTGTACATGACACAAATGGTCGGCGATGCCAACGATCTACCCGTCGTCAAGGCCACCGCCGATTTCTCGGGTATTGGTATCTTCGATTCTGATCCCTACATCATCTACCAGACCCAGTACTACCAAAATCAGAACAACTTCTATCGACACGTCCGCAACTTTGTTTTTGACACCACCGGCGTACCACCCACCACGCAGGTGCACGGTCTGCACTGGCAGGTTGCGCAGGCCGCCAGCCTCCAAAACCTGGTCTTCAACATGCCTGTGGGCACCCCGGGAGATGGCAACATGCACATCGGCATCTTCATGGACAATGGCTCTTCTCAGTTCTTCGAGGATATCATCTTCATTGGCGGTCAGTATGGCTTCTTCGCTGGCAACCAACAAATGAATATCCGCAATCTTACCTTCTACGGCTGCGAGACCGGCATCTACCAGAACTGGGGCTGGATTTTCGTTTACAAGGACATCACTTTCCACGACTGTGGTATTGGTTTGGACATGACCGGCACTCCGCACTCGGTCACCATCCAAGATTCTGACTTCTACAACACCCCTATCGCGATGACCACCAACTTCTCAGACTACAGTGTGCCCCCTGCTGCCAACTCGCTGGCCATTGACAACTGCTTCTTCGACGAGAATACTCCTATAGCGCTTGCAAGCGCCAACGGCAGTACCATCGTCACGGGAAATCGCCGTGTGGAGGGCTTCGTGCAGGGTACTTCCTACACCGCATACGATACCACTCACGTCGTTGGTAATATGGACTGCTATGGACCACAAACCGTATACTCCCGCGTGCAGCAAGAGCAGCCCTCCGCTCCAAAGGCCGCGGAGCTGCTCAACTCCGAGGGCAAATTTCCATCTAGAGGCCGGCCGCAGTACGAAGGGGTGCCGGTCGAGCAGTTCAAATCTATCATGGACTATGGGTGTAGCAATGATGGTGTCACCGACGTAACCACCTGCGTACAGAACTTCTTGAACTCCATCGACATCGCTGGCGGGGAGATTGCATTTATCGACCACGGCGCGTACGTCATTACGGACACCATCACCGTCCCCAACGGCATCCGTATGATTGGCGAGATCTGGCCCTTGTTCATGGTCAGCGCCGAGGCAGGTAAGTTCCAGGATCAATTCAATCCGCAAGCTGCGTTCCTCGTCGGTCAGCCAGGCGACCGCGGCGACACTGAGATTGTCGAGATCTTATTCGAGACTAGGGGACCCGTGCCAGGCGCCATCATGATGCAGTGGAACCTTGAATGCACGGGGCAAATCAGCTGTGGCGTGTTCGATTCCCACTGGCGTGTCGGAGGCAGCAATGGAACGCAGCTGCAGAATTACAATTGCATCAAGCAGCCCAATGTGGCCCACGGCGCAGATCCATCTTGCTGGGTCTCTTTCATGCTTGTTCACATCGCTCCGTCGGCACGGAACGTCATCTTCTCGCACAACTGGCTCTGGGTGGCTGACCACGAGCTCGACCTGGACGGCAAGGACCAGATTGATATTTACAATGGACGCGGCATGCTCATTGAATCGCAAGGGCCATTCTGGATGTACGGGCCTTCGAACGAGCACTCGGTGCTTTATAATACTCAGATCGCCAACGCAAAGAACATTTACTTGAGCATGGCGCAAAGTGAGACTGCGTAAGTGCCATTCCCCTGCCAATCCTCCGACTCTTGTTGCTGACGTTTTGCGCAGGTATATGCAATCCAATCCGAACTCGCTCTCCTCCTTCACGCCGCAGACGGCATGGAGCGATCCGACGTTCGAGGACTGCTTCAGCGCGCGCTGCTTCAAGACTCTCGGTCTGCGGATCTACAACTCTTCGTATGTGTACAACTACGGCTCCGGTCTGTATTCTTTCTTCGAGAACTACGACTCGGCCTGTATCACCACGCACAACTGTGACGAGAGGAGGGTCGTCATCGACAAGAGCGAAGCGGTGTATATGTACAACATGAACTCGATTGCCGCAAGCTTTCTGTTCGACGTTGACGGCACGGAACTGGTGCCGTATCTGAACAACCAGGGCACGTTTGCGGACACGGTGGCTTTCTTCGAGTACCCGTAGCGGAAAAGCGAAGCCTGGGAGAGACGATGTAGACGGGGAATGGATTGTACGAGCAAGCGTGATTGTCATATTTTGTAGGATCTGACCCTCTCATAACGGAATGAACTTGGTCGATCGTGCCATGATTGTCAGCTACTTTTTCTGTTCATTTGCCGGAAAAGCATTGTTCCGCAGCGAAAGACGTCAGGAGCCGGTAGCTCTCTATGACTTCCATGTCACCAGCATCAAACACCCGGAGCGTGCGCCAAGTCATGGCCATGGAAGCCGGACGCCTCTGTATGTTGCTGCCGGGCGGCGAGTGTCACGACCGACAAGACGGACGAGGAGGGCGAGCGTCATGCCGGCGACGGCCGAACAAGCCCCGAATGTGAGATTTTCAGTAGGATACACGGTAGGTGCTGTTGCAGCCGGTACACTGATCTGATGCCGCCCACTGCATTTTCCTTTCCCATCCGACAAGAGCCTGGGCGGGCCCAATACTGCGAGTATCGAGTGACTTGTATCGAGTGCAGGTGGAGATCGGTGCTTGCTTGGGACGGCAAAAGTTTTGCAGAGAAATCCTGGGCGGGCAAGCAGCTGAGCACCTCCACTTCCCGTCAACACGTCTTCAACCGGATCCGGCGCAATTTCATATTGGCACTCAGAAGAAACGACGTCTCGTCTGATCTTTCTTTCCATCGACGCCGTGAATGGCGGCTCTCACCGCTACACTCTTCGCCGGCATCGCAAAGGACCGCGTCACCAAAAAGCAACCTCCCACGCCCGGCGACCAACTCGACGCAAATCGCTGTTCGGCTCTTCACAACACGCTCCTGCTGTATGGCTGGGTCTGCTCGGGCAAGAAGATCTCGGCCTTACAGAAGCGATCATGGTGGGGCCGGAACGGGAACGACAACCTGAAGACCATCCTCCGCCCGATGGTCGTGCGATACCTGTCCAAGGTCTTCGATGTCCCCGGTCACAACTTCTTCTACCATGTCTCGGCGCTGCCGACCGAGAAGGAGATGCTCCAGCTGGGCGACCTGCTCGAAGACCAGGACCATGATGCGCGCGACGCGGAGAAATACCGCTTCATCATCCTCTACAAGAGCTCTCCCGCCTTGGTCTCCCAGCCGGCGGGGATTGTGTTCGATCAGCAGACGGGTAGGGCATTGCTGATGCCCACCTACAATCACCTGTTCGACCTGAGGAATAGTGATCTTCCCTGGCAGAATCTGGAAACCATCCTCAGCGCCTACATCGACATGGTGGAAGCCGAGAAAGCGGTGGCAATCCCCGACGCGGCGGGCACGGGAGATCCAAACGGCGCCGCCATACAGCCAAAGACCGAGCTGGAAAGCAACAAAGACTTCGTGAGGTACAAGACGCGTCCATGGATATTGCAGCCTTACACTCTCGGCGATCTGGAAGCTTGCCTGGATGTCTGGACGCGCCTAGTCGACGCGCTGGAAACGAGAGCGGGTATCAAGAAGAGTCGGCCGGATGCCACAGTACACCATGACTACGAACCAGAAGAAGAAGATGACGAATTGGCGCCTCTGTGTTCCCGAACTGCCCTGAACATCGCGGGTATCTCCAAAGGCTTCGCATACGAACTACTCTCGCACGCCCAGCAATCCCAAATCTGGTTCATCGCACCGGGCATCCGCCTGCCCAAAGTCGAAGAGTTCCTGCAACAACCCTTCAAACACATCCCACACGCATACCCGCAAGAGACAGCCGGCATGAAAATGCCCTTCCTCTTCCTGCGATGCCCGGGCACCGTCTCCGCCAAAGAGGCCAAATTCCGCTACCCCTTCTCGACCGTCGAAAACGTCCCCTGCGGCCTCTATCTCGACGCCTTCGCCAACGCCCAGAACCCCTTCGAGGACGCCTGTCGTCTCGTCCTCCCCATCAAGCTCGGCAGCAACAAATACGCGCGAACGTCGGATTTCCGGCCCATCCGGAAGAGTCACAGCGATCTGTACCAGATCGAAATCAACCCGTTCGTCATGAAGCATGGGCCCAAACTCCTCGCGGTCCTGGAGAATTGGCTGCAGTTGATCGAGAGCGGACACTGGAGTGTCAACGAGAAAGGCGTCGAGGGCGGTATTGGTGTTTGGAGGCAGGCGGATACGAGGGAGAATTGGTGGCTATATCAGGGCGCGCATTTGTTTGTATAGAGGCGAGCGAGCGACATGCGACATGTTTGTGACGACAGACTAAATCCATCAGTCAATCAGGACGGGTATCTATAGGAGCATGTCATTCAGTAGAAGATGAACCCGCAATGATTCCGTCAACAACAAGACTTTGCGAGAAGGGAAGGCGGAATATGAAGACTACCTCGAAAAGCTCACAATCAGCAAGCGCATTTCGAAGAGAAGAGAGAGAGAGAGAGACGAAAAGGGAAAAGACAAGAGGAAACTTCACTCTAGACTTGCTTGAAAACAAAACAGGTGCGGAAAATCTATGATATATACATCGAAACCGTCCCATCCATCTCCTCTTCTCTCCTCATCACAAACAACAACAACCACCCACACACATTTTTCCCACCGACTACCGAAGATACAAGACAAAAAAAAAAACCACCCACCCACTGCCTCACAAATTCCCCCTCAACTCCTGCTCCCGCTCGATAGCCTCAAAAAGACTCTTAAAATTCCCCGCCCCAAACCCCTCAAAATTATGCCTCTGGATAATCTCCAGAAACACCGTCGGGCGATCAAGGAGCGGCTTCGTGAACAGCTGCAACAGATAACCCCCCTCATCGAAATCGACCAAGAGATTCAACTCCTGAATAACTTCAAGAGATTCCTCCAATTGCAACCCGGAAGCCTTCAATCGGAGAGCCAAGGTCTCGTAGTAGGTAGGCGGGACGGCGATGAAATCGACGCCGCGGGCGCGCAGGTTGGCGACGGCGGAGAGGATGTCGGGGGTGCGCAGGGCGATGTGTTGGACTCCGGGGCCGTTGTAGAAGTCGACGTATTCTTCGATTTGGGACTTCTTCTTGCCGGCGGCGGGCTCGTTGATGGGCATCTTGACCCGGGCGTTGGGGGAGGACATGACGATGGATTTCAGGGCGGAATAGTCGGTGCAGATGTCTGTGTCGTCGACGCTCCAGAAGCGATGGAAACCGAGGCAGCGTTCGTAGTACTCGCAGGCGGAGTCCATCTGGTTCCAGTCTTGGTTGCCGACGCAGTGGTCGATTGCTTCGAGGGGGACGGGTGGGAGGTAGGCGTTGGCTGGGTCTGAGGAGAGGCGAGAAGCACGGTAGCCGGGAAGGAAAGCACCGGTGTAGGAGTTGCGTTGAAGGAAAGTGTGCGTCGTGTCGCCATAGGTCCTGATAGAAGCAGATAGGACGCTCCCTTCTTTCTCCTCGCTGGAAGAATCGACATGCGGTGCACACACCGACTCAGCCCCATTGGCAATAGCATTCTCGTATACCGCCCTCACATCGTCTACCTCAAACGCAACATCTCTCACGCCATCTCCGTGCTTGTCGAGATGATCATAGATCTCATCCAGTAGCCTCTGTTCTTCAGGCGGAGCTTCCCTCAACGTTTGTCGACTCGATGATCGAATGGGAGATGTGAAGACGAATCGAACGTTGTTGTTCTGGACGACATGGCTTGCGATGAATCGAGATCCGGTTTCGAGGCCTTTGTACGCCAATGGCTCGAAGCCCATCCGGGTGATATAGTACTGTGCCGTCTGCTTCGCGTTTCCCACCCACCACGTCACATGGTCGTAGCCCCGATATTCGACCTGTCGACTTGAGGGAGCCTGAACAGAATCATCCGAGTCGTAAAGTGGCGTTGTTCGACCACTCTCGGTAGTAAGAATAAGTGTACCTGGAGCCATCCTGTCAAAGAAAAGGGTCGTCAAGGGTCAATGGATAGAAATATGAGATATGCTCAACAAAGGGAGATCCCAACAAGACGAGAGATGAATGAGACTTAATACTCGCCTCCTCCTCCTCCCATCTCCCTCACTCGCATATCTGGTGATCGTCAGCAAATGGTCTATGAGATTTGACAAGCCTATGCCGAGGACCACGTGACTCGGCTGAAGCTAGAGCCGCAGCTTTCCGTCGGCTAGCTGCGCCTGTGAAAGAGAGAGCCGAAAGACTGGCGCGCGCCATGATAAGCAGTCCGGACGAACGAATTTCCCACGTCGTTAAGTCAGAAAACATACCTTCTCCTCATCCCAAGCCTCCTGTCAAGCATCTCCCTTCCTCAGAATTGATCCCATTCCTCGACCCAAGATGCAGCCCACAGTCCAGCTCTCCAAAGCAGACTCCAAAGTCCTCGCCCAAGTCTTCGATCCAGAAAGTTCTCCCAACAGACCAGAAGTCCTCGTCGATCCGTCACTCCCACCAGACGCTCGAATCCAGGACCAAGACCTCCTATCCACACTCAAAGCCCAGGAGAAACGAGCCATCCGGGTCATCGAAGAATACGAGAAGTCCAGAGGCACGTCGTCTCCATCCAAGGAGGCAGCCTATCTTTCCGCCCTTTCAATCTTGGACAATCTCATCTCTCAGCGACCCGAATATGCCTCGGCTCGTAACAATCGCGCCCAACTGCGGCGTTGGAGATTTGAAGATCGCCGCCTTCTCTTCTCTGCGACTAAATCAGAAGGGCTCGCAGCGGTACATGATCTCCAGACTTCCATTTCGCTAGCGTCACCTGGTCGACCTTCCGAAGCTGTCTCTCCAGGCCAGGGAAAGTTGTTGGCGCAGTCATATACCCAGTTAGCCGCAATTTACCATGCAGGGTCGAAGGATCTTGCGGAGGCCAGTAGCAACGATATTGAAATCGACGGAGAGAAGTGGACCGGACAGCGGTTCGAGGAAGAGGCGTCGCGCTTGTTCTATCTTGGAGCACTGTACGGCAATGAAGTGGCCAAGGCATTAGCAGTACACACGAATCCCCACGCAAAGCTTTGCGGGAATATCGTCAAAGAAGCCATGCGGAAGGAGATAGAAGGCGTATGAAGTCTACTGCGAGTCAGTCATAACCAACCTCCTGATTCTCAACAAAGTCAAGGGAATAATCATGTCTCGAGGAAGCATAACTTTCAAATACACCATACTATACCATGCTATACTACTCTTGGTCGTTGCAAAACGATAAGCAAGTCTAGAGGGCAGCACTGGATGTCACCAAATGAAAAGCGACAGGGCCCGCTGAACAGTGGTCGCCTTTTCCAGAGGTCGAGGAATCAGACCTCGAGGAGAAGGCGGCTTGCCACCACGAAGCGGCGACATGCAGAGCATTGGCTTACAACGGCTTGCCGCCGATGAAGTCGCTCCACCTGCGCACCTCGGGTGGTATTCCCTCGGACTTGGGTAGCTTCTTGCTCATGCACTGAGCGAAGAGGACGGCGGTCTGGTGATCATAAGTCAGTGAAACGGTCCATGCAAACATTGTGCTTTCTACTCACCCTTGGCTCCATGAACAACGGAACGCCAAAGTCGACCGCGTTACGCCTCATGACATAGTCTTCGTCGACCATGCTGCTCGCCCTGCGCTTGGCAAGGTTGAAAACGCCACGGATATCATACTTCTCAAACACCTCACGAAGAGCACGCTTGTCCTCTTTGGGGAATTCGATAACCTCCACACGGACACTGCCATCGTTGGAAGTCTTCTCGAGGTGCTCCTTGACTTCGTGGTTGGCGGCGTAGAGCTTGTACCCTAATGGGTTGAGGTAGTCGACAATTTGACCAAGATCAGGAGTCGAGGTGTCACCACCGAAGAGGAGGCCCTCGCCAGGCTCAGGAAGGCGGAAGTTCATTGTGCTCTGCATGGCAGTCCAGTAAGCCTCCGTAAGGTCCTTGCCGAAGCAAGCCATTTCACCCGTAGAAGACATCTCGACACCAAGGTAAGGGTCGGCACCGGCAAGACGAGTCCACGCGAATTGAGGAACCTTGACGGCTAGGTAGTCACGGCTGACCTTCATGAGGTCAACCGGCTCGGGGACGTCCTTGTCCATGAGAGCCTTCGTGGCGACTTCAATGAAGTTGGTTCCAAGTACCTTGCTGACGAACGGGAAGGATCGAGATGCTCGGAGGTTGCACTCAATGACCTTGAGGAGAGGCTCGCCGCCATCTGGGTTGTTCGCACTGATGATCTGCATGTTGAACGGACCGGTGATCTTCCACGCCTTGGCAACCTTTTGCGCAATCTCCTTGACACGATCAATGGTGCTCGTTGGCAGGTTGACCGGTGGCAGGACCAAGGAGGCATCACCAGAGTGAACACCGGCGTTCTCAACGTGCTCGGAGACAGCGTGGATGAGGAGTTTGCCGTTGTGAGCGACAGCATCACAATCGATTTCGAGCGCGCCCTCAATGAATTTGGTGATGACCACTGGGTGGTCAGGGCTGACGCTGCTTGCAGCAAGAAGCTTCTCCTCGAGCTCTTCCTCAGAGCGGATGACAGTCATGGCGGCACCGGAGAGGACGTAGGATGGACGGACAAGGACAGGGTAGCTGACCTCGTTGGCGAATTCCTTGGCCTCTTTGTAGCTAGTCAGTTCCTTCCAGGCAGGTTGGTCAACGCCAATGGAATCCAGGATTTGGGAGAACTTGTGTCTGTCTTCGGCCTTGTCGATATCCTCGGGGTTTGTGCCGAGAACCTTAGCCTTGCCAACGTTCTGAAGCTTGAGGGCGATGTTCTGAGGGAGCTGGCCGCCCACGGAGACCACAACACCGGAGGCAGACTCCAGCTCGTAGATATCCATCACACGTTCGTAGCTGAGCTCTTCGAAGTAGAGACGGTCGGGAACATCAAAGTCGGTGGAATAAGTCTCGGGGTTGTACTAGAAAGAGTCAGCTTTAGTTCGTTGGGCGAATTGATGGGCCAAGAACGCCTTGACGAAGGAGGCTCTCAGTCTCTCCTGGCCCTCAGTCTCTCCTGAGTGGGAAAGCCGCTAGTATCACGCAGCAATCTCTGCAGTCGCATCGTAAACGCGAAGGTTTGAGATGCTCGGATATAAAAGAAAAGGTATTCACACTTACGTTGATCATAGCCGTCTTCTTGCCCAGCTCTTTCAAAGAAAGCGTAGCATTGACGGCACACCAATCGAACTCAACCGAGCTTCCGATACGGTAAACACCAGATCCAAGAACAATGATACCATGATCATCAAATTTGACATCGTGGCTCGAAGCGTTGTAGGTCGTGTAGAGGTAGTTAGTGTCCGCAGGGAACTCAGCAGCAAGCGTATCGATCTTCTTGACCCAGGGCTTGATTCCAAAGTTCTTTCGGCGGGCGCGAACCTCGTCCTCAGAGCTGTTGACGGCAATCGCAATCTGCTTGTCGCTGAAGCCGAGCTTCTTGGCCTTGAGCATGAGTTCCTTCTTGACGCCAAAGAGAGAGCCGATATCCTGGAGTTCATGGGTGCAGTCAACAATGTTTTGGATCTTGTACAAAAACCACTTGTCGATTTTGCTGAGGTCGTGAACCTTGTCAACAGAGTAACCTTCGTGGAGCATAGCCTGTCCGACCGCGAGCCAACGGCGGTCAGTCGGGTTCTTGAGCACATCATCGAGATCGTCAAACTTGTCGCCTTGGAGACCGTTGAATTTAGGATCGACTTGACGGATAGCCTTCTGGAAGGACTCTTCAAAGGTACGGCCAATAGCCATAACTTCTCCGATGGACTTCATGGCGGATCCGATGGATCGGTTGACATTCTGGAACTTGGACAAATCCCATCGAGGAATCTTAGTAACGATGTAGTCGAGCGACGGTTCAAAGTTGGCGGTGGTCGTGCGAGTGACAGCATTGGGCAGCTCAGGAAGCGTGTGTCCAAGACCGATCTTTGCAGCGGTGTAGGCCAATGGGTAACCAGTAGCTTTGGAGGCAAGAGCAGACGAGCGAGAGAGACGAGCATTGACTTCGATGACCCTGTAGTCGAGACCATCGGGCTGCAGAGCGTACTGAACGTTGCACTCTCCCACAACACCGAGATGGCGGACAATCTTGATCGAAGCAGAGCGAAGCATGTGGTATTCCTCATCACTGAACGTTTGCGAGGGCGAGACGACAATGCTGTCTCCGGTGTGCACGCCAAGCGGGTCAAAGTTCTCCATATTGCAAACCGTAATGCAGTTGTCCGAAGCGTCACGCACGACCTCATACTCGGCCTCCTTCCAGCCCTTGAGCGACTTCTCGACCAAGATTTGGGGGGACAGGGTAAGCGATCGCGCAGCCATGTTCCGAAGCTCTTCAGCGTTGTCGGCGAAACCAGATCCAAGACCACCAAGAGCGTAGGCGGCTCGCACGATGATGGGGTATCCCACCTTGTCCGCAGCCTCCAGCGCCTCGTCGACAGTCGAAACAGCGATACTCTCGGCGATAGGGATGTCAATCTCCTTGAGGGCCTTAGCAAACAGATCTCGGTCTTCCGAAGTCTCCAGAGTCTTGATGCTGGTGCCCAGAACCTTGACACCGTATCGCTCGAAGATCCCCATCTTGTCCATCCTCACACCCAGATTGAGGGCGGTCTGGCCTCCAAAGGACAAGAAGATGCCGTCTGGCCTCTCTTTCTCGATAACGTAGGTGACATATTCGGGAGTAACGGGCAGGTAGTAGATTTCGTCGGCGAGCACGTGAGAGGTTTGAATGGTAGCAATGTTGGGGTTGATCAAGACCGACTGGATGCCAGCCTCCTTGAGAGCCTTGAGTGCCTGGGAGCCAGAATAGTCGAATTCACCGGCCTGACCGATGGAGAGACCGCCAGAGCCGATGACGAGGACTTTGTTGACATCGACGAGGTTCTGGCCGCCCGCAATGGCTCCGCTCTCGAGGTAGGCCTTCGCATTGGGAGCGACCTCTGCTTGGCTGGACGCGGCACGCTTTGTCGAGCGGGAAAAATGACGGATTGACTGCTGCTGCTGCAGGTTGCGTGCAGCTTGCTGGCGAGCAGACCGTGTCGTCGTCGTCGATTGGGAGACGAGTGTGCGTCGAGCGATGCGTGGAGTGTGCTTGCTCGCGTGAGCGAAGAGCTCCTGTGGCAGCTGGCGAGCGAATCGCCCGCTGAGCGCCATATTGTCACTGCCGCTGCCGGAGGCTTGGGCAGCAGAAGCTCTGTTGAGGCGTGTTACCTCGAACAAGAGCCAAGGCAGTGCTCAATGGCAGGTGGTGGTGGTGGTGGTGGTGGTGGTGGTGTGGGAGTCGGGAAGAAAGATGTGACTCGCAGAAATTCTCGTGGCCTTGCTGCGACAAAAAAAGCTTGAGGAAGCCGAGCTCCAGCCAATCACGGCGCCCGCGCAGCCCGAAAGCCTGATAGATAACAAAACGTAATTCGCGGAGACGAAGACGACGTCTTTGTTCTTGCCCAGCACCCAGAATGGATCCACGAGGCAGTCGGCCCGCACTCCCCTATACGTTGTGCGTCCCTCACACCAACGCAGTGCACACACACACCGAGCTGGGTGGATTCCCTCATATGCACATATGGGACCTCTGAAGAAATTTCTGAAATCCTGCACCTAACCTGCATGAAGCTCCACATGTCCCTGCAGCCTCCCGCATCACATGCGCTGCGATCTCGCTCTGGGCATTGGCCATGCAAGTGAATGAAGTAAAAGCAGCGGCTTTGGATTACTACTATTCCTCCTCCCCCGATGACGGCTCAGGCGACTTCAGCTAAACGAAATCCATCGAACGTCATTTATTTTCCCCAGTGGATAAAGACCCTGCGAACGATGTATGGACCTTGCTACATCGAGATACTCCACCTCAACACTCCACCTTAAACGTACTGCTCCCAAAATGAGTGCCCCTCACAGTCCCCGGCATCCCAAACGAAATCCTGACATCCGACTCCGAAGACACGCACGCATCCTGACCAAAAAAACCACATCATCAGCACCACCGTTCGTTCCCCTTATCTACAATTTCTCCAGTGATCAAGAAAACAGAAAAATTCAACTCACCCGATCATCGTCCCCAAAAACCACCAATGTACAAACCTTGCTATCAAACGTCTGCAGAACGAAACATGCCGCTTTCGCCCGATCCCCAGACTCCCCCACATCCTTTCCCGTCGTCACGTCATTCGTTACTTCACATTCACTACTTCCCACCCCTTGCCTGCGTGAACAATTAAAAAAAGAAGAACAAGCCAGGCACAAAAAACTCATCAGGATGACTTTTTAGTTATTAACGGACTTACACAGCAGCAACCAGGTTCCCCGTACACTCCAGCGCACCCCCTTTCTCATCCGATCCTTGAGGGTTTCCGTCGAAAGCGGAAACGAGCCAGCCATCGGAGCGGACGGCTTCGTTGAGGAATTGGAGATTGCCGGCGAGAGTCGAAGTCGCTAGTAGGAGGAAGATCCAGATGAAAGGAAAAAAAGTAGAGGAGATCATCATCTCGAGTTTTCCGTTCACGCCAAAAGAAAGAGATCGATCCCCGTCCTCCTAAGGCCTGGAACGACAACGAGGAGAGATATATGTTAAAGTCAGTCTCCCGAGATGAGAGGCGTATTCACTAGCTATAGTTAGTTCCTCGGATATCGAAAACTAGGCTCTTTTAATTGGCCGGCGGGTAAGTAAGACATGTGGCGGGGGCTGGTGTCTTCGACTTTGTAAGGTAACTTCTCCATCTTCTTGTCGATTATATCGCTTAAACTTTGAACAAAGTATAGACATTACGCTTGTACGGGGCGCCGGGGACTTGTAACTAGACTTAGTAGGCAGATATCACAATCGAAAGCGCTACGATTCTTTTGAAGTCTTGAAGCTCTACTACATACGCCAGACGGGGCCCCTGGTTGCGTCCGAGCTTTTCGATGTTCGGATAACGTTTACTCTCGTATTCTTGTCAGGTGCCGTAGACTTTTCTGGCAGGCCGGGCTCTCCGCAGAACATGGATCTAGGATCAAAAAGGGCCCCGTCTCATCACAGAGAGCTTCGAGATTCTGGCTAATTTCTCGATCATCATCACAATGAACGAGCTCTGGGCGTGGTATCTAAGGCATCAGCTAGCACAAATCACCAAGTCATGAAATGAGAAGAGAAGAGAATCGTCAGAGAGTAAGATATTGTTCCTCGAACCACCAAATGATGCTCATGCTCATGCTCGCTCATTGTGCATTGTAGCACGGGTATATCTTTCTTCCCTTCTCCCCATCCGAAATCGTCCTCCCACGCCAACTGATAATGATGATCGCCTCAATCCCATCAATGCCACACGCAATCTCGCTCAGCTCTACGCTGTGTAGTCCCAGACCCCAAAACGCCTTGGAAATGCATTCGAAGATCACCCTCTCAGTGCAACTCCGTCGCCTCTTTATAGCTTCTTCCGGTAGAGTTCACCGCCACAGTCGCGCAGCCGCTTTGCTGCTTGCTCAGGTGTGATGTCTCGCTGCGGCTCCGCCATCATCTCATAGCCCACCAGAAACTTCCGCACCGTAGCGCTCCTCAGCAAAGGCGGGTAGAAATGGACGTGTAAATGCGAGGCTTCTATCTCCTCTTCCGCGCCGGTCAGTGGTGCTTGGTGGAGACCCATGCCTACAGAGGTAGTTAGTGCCAGCATTCTCCGGTCTTCGGGCGAGCAATACTCACTGTAAGGGAAACTCGTCTCGAACAGGTTGTCATATCTCCTCGTGATCTCCGACATCACCTCCGCCAGATCCTCCTTCTCGGCCTCGCTGAGATCCACGAGTGCTCGTTTGTGTGCCTTTGCGACCACCATGATCTCGAATGGCCATGTTGCCCACCAAGGACAGCCTGCCCAAAAGCTGCTGTTCTCGTACACTGTTCGCTCGCCATTCTCGCTCTCCAGTTTCGCGTAGTCGGCAAGCAGGTGGGTTCCACCATGCTCCTTCCGATATCGTTGAAGATTCTGAAGCTCCATGCTGGGTTCTTCCGGCAACGAAGTGGTGGTCCAAATCTGGCCGTGAGGATGTGGATTGGAGCAGCCCATGGCACTGCCCTTGTTCTCAAAGATCTGCATGTACCGGAACTGCTGACTCGCCTTCTCGACTACATTGCCATTGGGAATAGAATTTGATTGAGCAGCCTTGTAGAGCGACGACTGAGGATCCAAATGTGAGGTATAGATCTTGGTCCAAGTTTGAATCACAGGTAGAATGTCTTGAGGTGGCATGTCGGCAAGAGTCAGGTTGTGTGCCGGAGAGAAGGTAATCACGTAGCACTTTCCGGTCGTGCTCTCTGCTTTCAGTAAGCGCGAAGCGAGAGCTACTCCGCTGTTAGCATTCCCCAGGCATCTCCTCTGTGACGGGCTAGTCTTACAGCCATCTTCTTGAGGAGGGTTGTATTCTGCTTGCTGCTCCTTCACTGCCGAGTAGTCGTTCACGAAGACGAACGTGCTGTCGTACTTGGGGTTGGCGTCGCCCTGAGCCCGCTTGTTGCCGGGGCAGAGATAGCACTATGGTTCTAGTCAGAGCCATTATCCACTGTTATGCCTCCTATTACACTTCTTCACATACCGCAGGATCGTAAGCTGGCAGGATGTTCTTTGAAGCCTCCTCTTGCTGGCCCTGCCATGGCCTCTTTGTTCGATGAGGTGACACTAGCACCCAGGAGCCTCGCAGAGGATTAAAGCGGCGGTGGGAGATGTCATCGAGGATGTTGTCCGGCATGTTGGGCTTGCAGCCGTTCATGGGCGTATCGCAGTAGGAGATTGGAGCTGCTGGCACAATAGTGTCAGGCAAGTCATCTGCGGCAGAATGCTTCTGATGCATGGTGTGGGAGGGAAGTGTTGGCAAGAAGAACTAGACAGGTACTGACAAGGCAAGCTGTGGGAGATTATGCGAGCTCAAACCACTTCCGCAGCGTGCTGCGTACGCGGTGGACGGTCCCGATGAGCAGCAGCAAGTAAGCCTGGAAGTAGGAATAGATCCTCGGCGGACTGGCTGGTGGGAGTGACGAACTAGGGTCTGGCGGATAAGGGAGCAGTGGTCGACTCAACGTGGAGGGAAGGTATCGTGCCGGGCAGAAGCAATGGCGTTGTTTTCGGTAAGTTGGCGCGCGGTGGTATGCGGTAGGTATCGTGGGAGAGAGACGTGCCCCCAGCCGAAGTGGACACAAGTATCCTGGAGAGCAGGTTTCGCAGTCGAGCTGGTGGACGGTGGCCGACGAGCTGGTGCTGGTGTGGATTATTGGTGGAAGTGGATGTGGAGGGGCACGCGTGCCATTTGCATGTGATCTCCACATGCCGACACCACTGCACCAGTACTCCCACCTTCCACAGACCGACTCCCATCAGAGGGACGCCGCGAAGTGCTGCCGTCTGGCTGATCACAGCAACAACAATAACAACAACAACAACAAAGATCAAACGGTCCAACGCTTCGTCTCCTCCGTGTGGCGAGCGTCGTCCACGCCCGGCCGGCATCCCAGCCACGAACGTGTCGCGACGCCATCGCGTGTTCCAGCTCGTGTCCATGCGATATAAGGAGTCACATCCTCCACCCCTAGCCCGTGATACACCACGCGTCTCCGGCTTCGTCCGGGAACGCATGGCCCACCTGGCATCTCAGGGACCGTCAAGCCCACCATCAGCGATCGTTGGTGGAAAGGAGGAAAGGTGGGAGACGCGCAAAGTGATGAGCAGAATCGCCATGTGAGCGACGTGCACAACGCCGAAATCAGAGAAAGAGTGGCAGGTGCCGATCCAAGCTTGCCGAAAGTCTCCGCCTGTACCACTTGAGGGACGACACGCAGGAATACTCTAGTTAGTGGAAGAAGGACGCGAACATGTTCAACACACGGTATACATTAGATGGCTGCCTATTAACTGCCAAAGAGTCATATCTCGCCTGGAGTGCAGCTACCCATCTCCAAAGCTTCCCCTTTTTGTCCCCTCGCAACACGGCCGGATCTTGAGAGTAACAGATTCAGTACACAGTATTCATCGCTTTTCTCGCTTCCATCCAAAACAGCAGCAGTACTTGAAGCAAGTAATAGCAGTACAGAGAGACAGCCGACGGGCGTAAGTGATCGAAAGCTATCCAGAGACAGCCCATGCCAAAATAACAGCAAGCAAAACAAAATGTACAAAACATCAACCGATCGGCAGCTGACATGCCGACGGGACGAGAAAAGGGTATCGTGTGCGTACTCAGACCGCAAGCAAAGGCAAGCAAGCAACCAGCGCATAGGAATGGAAAAGTCTACTTTTCCCGATCCACGTCTCGCCCAAACGCCTTGCAGGGGAAGAAAGCGAGTCCGGTGATCGATCGGCCGTTAGAGCCATGTACAAGGAGCACAGCCAGTGATGCAAATGCAGCTCTCTTTCGTAGGAGGTCGTGAACGGATTTCGTGACGGCATGAAGGCGCGAACCCGGACCAGCAGTTCGCTCGTGTATTGACAATGCAAATGCAGCACATTTCAATCAAATTATAAACATCAACACGAAGCTGTACCGAGGTCCTGCTATACCCTGGGCGGGCTCGGCCGGCCTTCTAAGTTGTGGAAGAGCGTCTCCGGCGGCAGTCGAGCAATGTTCGAGCTCTTGTCCGCCGAGATGGGCACGTAGCCTTCCTTTCGCTTCCTGCGGCGCTCCAGGAGAATGCCTGCAACCACCATCAGGAAGATGAGGCCAGCCGCAATGGCGAGAGCGATGCCTACAATCGCGCCTAGCGAAAGATGGTGATTGCGTTCGTTGATGAAATTGGATGGGTTGCTGACGAAGATGGCCGAGATGCTACCTTCACTGCCATCGTCCATATTGGTGAGCATGAATGGCTCAAACGTAGTGCCATTGAACAGGACAGCACTGGCATTACCCTCGTTGGGAATGTTGATGTTACCCATGATCATCAGCATTTGGTCCGAGGCCATGAGGGCACTATCAGCATGGTTTCCGCTCGAGCTCAGCGGCATAATCTGTAGCTTGCGGATGATGCTTGCTCTGCCGAGGCCTCCTGCGCCAGTCCAGGTCCCGTCGGCATACTTCGACAGGTAGACCGAATTGTTGCTGGTCGCGACGCCGCTCACCCAGAACTCGGTATATTGAGTGTTAACCGCAGTGATAGCAGAAATCGGACCCGGAAGGCTGCTCGCACCCGTGTACGGAGTGAACGTCTGCTTCTTGGTGTTGTAGGTGGCCATCATCGTCGGATTGCCGTTGATACTGAGATTGCCGGCGATTACAAGGTTCGTGTTCGATGCCCATATCATGGAATTGATCGTTCCAGAGAGGCCGTCGCCGACGCTGAGGTATTGCCTGGTTCCCACATCATATGTGCAGAGTGTGCGGCAAGGAAGCGATCCTGCTGTCTCGAAGGTTCCACCGATGAACACCGTGTTGGTCTCCGGCTGAGCGGCGATGGCGTTGACAGAGACATCGTCGCCTCCGAGAGCGGCTGGATGTGGCGAATAGTACTGATTCAACGACAGGTCGTACACCACGAGGCCCTGTGCGTTGGCGCCATTAACAGTGCCGTTGACAGCGCCTCCAGCAAACAGTAAAGTGCCGGTGAAGTCCACGGCGACAAATATCGAGTCCTCATCCAGACCATTCACGCCGTTGACACTCTGAGTAGATCCGGTGTTATTAATGAACGCTAAGTTCCTGATCTGAGAGCCATTGCTAGCTGTCGCCTCAAAATTGCCGCCAAGAACGGTGATGTTGAGATTGTTGTTTTGATAGAAGATGCCATCGTATACGCCAGTGTAATTGTGCCCAGAGGAATCCTGAGTTGGAATCGCGCGCTTTCGTTTTCTCGACGAGGTCCCGTTGGAACCAGAGCTCTGCTGAAGTTCTGTGCCGAGGGATTGCAAAGTAGGCTGACCTGATCCAGCCATAAGTTCTACGACGTCACTGAAGTCAAGGCCTTGAGATGAGATCATGCCTCCGTAAAGCGGTGATGACATCTTCGGCACCTCAGTGTACGCAGTGAGGCGACCGTTGAGCGCTGCGGTCGCGTCGGCAAGGTTGTGCAACCAGTTATTGCGGCTTGGAACCCACACAGCAAACCCACTGACGGTGAAAGCACTGTTGCCGGAGAATGCATTGACGTTTGAGAAGTTGCCGGTAAGCGCAAAGCAGTCCTGGAGGTCGTTGGCGCTAATGTTCAGTCGGAGCGGGACCACATCAAACACGGCGCCATCGACACCGGCGCCAAAAGCAGACCACCTCCTGTCAGGGATGGAATAGGCCGCAATGTTGTTCAAGCCAGTGATGGTGTTGTCTGCGGTGTTGCTGAAGACACCTGCCATGTACAGTGTGCTCCCATTGAGATACATGTCCATGACTTCACCATTCAATCCACCGCCAGACAGGGCAGTCGCGTTGTCGGTGATGGCCATAACATTGGAGATGCCGTCTCGCTTGAAGTTGCCTGCCACATAGGTGGTCTCATCATACTCAGCAAGATCATTGATCAGAGCGTCCGTGTTCAAGGATGCGCCAGCCCTATTGATTGCAGATGTGGAGAAGTCCTGGCTGTTCGAGTTTGGCTGATTGGGATTGTACTCATACAGCCCATTCAGTCCGCCAGTGGAGTTGATCAGTTCGAAGCGCACTCTAGACGCGACCACTGTTAGTGGAACCGACTGGCCTGTAGCAGGCGAGAGTGTTACAGATGGACGGAAGTCGCCGCTGCCCACGTCAATATAGCCGTAATAGATCTGGTCAAACTTTTCGTAGTTGTTGGTCTGAAACAGCGTGGTGGTGGTAGGCTGGTTGGTGGAAGTCAGCGAGGCCGTTATGTTGACTTGACCGCGGGTGGAACAGGTGTTATCCACGACGCAACCTGGAGTGTACACCAAGACCGAGTAGTTGCCGGACTGCGCAAGGTTTGGCCGGAAGACAACGTTGGTATCCGAGCTGATCTGTGTTGAGGTATCCAGTGCGGCCAGCAGGTAGTCGGACGAGGTCTGCCCAAGATTCGGCTTCCGCACCCAAGTCGAATTGGGCGAGGCAGTGGAGCTGGAGGCATTGCTGATGCCATCACACTGCGGCTCGTTAAACGTGGAGACGGCGTAGCTGTAAATGTCATTCTGGAAGAGCTCAATGCCGGCCAAGCCAGCACCGGAGCCGTAGAAACCAGTGAGCCAGATCCTGAATACACTCAAACCGACTGGATTGACAAAATGAAAGTCCTGTGCGGTACTGTTGTTCTCGGGTAGCGGGCACACGCGGTCACAGTATGCTTTCTGTCCAGTCGATGGATCCGTGTAGGTTAGGTTTAGGATACCGCCATCGTCCATATTCTCAAAGTAGAAATTCCTGGTGCCACGCCCGCCTTGCACGTTATACAGTCGGAGTTTGGTGGGGATGAAGCCGAAGCCATACGAGCCCTGCCACCAGCCTTGAACGTTGTCATTCAGCGTCCACGCGTTTCCGGACTCCGCAGTGCTGCAGATGATGCTTCTGGGATCCGCAGAGTCAGGAGCACCGGAAGAAGTGATGTTACCACTCCCCAAATTAACAACCTGCGCATCCGGTGTCGTCGGCGTGGAGGCATTGCCTAAGCCATCAAAGCTTCCTCCGAAGACGAGATTTCCGGCGGAGTTCTTCGTGATGGAGTTGACAGGTCCGTTAAATCCCGCGAATGGCAGGTTCTGCCACTGCGTTGTCCACGCCATCGCGTTGTTGGAACTTCCAGCCATGAAGTTGCCTCCGACGTAGACGGTCGTTGAGTCGGCGTCACAGTAGAGAGCGCGTACCGGCCCCGTAAGTCCTGAAAGCGGTGTCACGGCAGCGGTATTGGGGTTCCACAGAGCGATGGAACTTGCCTGCACGCCTGCAAGACTGGTGAAGTTGCCGCCGACGACGATACCGCGATCATTTCCATCGCGTCCGATGAAGGGACACATTGCTGCTATCGAAGCGTCCGCGTCGACCAGTCCAAGCGACTGGAATGCGCCGTTTGGATAGCGGGCAAGTAGTGACTGGCTGCCATTGCTCGACAGGTTCTGGTTCTGTCCTTCATACGTCTGAATGGAGATGCTGTCGAAGTCGCCTCCCACCGCGACGCGCCCCAAACTTCCGAGATCGAGATGTGGTGACGATAATGCCGTCTGTGTGAACTGTGCATCCACGCCACCGATGCCAAGCAGGGGTGCAGTGAGAATGTATGCCGCCAGCTCTGGCCCTACGGCCAGCAACTGCGACACCAAATTCCTCATCTTTCCATCCGGCGTCCGCCCACTGTTCTTTCCTCTGCTACTGCTCTGCCCGCTGCTGGTAGCGTACGGCTTACCTGATGATGATTCGATGCCTACCAGACGTCGGCGTCGGTAGTATTGGGGATGAGTCGCGTACCCGGTTTGATGAGATTACGGCGTGAAAGGAGCGTGGTATGGATGTCGAGGTGAGGATAGGGAAGAAGGTTGGGTGTGGAAGTCCTTCAGGCGGTCATTAGGCCAAGTCGGACGTTCCTCTTGAAAATCGCGCCGATCTTGTCTTGAAAATCGCGCCGATCTTGAAGGCTGCGCCCGCGATGTCGGTCGACGGCAAGCACCAGGCCGCGGGGAGATGGAGGCGGAGGGTGGATGGGATAAAGAGTGACTGTGGTGAGTAGATGGGCAGTAGATGGAGTTCCGCTGGGCCTGTCCGCGGTGATGTTGGTGGTGTCAACGACGAGGACGAGCGCGCGAGAGTACAGGAATGTGTCGGACAGGAGATGCAACTGAACTCTCTTTCTCTAACGGGCTGTGGGTCCAGTGCTGACGCCGCCAATCACAAGCGCGGAATGCTCCAGCATAGGCTCGGCCGCGTCCGTGCCGAGATTGTTGCACACGGCAAGCGCGACCCTACATCCAACGCTTCACCCCCTCAGATGAACCCGCCCGTCTGTGAACGATTCCGCGGGTGTACGTTTGCATGTGCGCTCTCACTCGTAGCGACGTGCTTGTTGCGAGCAAGAACAGTCACAAGAGTCACGAGTGAACATTGAATGTTTCACGCTCCGCTGACGTTATTTCCCGCGAGACCCTCCCGCCGCCTTCACACAACTTGGAAGGATCCGACCCCCCGAAGCACGTAGCACAGCCACGCAAACCCTCGTGCTTGGGTCCTTGGTGAAACGCAGGTTTAAGGATCGCAGCGGAGACGGACAGGGCGATGACGACGGCTATGGCAACATTGCTGTTCATGCAAAACGAGAAGGGTCCACAGTGTGCACAGGCTGCTCCAACTGTCGTCTCCGGCATCGTCGAGCTTGTCTGTATGTACCTTCTCTGGTTCTGTATACTCTGTGTTCGATGGTCACGGCAGCCGCCACCGAAGTCTCACTCCCAAGGGGAAATTCGCAGGGTCGATCCACCTCCGATTGTTGTATCACCTCTCGTGCTCACAGTGTAACAAGCGGCGTCCGTTCCTGCCTCGGGCAAACGCGTCCTTCCGTCCTCACCACTTCTCACATGTCCGCCAGCCTCTGGTGTCGTTGGCAGACTTTCCGTGGCCAGCCTTTATTCACTGCTTGTAGAGGAGAGGGCCAGCCGACGCATGTTCTCCTCGGCACTTCGGGTGCGCTGCTCCTCACGTTCGATCTCGACACAGGCGCACTTCATCTGTCATCGCCGTCAGCACACGGCTCCAGCAAGGGAAATCTACCAGAGGACACTCACTGCCACGGTCTCCCACGTGCCCATGCCGGCCTGCACGCACTTGCCCATCTCCTTGACCGCCGTAGCCTGTCGAGCGGCCACACTCTGATAGCAGCGCGTTGTCTCGGCGTCGTCCTTGTGTGATATCTTGCTCAGCTGGCCAGCAGAGAGCCGCTCGCGAAGCTTGCCCGGTAGGATGAGCCAGTTTGGATCCTTTGGGTTGTGACCTCCGTAGATGTCTGGCATCCAGTCGCCGTGGACATAGAAGCAGACTTGGCGAGGACACTCGGCTCTGCTGTTGGGGCTCAGGTCACACTGCCGGTGGGTGCATGGCACCTCACGCAGGATGCACTCCTTGCAGACCGAAGCCTCGTTGCAGCGGATGCCATGCGAGCTGTAGTAACACATCAGTATCCGCGCGCCCGAAAGCTGGGTCCGGCTTCAGGCCTCAGGCTTACCGGCAGTGGTCGCAGACAATGAACTGAGACTTGTCCTTGGCTGACGAACTGGTGTCGCGGAAAGTGAGAGGGTCGACGAAGTTGGTGAACTTTGGTGGTGAAGTGCCCTGTCCCATCGTCAGTCAATTTCCCTCAAAACCTCCTTCCACAGTCTGCTCACCTGTGCGGACAGGTCAGCGCTGTCGCGCAAGATGCCAAGCTCGGCAGCTCTGGCACGGAGAGTTTCGTCGAACGCCTTGGACGTATTTGGTCTGCTTGTCTTTGTGGGAGATCCATTGCCGTCGCTAGCGGCCCACGGATTCGTGACCTGGCGGTTGTGAGTTGAGCTTGCGCCATCTGCCTCCGCGGGGGAAGCCTTCATGACCTGGGGCGGAGCGCCATCGAGGACTCGAGTCGGAGAGGTCTGAACCGGAGGTCCTGGATCCGCTCGCAGGTCGCCCGTAGTATGGTCGTACATCTGCGGCTGGTGGACACGATGGAGCAACAACTGCGCGTCGCTCAGGAGGTTGGTCGCCGCAGCAATCTTTTCCACCGCGGCTCTCTCGCCGCCCGCGAAGGAAATGTTGGAGACGGCGGCATGGATGTGCTTGCGCGCCTGACGTAGGCTGAGGCAGGTGGTGCAGTCGCAGTCGATCGTGCGGCGGATCGTCTGTTGGGAGGACGCCATGTTCGGGTGTGGTGGTTAGACAAGATGCAGTTGTAGAGTCGAATATTGGAAAGGCCAGTGTAAGGTGATGATTGTGGTGGAAAATGTAGTAGTGGAGTAAGCAATGAGTTGTGGCGATTTGGGGATAGGCAGTGAGGTGATGTTTTGAAGTGGTTGCTATGTTTGTCTCCACGCGGCTGATGTTCAATACTCCTGATCACATGTAAATCACCTCAGGACAAACAACACCCCCCGCAAACCAAATGCACAGTAGCAAATGCTATGAGCAAGAAGACGCCTGAACTGCAGTCCTTTTCCTATCAGCGCTGTAAGACAACGCGACATGCGAACACATGACTTGTGCATACCGTGTTTTAGCGTGCCGTTCACGCGCCTGCACAATGACCATTGTCGCCTAACAATAGCTTCCATCAGAGTATGACTTCGCCGAGCTTGTTCTATCAAGACGGCACCTGCATCTATATCCATTAGGTCGCGGTGATTTGCCGATCTCCGAAGAGTCTTCGCAATCTTCGTTCAGAGAATCCTTCCTCAGCCGTCACACCTTCATCGAGGCCGATTTGTCCGCTTTCGCCATTCTTCTAGTGTCGTGTATCTATCCATTGTGTGCCACATCCTCGGCGTCTTAACGAGCTCCGCTTTACCTTTCGACAGTCCTTTGCCCGAACCTATTTATTGCACCATGATCCTCGAAATCGATCTTTTGCCAGTCGAGAGCCGATCCTTCCGTCGCCTAGGTATCCGCGAAGCTTGCCTGGCAAGACAAAGTAGCTGGAGACGGGGAAATCATCGCAATGTGTAGGAAAATGATCTCGGTCTAGGTATCGGCAGTTCAAGTTCGAACAGTGCTCACGACTTTCTGGACTTTTCCGGCACAATCGATGTACACAGGCAGTCTGACTTAGCTGGAACTGGTCGCATATGGGAGCCTTGTCGCAGGGTAAGCCATGACTCCGACAACGATCACAGACCAAGAATTCGTTCTGGCGGGTTCAGGCATTGGTCCGACCATGATCTATTCCATTTGGGTCTCTACCACCACCGTGCTCGTACTCGCCGGTGCCTCGATCGATCGAGTCATCTGTTTCTGCTAGTGGGACCGATTCCTGCTGACGGTCATAATCCTGTTGAGACCCAATTCATGCCTCGTAGATACGACTCACAGCTTGAGTAAGTGTGCGTCCTGTTCGTGTCTCGAGCTCGTGGAGTGCTTCTACTTTAAGCACAGCTTCGTGTGCAGTCTTAAAGCGCTCGCAGCCAGTGTAATTGGATCCTTTCAGTTGTGTGAAGCCTGGTGGCCGCGAGATCTCGTCATTTCGGCTGATGTGCGTTTTCGATTGTCTTGTGTGTTGTGGTGTTGTGAAGCAGGATCAGATCGAAAGAACATGGAAAATTTTCAAGATGTTGTTGTTGTTGTTATCCAGAAGCTCGCTTAGGAAAGTTAAAAGCGGAGCGAAGTGGTGCTTTCACATGCGAGCTGACTTACGCCAAGAATTCCATTCCTTGCAGCTTTTGCCATTACGAGTCACACCCATGTCGACAATGCCGCCGCTACCGTTTTCGGTGCTTAGACTATGCGAATCCAGGCTTTTACGAGATAGCGAGGCGAGGGCCTCTTGTGCACACCACACGTGGCTACGTTGATCGACGTATGGTGCTACTCTTTTGCTCATGCCTGCACTCGGAATGTCCTTCCACTCGCGGTCTTTCTCTCCTTCTCCTCCGTCTCTGGTCGAGCCCTTCGCAACACTGGTTCATTGTCAGTGACATCATCGAATACGGGGTGCAATGTTGGGCTGTACCTTGTAAGAAATCCGCAGTCCGTCTCCTCATACGGCTGTGTATGTATGCCTTGCTGGCCTTGATGTGATAATGGAAGTAGTCGCGGAAGGTCTGAATGTGCGAAATGACTTCGTAACGGCGCTGCTGGGTCAAGTGGCGAGGGAAAAGCACTACGCAATCGTTGTCAGCCAGCACACCACAATCTCTGCAAGATGAACATACCAAAGGTAATGTAACCAACTTCTCCTTTTCCAGCCGGCAAACCCTGGATGCCCTGCAACTCCATTGGCGGATCGTTGCGAAACAGCACTTGTGGAGCATTCTGGATTGCTCTTCGTCGAGCATCAACAAACTCCTGTAAGAAGACCTTGCCGAAGACCCTATCAGTCTCGTCCGAAAAGATGGTGCTGAAAATGACCGTCACTCGGTCGTGAGAAGCTTTGATGTAAATAGCCTCCTGATCTCGGTAGTGTATCGCCCTAATCTCACCACCTTCCTTCACGCCTTGAGGCGCAGTCTCGCTTGTGTACTGTTTTGCTTCCTCGGCTAGCGACGCGTATTCATCAAAAGCCTGCTCAAAAGGTGCTGCTATTGCGTTGCGTTTCAACAAGCTTATCCGTCGAATCAAGTCATCCTTCTCTTCTTGTGCTGCCGGTAGTTGCTCCAGATCTACTTGAATGGAGAAGTCGTAGCCTTGCTCGGGAGATACGATGAAAGAGCCGTACTCGCGCTGCAGTACTGCCTCGGCGCCATACTTGACAAGCTCCGGCCAGCACTTCACAGCGATGGAGATCAGGATTTGGGTCTTAGCGTTGGGAGTTGAGATGTGGAAGGTGACATTGTCGAAGTCGGAAACCACTTGATCAATCGAGGTCGGCGGTGAGCTAGAGCAATGTCAGTCTCCATCTGCTTGCCGTGGGCGTTTATGGTCCCATACTCTGGAGAAAAGCGGTCTTTCAATAACGACTCGATGAGGACGTTCTGGTAGTCCAGAAGAAGCATCGTGTTGGACAACGAATGGTGAAACTCTTCGGGTATCCACGAATTCGTAAGTTGGCTGATCGACGACCGTGAAAGAGAAGTTGTTCGGCTGGACGCTACTGCCTTGTGTTGCTACGCAATGGCCAGGAAGTCGATGAAGTGGGCTGCTGCGGCTCTGCGGATCGTGCCGCAGCCCAAAGCGAAATGTGGGGAAGCGAGCCTGGCGATCAAAGAAAAGTTGAGCACGTTGAGATGACTTCTCTGCGACAAAATGGTTCGCTCATATCGGTACGTGTGGCCGCGCACAAACCCCTCAAACTATACTAATGGCCAGATAGAAAGTACGAGCCGGCTAAAACATTCGGCACTGTCAATACTGGGACCTCGAACTCAGTCTGGACCGCCGATCAATCGAGTCGAAATCGAAATGCTGGCTCTGGACGAGCTTTCGTTGGCGCAAACGAAGAGGTGCTATGCTGGGACGTAAAGAAGGGGGAATTGTTGTCGCGATGGCACGATAAAGACAACCGAAGTGCCGTCACATGCATATCGCAATGCCACGTCCAACCAGACCTCCTCGCAGTCGGATATACAGACGGTTCGATACGAATATGGGATGCTCTGTCCGGACAGATTGTCGTCAGCTTCAATGGACATCGCAGTGCAGTCACGCTCTTGCAATTCGACCGTGAAGGCTCGCGGCTCGCTAGTGGCAGTAGAGACACCGATATCATCGTATGGAACCTGCTCTCCGAGACTGCTGAGTTCAGACTTCGCGGGCACAAAGATCGAATCACCGGTCTTTCATTCCTACGTGCTCCTGTGTCGGCTCAGGCTGACATGTACGATGGCGTCGCTGCAAGCGAGCAGGACTACGAGGAGCGGTACCTACTGTCTACTTCAAAGGACGCGCTCATCAAGATCTGGGACCTATCGACACCACATTGCATAGAAACACACGTCGCACAGACTAGTGGCGAGTGCTGGGCGCTCGGTGTCAGTCCAGATGGCGCAGGCTGTATTACAGCCGGCAATGACGGCGAGCTCAAGGTCTGGACCGTCAATACCAATGTTCTATCGCAGCTGAGCAATGGGCTTGGAGAAGGCAAAAAGGTCGATGTGCTGACCAGCTCGGGCATCATTCATCGACAGGGCAAAGACCGCACAACTGGAATCGCCTTCCATCCTAAGCAGGACTACATCGCTATTCATGGCTCCGAGAAAGCGGTCGAGCTTTGGCGAATTCGATCTGCTGATGACCTTCACCGACACATGCAGCGCAAGCGGCGAAGACGAAGAGAGAAGGCTGCTGCTGCTGGTGAAACACTTGGACCCGAGAAGGAAGAAGCTCTGGGTACTCCAGAAGTCAATGAAATTTTCGTGCCGTATGTAATAATTCGGACGGGGGGAAAGGTCCGTTCAGCGAATTGGGTCACGAGTGGCTCCAAAAGCGCAAAGACTCTGCAGCTCCTCGCCGCAACGACGAACAACCAATTGGAACTTTACAATGTAATATCTCATCGCGCACAGGAGAAGACCGGCAGCAGAGACGCGCCGGAGTACAACCGCTCTCTGGCAGTAGAGCTACCTGGGCATCGTACTGACATTCGTACTCTGTCGCTGTCTTCCGACGACCGGATGCTCGCCAGCGCCTCAGCAGGAGCTCTCAAAATCTGGAACTTGCGAACTCAGTCTTGTCTCCGAACACTGGAATGTGGCACTGCTCTGTGTTCTTCGTTCCTACCAGGAGATAGGATGGTACTTGTCGGGACCAAATCTGGAGAGCTTGAATTGTACGATATCAGCACAAGTACTTTGGTAGAGAAGATCCAAGCGCATGACGATGCCATCTGGACGCTTGCCGTGCACCCCGACGGCAAATCGGTCGTGACTGGCGCAAAAGACAAGTGCGCTAAGTTCTGGCGGTTCGATGTTGTAGATGAAGAGATTCCAGGGACAAGGCGAACCACGCAGCGGCTGAGGCTGGCGCAAACACGACAGCTGAAAGTTTCGGACGAGGTTCTGTCAGTCTGCTTCTCGCCCGACGAGAAATACTTGGCACTCAGCACTCTCGATAACACAGTCAAGCTGTTTTTCGTGGACAGCTTGAAGCCATACCACATTCTCTATGGCCACAAGTTGCCCGTGTTAGACATCAGTATAAGCAGCGATTCAAAGCTCATCGCAACATGCTCGGCCGACAAGAACGTGAGGGTTTGGGGTATGGACTTTGGCGACTGCCACAAGGCTTTCTTTGCCCACCAAGACAGCGTTATGCAGGTCGCTTTCATATCCCATCCCGTCGAGCAAGACGAAAAGCACATGGTAATCAGTGCCAGTAAAGATGGCGTCCTCAAGACATGGGATGGCGACAAATTTGAACAGGTCCAAAAGCTTGAGGGCCACCACGGGGAGATCTGGGCCATGGCTGTCAGTCGAACAGGGGAGACCATTGTCACTGCTTCGCACGACAAGAGCATCCGAACATGGGAGGTTGGCGATGACCTGGTCTTCCTCGAAGAAGAGCGCGAGCGCGAATTGGAAGAGATGTACGAAGCGACGTTGGCACAGAACATGGATCGCGATTTCCAGGGTAATGAAGACCAAGATGGGGAAGTGGCCGCTGCGAGCAAACAGACCATCTCCACTCTCACGCATGGCGAGAAGATCATGGAGGCACTTGAAGTCGGCATCACGGACCTGGAACTCATGCGCGCATACGAAAGAGACAAGGTCCACAACCCCAGAATGGCGGTGCCACAGCGGAATCCCATCTTCCTCGCTCTCGGAAACATCACAGCAGAACAGCATGTTCTGCGCACTTTACAAAAGGTCCCGACGCCAGCACTAAATGACGCACTCCTCGTCATTCCGTTCAGTACTCTACCGACGCTCTTCACCTTCCTCGCCATCTTCCTGCAGAAGAGCATGGCACCCGAACTGGCATGGCGAATAAGCTACATCATGTTGCAGGCACACATGACACAGATCGTAGCTTCGAAGCAGCTCAAGCCACTGCTCATGGACGTGTTCGAGGCGTACGATCAATGGCAGGAAAAGCAGAGCAAGATCATGGGCTTCAACTTGGCTGGCCTCGAGATCATGAGCCGAGAAGCGAGGGACAATGAGAGCGGAGGATATCTCGATGAGCCGGTAGAAGAGGAGGAGGAGGAGGGCAAAGGGAGAAAGAAGCGGGCTTTCGCTAGTGTACAATAAGGTGGTGCGTGTAGGATCGACCAACTGCTACCAGCTTCGCCCCAAACCGATAGTTGGGCATCGCATTCTTTGGGGATGAAGCCACACGTCTTCGATTGTTAGCGCTCACCCAAAGGTCAGGCGCTCGCATGCACGGCATCTGACGGCTGGGCGGCTGATGTATGTCCGAGTCTCCCACGTTTAGCCTGTGGCCTTTTGTGCCTCCAACAACGAACGTAAGAGAGCCTTCTGATCTGCCTCATAAAGCGCCGCCTTGGGCCTTCATTTGAGGTCCTGATAGAATATATGGACGCGGGACGCTGGTGAGTGAGGTCGACATAGATAAAGTCCAAGCGCATTTGGTTTAGTGTGCATATCGCTCTACTCTTGGCCACAACTTCATCAACACCAACACCTCGCCTTCCTTTCTTTCTTCCTTCTTTCCCTTCCTTCCTTCCTCCCGCTTCCAACTGGCTGGCTGCCTCCTCCTGAACTGGCGCTATCGCCATCGCCTACGCAACACCCTCCCTACGTGGTTCGACGCGGACCCCCCACCCGCGGAACACGCAAGTTTTTGCAAAAACCAAAGTCTTCTTCTTCTTGTTCATCGGGGGCTGGGTTCCTTTCTACTTCGTCTGTAAAGTATGTATCTTCTTCGTGTGCGTGTGGGCCATGATCTACGTAATCCCAAAGGGTCTCTCGCTCTCTCACTCGTCGAACAGGTCGATGAGCCGGCTATACATACGCGAAAGTCGGGAAAAGGCGTGGGAGAGGAGCGGGCGAATTCGTACCGAGAATTTCGTTTCAAGAAGGATAGGATTGCGGGAGAGATGGTGGGGGGAGAGCAGGTCTGGTGAATACATGTATTGGGGTGTAGCGATGAGGAAGAAGAAGAGAGTGGGTATGGGGGAGATTACGATGGAGAAGGTATAACTGAGAACTCGCTGTTCTGTGGAGTGATACGGTGCTGTAGTCTACATAGAACATGTCATGAGCTTATATTACGAACACTCAAATTCTGTTCTGGTGGTGATTGTGTCTATTATCCAATCCTCTTGATCGTAGATCCTAGCAGTAGCGTTTGAGCAGCCTGCTCTGTGCCATACCCGCATCTTCGCAAGTCAAGATGTCATTCCCAAGGCTGCTGCTGCTCCGATTCAGATCGCCCACTCTGACACTGGGGCGATTCACTTTTGCCCAGGATGCTGGGAACACGATGGCTCTTCCATGATTAGTATCACCTCATGCACTCTTCGCTCGCTCCCTCTGCAGAACGCGCCACTTTTCTTCCGGGATCGTCAGGCAGGTAATGCCCAGATAATCGCAGATGGAATTGCACACTACGAAAGCCCAGCGGGAGTATACGACGACTGCAACCAGGAAATACGCCCAGAGGTAGTACAGCTGCATCTCGGCAGAGATGGCTGGGAGGCCGAGATAAGGCAGGTTTACCATGACCGCGCCGCCTACCAGCGGGGCCAGGAGACCAGTCCAGTATGGGAACGGTTGTCGCGTGAGGTGGGCCAGGATCATCTTGGTGGTCATGCGGCCGAAGACGAAGGACAGGGTCAGACAGAGCAGGCAGAGATGGTTATCGCGCAGGAGAGTCGAATAGGGAGATCCAAGCCATGCCACTAGAGAGCCGCAGAAAAGCAGCATCGGCGCCCATTCCAGGAAGACGGGAGCGACGGGGAGGTTTTTCGCTCGCCGTGCTTCCACGACATTGATGACGCAGGCAGGCAGATGGAAGACGAAAAAGGCGCCGATGAGAATCGCCGGGAAGAGATCCTTGAAACTGAGTGATCCCAAGATATGCTCATACCCCAACAAGGTCGCGAGAGGCTGGTGCCAGATCTGAGGTCCAAAGTATCCCGAGCTAATCATCAGCAGAGAAGCCAACAGGAGTCCCTCCGTTGGTCCATTGAAGTACCCGAGATAGAGCGTGTGCGTGTGATAAGTCTCCCAGGTAGAAAAGAACATGGGGAGACACGGGACCAACGCGGTGAGCGCACCGACTTTCGTAGGCCCGAGAGCCATTGCACTGGTCTCGAGCAGACTCGCAAGGGTACAATTGAGGGAGTCAATACCATGATCGAAGAGCTCTCCCAATCCCGAACTAGTACCCGTACGCCGGGCCTGTTTGCCATCGATGTTGTCCATGGTAGAATAGGCCCAGACACCAAACGCATAGCTATAGTAAACCCAAGCATGCTGAGGGCCCGTGAGATCCGGGTCCATGAGCTGCTGCAGGCCGACATTGCCGATGACGAAGAAGAAGCCAATGAGGGTCACCATATTCGGTGCGAGCCATAGTGGAAGGTATTCGACGCAGAAATTCCACTATGCCAGGGCAAGATATCAATCCATGGCCTTGCTCGGAGATTGGTCTCGTGCATGTACGTACGTAGTGTCTCAGCACGTGGTGCGAGATAGGACTCTTGTCGACTGAAGAATATTTATACGTCCTGAAATGCCTCAAGCCATCTTCCGAAAGCGTGCCAGTGGCCGGCATTTCCCCTACAGAGCAGCCAGTTAGCCGATACTTGTGACTACATGAGAGATGTATTCCGGGTTCCTACTTTTGCCAGCCATTATTACGGGCCTGAGGAGAGAGTGATTCGAACTTCGTGTGATCGCGAGACTTTCTCTCGTATCATTCCGTGAAATATTAATGTCTGATGAGACTGGACTGCAGTGGTGCGGAAATAATAATGGGGCCAAGCCACAGAAAGCGGTGACGGAGCAATTGATGTTAAATTTTGAGAGGTGATGTCAAAGCGCACGGTGATTGGCGCGTTGGCTTCTGGTCTCACAGCTGCCGGCCGCCTTCTTGGAATCCAGATTGCAACCTGGCACGAAACGACATGATGAAGCGGCAAGACTCAGTCACTATATGCACTTAGTCCGTTCAATGATAATCCCCAGAGTATGGCAATCCAGAGCATGGTAGTAGTCCAGATGGAGTCGGTGAGAGAGCTTCCCATGGAAGAGAAGCGCGCGACACACACGCAGGCGCAGTGTGCATTGCTGTGATTGCATTGCCTTCTACTGCTGTACCTTGAAGTCATAGATCAGCTTGACCTTATGTTCCTCCTTGCCCTTCTTCGACACAATCCTCCTCACGTGCTTCCTCTGCCCATCAACCATCTGGAAGCCCCAGATCTGTAACGCAGTCCACCCATTCTCCAAACTCTCCGTCCAACTCTCGATGACATCTCCCTTCTCCTCTCCCTCGCCTTCCTCGAGCCAGCCTTCCTTGAGGAACGGGTCTTCGATGTCGGAGATCTTGATGTACCTGTGCAGAGGGACACATATTAGCTGGAGACTCACGTTGTTCCAAGGTATCTGATATGTGCTTACCTGTTCTTTCCATTCACCTTTCCCCAGAATTGGATATCGCGCTCACCCAGCTCCCCGTTCAACAGGCGTAGCTCTTGCTGCGTGATGTTGCCCGTGGAGATCTGTTCCTGGTCCAAATGCGGACCCTCATGGTCGGTGTACTGCTTCAGGTTGACCTGGACGGCACTGTAGGCTGCCGCTTGACGGACGAGCCACGGCAAGCCTTGCATCTTCAGCATGCTGGTGGTCGAGTCCGACAGCTTCTTGTTCATGTCGTAACTAGCGTTCATGTGGTGAACGTCGACTTCGGGCGGGGCGGCCATGGTGACGGTACCCTGTTTGAGGCGATTGATTTTCTCTGGAGTCTGAATGCTGTCGTTCTTGGTGCCCGGGCAACAAAGCTGTAGAATCCGTTCACGATAACCGATTGATGCGCTCTGTTGCAATGCGAAGGTGCAAAGCTCTTAAGATGCGGCTAGTCTATCTGGATGCCTCGGCAACAGGAAGGCCAAGAATTGGTTGGTTTAACGCTAGTTTTACAACCATCTCGTGTGTCGCGCCTGGCACCTCGGAGTCAAAACAAAGTGTGCCCCACACGCGGCCGCCGCTGACGAAAACGAGCAGTTCCAATGGGCACTGTGAGAACAAGAGCACTGATGAGCCATCGAGGAGCATCGGAGGGGCATGAGAGCAGTGCATGTCGGTGTCGGTGTCCACGGGTGTGCCTGAAGATCCCGCAATCTAGTGGGGCCAGGTGAAGCGGGAGACCCGTTGGCTGGCCTCGTATTCTGCCTTCATCCGCGGTACCCAGGTCTTCAATACGAACACTCGTTCTCGTATCATGTATGGGGACGACCTGATGATCTTTGGCTGGGGTGTGCCGCGCAAATCTAGGAGGCTATCTTCATAACCCCGCAGGCCGAGCATGTCCACCACTTGTGCTCCATGAACGCACGGCAGTTTGTGCAATTCCATCCCATACTCTCAGGCTGCTTGGGTGCCTCTGGTATCTTTCGTCTTGGCTTCGACTGAGCCTCCGTTTTGGCTCGCGGCGGCCTCGCGGGTGGCTGCCCTCGCCCTTTCGTCTTGGCCATCACTGACTGCGGTCTTTCAACGCCGCAAGCATCGCAGGATAGAAACTGAATTGGGTTGACAAGAGTACAGACTTCACAAGCCCACTGGTCTACCGCAGCGTCATCCGGCATGCTAGTAAGATCGATGAATTCTTCTGATTCAGCCTTTGTAGTCGGCTTATTGATCATCTCGTCTTTGATGGTCTTGCATGTCGAATTCAGATGTTGCTCAGGGCGTTCCGCGCCAGGATATCCCCGCTTCATCGAAGCTGAGCTGCTCGCTGGCCCCATTCCTAAGCTCTCTTCAAGAGCCCATTTCATTTGCTCCTCCTCGCTCGGCTGTTTCCCATGGTCATCTGAGTGCGGTGGCATCTTCATGCCGGCGTTGTACAGCCCATGCTCAGGACTCCAATCCAGCCCTTCACTGGAGGAACCCTTGAAAGTGCCATTCAGCTTCTGTGCTTCCTCTTCTTCCATCAGTTCCTCCAGTGCTCGACTGATTGCGCGGTTGTTCGCATCGTCTTCTTCGGCTCGGCTTGCGAAGGAATTTTGCGCAGCTTGCTGAGAAAGTTTGTCTGCATCTTTCCTTCCAGAACCACAGCCCTTGTTGGTCGTGTTCCGTCGAGTTACCTGATCCGCGATGATGTTTCTCACGTCGCCCTGCAGATGCAAAGGCGTTCCACCGAGTCTCTGCCCGGAGTCTTGGCTTAGGGTCCCTTTGGCCTTACGCTTCTCAGCATTTGCACGTGCGCGCTGGCGCATCTCCTGCAATGGCAATGGTCGCTGGTATCCACCACTACCGCCCAATCGCTTGCCCTCCGACATGAATCCCTCACCAGTGTAGCCTTTCCGTATCAGCGCCTCGTGTTCGTCGCGTAGCTCATCCCAGAGCTTGTGAAAGTTGGAATCATGCTCTCCCCAGACATTGTGAGAAAGCTCATGGAGCAAAGTGTCGACCACATCCTCCAGCGGAAGAAATAGATCTGAATTGTTGTGATAACGAAGACGGAGGCAAATCTTGTAGCCTTTGTTGATATTCAGGCCAAGTAGATTATTTTCTGGCGGAAGGAATTCTGCAAGGACCTGCACACGCCAGCCTCGCTTCCGCATGATCGGCTTGACGATCGACGCGACCTTCCGCAACATTGTGAGAGCAGCGTCTCCTCGTTCTAGGCCGTTCAAGTGCTCGTAAGTAGTAAAGAGTGACTCCTTTTCCTGGAGCTGAGAAGCGTACGATCTCTGAACGCCGGAGGGTCCACCGTTAGCAGAATGCTTGTTGCGTCCAGAGAAGCCTTCGCCAGCGTAAGGGTTGCCAACAGGCCCGCCCGGATGCCACGACATGGTTGGTAGGTGCAGTCCAAAGACCAACTTGCGGGAAGTAACGATTGCGTTTCTTCGTGCCACGAATTCTGAGTAAAACAGTCAACGGTCGCGAGCAAGAGACACGTTTGAAGTAGCTTTTATGTGAGAGATGTTGATAGAAAGGGAAGAAGGTGAAGAAGTGGCGAGGGTGATGAGGCCGCGTATTACCAGTACTGCCTGGCCTCAAGATGTCTTGGATGAGCACAGAGCATCCTTACAAAGCCGCGTCAGTGGTAAATGAGGAGTCGTGAACACCTGTCAAGCGTTACAATGTCCGCGACGCTGGGCGCAGAGATAAAGCGATGTTCTGGTGTAGACGTAAGGAGCAACAAGAGGAGGTTCAAACAGATGGATGCACGCCAAGCACCGGCAGAAGCTCGGCACGTTGGACAAAGTTCAGGTGGGACCCTCGAGCGAATTGAGATTTTAGTTTTGCTGAAAAGAATCTCTCTGCTCGCCGCCGAAACCACACCCTCCTGCACCACACAACCAACCACATCAATACAACTTCAAGATGGCGGACGAGGTCTACGACGGGTCTGTCAAGCTCGATGACTGCATAATGGCGACTCTGCGCTAATCAATACAACAGTGCGATCGGTATCGATCTTGGAACCACGTACTCGTGTGTCGCCAACTATGAGGGCGCCGGCGTCGAAATCAGTATGTTTTGACGGATTCATATCTGTCCTTGGACACCGATCTAACGTAACGACTCGCAGTCGCCAACGAGCAGGGAAGCTTCACCACTCCATCCTTCGTCTCCTTCACCTCTGAGGAGCGATTGATCGGCGAGGCCGCGAAGAACCAGGCCGCCATGAACCCAACCAACACCGTCTTCGATGTCAAGTGAGTGCGATCATGAGTGCAAAAGCAAGGGAACCATATGGGCTGATCACATCCAGGCGTCTGATCGGTCGACGATTCGATGACCCGACTGTGAAGAAGGATATCGAGTCGTGGCCATTTAAGGTCGTTGACGATGACAACAGCCCCAAGGTCCAGGTCGAGTACCTCGGCGAGACCAAGACTTTCTCTCCTCAGGAGATCTCTGCCATGGTCCTTGGCAAGGTGAGCTGCGATTGAGATATTAGATTCGGTCACGTATGGATCTAATCAATTCCCACAGATGAAGGAGGTTGCTGAGACCAAGCTCGGCAAGAAGGTTTCCAAGGCCGTCATCACTGTCCCGGCCTACTTCAACGACAACCAGAGACAGGCCACCAAGGACGCCGGTGCCATCTCCGGTCTCAACGTTCTCCGTATCATCAACGAGCCCACTGCCGCTGCTATCGCGTACGGTCTCGGCTCCGGCAAGTCCGACAAGGAGCGAAATGTCCTGATCTACGATCTTGGTGGTGGTACCTTCGATGTGTCACTCCTCCACATTCAGGGCGGTGTCTTCACTGTTAAGGCCACTGCCGGTGACACTCACTTGGGTGGTCAGGACTTCGACACCAACCTTCTTGAGCACTGCAAGAAGGAGTTCCAGCGCAAGACCAAGAAGGTACGAAATCCCAGCGGCAGAAGCCATCTCCAGCGTATCAAACGTGTCTGGGCCAGTGGCCGGCCTCCAGCGCTGCTGTTTGGCTCAGCCCGTTTGAGACGTTGAATGAACTTCGACCTATCTGAGAGCTACATGCTCAGTAATTTTCAATAAATGTCGCTGACTTGCTTTCTTGCAGGATATCTCAAACGACCCACGTGCCCTCCGTCGTCTGCGTACCGCTTGCGAGCGCGCCAAGCGTACCCTCTCCAACGGAACTCAGACCACCATCGAAATCGACTCGCTCTTCGACGGTGATGACTTCAACACCAACATCACCCGTGCACGATTCGAGGACATTAACAGCAAGGCTTTCCAGGGCACTCTGGACCCTGTCGCCCAGGTCTTGAAGGATGCCGCCATTGAGAAGAGCAAGGTCGACGAGATTGTGCTTGTCGGTGGTAGCACTCGTATTCCCAAGATCCAGAAATTGCTCAGCGACTTTTTCAACGGCAAGAAGCTCGAGAAGAGCATCAACCCTGATGAGGCTGTCGCCTACGGTGCGGCTGTTCAGGCCGGCATCCTCTCTGGCAAGGCCACCTCTGCAGACACTGCGGACATGCTCCTCCTCGATGTCGTCCCTCTCTCTCTCGGTGTCGCCATGGAGGGCAACATCTTCGCTCCTGTGGTCCCGCGTGGCCAGACTGTGCCAACCATCAAGAAGCGAACCTTTACAACTGTCGCGGATAACCAGGTCAGTTGTTCTTTCCCCCTCTGCCTTCCCACTTGCAATGCCCCTTTTGATACAAAATGGACCACCTTACCGGATCTTGGACTGGATTTTCTCTATCTGTTCACCACCTCGCTTCACCACACAACAAATGCAACGACACACTGACATGAATATCACTACAGCAAACAGTGCAGTTCCCGGTTTTCCAGGGAGAGCGCGTAAATTGCGAGGACAACACCTCCCTCGGAGAGTTCACTCTTGCTCCCATCCCACCGATGAAGGCAGGTGACGCTGTTCTCGAGGTCGTTTTCGAAGTCGACGTGAACGGCATCCTGAAGGTCACAGCAACGGAGAAGTAAGACATCGAAAGCTGCACTTCCATCACTGTGACACATACTGACGTGTTCTGAACAGGTCCTCTGGCCGCTCCGCCAACATCACCATCTCCAACTCGGTTGGCAAGCTCAGCAGCGGTGAGATCGAGAAGATGGTTGAGGAAGCCGCCAAGTTCAAGTCCAGCGACGAGGCCTTCAGCAAGAAGTTCGAATCGCGACAGCAGCTGGAGAGCTACATCAGCCGAGTGGAGGAGATTGTGTCTGACCCAACTATGAGCATGAAGCTCAAGCGCGGCCAGAAGGAGAAGATCGAGAGCGCGCTGTCCGACGCTATGGCGCAGCTTGAGGTCGAGGACGCCAACAGCGACGACCTCAAGAAGAAGGAGCTTGCGCTCAAGCGCGTCGTCACCAAGGCCATGTCTACCCGCTAAGCGGCTTGATATTCAGGTTGTGGGATTACGGCGTTTTTCGGGCAACAATGAGGCATTAGCATACACGAGCGGAATCACGCTTAGTGTGCCAGACGTGGGCCTTACTTGCACGTGGCTAATAGATCGATGCAACGAAGAGACGTTCCAGGGGCATACCAAAAGTCGAGAATGGTTGGAAGTTCAGCATTCGGGGTGTCACGTATCAAGCGCATGCATCGTTTGTAGCCAACGAAGTTCGGATATGATCACGAGCAACTTCACCATTCTGCATCTTCTCGTTGTATGTTGGTCCCGAGTGCTTCGTCGCGATCCCGGCCATGAAAGGGCCTCATTAACTACTGCAAGGATCTTCAGCAGCTTGGAAAAGACTGCTTGAGACGCGATCCTTCTTGCCTGGAGGTCAGCTTATGATGTTTTCGGTCTCGGCAGCGGGAAGGACGGGAGGATCTTCCACGCCGACCCGGTGAAAGTGGGAATCGGGAAGCCGTGAGGTGTTTTTTCTTTCTCTATCCCTTGTGCCTCGCCCTTCTGCAAGGGACTTGGTCGAGAAAACACCGTCAAGCCGAAAATGCCAGTAGCCTAGCTCGAAAGGCAAGTTTCAACACAAACAATGGACATGCTCAGTCAGCGGCGGTTGAAGTTTCCTTCTCCCGACCTTCTCAGAAAGTTGAACTCTATTTGGCTGTGGGCCGTCGCAAGGTCACTGCAAGCGCCTGGACCGCCACAACTGCTTCCACTGCGATCCGACAGAAAACATTATCCGTGTCTCCCTACCTCGATCTTCTCTCGCCTATTGTGCCGACGCCTTACTCTGCCATTGCCCCATCCTATCACATCGCGCTCCACTCGCTGCGAATCAGATCGAATGCCTTGCAGGCCCCCCACCTTCTGACTGACACTCGAACTTGGAGTCGGCCGACCCAAGGACGTCGCAGACAACTCACGCCTGAGCACTCAAGAACCTCGTCAGTGTTACCTGTGGATGCTGTGATTAAAGAGTGGGAAGTGGCACCAGGGCGGTGCCACCGCATCTTAGCATCATCGGGCGCCGGAGCTTCTCTTTAAGCCCAGCTATGGAGGGCAGCTTGGACGGGCAATCGCGCTCGCGCGTTTCCTTTGAAGATGTCAATAGATCTCAGCAGCAGGTTACACTCGCGGAGACGGGCGGCAGCAGTCCGCGGGACTATTTCTCTGTCGACGGCAGCGATGAAGAGCTAGGAGAGGACAGCGAGTCCTTCAACTCGCGTCGGCGAGCTTCCCTCAACATACGCATCTCGCCAACCCAGGCGAAGCCGGACATGGCCTTCACCGCGTTGCAATACCTCCCCATGCCTGTACTTGTCCTCTCGAGCATGAAGACGGTGGTCTTGGCAAATGAGGCCATGGGACGACTTCTCGGCATCGATCCTGAGCCCGTGGACCAGGAGCACGTTGACGACACTCTGATGGACCCACTCGAGAGACTCGCTAGTCGAGACATGAAGAGTGCAACCGACATCCTCTACGGCGTGACGCTTGGTCAGATTGGTTTGGACTTGTTGCAGAACGGCGGCCCGGTGTTTGTGGCTTGGGAAGATTTCCTGGAGACTGTGGTAGACGATGCGTCTCGGGCGCAGTGTAGCGCAACTCAGCTCAACGTTTATCACGGGAGAAGACGTGACAAAGATACAACTCCTACAGGCGCCAGACACAAACGTTCCGTCTCCTCAGCAAGTTCGGCCAAGCTTAGCCATTCAAGTAGTAGTGGCACGCGCACTGAGGTACATGACGCTTTGGTCGACATTGTCTTTTCAACAAACCGAGATCCTAAGACAGGTCTGCCGATGGCACACCGAGAAGATGAAATCGACCATGTCCAGGCGCAAATGATAGTATCCATCTGGGCTACTGAAGACGAGCAATACTTCACTCTCACTTTTACAGCAGGCAAGAGTGAGCGCATGGCAAGCACACCGTCCGAAGGTACCAAGACCACCAGTCGGACCGTTTCGCGCACACCTACTAGCTACTCGAACAGCGTCCCCTCGGGTCTGTCTTCGAATTCCAGTTCCAGCTCACGACAGTCCAATCTCAAGAAAAGTGGTGTTCAGACTCCACCCAGCTCCAACTTCGCTAGCCCAACGACTTTGCCCAAAATGGATTTTCCACCCAAGGGTCCGCCTATGACATCCTCTCAACACGCAGCACCTACGATGTTCTCAAAAACAAACAGATTGAAACAGGCAATGCTTAATAGCATGAATATCCCTGCGTACGCAATGTGGAAAGATGAAAGCTTCGGAATCCCAAACAAAGCAGCAATAAATTTGATTTATCCCTGGCTCGAGGACGGCAAATGGGATAGCTCGGAGCAAGCGCGCAACTTTCTTTCGCATTACACTCTGTACAGGGAAGATTTCTCCGAGGAGATACCATTAGACGACTTCCCTATTCTGCGACTCATGAGGGAACGCAAGGCATTCGAAGGCTATCGCGTCGGCATGTACAGCGCGAAGGATGGGAGCCGCATGCTCTTTGATGTTGGCGGTGAGCCCCTTGTCGACGAGAAGGGGGAATTCCTTGGTGGACTTGTGCTCTTCTACGACGTAACGACATTCGCCAGGACGATCAACAAGCAAAGACAACAGAACGAACAACAGTTTGAAAACATCTGCAACAAAGTTCCTCACTTGATCTGGCGTACCACGCCCACAGGTTCACATGACTACTTCTCCGATCGCTGGTACGACTATACAGGCCTCTCGCCAGAAGACAGTCTTGGGGAGGGCTGGGTCAACGCTTTCGAGCCTAAGGATCTCGAAGTTGCTGTTCCAAGATGGGAGCATTCCCTGGCAACCGGAGACGAATATCTTACCGAGTACCGAGCGAGATCACGCACGGGAGAGTGGAGATGGATGCTTGGCCGCGCCGTCCCAATGACAGATGAATCCGGCAAAATTGCAAAGTGGTTCGGAACGTGCACCGACATTCACGAGCTGGTCATTGCTCGCGAAGAGGCCAAACAGACGCAAGCACAATTGGAACGAGTCATTGAGCATGCAAACATCACATTGTGGACAGTTGACACCGAGATGAAATTGACCCTTGCGGAGGGACGCCCCATGGCATACGAGGTTTCCCGTCATGATGAACCGGTGTTCTATTATGGCGACAATGGTTATACTGGGCTACACATTTCTGAGGTCTTCCGGAGACAAGGACGGGAAAGTGAGCAGGAATCATTCTTACGACCTATTCGTAATATTCTCGCTGGTCGAGTACAAGAAGAGATCATTGAGACGCAGATTTTCACCACGAAGCGTTGGTTCCGAACGCGATTGTACCCACTCTTACGACAAGAAAGAAAAGGTGGGATTGAGGGCGAATCTTACATCGACGGCGTGGTCGGAGTCTCCATGGATGTGACAGGTCAACGCAAAGCCGCGGAGAGGTTAGCCGAGCGTGATAAGGTGAGTAAAGTGCCACAACTACAACGCTGTTATGCTTACCGTGATACAGGAAAACGCTCGACTTATGGCTCAAAGTGTCGCAGCCAAAGAGGCCAGCAAGATGAAGAGTCAGTTCTTAGCGAACATGTCTCACGAGATTCGAACTCCGATCGCTGGCGTTATTGGAATGTCCGAGTTGCTCCTAGACGATGATAATGGGGAGTTGAGCAAGGAGCAAAAAGATTGTGCCGAGAACATCCAACGCAGTGCGAATGGATTGCTGACGGTCATCAACGACATCTTAGACTTTTCGAAAGTCGAAAGCGGACGACTCGACATTGAGGAGGTCCAATTCGATCTATCTGTCGTCATTCGAGACGTGAACAAGATGCTAGGCTTTGCAGCTGAGCGGAAAGGTCTCGAGTATGTGGACGACATACAGCATCTCAGTAAGTATTTCGATGACTGTGGAGGCTGCTTGCCATCCGGAACGTTTGCTGATCAGCACGTGTAGAATCTTGGAAGGTCATGGGCGATCCTGGCCGTGTGCGACAGGTCATGACGAATCTGCTAACGAACTCCATCAAGTTCACGTCAGAGGGCCATGTTTCAATGAAAGTCAACGTACAGAAAGAGACCGCCGACATGGTAGAGGTGCATTTTACTGTGGAAGATACGGGCATTGGCATTGAAGAGGAAGTGCGAAGAAAGCTGTTCATACCATTTTCGCAGGCCGATAGCTCCACTGCAAGACGTTTCGGCGGCACTGGTCTGGGACTCACAATCAGCAAGAATCTAGTGGAACTCATGCGTGGTGAAATCTCACTGGAGTCCACCCTGGGGGTAGGTACCAAGGCGACATTTTGGATACCTTTCCACAAGGCACCATATCAGTCGTCCGACTCTCCACTCGTGGGCCTTGGCAACATTCCGGACAGGTTGCAGTCGGAAGTATCTGTTAGTCGGCCTGCTTCTGACCGCAGCGCGTCTGCCACGCCCGCCACGCCAAAGCTCTCTGCGCATCGCCGTGATAACTCTGGATCTGGGATACCGGGATACGGGTCATGGCATGACAGCAGCCCGCTAGATCAAGACCTCAGCGTGGAGGAGCGAAAAGCTACCAACGTACTAGTTGTTGAAGACAATGCAATCAACCAGCAGATCGCGCTGAAGACGATCAAGAAGCTCGGCTTTCCTGTGCGAGCGGTATGGAACGGCAAAGAAGCACTGGAATACCTACAATCGCCATCCAAAGACGCGCCGCTACCTGATATCATATTGATGGACGTGCAGGTGAGTCCGCGACTTCCATATCGTTCTCTGATTTGTGGTAACGCACAATGTACTGACTCGCGTTTGAGATGCCAATTCTGGACGGTTATAAGGCTACTTACACAATCCGCAATGCCGCGCCTTTCGCTCTCAGTCCAGATCTGCAAGGAACTCCGATCGTTGCCATGACAGCATCAGCCATCCAAGGAGACAAGGAAAAATGTCAAACAGCTGGAATGGACGACTATCTCGCCAAGCCAGTGAAGAAGACGAACCTCGAGAAAATGTTGATAAAGTGGGCGATCGAAGGACGGAAGAAGCGCGCCGAACTGAAGAAGAATCCAAGCTTGTTGAAAGCGAGGACAAGGCCAAGCAACCCTTGCCACAACAACTCTTTCACATCAGAAGGCTCCTCAGCCATGAACAACGAAGAACTCCTCTCTTCTGAGCTGGACAGACTAGAAGTCTACCAGAATACCATCGCCCAATCCGCGGAAAGCGCAGGCGATATGGCACTACGGCAACAGGCAGCCGAGGAGCAAGCCATTGCCCTGCGAGATCACGAACTCATCGAAGCAGGCGAAGATCCGAAAACTCGGCTTGGGAAGAAGCTGGGGAGTGAGGATTCCACCTCTCGTCAAGTGGGAGATGGACCCCCGCCGGGACCCAGTGCGCTGACGGCCGAGAACATGCAGCGCTTTGCCATGAGTGATCCCAGAATGGCGAAATTGAAGAAAACATTGAACGCGGAGAACGATGAGGGAAGGAGCAGTGTCATGGCTACTGTTGCGGAGACTGGGAGTCGTTTTAATGATGCCGGTGCTGGGACTCCAGCCAAAACGCCTGAAGAGACTGGAACGACAGGGCATGGGAACGGGACCAAGGGACGAGGGAGTGTCTGATCATAGAGAACTGTGTGAAATCTTAGCGACAGCACCCAAAAAGCAGTGAAAAGGAGATTGTCAGTGACCATCACGGTGTTAATATTTAATGGGTTGGCAGCTGGTGGCATGTGCCTACGACTGAACGATACCGGTGCTAAAGAGTCCACATATCAAAAGTCAAACATTAAAGCTCATCTCTTTTCCTCCTTTCCTTCTCCTGCTGTAATTGCTGTTCAGCTTGATGCTTCGCGTCCTCGACATCCGCCTCGAAACTCTTTTTCTTCGGATTCGGTGGCTCTGCTCCACGTTCCTGCAAGACCGTCCCATCGCCTCTCTTTGGCAGGACTTTCTGCTCATCAGCGTTTTGTTGCGCTCCCTCAGCCTGCCTCGAACTTTCTTCTGCCATTTTGCCGATTTTCTCGGTTAACTTTCCTTCGAGCTCAGGGCTCACGCCTTGCTTGGCACCTGCACCGCCCGCGCCAGCTGGAATGCCGGGGTGGGAGCCTCCGTCTGGGAGGGGATTGCTTGGACGACCCTTTGCGGAGGGCTGAACGATGAGTGGTGCTCGCGAAGTGGAGATTGAGCTCTGCGTGGCTCGTAAGGAGGTTGACACGGGTTCACTGGTGATGATTCCGGTTATGGACAGGAAGAAGAAGAACGGTTTCCAGATGGCCCAGTTTAGGAGGAAGGTGAGCACGTTCACCAGGAATAGTGGTAGTTTGATGAAGGGTCCGAAGAGTAGACGGCGGAAGATCAGCCAGACCAGTGTGGTTATGAGAATGTAGAAGGCTGTTTCCAGGTACCAAGTGTCACTCTTCTGGCTCTGCAGGAGTGTCCCGAGGAGATTTCTGCTGTTCTTGAGGATCGTGTCAAGATTGCTGTAGTCTTCGCCTAACTGTGCGAGTGCTGCCGTCGACTCGTCAAAGGTTTCCTGTGCGAATCGAGAACGCGATAGTTCCGTAGACAGCAGGTCGTGTGTTCTTCGCAGAGCCGCAGTAACGTCGCTCGATGCGTTGACCAGTATTTCGTCCTTCGTCAGCTGCGTCTGCTGCTGATTTCTCCTGCCACGGCCTGCGAACAGTTGATCTCTCTCGCTGCCCAGAGATCCGTTGGCGGCTTCGATATGTTCCGCTTCCTTCCTGTAACCCTCTAGTATAGCCTCTCTTTCTTTCCGCTTCGCTTCGTCACTTGCGAATTTGGCTGCGATCTGCGCGTTTCTGAACTGTTGCCTCGAGTGGATAAGCTCCTCCCCCAACCGTGCTACTTTCGCGCCCACTCGTGCCTCTTCGTTGTACTTGACGCTCGCTCTTCGTTTCTGACCACCGTCGATCCTGTAGTCCTCTGCTTCTTGTCGTAGGAATTCAAGCTCTTCTTCTAGCTGCTTCAGGCTGTCGTGGATGTCCTGCGCAAGCTCCAAACGTACTCCGCCTTGTCCTTCGAGCGGCTCCGACCCAGGCTGAAGTTGGAGTTTGCCCAGACGACTGATGAGTGTGTTGGTCGTCTTCAGGGAGTCTGAAAGTGCTGAGAGCTGGTTCGCAAGATCGGTGGCGGTCATGTTGGGAAGCTCTGAAGCGTGGTCACAGCAAGGTGGAGGCTCGAATGCTGGAGCTTCCGTTGTTACACGCTAGTGACGTCGAAGTATGCGCGCTTCATCAAGGTGGTCAATCCGACTTTACATGCATCAAGCGCACGCAGTACAATATGCCACCACTTCCGCGGTACATTGAAAAGCTCATGTATGCTCTAGACCGACAACATTCACTTGACAGAGCGATGCTCGTGAAAACGTGGCATGTGCTCTCGCTTCGGCTAGCGCGGACCCTGAAACGGACGTCGCAGGAACGGCGCCAATCTCCAACGACACCTGTTCACATCAATTCCCACCTACAGCCGCGTCAATTGTTCATTGAACCTTACAATCTCACGCTCGTTCTTTTTTCCAATTGCTCCCGGGCCCTTTCTCTTCAGCCTGCGACTAGGCCGGTTCACTGTGTTAAAACTCAAATTCGCGGTTGTGCAACAGCAGCGACACACCTCAAGAGCAGCATCCAGGGCGTTTCCAAAGTGCGACTCTCACACCTAATACTCAGCCTTCGGGCTGCAGCTTCACCACAACCGCTTTCGATAGTATACCGCTCCGTACAATCCCGACCATGCCTCCTAAATCGCGGTTTACTCGGCTCGACGCCTTCACGAAGACCGTCGAAGATGCGCGCATCCGTACAACCTCCGGCGGCATTGTAACATTGACCTCCTTGCTGCTCATCCTCTATTTGGTATGGGGAGAATGGAGCGACTACCGGAAGATCGAAGTACATCCGGAGTTGATCGTCGACAAGACAAGAGGAGAGAAGATGGAGATTCACATGAACGTTTCTTTCCCAAGAGTACCTTGTGAGCTGCTCACGCTCGATGTGATGGATGTCAGCGGGGAGGTTCAGACTGGTGTTATGCACGGCGTGAACAAGGTACGACTAAGGCCAGAGAGCGAAGGTGGCGGAGAGATTGCAAGAGGCGTACTGGACCTTGATGCAGAAGAGAAGGAAGCTACGAAGCACCTGGACCCAGATTACTGTGGAGAATGCTATGGAGCACCTCCTCCCAGCGGAGCGAGGAAAGAGGGATGCTGCAATACTTGCGCTGAAGTTCGAGAGGCGTATGCACAGGTATCGTGGTCGTTTGGGCGTGGAGAGAACGTTGAGCAGTGCGAGCGGGAACACTACAGCGAACATCTGGACGAGCAACGTCGAGAAGGATGTCGTATTGAAGGAGGAATTCGTGTGAATAAGGTGGTAGGAAACTTCCATTTTGCTCCGGGCAAGTCGTTCAGCAATGGCAACATGCACGTTCACGACTTGGAGAACTACTTCAACACGCCTGAGGGAGTACCGCATCACACCTTCACTCACAAGATTCACCATCTCCGCTTTGGGCCGCAGCTTCCCGACGACCTAGTCAAGAAAGTAGGCAAGAAGGGAATGGCATGGTCGAACCACCATCTCAACCCCCTAGACGACACGAAGCAAGAGACGGACCAAAAGTCGTTCAACTACATGTACTTTGTCAAGGTCGTCTCCACCGCATACCTACCGCTTGGCTGGGAGAAGACGAACACTATTCTAGACGTGCCGCACGAGCTTATCGAGCTCGGTGGATATGGCAAGGGAGAGCAGGGAAGTATCGAGACGCACCAGTACTCTGTCACTTCGCACAAGAGGTCGCTGCAAGGTGGAGATGCGAAGGATGAAGGACATAAGGAGAGATTGCACGCACGAGGTGGTATTCCTGGTGTCTTCTTCTCATACGTAAGTGAAAACAAAGTTTTGAACCCAAAATAATCCGCACTGACATTAACGGCACAGGACATTTCTCCTATGAAGGTCATCAACCGCGAGACTCGCGCCAAATCCTTCTCGGGCTTCCTGGTCGGCGTCTCTGCCGTGATCGGCGGAACACTCACCGTCGCTGCGGCCATCGACCGAGCGCTGTACGAGGGCGGTCAAAGAGTGAAGAAGTACCACAACAACTAGAATCTGTATCAATTACTGTGCGAACCTAAACCTCCCAAGTCACACTGTAGGACGAATTGGTACGAGCGAGGAAGGCTCGTAATATCTACTTGAACGCGAATTCATGCTAAGCTAGATACAGTATCTCCGTGATTCTGTTATATAATGTGCCGGCAACGAGGCTGTTAGGCACATGATGAGGAAGCGAAGTGCAAGTGAGATTTCGAGAATGACAGCTCACATGCAAGGCTCCTAGCAACCTTGTAACCTTATTTCAGGCTACCATCTCTCCCCCTTGATCCTGAACTCCAACCCCAACTTTCTGATCCACAAACAACATTCGATCCAGCCACCACAATACTCCCCACGCGGCCAACACCCATTTACCAAACAGAAAAGTAATCCCAAAGAAATACCACATGCCTCCAGGACAGACTCTGCCCGCCATGCTGTCGTGGGACGTCGCGAAGAAGGTATGCACGCCACAGGACTTCGAACGCCTGGCGTGCGCCTATCTGAACGCGACTACCACCGTCGAGGTGTGTAAAATCTCACATTCACTCACTATCTGGGTTACAGCAAAGCTCACCATGACAGTTCGACGCCGCCACGGCTAGCGCTCAGTTCGGCTGCAAGGCGGACAGCTTCAAGCGTTCGATCTGGGTCATCACCAAGAAGATCAAAGACTACAAGGGAGGAGACGGTGGCGGTGACACTACTCCAGCTCCGGCCTCAGCGAAGAAGGCTACCGGCCGCAAGCGCAAGGCTGAGGGCGAGGAGGTTTCCACGAAGCGCGGTCGGAAGAAGCAGGTTCGGCAGGACGACGGTGAGTTTTCTCAAGAAGATTCTTAAGTGTCACGGATGCTAATCTTCATGTTCAGATGTCGAGGATGTCCCGATCAAGTCGGAGAATGGCGCGAATGGCGCTGATTCGGACGATGACGATGAAGGAGAGTTGCTCTGAGTGAAGAGGCCTTTTACATTGGCGTGTGAATCTGGTGTCTGCGTGTAAGATAGGTCCTGTTGGGACGTTTCGAGATTTTCTCCGGCGACTGAGGTAAGTTCCTGAGAACCTGGAATGAAGCGATATCAGCGGACGGTGGATCAGGAAGTGTTGCTGTCATACTTTGATTCTGTTTTATCACGCGATAGCCGGGATACGAGAACAGTCTGCTTTTTTTTCACACGTTCTTTCTCCGATACAATTGTCACATGTTATTGTCGTTAGCCGAGATCGGCAATCAGATGCTCGTGCGACCGACGCGTCTGGCGGAAGCTCACTTCATAAGCTGGTCAACCACAGATTTCAAAAACTTCTCTCGACCACCGCGTCTTCCTCACATCTCAACCTCCGACAAACACAACGCGCCCACCACACTTCATCGAGCTTCTGCCTCCATCTTCCACGACCAAGACCCAGACCCATACATCACACCCACACACACAACACCATCAACATGAGCGAGACTACTCTTCTCCCGGGCGTCAGCAACAGCGACCTCAAGCGCTTCGCCGTCTGCTGGCTCAACAGCCCCCATACCGACGTAAGTCCCGCAGGAGCCTCCAAGCTCCATCACCAAGAACTCTCGCTAACTCGCTCCGCGCAGTGCAACTGGGACAACGCCGCCGCCATGTACGACCCCAAGGTCAAAGTCGCCTCCTTCAAGACCGTCACCAGCAAAGCCGCCGCCAAAGCCATCAAGGCCCTCGAGGAAGGCGGTGCTACTTTCGCCGCCGCCGCCGCCCCCAAGAAGGCTGCGGCCGGCGGTGGCAAGAAGCGCAAGGCGGCGGACGAGGATGGCGAGGAGGCTCCGAAGAAGAAGGGTAAGGGCGGGGTCGGCCGCAAGAAGAAGGCTACATCTGAGGAGAAGGTCGACGAGGCCGAGGAGGCTGATGGCGATGCTCCGATCCAGGGTGAGGAGGATGACGAGGATGGCATGCTGGCTTGATCGAAACAAGCCGCGCATTCTTCTCGACACCGAAGTTTCTCCAGGGCTTCTCTTTCCACTACTACTACTACAACATTGCTTGCATGCAAATTGACTTGGGCCAAATTGCAGGTCTAGCTTAACGACACTGCGGAATCATGGACCGGCTGGACATGGAGAGTGAGCATCTTCGACAGGTAGCATAGCCTCCAAGAATCCAAGATGATATGAGTCTGATAGAAAATTTTCCTCGTCCTTCCAAGTGGTCTCACCCTCATGACGGCGTCCGAGGTAATGGCTTCTCGTACAGAGAGAATTTGCGGGTGGTGCAAATACTAGGCCATGACCGTCTCTAGCTGAGGCAAAGTCCGGCGTTGGCTGGAAGTAGCAAGTCATATACCCACGGATCGGAAAAGGGAGCTACGCTCCACACTAGATTGCTTTTCGACATTGTAAGCCTTCGATATTGCCTTTGCCTCGAGGTCTAGAAGTCACCGGTGACTTGGAAGCTCTTAGAGTATCCCGTAACTTGAAAGCTCTAAGAGTGCTCCACGCCTGGAAACTGATCTTAGGACTATCGCCATGCTCTTTCTGAGTATGTTGCCTTACACATGTCTTGAAAGCCTCGAGAAGACAATGTTGCCCCTGAGCTGACATGTGACGGCGCCTAAGGCCGACATTCGTCCAGAGAGGTCCGAGCGTCACTACGAAGACCACCACCAATTTCTCTCCGCCGGTATTTCGTGCTGCACTTCAAGAACGTAATGCATGAACTAATGCTGATCAAGGGTGAAGACGGCAAGCACACCGTGGTCCTGGGGACGTTTCTGGCGCCCAAGAATCGGGAGAGCGAGTCCGAATCCGTCGAGGTTTACAATGCTCAATATTGTGACATGGACGTGGTCGTGAAGGTCTTCAAGAGCAGGTAAGTACACTCGTCCATCTTTCTAGCAGCTCACATCCCCGAGCTGACATGATGTGCTGCAGCGGCGCGCTCCCCAGCGCTCGAGCAGACCGTGAGGTATCCGGCCTCAAGATCCTCACCGAGGCTCAATGCCAACACGCTCCGGCCTACATCACCGACTTCAAGTGCAGATCGTGGGAAAACCCCGACGTCTTGTGGCACTACGTCGTCAGGAGCAAGCTAGAGGGGCTGCTCATCGAAAATTGTCTGAAACTCCCAGAGGCGATGACAGATCCGGTCGCTATCAAGAAGAGGATCCGTGCCGCCTTCGCCGTCGCCATCGAGTCAGCAATGATATGCGCTGGACCGCCAGGGAGAGAAAGAGGCTGATTATATCCTAGGGCCGTTCGCGACTGCTGCGTCGACAACGGAAGCCACTACGACGGCAACATCTTGGTCCATCTAGGAGAAAAAGCAGATCACTGGTGAGAATACCCTGTTCTATGCGTTGTGTCGTTCGCGGGGACTCATCACCAATATCCAGCTACATGGTCGACTTCGAACGTCTCAAGACGTTTGGAAAGAGGAGCGAAATTCCTGCGCGGTGGAGAGAGCTTGACGCGTGGGTGGACTTGTAAGCCCCAAGAGAACCGTGGAGTCGCCGACTGTTGCGTGTGTAAGCCAGTGGAGGCCAGGACTTTCTACGTGTTTCGGTTTGCCTCAGACACTGTTTGCTACCTAACAGCCTCCAGTGAGCCGACACCAGGGCCTAGCATATAAGGATACAGCTTCCACTACAGCACTTCTTCCGTCAATATTACCAGAAGTTGCCGCGGCTTTCGCAGACGGTGAACGTCTTGCGATTCTTCAGTCTCTGGGAACATGCTCACTTCCCGAAAGTCGGTCAGCCCGTCCGAGGGAACATTGCCGATGGCAAGACCAAGCTTGTGATCGAATCGACAATTCACGGTGCTTCCAAAAGAGGTAGCCGTGCAGGCGTCTATTTCGGCAGGCTCGATGGCGAGGAGATCATCGTAAAGGTATTCGCTATGTGAGTGGCACGTAGCTCTTCGCTCATCTTTTGCTGGCGGTTGGACGTTAAGCTATTGCCAAGGACATCGTTTGCCGTGGTGCTGTGATAATCTCGTCCTCGGTTACTCAAGAGCCTGTCTGTTGTCCAACTTCAATGTCCTTCTCTTTGTACGCACGGTTGAAGGAATGCTGCACCGATGCCCTAGAGCGTGGTGTTCGAGACCGATTGCAACTGCGCGCTACCTCGTGCAGGATGCTGTAGGTGTCCTCAGGCGCTCCGACTGAGCAATAACCGTCATCATGAAGTGCAGTGTGATGTCCGCGTGATGTCGTCGAAGGTGCCTATCGCGGCGTGACTCGGAGGGCTGCGTGTGCGAGAAGGCCGCCGCCATGCGTCTTCGATTCCGTCAAGTCTGTGAGATCGGTGGATGGAGTAGCGGTTGCTTGACGACGCTCAAATCGGTCTGCTTGGAGGGCTCATTGCCTCGATGCGCAGGTGACGAGTTGAAGGGCCGTCGTCTTCGTCAGAAGTCGATCGATGCATATGCATCGACGGAGGGTTTCGTGCAGTCGGCCGCCGAGCTGTTCCTTCCGCGGCTGCGCGCCCCCAAGTCACGCACTGCAAATTCGTCCTCGTGCAGCGTTTCTTGTCTCCTGGTAAGACACGGTGAGCAGGAGTGCAAGCATGAAGTAAGGCGTGGGAGAGGGAGCTTCTTCTCCAGATACTTGCCGAAGCAAGTGAACTGATGAAAAAGTGTGTTCGCGTCAGATGGAGGCAGTGCAATACCATCGACACGGTGCCACCAGACATAGGCAAGCCCAGCGGCCTGGCGACCGGTACCAAAAATAAGAATAATCTTGAATTGGTCCGTAGACCAGTTTCAGAGATTGAACTGAAAAGAACAGATACTACACTTGATCTAAGCCAAAAGGCAAAGAGAGCTAAAGAAGAAAGAAAAGAAGAGGAAATCCTGAGCTGGAGCTTCGAGTTTTGATGTTTCTGAGTGGACTGTGCATCTAGCGCCGCGGACCAGCCCGGCGAGAGCACGTGACTTATGACTCGCGCTGCCCAGCGGGCTGGCTTGGTGCCTTGTTGCCTGGCTCGCTACACTTACGGATGAGAAAGTTCGAAACCTCGTGGTATCGGATACGTATTCACAACCAGATACGGGACTTTAAACGACCTCGACTTGATCGCAGCTTCTTAGACAAGCCCTTCCAGATGCCGCTAGAAGAAAATAGCCTGGACTTCCACAGAAAAGAACGCTTTCAACATTCGTTTATTCGTGAATACGATCGGGCTTCCATCAATTCGACTCAGGGGAGCAATTTTATTGTGCAGGAAGGGACTGGCGTATCGAGAGCCCGATTATGATGTACTGTCCTTCAAGATTATTCAACGTCAACTCAATCCAAGACAAATCCGCAAATCAATGTCAACCCCTTGGACGTCATCCCTTATCCCCCTACCCAACAGTCCCACAAGTCAAGTAGACTTTCCCAGACTCAACCCCGATCAACCTTGCCCCGTTCGCTCCTCCATAGACATTCGGCCCAACGCTTCCCTTCATGTAGCACGCACTTCCCGATAGCGTGAAATCCACACAAGCATCCGTCTCAGCACAAGCGCTCACACAGCCCGCGAGGCCGGAGACGTAGACGGGCTGATTGGGCAGGTTGCCGCCTGCGTGGTCGATTCCGCATTCGACGATGAAGGATTTGCCGTTGGAGATGACGGTGGTACTGTTCATGTCGGGGCAAGTGATATCGGATCTCTTTTCCAGGAGGGAGGGGAGGCTGGGAAGAAGATTAGTGTTGAGTAAGTGATGTGGAGGGGCGCACGGGGTGAAAGTACGCTGCGGGGCTGGACATGGCCAAACCCAGGAGGGTCGAGGCGAGAAGGAGGTAGCTGGACATCTTGTGTTTGAGGCGAGTGTCTTGTCTTGGGAGGCTGTTGAAGAGCTGCTGAGTTGTTCTGTTCCAATTGTTGCGAGACCAAAGGGTCTTTATACTTGACTCTTCTTCCGGATTTCGCCCTGAGCATTGCATTCTCAGCCGCATTGAACATCAGGCTCTGGAGAGGCGTCTAGAATTCGATATCCTTCAGCGACATCCGCGTCTATGTAGCCATGGCTTGTTGCACGTGTCTTCCGTGCCGCTGTAGGCGTCCGCTTGTCAATGCTTACGTGCATTAGTTTGGCAAGTGATACTGTGTCGGGTCCTGGCATTGACTTGTGGGCGTAGGATGGCGTTCTAGCCACAAGCTTCATTGGGACCTTCCCCGAGTGTATGGCCTGGGAAAGACGGACGATGCGTCTAGTTGTATGCACTTCGGCCCACGCGCAAGGCTGCGAAAGCCTCGAATACTGCCGCCCAGACAGACCGACAGGAGACGTGGGGCGTTTGGTCTGACGACAGCTGAGGCGTCTGAGGCGTCTGAGGCGTCCGAGGCGAGGGTGGTCAAGGCTCCGGGGACCGTAAATCGAATGCACCCAACCCGGTAAGATTTCGCACTTTCTCTATCAATCTCAATCCCAATGAGTTAATAATAAGAGATTGTCAACGAAAGGAAGAGCCGGTAAGTGCTGGCGAAGTATGGCAAGGCAAACGCCATCCCGCGACTCGCTACGGCCACTGGAATGGAGTTGGAACACACGGTGAGACGTGGATGTTTTGTAGTAGATCGTCCCAGAATTCTCTCCGCGTGAGCTTGGGTTGGTTCCAGTGAGCCCTCCAAGATCAGCCAGAGACATGCGCAAGGTCGTTCGCGTGCGCTCCGGGTTGGTGTCAGGTCGGCATTGCGGTTCGTGCGACGGTCTCAGTCACGGCAGAGCATAAGGTACCTTACTGCGAGACCCTCCGAATTCAGCAATGGCCCAGCTGAGAAGCTGCGGTATGGCAGCAGCAGCAAGAGGTCCATATTTGGGAGCGCGTTGGCGTGGTGAGGCGGATTGAGCCTTCTTCCGCTACCCCACAACATACCTAACCGAATATAGCTAGTGGGTTTGCGAGCGAGAGATTTATTCTTGTGATGGGAAGCGTACGTCTTTTCTCGTGAGGCGTAGTGTGTATGATAGCATTGCCAACGGCTTTCAGGGATACTTTCTTTGCTTTCATCTTGCGCTTCAACGCGTTTTCGTGGATATCATGGGACTCGAGTCAAGTTTCCATCAATACTCCATCAAAAGCCAAGGCCTGCGCGTCTTGACATGGCGGTGCACTTTCGTCCCGTCGCCATCGACGTGCTTCCATCCACTGCTCGCCACCTGATCGACATGATGCAGCTCTCCCCACGCTAGGAGATGTCCGAACGTAAGTGCAGTATATAAGGTATGTTCTAGCGACCCATGTATGGTAAGTCCTACTTTCGCAGATGCAGAGGCAGACACGTATACTATGCGGTTACCAATCCTCGCCGCCTTCGGGACGGGACCGGTATTGGCAACAAATCTGCCTCCCTCATACAACGGCAATTCTCTACCAGTATCAAGCCAAATCAACTGCAACGGAATCACCTACACAAACCGCGGGCTAGTCGCCTACGGGACTGTTGCCTCAGATGCTCGAGACAATTTGGGCGATACTCTTGGTGGCTTCGGATCTGGAGTAGCACCAGATGTGTCTTCCTTCCACCTCAGCAACGGCTCCATCTCTGGTACCCTTTACGCTATCCCCGATCGCGGATGGAACACCGAGGGCTCCATTAATTATCAAGCCCGCGTACAGAAGTTCGAGCTCAGCTTCAAGCCCACCTTTGGCAGTATTTCGAACAGCAGCGAGAATCTGGATATGGACTATCAAGACACTACTCTGTTCTACAAGGACGACATGCCTACAACGGGGTTGGACGCCGAATCTACTATTGCGGCTTCCAATGGCTTCCCTGTTTTGCCAGCAGGCATCACGTCGAATGGCTCGGTATTGCCGACTATTGACCAAGAAGCAATTGTTCGACTTCGGGATGGTAGTTACTGGATCTCAGACGAGTATGGCCCCTACATCTACCACTTCAGCAAGGAAGGACAAATGCTCCTCGCCATTGAGCCACCTGTTACATTTCTGCCCTTCGTTGACGGTGTGCTGAACTTCACTTCTGGCAACCCACCTCTGGGCTCTGGAGCTAAAGCGGCCGGCGATCCGGACACTGGAAGAGTTAACAACCACGGCTTTGAAGGGCTAGCAATCTCTCCTGTACGTGCAACCTCTCTGCTAGAGAGGAAAGCTCGCTAATATTATATGCAGGACGAACGTCTACTCACCGTCCAGCTTCAAGAAGCTCTCGTACAAGATGGAGGCACACACGCTACCCGTGAGAACAATACACGACAAGTACAGTACGACATCTCCAATCCGCGAGAGCCACGCCTGATCCACGAATGGGTCCTCCAACAGCCAGCCGTCTTTGACCCTGAAGAAGACAAGAATCCACGCTCCACCTCAGTGGACGAGCTGCACTACCTCTCCCAGGACCAATTCTTCGTGCTCACTCGAGACTCCGGCCACGGTCGCGGCAGCGGCTCCGATACTCCCTCTACGTACCGTCACATCGACATCGCCAGTGTCTCCAATGCTACAGATTTCGGATCCCAAGAAAAAGGTCCTGCCGCTATCTCCGTTGCTCCCAACGGCTACTTGCTCCCCAACATCCACACAGATGGATACTGCCGCTTCATCGACTTCAACAACAACACCGACCTCGCACGTTTCGGCCTGCACAACGGACCACCGTATGCCGGCGAGCTGAACGAGAAGTGGGAGTCGATCGCGATCATCCCGGTTCCCTTCGGCGCCCCTGGCTACGGACAGCAGGAGTTCTACATTATCAGTGTGAGCGACAATGACTTCATCACTCAGAATGGCTATTACAACTTCGGCAATAATAAGTACGCGGATGCCAGCGGATTGAATGTGGATACACGGGTGCTGGTTTGGCAGGCGCATCTGCCGAACTATGTGGCTCGTACATAAGGGTTTGTTTCATGGCAAAAGCGATTTGTATCTGAAGACGATGAGGAAGGAAAAGTTACGATTTGTATAGACTTACTAGTTCGAGTTTGGGATGTAGATATAGATTAACATGAGTCTTACGAACATTTGCAAGTGTAGATCCAATGTTGTTGTGGACCGAACTGAGTGTTATTCGGTCAGCCCTGGCGCCAACTCATCAGTTGTTACCTTTGCCCTGCACGAGACGCGGATCACGGGTATTTGTCGGCAGATCATGAAGCGGGTCCTGTCCACGAGACTGGCGCCCATTCAAACTTTCTCATTGCAGGTGAATGAATCTCGGCTTTGGCTTGCACGTGTACCTTGTTTCAAGGATGACCGTAGCCGCTGTCTTATGAACGAAGTGGACATGCGTCTGGTCTCGTGTATTACTTCTCAGCATGTCTTGTTGTTCATCATCGGCTGGGTTGCCATGATATGGTCGTGCTGTGCCGCGGCGAACGCTATCCTGAGCTCCGACACCTCATCCTCGAAAACCTTCGTACCTCTCTCTGCAAAGCCATATTTTCGATGCTGTATTGCTGTGACGGGGACACAGCACAATGATTTACCGCTCCTGGCGGCCCCCCTTGAACGACATTATGGTCCCCATACAGGCAAGGAGTGAATAGCTCCAGCCATTCAGACATGAGAGGTTTTGCTGCTACTTTTCAAGGTCGGCTGCTATCCTCGATGGCTGATTGCCTCCGGGGAACATCTAAACCGTGCCTGGATACACTCTGCTGAGCAGTGAAGCCTTAATCATATGTCAGGCCGAGTACAAGGATGAGGGAGGCGGTGGATGAGGTTCACTCACAAGCTTTGTCGCCAAATCAAGCAGTTTCAATCAAGCATGCTTTCGCGCTAGGCCCGGTCACGTGATCGCAACGCGTTAGATCGCGTCTCGCTGGCATGGCTGGCAAACAGTCCCACATCCTCAAATTCGAGGCATTGAAAATGGCCGAAGAACAGACTCCCGGGCCCGAACACCAAACACCGAGTCTACCTGCGTCGCCCTTGCCGAAGCGGACCAAATTCTCTGAGCCAGCACCCAACCTTACAGTCGCTTGTGAGTTTCCACATATCCGTATTGGGACATCACTGACAGGCCGAAAGCCATTCTGAACGATCAGGCACCCACTCCTACACCCGAGACCGCCTCGATACCGAATGCGCTGTCCGAGATGTCTGCAAACGTGCCGGCTACAAGCTTCAACCCACCACCGCCAAGTAGCTTCCTCCCCTCCATGCCGCCAATGCCCTTGGAGCCGCCTCCACCAGCGCTGCAAGTCAAGCTTCTCTCCGAGACTGCGAAAGCGCCAACACGTGGCTCGGCTCACGCTGCGGGCTACGATCTGTACGCCTCGAAAGAAGCCGTTGTGCCAGCAAGAGGGAAGGTACTCGTAGACACAGACATCAGCATTGCGGTCCCGGCCAACACATATGGAAGAGTCGCTCCTCGCAGCGGTCTTGCAAGCAAGCACAGCATTGATACGGGCGCTGGTGTGATTGATGCGGACTATAGGGGACCTGTCAAGGTGCTCCTGTTCAATTTGAGCGATGTGGACTTCCAGGTTGCTGTTGGGGAGAGAGTCGCACAGTTGATTGTAGAGAGAGTAAGCTGGATCACACGAGGCCGCCACTAACAAACAATTGAGCTAATGTGATGTTAGATCTACACTCCAGAAGTCCTTGTCGTGGACCAGCTAGAGGAGACGGTTCGCGGTGCTGGAGGCTTTGGCTCTACTGGTGGCTTCGGCGGCACTCTTCCTAACATTGCTGCCAATGGCAAGCCATTGGCAGCTTCTTGGGCTCCTGCGCCCTGAAAAGTGTGTCGAGAAGCCATGCACGACAGTTGATGTACGATATGCGATGGATGCCGGTGTTTTGGAAAAGGGACATGACGAAAGTGTGACCGCTATGTGCGAATAACGTCAATTATTGACCGGCACTGTGTCCTTCATGTGAATTTTAACGAATCATTCGCTTTGCTCCAGCAATGGAAGGAAGTTCTCCATGCAACGAGAAAACGCCCCGTCTCTGCTATGGCCGGCCCAAATTCATATAGAACTTCTATGAAATAAGGATATCCTCATTCTGAAGCTGTCATACTAATCAAAATGAACTGCATATCGCATTCGGTGTCAATAGTGATGTCTGACTTTGGGCACGTGATCGTGATTCGGTTCCCAAGCTTCACATCCCATCTTTCAAACCTCGAATCACCCTCACCCATTCCATCGCGCAACATGCTTTCAAAACGCACCTTCGCAGCATTAGGCTCCGCAGAGGGCCAATTACTGCGAACACAATGGCTTCGAAGTGGACAATGCGCCCGCTGCTTCCACGCCTCCCAACAACAAAACGCGGAAGATAACTCGGGCGCCGGCAATGACAAGGGAACACCTTACAATGGTACGTGCAATACACAGACAGCCTACAATCCCACGACATGCTGACATCTCCCGCTCTCAGCGCCCAAGCGAGGCCCTACCCGCCAACAACGCTCCGCGAAAATCTCCAACGAAATCTCGATGCTTCAGCGAGGGCCACCTCCCTCGGCATCTGTGTCTGGCCCAGATGAATTACAAGGTCCCGGTAGTGCGACTGGAACTTACCACGCGCCGCCACAGGCCCCTACGACGAGTGCTGGCTTCATGGAGACGCCGCAGGATATTGTAGGCGAGACCGGAAGGATGGGAGAGAATGTCTCTGCGGGAAGAGAAGGACCGAACGCACAGGGAGTTGGCAGACCTGTGAGGTATGAGGATCGAAGAGGTGATGCGCCACAGGATACGACGCAGCTTGCGAGGGGTGCGAGAGCGGGAAGTGGTGTGGAAGAGCCGAGCGAGGGTGGTGCGAGCGTCCTTGGAGGAGGCGCAGAATTGAACCCGGGACATCATCAAGAATGGATCGCGAGATCTGGAAGACAAGGTTCCGCGAAGCAGGAAGATAGCCCATCGCCCAAGTGGAACAAGGCTGAAGCGACAGGATTGCTTCGGAAACTGGAACGTGAAAGGAGCCTGGGCGGCGTCGCCTACAAGCCCAATCAAGGACACAGACGTGGCTCTCTAACCATCGCTGAAGGCACCGAGCGCGACAGACTTGTAGATCGGATGCGAAACTGGATTCCGCGGTGGCGGAAGACTACACCACCGAACGTGATCGCAAGACTAGTTGTTGGTCGATACACGGGAACGAGAAGGTCCAAGGACCAGCCGGTGCTCACGAAGCTGAGCAGCCAGCTCAAGATGAATTCGACATATCTGGGCGTGGATACTGCGAGGTTTGCGAAGAAAGTGCGGGAATTGTTGCCTTTGGATATGGTGAAGAAGAAGAAGACGCAGCAGCGGCAGGCAAAGCAGTAACCGTGTACAGTATACCGAAATACCCAAATACCACGAGGCAAAGGGACGCTAATTGTACAGAAATACCAAGTCATCGATATCATCAAGCGGCATCGCGAAATGTCATATCGTAAACTTTCCGACGTTGCATAACCATCATCCCTCGTCCGAGATCATATCGTGGAATCGAAACCCATCATCCTCCTAGATGTCCTTTCACATTCCCAAAACAGGCATCATACGAGCCCGTCCATCGTAAGGAACCTCCTCCACGGTCTCGTGGCCATTCCAGAATCCCGATTTCTTCTTCTCATTTCCCTCTCCCAAAGTGCTCGTCGTGTGGGAAGAAGACGAAGACTTGGACGAAGTGCTACTGGCTTTGGAATCTTTTCGCTCGAGATGAGAAGATGTCTTGGTGCCGCCGCCGCTTCGGAGAGCCGTGAAGAATTTCTTGAAGACGTTCATGGTTGCTGCTGGCTGCTGTTCGTATCCGTGGGCTTGGACAAAGATACGCGCGCGCGCTCGATGGGAGTTCACCTTTCTATTTTTGGAAGTGAGATCTGATGTGATGGCGATGTGATCCGATGAAGAAGATCGATATGTTGGGTCACGATGTTGGTTGTGGGGTGTGTCGTTCAATGACAGTTTTTTTTTCTCCAAGCCAGGTGCCAGAGGAAAAGTTCCTTTGTCTGGAAAATCCGACCGCGTCAGGAGAATTTTCTTGGTGTGTTCCGAACAAGAGTTGTGCAGCACAAGGGAGGTATGTGACGGGGTATGCGCGTGAGCTGATTGAAGGCAGGGGTTACTCACCGATGGGATCGTACAAGGGTGTGTGTGTGGGTAAGGGTAGTCGGGTGATGAAGAATGCTAAACAGCAAACAGATGGGCTGATTGATGTGGTCGTTTGTCTTTGGGACGGACTAGCTGGCGTTTGTTGGATCGTACAAGTAACTGGAGCTCTTTGTGATCCCGTATGTATGAAGCTTTTGGTGGTCTTTCGTTTGGTACTGAGTCGAGAATCACTTTTCTCAGTTGAGAGAAATGGGTCAGCAGCTAAGTGATCCGATGGTTATTAGAGATGAGACTGTGGATGGATTCCATATGAAGTTGTGTTCTACCTCAAATGAAGTGCGTACCAAGGTTCTGGGTCTTGTTGTGGGCGCTTGTTGCAGGTGCTTGTTTGTCAACGAGATAGATCAATGGTTTGTAAGGTGTCGATCGCTCTTTCTGATTCGAAGAGCGAGGACACAGCGTGGTAGGAGCAAACAATTCCCCGTCTGGGTGGGCTTCGGCCGTTGTTTGCAGGAGGACGGAGGGAGGGAGCAAGTTTCCGGAGAGCAGAGGCAACTGAACTCAAGTAAATAAAAATGCGGAAGACTGATACAACTCATCACCAACGCAACCCTACTAGTCCCCTTCGTCCAGCTGTCGTGTTTCGGAACCGAATGCAACATCCCATGGCAAATTCACGTATCATTGGAGTTCAGACACTCTTTCGACTGACCGTACAGCTATGCACGTGCATCCTTCATTCAAACAAGTCTCCATGCACCGGGTTGACTCTTCCAGCAGTGGCTTTCCGTCCGCTAAGCCGGGTAGTAGACAAGGATGGGTCTTGAAAGGTCCTCTTTGGTCGCGTGTCTGTGTGACTGTGGCGCTTGCGGGTAGCTTTGCCTCTCCTGTTTCTTGTCGATTTGAGACGAAGCGACCGATTGCAGATGTCGAGGTCCCGACGTCGACTTCGACGTGCTGATACACAGCGAGAGTTGGAGTCATAAGCTTGAGGGTATCCGCATGATTGACCGCGCTTGCACAGAGCTTGGGCAGTAATTGATTTGGGCTTGAAAGCTCGTCGGTCTGGATCGATTATGGGTCGCTGCTGGTCTACACGGGAAATAGTGGTGCTTCCCATACACCAGGAGGATGCAGATGAGTCTTGAGACTAGGATCTATGTCGCAACCACCACTCGTGCCATACCGTTCCATCGGCAGGTGTTGTTTGGAAGTTGGATATGGGACTTAGTGCTTGAGGCCAATTACGACTTGATCTTCTTTGCTGCGGTCAATTTGAAAGAGAGTATGAGCAGACTGTTCCGCATTCAAAGAATGCCACGTCTCTTGCACAGGTTTAGCTTCCCTCCCATCGTTTCCCCAAACTTCCAATGTAACTCGGCGGCGCCCTCCGAAATTTAACCCGTTTCCTGGGTTGCTCGACGGGAGAACCAACATGTCGCATCTCGATGCTTTCGGTGATAGAACTACTCCGTCTCGGCTTCGGGATAGTTGGTCGTCTTGGTCGAAAAGGATCCGGAAGTTTGACATCTCTGGATGAGTCTCGTCGTGGAGGCCAGTTGGTCTGGCCGTCGTAACTGTCGTAGCTGTCACAATTGCTGGAAAGACGTCTACGAATCTTGGACAGAAGACTACCCATGGTTGTGGTCAGATCGAGGTCGCTAAAAAAGGATGGTTGCCGGGGTTGCTGGCGCGGCGAGCAAAGGTAGTTCTTCCGTTTCTGGTGGCAGAATGATGTTGACCGTGATTGTGTTGTTGAGCGAAATTTCTGGGATGAGGACGGTTTCTGGGATGATGACAGCTTCCGTCTGAACGATGGCTGAGATCTTGGGGTCCACAAGTGCTCCCAAAGGTGACGGCAAAGTTCGTAGAACATTGATGGTGTCTCCACTGTCACTTGGCGGTCCAGTGTAAACGAGCCACGGAGGGCTCCTCGTCTGGACGTTGTTCCTGGAGTTGGGATGCTGGAGAATGCGTGCTGGGATGAATCGGTGTTCGCCTCCAGTTTCGTCCTCTGACACGCAGCTGCGCAGAGATGAGAGCATCTTTCCCATAGTGCTAAGATACCTGCTGCTTAAGTGGGCACGGAACAGGTCGCATGTACAACATGACGTCTGTGAAGGAGGGAGGGAAAGCAAGCTGTTCTTGAGTACGAGGCAGCGCACAAGCTGAGGGGCTGGCGGTGTGACCATATCGCTCCCCAAATGAACAGCTGCTGACCGGCCGGATGCCTCCACAAGGACGGTAGATGCGGTCCAGTATGCCTGTCCAAAGGCCATTGGCTGCCTTGTGTCACCGCCCCTGAACGCGTCGTGGAAGTGGATTGAACAAGCGATATAGATGATCCGGAGGTACTATCCCGAATGTGCTCGCATGGCATTGAACAGATCACCTGATGCTGCGAAGATCTACAAATTGGTGGTGGTTAGTTCGCTTGGCCTGATTATAGATCGACCCACGGATGTGGTTGCATAGCAGCGCTGCCGTGATGACGAACCAGCCCATGGTATGAGATCTAGGTCTCCGACACATGCTTTGTGAAAGCAAATGTACCAAGCATATGGCTATGAGACCACACATTCCACGTCAGTGATGTGTCTCGTAGGGGAGAGGGTGGCCAATAGATATTGCGCTTTACTTGACCAGGGTTGAATGCCCGATGTTGTGGCACCTCGTGATTTGGGTCCGGCAAGAACCCAGTATAAATACCAGCGACATATGAGCGGATCCGAAGGCACTCGGCACATGATCCCCCGCCTCGAGCAACCCTACATCGGCCGTCGCAAAGCAAACGTGAGATGCCGCAGCCATGCTCTTCTACCGCCGACCTTGATCATGAATCGTGAGTAGGAGCGTGTTCTGTCTTCCAGAATTCCATCACTGCTTCACACTGCCGAAAGCCCACCGCGTCCTCTAGCTGTCTGAGTCTGGCACGCGCATTACTGACAGCTGGGTCGGGCGAGTAGTGCCATGGCTGGCTCGAGCGGAGTTCAGCATCTGTCTCGGTGTTTTGGAAGTAATGCGAGGAGGCTTGCGTTGCTGCAGCACGTGTCGATGGTGAACTTGAGGATGGCGGAGAGCATAGGATCGTGCAAGCTTCAGCCAAAGTCGGAAGATCGGGAAAGATATCAGACAATATGTGGCCGACCTGTTCGCGCATTGGCGGATCAGCGGTACAGAGCTGGAGTAGCTCACGAGCCGTAGTAGATGGAGGTTGCTGTGCCATCCTGAGTGGTGTATGGCCTGCCACGGCGGTCCTGTGCTTTTTCAATAGCTCTGGTAGGTCTTCTAGCTTGGTGAGCGGCAGCACGGAGATCCTGGACACTCCATGAATGTTGATCAGCTCTGCTTGAATCTTTGCATAGGCGAGCATGGCCGTCGTGTTCGCTTGCTCCTCGTCGTCGCTAGCCAGAGCAAGGGCTTTCGCAGAATGGAAGCTGCTATCACGTGGGCATGATAGGACAAAGACTACAGCAGCAGGTTGCATGTCCAGCGAGATACCAAGCTGCCTGATACGTTCGCGGGTGGCCTGAACATTTGCGTCGGTGACATCCAAAGGCGAAAGAAGCACGAATCGGAGCTGGCGTGATTGTACCTCTTGGCCGGTTCCCGGATCTTGCTGAGTGGCGAGCGGCAGGGAAATGTCGTGACCGCCGAGATCAGCGCCTGATACTCCATTTTAGCTCCCATCTCTCGTCTTTCTCGGGAGAGATTGTGTGGGAGGCCGCCTTACCGCGCAAGCCAAGGACGTCGGACTGTGTCAAGCGCGTCACGATCGACGCGTACTGTGGTCGACGCCGAAGTGAGTTGCAGAACATCTTTCCGCAGCGTGATGTAGACGAAGATGTGCATGCAGACGGAGAGGTTGTGGGAAGAAGTTGAAGGATTCCATTGGATGTCTCCAGAACTTAGCACGCTTCTGAGGTATGGAAAGGCCGCCGGGCTGCACCTTCCTCGAGCGCGCTTTCGGGATATCGCTTCCGACGGCGACGTATCGTGATATATAATTTTTATTCACACGTACCTCCATTCTTGTGCACGCGATGTAGTGTTTCGTCCCTAGCAGAAGTGGGGTATCATTTAGCCAAATGCAATCGAGAGTTGGGAATACGGTAGAATCATCTTTCCTTCTTCACTGCCGCCACGGAGTCTACTCGTACAGGCGATTTCTCCTCCTTCTTCACATCAGACGGCTTCTTCTCCTCAGCCTTCTGCTCGGGTTGTGTCTTGCCGTCATCTTGCTTCGACTGCTCGGCGGGCTTGTCTGTTACGCTGTGTGGGGCTTCCTCCTTCTCGGTGAGAGCCTGAGATTTTCTCATCGGCACCACGTGCTCTTCATCTTGAGTGACGGACTTGCCCACGTCTCGTCCTTCTTCCATGATGGCAGTATCTTCTGGTGTCCGTGCTGGTCCCCAAGTCAGGGGATTCCACCAGTTTCCACTCTCCCTTCTCTGCTTGGCCTCTTTGATACGTTCGCTAAGGTCATGCAAAGTCTCCAGGTCGGGGTCCAGCTTGGCCCTCAGACTCTCCACTTCGCTCTCTAGCTGCTCAAGCCGCTCTGCTACCTCGTCGCGTCGCGCACTCTCCTTCCTCCGACTACGCCAATTCTCGAACAGAAGCACTCCAACGGCAACACCGAAGATGAACGCTTCCGAAAAGAAATTCGCGCCCAATTCTATTGCTCTGGATTCGGAGAGTGGTCGGATCTTGACTTTGTGGGGCTTGTCCTCCTTTTTCTCGCTTCCTTCTTCCGAGCTCGCCTTTGCTTTCTGCTCATCGTAAGCCTTCTGCTCTGCCTCGCTCCGCACTGTGGGTGTCTCCGCTCTCCGTTTCTTCTCTTCTGCCGCCCGTTGTTCGCGCTCATGCATACGTTGCTGAGCCTCTGGATCGTGCAGGATGCCGAGTCGCATACGCATGTCGAATCGGTGAACTCGCTGAGCCGAAGAGACCGCAAAGCGTCGGAAACCTTCATGCTCCTTCGCTTGTCTTTTGATATAGTTCTGCAAATGTCATCAGCGGATTTCTCCAAAATTGTGAAAGCAGAAAGCATACACCTATGGGTTTTGCAAGTGTTCGGATGGTGAGCGACACCAGCTTGAGAGTGAGGGACATTATCGCGATAGAATTCCGGGGCTTTCACACCCCATCAGTTATTGCTCAAGCCATCATGTTCTCAGCGATCAGGCTTCGTTTTTTGCACGGAAGAGCATTCATCGTGATAGAGCTGAAATGTGAAGCTGTGCTACGTCGGGGATCGGTGTCTGGCGGGAGGTGGTCGGCAAGTCGGATTCGGGTTGGTCAGTCAGCTGTGGGGCGGCGCCGGTTGCCGTGGAAGTCAGTTTGCCAAAGTAAACATGCGCGCCGAAGCCAGGCCTGAATCCTCTACCAGCAGCAGCTTCAGCAACGACATACGGCAGCACTCCCTCCACCGCAGCCTTTTCGAATGTTCGCACAGCATTCAAGACGGTGACAGCAGTAATATTCGACTTTACTGGCAGTCATGTCTTCCTCCGTCCATGCCGACCCGCCGCCGCCTGTCGTCTCCGAACCCAATGGCATCAACTATGTCACGGGTCCTGCACTTGGGAAAGGTGGCTTTGCAATCTGTCACAGAGCAGAACGGCATGATGGCGGCCGGCCGACTGGACAGATTGTCGCCCTGAAAATTGTCAAGACAAAGATGGAGCCCGCGAAGTTGGCACAGAAGGTACATCGACCCAAGAGAAACAACCACGGGGCGTCTGATACTGACTGAGCCTAGTTTGTCACCGAGCTTCAAATACACAGCAAACTGTCGCATCCCAACATCGTCACCTTCTACCGCGCTTTCTCTTACCAGACCAGCACATATGTTGTCCTCGAGCTCTGCTCCAATGGCTCACTGGCGGATATGCTCAAGCGGCGGAAGTACCTTACACTACCCGAGATTCGAAGACTCGTAATACAGGTATGCGGAGCAGTAAAGTACTTACATCATCGGCATATCGTACATCGCGATCTGAAGACTGGCAACTTGTTTCTGGATGCAAACATGAACGTCAAGGTTGGCGATTTTGGGCTCGCGGCACTCTTGGTAACAGAGCGGGAGATGGAGGTGAAGAGGCGGACCACCATGTGTGGCACTCCAAACTATCTTGCACCGGAGATCTTGGAAAAGGGCAAGGGTCACAATGAAAAGGTCGATCTGTGGGCGATCGGTGTCATTGCATACACGCTGGCAGTGGGCAAGGCTCCATTCCATGCAAGCACCAAGGAGGAGATCTACAAGAAGCTGAAGTCTGGAACATACACATGGCCAGAGCTTAGTGCAACAACAAACCAGAGCGCAGATCTGAGAGATCTCGTTTCAGGTCTACTGGTGCCTGAAGAGGAGAGACCGGCACCAGATCAGATTGTCAGCCACGCTTTCTTCCGCATTGCATACGTTCCTGCGAGCATCCCAGACACAGCTCGAGAAAAGGCCCCGTCATGGCCCGAAGTCGCAGTACCATCAACCGAAACGATACGACGAGGGTACAGCGACACTTGGTTTGCTCTCTGCAAGGAGTCAGGCGTGGGAGAGTATGAGACAGGAAAGTGCTTCCCTCTTAACGGCGGCCGCAAAGTGCGCAGTATTGTCCATGACATGACTAAGGAGGCGCAGGCGGGCCGCCAACCGACCATGCCAATCCCCAACGACGTTGTTTACACTTCTACCGTCAGTGACTTCAATGGGTCGCGAGGGAGCAGTCCATTGCTGGACGAGGCTGCGAAGAAGCCGCTGAGTAGAGGGTTGAAGGAGATCTCGAACAATGAGGTAGCTGGAGCAAGACCACGGAAGGCAGAGGCGGAGAAGGCTGCTAGGGACGCCGAGCTTATGCCACCGCCAACAGCGTCATCAAGAGCGGCTCGATCAGGAACGGTACGCAAAGCTGCCCGAACCATTAGTGAGGAGACTGCTAAGTCGTCGGAGTCCGTTAAGGTCGCCTCAGATGCCGCTGGACCGTCCAGCTCGGCCACTCTAAGAGTGTCGAGAACACGACCTCCGCCCGTAAGCTCAACAAGTGCAGCCAAGACGGCTACAGCTGCTCAATTTCTCAAGGAGGCAAGCAATTCGCAAGCGTACTGTACAGCTCCGTTAAACCAACCCTCAGATGGCTCAACGGACAGTCTTGAGAAGCCTCAGCGTACCGGAACCACTAAGCGAGCGGCAGATGCTAGCCTTGCCCGGAGACCGCGTGGAACCAGGACAGTGAAAGAGAGGCCCATGTCGCCGGTCGAAGCACCCAAAGCACCAGCACAGCCCGCTCCAGTGAAGATTGCGAAGGAGCGCAACCAGCCACAGCGGGAAGCACCAGGTCCCCTTGCCACACTGGACGAGTTGAAGGATGCATTACCCTCTTACAAGAGCCGAAGAAAAGCGGAAGCAGAGGTGATTGAGATTCTATCCGACCCGGAGTCAGACGAGAAGGAGAAGCCCGGTGAATCAGCAACACTGTCATTGTCTCGCGCACCGAAGATGGCAGGCCGCCTTCCAGTGCCTAGAAGGCACATTACGGAATCGGTCGACTCTTCCATACCTTCAACGGATCCATCGACAGTCTTACAGAAGTTGTCAGTCTTCAGAGACAACCTCGCATCTGCTCTCAAGAGACCTACAACCAGCGCAAAGCCTTCGACCGCCTCGAATCATCGCAACATTCAGACAGCCGCCGGACTACCTTTTGTTTCTCGCTGGGTGGATTACAGCCGCAAACACGGTGTCGGATACGTGTTATCTGATGGGACAGTAGGCTGTATCATCAACGCCTCTCACAAACCAAATCAATCTCCCACGCCTGTGACGCACGTTCTCGTCCGCAACGGTCAAAGCTGGCTCTCCAAAGTTGGCAAGAACAAAGACTTCGCAGGCATCGACCAAGTGCCACTGGAAATCTTCGAAGATTGCAATGAAGACGGCATCAAGCGGAAGATTTACAAGGGACTTGGAAGTGTCAAGGATGGTCCTTTGCTTGCTGAAGCAGAGCGCAGGAGGACGATGAGTGTCCTGTGGGTGAAGTTTGGACGGTACATGTGTCAGAGTCTGGACGGGGACGAGGACGGAGAGCGAGGGCATGGGGAGAATTTTGTGAGATTCTATCAGAGGATTGGGAGTGTCGGGGTGTGGGCTTTTGCGGATGGATGCCTACAGGTGAGCCTTTTCCTTGATCTTGAACGTCGGGTTGATGCGGTTGCTAACATCTCTTGGTCTGGCAGGTCCACTTCCCAGACCACACCAAACTTGTCCTCTCGGCCGATGGTCAACATCTCTCCTTCACGGCTCTCACGACTGAAGCCACGGCGCACCTTTCCCACAATGGCGATCTCCTACCGCAACACGTCAACAGCCGTCAATTGCATCAGGACTCTATCCAAGCTCTTCTCCACGAAGGCGGACGCGTTCGTCAGCGTGTCATCAAGGCCAATCAACTCTCAGAGAAATTGAACTTCGTCCTCCAGGTCGCCAATCAGTGGACTGCGAATGAAGGCCTGGGAAGACTGGATGAGGATCTCGTTGAAGGCGCAGAGAAGTTGTATTGGGAGGGATTGACTGTGAAAGATCAGAATGCACGGAAAGTGGAAAGAGTTACAGTCGGAAGATTTGGTGGTGACGAGCCGATTGAGGGAAGGACAAGGGCGTAGAAAGAGGGCGTGGTTGTTGGAAAGGTATTCTATGATGGCAACGACTCTCCTTTTGTTGGCGAAAGACGGTATGCTTCCTTGCTCGGATTGGGTACATGATGCTGCTTGTTGGGCGTGGCATGGCGGGGGGGTTATTGGGATCTGTCCTTGTTTCCTCTACCAAGGTGTGTGTGGATTGGATGAAGTGTAGATTCGTACAGCACCAAACTTCAGTCCTCAAACGAACTCGGCCCCACGTTCCGGCCATTTGGGCGTTGCCACGTTCGACCCTATCGACTCTCTGAAGGGAAACTCAACGAATGTATCCCTTGCAATCTTCCAGTCCCTTTCGAGCCCAAAGTCTACCAATTCTGGATGGAATTTGGAAACGATAGCCGCGAGCGCCACGTAGATCTCTACGTACGCGACGTCGATGCCTACAGCTTCTCGCTCCTCTGGAGAAAGTTAGCAGGTAGCGATCGAGTCGTGGTCGCTATCGTGAAGCAGGCTATTCGAACCACTTTTATTATAACTCGACGGCTGTCATAGCGATAGCAAAGCGTCGTAGTCGCTTACAAACCGACGGGCAGATTGGACGTAACGCTATCTATCCACCGACCAGCTTTCAAGCTATCCTGACACTGGTCGTGACAGCACCAACGTGTATTGAAAGCGGGTGGTATGCAGCCGCCAGCAGCTACGGTGCCAAGAAATGAAATAGACCTTTTCGGGGACTCGGACGCTCGGCCGTCGTTCCGTCCTTCCAGATTCGTTCTAGCTCGAGCTTGGATGTCATTCCTGTCAAAGAAGGGTGCGGTGCCCATGTCATGGTTCACAGTTTCGGAGCATTTTCTGCATAAAAATAATAATTAATGATGGGGAAAGATGCCCACCTCCGGGGCGGAAACCGGCTCCGTCCAGGCAATTCTGGCATTTGCCACCGCAATCCTCAGAGATGACAGATTATAGGATGATAGGCAGTCCGAAGCCGTTCGAAGCGACAACAACCCTTCCTCCTTCGACGTAGTCTTCTGATTGTCGAGCACAGCGCTTTGCCACTTGACTCCGAATGCTGGCTTTCCCAGTTCATTGGCCATCTTCTTACTGAAGACTTTCCTACTGGAGGAGGGATTCGCTGTGCGAGGACGCCGGAGCTATATTTGCCACGGCTTCCACCATTCACACACACGTGGGAACTTGGACCAAGCAAAGCCGTATGGGTGAGAGACTTGACGCAGCGGTCGTGTAGCGATCCCTGGTAGACTCTCGATGATCGAGGGAAGGCAGCTCTGTCTCTGTCTCTGTACGCCCCTCCACACTCCACGTCTCCCCCATGCTGACGGTGCTGTGGTGGCGATTGTGTGGTTGGCCTTGCTGCAATCCCGTCGGCAAGCACAGCAAGTATCGCAAGAAGGACAGCAAGCACTGGACGAGCAAAGTGACGGGAAGGTGGCCGGGTGAGGAAGGAGGCATATCCTGGGAGGAGGGAGCGAGAATGGAGTGCCCACACCACATGCACGTGGCACGTATGCTATGGGGACCGAGCCCGAAGAAGACCTCTGCATGATTTACAGGCCTCAAGAAACGTCTATTTCTCGGCATGGCCACTTCTCGACGCGGACTTCTTCGATCTGCGCGATCGAATCGAGATCTCAAGAGCAGCCGGGGAGGCGGTCATCCCTCCGGCGGAAGCACTGCCGGAGCGAGCACTCTCCTACGCCTCTCTCAAGCCTTCTCTTTTGACATGGATACGATTTTAAGTCTCCAGAATGATGACCATCCCCCAATCCTGCGTTGGAAAGGCTCGCTGTAGCCCTTGCCTCCGGGCCCGACCACAGGCTGTTGGTGTGAAAACCTGCGCTATCTCGGATTATGACATGGCCTGTGGACCACCGTCTGCTGAAGTCTGCAAGTACTCCCGTCTCGTCTGTGCCCGTGACGGTAACTCCCTATGCAGATGTCTCCCATAAGTAGCACCGCATGGACACGCCGGAGTGTACTCCTCCACCAAATCATTAACTTCCGCCCATCTTTTGTCAACTCGGTACGCCCAGCCAGGACACCACTACTGCACCGATAGCAGCGCCCCCCCCCCCCCCCTCAAGAGTCGCGCTACGCCGCGCCAAGCATCGGCCTATTGACAGCCTAGCCTCAACAACAGGCACTGGCTCCATCTTTCCTTCTTCCCCTACGCCTACGCCTACGATGACCAATGCGAAAAGCAGCGTGAAGAAGGGCCCACGGAGGGAGCAGGTCGCCAACGCCTGCATGGGCTGTCGTTCCTCCAAGGTCAAGGTCAGTCTGCGATCTGTCTGGTTCTGATGCCCGTCTTCGGCTAATCCAGGTGCCGCGTCAGTGTAGCGGAAAGCACCCTCGCTGCTCCAGATGCCTTGCCAAAGGTCTCCCATGTCAGTACGACGTTTCGGAAGAGGGCGTGACGAGAAGACAGCACATGTTACAGGCATGGGAGGGCCAGAAGAGAGATTTGGACTGCGTGCAGTCCGTGATGCACGTTCTGAGGCATGGCACCGATAGCGAAGCCGCTGCGACTCTGGCACGGCTACGAGTGGGACATTCGGTGGAGCAAGAGTCTGATCGCATCTCGAAGCGGCCGGGCCAAGCAGAGCTCTCGGATCCAGACGCGTCGAGTCCCCCGCCAAACGACAGTTTCACCCCGGAGACTGTTGGTGATGGAGACTTTAGGGGCGACTTGAAGGGGGACTACGATACCGCCGGCGTCCCCTCTCCAATGCTGACTTCACACGGAGGCTCCCATGCAAGCGCTCCTGCCAGCCTCTACGCCGAGTCGCAGATCAGCAGCTTTGACACACCGATGACCGATCTGACATCCTGCTCCTACTCGCAGCCGACAAGTGCTACCTCCGAGCAGCAGCATACCTACGCGACCTGTTCGCTCGTCGATCTACACGACCCGACTACCCTCTTCCCCTTCGATCCAATCATACCAAATACCCAAACATGGCACGCGTAAAGAATCGGCTGGAATCTCGGATGATCCATGAGAGCAACGTTCCTCACCACTGGCCAGGGTGAGAAATACAAAGTGCGGAACAAAGTGGCTGATGTAAAAAGGAAGGGTCTCGAAATCCGCTACATCTTCCTTTTGGGACGTCATACACTCGCGCAGTCGAAGGAAGAGATGGTGCATTCAGCAGACGAAGATCTCCGTCGACCCAGAAGCACATCTTCCACGCCATGTTTCGAGCCTATAGCACAGTTCCCGCTCAATACCGGGAAACACGTTAGCTGGCATCGGAGCACGAATATCACCCGCATCTACGGCGAACAAACTTCAGTACTGCTACCACGCGAGACACGATCGCCGTGGATTCGGAAGAAAAAGCGGTGGTACGATTCCTCTGGACCCAAAGACTCCCAGGGGAGTCAGCCAGGCGCGAAAAACGCAGAACTTTCAGGCCCAATTGGATTCCAGACGCCTTGGGTGGTCGGGACAAATAATAAAGAAAGCGATGTAGTTCCCAAGACTTTCCCGCAAAAGAAAAGAAAAGCAGAATAAACACACACACACGGCATACAGGGGCGAGGCGACACAGGAGGGAGGCCAGAAGAAAACGTGGTATTCTACCCAACGTCCACCCTCATCCTTCTCTCTCTAGTCGAAGAAGATCAGAGCGGGCCCGGGGCCGATGGGAATAACAACCCACGCAGCCATTCTTTTCTTGTTTTCTTCCATTTTACTACAAAGAAAGAAAGAAAGAAAGAAAGAAAGAAAGAAAGAAAGAAAGAAAGAAAGAAAGAAAGAAAGAAAGAAAGAAAGAAAGACATTCTCCATTGCTCAGACCAGGTCAGTGCACTTTTCTCTTCCGAAAGTTGGGTTTGTCGCTCACAAGAGTTTTCTCCGTGCTGATTCGGCTGTACGCAGAAAAGTTGGAGATATTACGTATTTTTCTTTGGACGTAATTTCCACACGAGCAGCCCGGGTTCTGTGAGGCAGCAGGCTATCGTCAGCGGTCCTACGGCGAAAAGAAACGTGACAGTTGAAGGTTTGGGGGACGCGATGATCACTCGATCAGGAAAGCAGCCGATTGAAACCAGATGATCCGTACGAAAGCTCAGCGGACAGTCCAAGCAAGGGCAGATTGGAGGAGCCGAGAATGTAAACGTAAATTTCACGACTCGGCCTACAAGAATAGTCCGTACGTAAGAAGCGACATGGCATTCTTCGAATAGTAATGAGCTTCAAAACAATGATGACGAGAGAAAATCTAGACCGGAAAAAAAAGCATGTGACTCCACGATCCGTGCTCTCTCTTGGCCCGTGCTCGTCACGCTAACACGGCCTCCACAACCCCATCGACCCATCCCTCCCACCAACCCTTCTTCCTATCCCCCACAATCACCTCGATCATCCTTCGACTTCCCTCCTGCCCATCCTCCCCATCATTTCGTTCCCGCCACTCCCGCTCCGCCCCCTCCACCGCCCTCCGCAAGACACTCTCCTCGTCCTCATCCCCATACAAATCACACCGCTCGCATTCCCCACAGACGCCCCCGTGCGGCCGGAAATGCTGACAGAAATGCACGTACCCTTCCTTGCCAATCTCCGCGCGGCAGACGTAGCACATGGTATACCCGCAGTTGCAGACGAGTTTGTTGCAGCCGCTGCTCTTGATGAAGGAGAGCAGGCAGCGCGGACAGGTGCGTTTGATGGCCAGCGTGGCGCTCGTCTCGATGGCGGTGCGCAGGGACGTCTTTTCGTCTTCGAAGCAGATGTGGCCGTTGCGGTGGGGCGCCGTGCAGCGCGTGCAGGTGACGCGGCGGCAGGTGGGGTTTTGGCATTGGAAGCGGAGGGTGCGGCGGGAGGCTTGGACGCGGGTGATGGAGGCTTTGAGGGGGTTGTGGGCGGCGGGGAGGGTCTCGCAGAGGAGCCAGGAGATTGCGGCTAGGCAGAGGAGCGGGACGAAGAAGAGGGAAAGGGCCATGAGGAGGGAGAGGAAGAGGATTTGGAAAGCGGGCGGGGCCTTGGTGGTGATGTGATGCCAGATTGCGAGAGGGTGCTTGAGTTTTGGAGAGGGCAGTTCGTTTGTTTCGGCGTAGTTGCAGAAGGGACATCTTTGGAGAGGCAGGCCGGATTTCAGGAGTGTCTCTGACGTTGTTCGTGCCTGAAACTCTTGCCAAGCATCTTGATTGTTCGTGCCTTGGTTGAGAGATCGTTGGACGAGTTGAGATGGGATGCAGCCGTTGCAGTCGCTGGAAGTGGGAGCAAAGCATCTTACTGTACTCCGTTTCAGGTCTGCTGTTCGCGCCCAGCCTTGACCATACAGAGCTTCATGGACTGTGCGCCGGATGCAGTCCATGCACAGGTAATGGCAACCATCATCGCAAGTGGCAATGCTTTCGAACGGTACAGAGCCGAAGCAGCATTCGCAATCAAAGAGAGCCGCAGCTTCTTCCGCCTGCTTCTCATTGATCTCCGATGCGGCCGCAAAATCCGCTTGCAGCCGTTCCTGTCTCTGCCTCGCAACAATCGGCTCCACGAACTGCTCATAAAGCTCCTGATCCAGTTCCTCGCACCCCGTCTTTCTGACAATCGGCTCAGGCTCCGCACCGTTCGTTTTCCAAACAATAAACGGATGCCCTCCAGCAGCCACAGTACTATCCGTAGCCTTCCTCGCCCACAGGTTCGAGATCGAAAATCTCCAAGATCGACTCGTGACCTGTTGTAGGATAGGTCTCGAGAGCGTATACGAAAAGTTCTGCTCGGCCAGAACACCTCGGATCGTCGAATGCGACAAGTTCCGGAATTCCTGGCAGAAGACCTGCTTGACGGCTTTTTTATAGCTTTCGCTTCGGAAGAGATCTTCCTTTTCCAGACCATCCGCATTCTCTCCCTTCTTCCCTCCTCCTTCTGCCTCCAACCTCACCCTGCCAGTCCCCTTCCGCCTCTTCTTCAACATCGCCTCGGCAACCAACTCCACCCGACTCTCCTTACTAACATTCACCACCATCTCCCGGAGCACTTCCACTTCCACATCCGGAAACAGCTCCACCAAAACCCTCAAAGCCTCATTCAATTCTTTCACATTCCGGTCCTCCGGCCCATGGGCAAGTCCAGGCTCATAGAGCGGTTCGATATTCTCGCCCGCAGCAGCAGCCGCAGCAGACCGGAATGGTCGGAAGAAATCCGCCTTGTTCTTCCAGAGGCGCCCGTTAGACTTAGGCAGAGGCACCAGATCCATGATTTTCAGAGCAGCCCAAATCTAAGGCGCTGTAGATGATGAGACCCCTCTTTTTTCCTTAGGTCTTTTGACTTGTTTGCTGCTTTCTTTTCCCCGGATGTTTCTCTGGGTCACATGGTTCGATATTCTACAAGCTAAGGGTACTCCGTGGAAGCAGCGGAGCTTCAGAGCGTGGCACCGAAATTGCTATCTTGTGGGTAGATGCCTAGGTCAATGTTGATGGTGAATCCGGGTTTCCGGATGGTTTTGGCGAGGAGAGTCAGGAGGCAGACGGGATGGAAGTAGCGCTAGAGAGGGGTGCCAAGTGGCTATGATTGGTGCAAAGAGAGCGGACGCTAGCGGCTGCTAGTGTGCAGGGCAACAATTCACCTCACAAGTTGCAATGACCCGACTAGGCAAGATGAAACTTGATAGAAAATGATGCGGGGGAGACCTAATAGCATTGGACACCGTAGCTAGCGAAGAGGAGCTCTGGCAGAAAGCATGTAGGATGACGATAGCATCGACGTTCACCAGACATGAGACAGGAGCACACTTGATCAAGGAAATGCAAAATAGGTGTGGTTGCACGGTGTGGAGAGCTTGCCTTGTTTGTGCTCAAGCTAGCTAAAGCCTCAATCAAGGCTGTCGTGCGCTCTCCTTGATGCTGCCTATTCCTACTTTCCTGATAAGAATACCCTGCTACGAACGTCCCGGGAAATGCACTCAATGGGAAGCTGGGGTATCTGATGCCTGCATGGTAATCGAAATCCACTCAGACCGGAAGCGTTTGTTTAAGATTGAAAGAGGAGGCCCGCAGCGTACTCAACGTTGCCGTCACAGGCATCCAGCGCTGCGATCGCCTGTTGCTGGGAGAATCCGAGGCTCTTCAGCTGCTCGATCTTCTCTTTGGAGTGGCTTGATGAGGCAGGTGCTCCAGCCGATGCTGAAGGCGTAGCCGGTGCTTTCGACGAACTTGAAGTCGAGCCGAGTGCTTGTCCTTGACCCTGGAAAGAACCGTTCGTTCCCGATGTAGAGGCTTGTCCGCCAGCTTGCTTGACGGTTCCAGATTGAGCACCAATCTCAGTGCCATTGGGACCAGGCACGGTGGGCTCGGCTTCCTCCATGTTCTTAGGAATGTCGGCCTCTCCAAGGAAAGCAACCTCGTTGTCGTCACCAAAGATCAGCTTGTTCTGCTTGAGATCGATGGTGGCTTGGAAGCGCTTGAGCATGTCCAAGCCGAGTAGGAGATCAACGTCTTTGCCCTCCATGACGGTGAAGGAGCAGGACATAGTCGAGTTGCCGATCGTAATAGGGGCCGAGTGGACTCGTCCAAGAATCTGCGCAGTGCCGACACCCTTTGCAATGCCAGAATATCTCTTGTCAATGAGCCGCATAATTCCGCATGACTCCGCACAAGATGGCGACATGATGGTGGTTTGGGCACCCGAGTCGACAAATGCGCTGACCGGGTGTTTGTTGACTTGGACCGGGATGTAGAGCATGGTAACTCTGCCGAATACTACGCGTCACATTCTGTTAGCGCGTCCCCAATGCCGATCTGTAGCACACTTACCCTCAGGACTGTGCTCGTACGCGAACTGCAAATTCTCCTGCACCGACTCTTGCCGTATCATTTCCTCGATCTTCCTCTGTGCTTCGATGTTGAAGGGATCTTCATTCAGCAGCCTCATCTGCTCCATTCTCTCTCGCTCACGGTTCTCATCTTCCCGAATCATCTCCATCCATACCTCACGGAAACGACTGCTGTCGTGGATGGCGTCGGCCAATGCCGGGCGTTGTTGCCGCATCTGAGCTATGGCTCCTGGGTTCCCGAGCAAACTCAACCGCGCTGTCTCGATCTCTTCTGGGCTATTGGGAGCCCCTCCTCGCCTCTGCTGCTGTTGCTGGGGACGTCGCTGCGAGCCCATGTTATTCTGTTGCTGTGGTTGACGCATGAGCATAGCAATCATATCCCCATCCTTGATCCCAGCCTCTTGTAACGTCTTGTTGTCACCTTGGACAACTTGGTTATTGAAGAAGAACTGCTGATGGTCGTGAGGGATGTTGGTCTCGGCGGCGACGAAGCCTTTCAGGTCGGCGAGGGAGAGGTCGGGGGAAAGGTCGAAGTTGAGAATCTCTTGGTCGGAGGCATGGTTGGGCGCGATGACGGAGATAGTTATACGCGGCCTGGAGAGGGAGAGGAGACGGTGTTAGCCTGGTCTGTCCGCCGTAGCACAGGAGGGCAGTTGTACGGGTGTAGTCTGTGGGACTGGAGGACATGTTATGGTCCCGCAAAGCAGGTGTGTACTCACATTCTGGCTTTTCTGAGAAGGCGTCCTTGCTTCGAAGGGAAGTTGATATGCAAGTCGCTGAAAGAAGCGGACTTAGCGCACGAAGTCGAGAATGCCGGCTGGCGAGTGACGCCCGGCTGGGGAAGGGTTGTCTCTCGGTTGACGTGCGATGGCGAATCGCTGGGCTGTGTGTACCGGTCAAGCGCGAGATGGGGAGGTGGACGGGAGCGGAGTTGGGAGTGCTACGTCGGCGAGTGGATCAAAACGAAGGGAAGACGGCGAGCTGGAGGTTATGTTACGTCGAGCAGGGTCGCCTCATGACTGACTCAGCGGCGGCTAGTGAGAGGCGCGCGGGTGGGAGGGCTGGTGGTGGAGGAGGAGGAGGAGGAGGAGGAGGAGGAGTTGGTGGAAGACGGCGGAAGTGTGTGGATGGTATGGTTGGTAATGCGGATTGTGTTTGCTGGTGTGCAGTGTTTCTGGGAAGAACAGGCAGCTGGAGTGACGGAGCTAGGTCGAGCTATGGCTCTTCATGTGCCGCCGGCTGCAGCACGGGCACAGTGATGGTTAAGAAGACACCCGTCCCTCACGCTGCACGCTTTCGCGTGGCACTACGCTTTGTTGTTGCGGATGCTCAAGTGGCGGTCTGGTGCTGGACCTGCTGGTCGACTCTGCCTCACGCGCTTGCGGCGGCGAAATACCGTCGACCTGGCTCGCGCAGACGGAGGATTGGAGGATGTGTTGGGCGTAGAGCGAGGGAGAGAGACGGATGCAGGCAGACGAGACGCAGAGCTGATGCACCTGCCTGACGCGCGCACAACGGTGACGCTCCAGATGTCCCCCACCAAACATCACATCACCTCAGTCAGGTATAATAAGCGAGTGATGATGTCGCCAGACATCCATGGATCCTGGTGAGCGCTGGCCACGCGCGCCCCGGCCCGCTGCCGGTGCCGATGCCGATGCCGATGCCGAACCCGTTTCCGTTCCCGCTCTCTTCTCTTCTCCTCTCTCCAACCAACAACACAACCTAACACTGCACAAGCACACGACCAGCATCAGAGGCCCGCAGGAATAACAGGATCCTCCTGCCGCCGATCACGGGCCCTTCTCGATCTTTTCATGCAGCTACTGACGGCTTGCATCGCGCTTGCCTGCTCCCAACGTCACTTGTCCTCTCTGGCTTGCCCTGGACTGAGTTGGTGTCACACGACAGAATTTCCCCAGGACGAACATCATTCCAGCACTTGAACGCCACCAATATCCTGGTCCAAGTACCGAGCTGCATCCTCATGCCGCGAGATTTCTCGTCCCTAATCAACGAGGCAACCCTCGACGGCATGTCCAGCTTAGCCCCCCAAACAGGCAACCGCAAAGCGCGCCCAATGGAGACACAAGCCGAAGACAGCAGCCATCTCGCAGCAGAAGATGCCATCTCTGCCAACGCAAAGCGAAACGAGCTTCACCCGTACACGCAGACGCTGTCCCTGTCAGATCTCGAGAGCTGCGTACGACTTGAGGAAGCTGCCTTTCCGCCTCAGGAACGAGCCTCCCGAGAAAAGGTCAGTCTCATCGACACGAACCGCGGCCACCATGTCGCTGTGACATGTTGGTATTACACTGCTTGCGGTATGCGTTGTCCAACGCTTCCGTAACGTCTGTCAAGAACAGGACACGCACCTGTTGGCAGAATCAGCACATGATGCTTTCCTCCTCTCATTTCAGCTGCCACTTCACTCAACACCACTGCCAATCAATCCTCTCTTCCTCAACATCTGCGTCTCACCGCGATGCACCACCACACCTTTCCTTCTGTGTTGGGCGCGGATGCCTCGAAATCCACACTTGTGCCACACACCCAGTTTCATCTACACATCCCTGCAATGCCCCAAAAACATCATGCTGAAAGTCCGTTCCTCCAACAGTTACAGTACCGCCTTAAGCACGCGGGCGAACTCTTTCTGGGAATCTTTACATCTCAGGAGGGATCATCGGTCCCCACGGCAGAGACTTCCGCTCCAGTGTACACGGGTGCACCGCAACGCAAAGCCGTCCTTTTGGGCTACATCGGTGGCACTAAGACTACGAATCCGGTGGTGAAAGACGAAGACATGGCGATCCCGGACCCCGAGAATCCTGACCCAAGGCTGGGTCACAAACTGGACGGCAAGACCGTGTGCATCCATAGTCTCGGCGTCCTACCGCAATATCAAAAATGTGGACTAGGTACCACGCTGATGAAAGCGTACCTACAACGTTTAGAAAGCCATGGGGTCGCGAACCGAGTTGCTCTGATTGCGCATGATCACTTGATTCCCTATTATGAGAAATTTGGCTTTGAGGATAAGGGCAAGAGTGAGGCGCAGTTTGGCGGCGGCGGTTGGTATGATCTGGCTCGAGACTTGAAGCAAGGACCTAGTCCTTCGTGAATTCTCGAGACCTGTCCTGACCGCGAGACCTGTCCTGACCGGTTGCTCTCGTTGAACGTTCTTTGTCCTAGGTCTTCCCACGAAGCAACCCAGGTGATAATTTCTCGCCATTGCGGGAGATATGACCTGCGATAGTGAAGTGTCGTTGCGATTCATTCGCAAGCAGCGAAGCGCATGAAATAGAAGATACAGAAAGCACTACAACAAATGCTCGCGAGCAACGAGATACGAGACAGACGCAATTCGTCGACGGCTTTGAAGATTCTCGAATCAAGAGGCTTTCGCGGATATGCAACACGTTCTAAACTTCATGATCTGCCGCGGCCAACTGCTCGTACCCTCCACTGCGATATCCCATACCGCCCGTCGGCACCTCATACATGTTCGCGTAGTCGACGGTCTGACCCCCTAACAGAGCCCTGCAGCTGTCCCCTTTACGCGAAAACACCGGTCCATCAGTCCAGAAATCCTGACAATTCCTGAAAATTCCCCTGGTAAAAGGATTCGCTCGCTTCACGTGTCGATGATTATGCGTTTTGGGGTTCTTATGTCCCTTATAACCCTGAAAGGCAATCGCGATAAAAGTATCGACGCCCAATGTCTTCGCCAGACGCATCAGCATTCCATCCTTTTTCTTGTGTCGGTGGGCATGGGCACCATCTGCGGTTCCGGCGTCGGTGGTCAAAGTCCCAGCTGCTACGGCGGAGAGAATAGGGCCGACTTGGTGCGTGCTCATGCTCTCGTAGGTTGTGAGGTTCTTTGCTACTTGAAAGAGATGCACAAATAGGAGCATGAAGGTCCAGGTGAGTTGGAGGGCGCCCCAGGTGTTTGTGATGATCGTCAAGGGGTCTTTGGCGAGTTGGGCGCAGAAGACGTCTTTGAGGATTGCGCATTGGTACGATGTCGGTTCGGGAAGGACGTCGAGGTCTCGGGAGAAGGGTTAGTAAATGGTGATGTCGATGTTCGTGTGTCGGACTGCGACTTACATGCGAATGTGAGGCGTACGACGATGCCGATTCCGAAAATCATGAAGACAACATAGAGGAGGAAGTGCTTGTGGTTGTTCACGGCCACGCAGTTGTCTACCCACGGACAATGGCTAGAAAAGTCAGCTTGTGCCGTACCATCAGAGTCGACGTCAACTGACTGGTCCTCTCTCGCCACACATCTGCCGCAACGCTTGCAATGCTTGCTTCGTAAGGGTTTTCGTATCGTACATGTTGTACAGAAGTGTTCTTCGTTGAACGCATTATGCTCTACGAGCTCGTCGATCGTTTTCTTCGTCTGCCCGCGGCTGGCGCCCTTGGGAATATAGCCAGGATCGGCTGTCATGGTCATGAAGTAGAAGTATGTGCAGAGGGAGTACGACGCCGCAAAGGAGGTGTTGAGGAGGAAGTTTGTGTATAGTGTTGCTTTGAGAGGTCAGCGGGAAATCTTGTCGTGAGGACTCAATGACTTACCTGGAAGGATATGCATCACCCAGCGTACTCCAACCCAGAAAAGAGACGCAGCAAATATTCCAGCGAGGAAGGGTGTTCGATGCATGTGCTTCATGTCAGGTGGCGCCCACTTGAGAGATTTCTGAACAAGGAATTGCAGGCCGTATCCAATGATTAGCACTCCCGGTATTGAGACCCAGACCGATAGATGTGCCAGCATGTGAAGCTGTAGACCACCGAGAACAAATGGCCATAGGAAGAAGAATCGTTTGAAGAACCGTCGTCGATCTTTCACCATGGGTATCGGAAAGGCCGTGGGATTGCCAGCTTCATCAAAGCCAGAGTCAAGAAGTGCCTTATGCCACTGTCGTTCGCTCTTCATCTTTGAGGCAGTCATGCTTGGCGTATCGCCCTCTTCTTGGCCTTCGGTCGGTTTGCTCCTGGCAAATCGATCTGCACCATACTCGACCAGCTTTTGGATGCAGAGATAGCTTCCTTTCACCAGCGCCCAATGCAGCGCGGTGAAGCCCATGTCGTCCACAGCATGCACATCGGCTCCAAAGCGTAATAGCATGTCTATACATGCTGGATATCCTTTGTATGCCGCCCACATCAAAGAGGTATGCCCTTGCGCATCGGGTACATCGACAGGTATGTCTGGTTGGTGGAGAAGGAGGATGAGCTGATAGACATTGCCGTCCAGGGTCGCGGAGTGGAGGAGATTGTAGCCTTGGTCGTCTCGTAGTAGCGGGTCTGCGCCATTTGCAAGCAGCAAAGAAATGACCTGAAGATTGAAGCGCTTGCTCGCCCAGAGGACCGGTGTGGCCTTAGCATCGCCGCCTCTGGCATTCAAATCCGCGCCAGATTGAATGAGGAAGTGGCACAGAGCATGGTGACCATTTATAGCAGCCCACTGTATTCGTACATCAGTCTACGGCTCTTACTTCCACCCCATGAAGTGCTTCCGCGTACATGTAATGCTGTGATTCCTTGCTCATCTGTTGATTTTGCTGTATATCTTCCACTGTCAAACAGCTTCTGGACAGCTCTTATTTCTCCCAATCGTGATAATTGCCAGAGATCTTGCTCGACAGGTAGAGGTGGTGGGCTGGAATCCAAATCGCTGAGTTCGACCTTGTCTAGTCCATCCTTGCCGGGCGAATTCGGCGCACTTCCTGATGGTCGTCTCTGGTCGATTTTGGCGGAGGCAGAGGGGTCCATTACCGTGGTGTTCGAAGAGAATCTGGAGGCGAGGGGTATGTCATCGCATTGCTGTAGACGTCCAGCTGGCGGTGGTCTGTGTGCGAATGAATTGCATATAATAAAGTAGGTATGATATCGTTGTGTCGTTCAGCAGCGCCTCAGCAAAGCCACCCACTGACGCGCACGCGAAGGAATGGACGGATCCGAGCTCACCGCCGGAGTTCTGCCGCTAGCGCTCTCCTAGCTTCAACTTCATCCCAACTTCTTGAGACTTCACTAGTCATACCTTTGAGTTGCTCTCTCTTTTTCTCAAGCGAGTTTGATACAGAGTCTTTTCAGCAGCTTGATGAGCAGTCGTTTGGGTGGAGAATCCAGGTCTTCAGGTTTTATCTCCGTCTTTAGAGGGCACAGCAATAGGAAATCACCAAAATCATCAGTGTCACCAGCTGCTGAACATCATCCCGGGCGACAATCTCAGGAATGAGGTCTCAGGGCGGCGTTGGATGCCATTAAGAACCGACAAGTAGATATCAGAGCTTTGTGCTCCCAACAGTGCGTCGAAATCGTGACTTCGTTACTGATACTTGATGTATCGTAAGTAATTCGCCTGCAGTCATCTTCCGGGCTTGAGAGATATTTTACCAGGTCCGCTCTTCATGCCGCTTTGCTGCGCTCGACATGTCTCTCATCGCAACGTCCGGAAAATCGCCAGTTTGGATATGTTTCTGTCAAAACGAAACGCGCTCGCGAGAGTGTCAGCTGGCCAGCTTGTGGCTTGCTTGCGGACCTGGACGGGCGACGATCTTTTCCCGATTGGGACGCCGGGACCATGTGATGCGGGACACCACCTCAAATGTCCAGCTTGCACTTGATCTTTTCCAGACTCGCGCATTCGGACAGCAGCGAGGCAATGTATCCTGCAACAGGTCTTCGCGTACCGCATTCCAAGCGACAGACGTGGACTTGTCCCAATCAGGAAGCTGCAGTCAAATCTTGGTGCCGGAGCTGTCTGCTGAACTTTAATTGACGCCGAGGGAACCATGAAGCACGACCGTGGAGCACGATTGCCGGAGAAGGCAGGAGATGCATACATACAAGAGCACTGGTCCCGCCTGCAAGGTCACATTTGCGGCTGCTTCGCGTTTTTCCAAGGCGTTACCATTTTCAACATGGCGAAGAAGGTTTACAGTCTCTTACCACTCCTCGGCACTGTTCTCAGTCTTCCTGCCAACGAAGTCCGAGCGACTGGATCGTTAGACTCCTGGCTCGCGGCAGAATCAAGTATCGCAGTCAATGGCGTCTTAAGCAATATCGGCTCCATGGGAAGCAAAGTGTCTGGAGCGAAGTCCGGGATCGTTGTCGCATCGCCTTCTCAATCGAACCCGGATTACTTCTACACATGGTAAGTAAGTGGATAGGTGGGAGGCACGCACACCAAAATCTCTCGCTTACGTCCTATGCTCACTTTGCAGGACCAGAGATGCCGCTTTGACGATCAAAGCTCTTGTGGACCAGTTCCTTGCTGGAACTACTGGATTGGAAGGGACCATCCAGGACTATATCAACTCTCAAACGGTCGTACAGACAATCCAGAACCCGAGCGGAGGGCTTTGCTCTGGCGGTTTGGGAGAACCGAAGTTCAATGTTGACGAGACTTCTTTTACAGGTGCCTGGGGTCGTCCGCAGCGAGATGGGCCCGCTCTCAGGGCCACTGCAATGATTGCTTATGCCAGATACCTTCTCTCGATAGGTGGCACGGCAAATGTGACCAACGTCATCTGGCCGATTGTACAGAACGATCTATCTTACGTTACACAGTACTGGAACCAATCAGGCTTTGATCTATGGGAAGAGGTCAACAGTTCGTCCTTCTTCACCACCGCTACTCAATATCGCGCTCTTGTCGAAGGATCTGCTCTAGCCTCTCAAATTGGCAAGAGTTGCTCTAATTGTGATTCGCAAGCGCCTCAGGTCCTTTGCTTTTTGCAATCTTACTGGACAGGCTCTTATATTCTTTCGAACACTGGAGGTGGTCGCAGTGGAAAGGACGCCAATAGCCTCTTAGCTTCGATTCACCTCTTCGATCGCTCCACTGGATGTGATGCGAATACGTTCCAGCCTTGCTCTGACAAAGCGTTGGCGAATCACAAGGTCGTGACGGATTCCTTTCGTTCGGTATACTCTATCAATTCTGGAATCCCAGAAGGCACTGGAGTTGCGGTGGGCAGATACAGTGAAGATCAGTACCAAGGCGGTAATCCATGGTGAGACAGGACGAGTTCATCACGCACTTCTCGTTGCTTATGGTAGACCAGGTATCTTAACACCTTTGCCGCCGCGGAGCAGCTGTACGATGCTGTCTATACATGGAACCAGACAGGCTCGATCACGATCACCTCCATCTCACTGGCTTTCTTTCAGGCTATCTACCCGTCTGCTTCTACCGGGACTTTTACCTCGTCTTCTGCTACTTTCACCTCAATCATCAACGCGGTCACTGCGTACGCCGATAGCTATATGGCTAACGCACAACAGTACACGCCGAGCAGCGGCGCACTGGCAGAACAATACTCTCGCAATGACGGCACACCTCTGTCTGCGGGCGATCTGACGTGGAGCTATGCCGCTTTTCTGACTGCGTTCAACGCTCGGAAGGCCGCCATGCCGGCCTCGTGGGGTGCCAGCTCCGCCAAACTTCCCAATGTCTGTTCCGGCTCCTCTGCAATGGGACCTTGCGCTACGGCTACCAATACGTTTCCCCGACCTGGTAGTACCGGAACGCCAACAACCAGCACCGGAACGCCAACGACCACTTCTACTGGAGCGTGCACCGCTACGCCGACTTTGACCAATGTGCTTTTCAAGGAAATCGCTCAGACAACGTACGGGGAGAACGTTTACATTGTTGGTAGTATTTCACAATTGGGAAACTGGGACACCAGTAAGGCCGTTGCGTTGAGCGCTAATAACTACACGTCTACAAATAACCTCTGGTATGTCACGCTGGCTCTGCCAGTGGGCACTAACTTCCAGTATAAATACATCAGGAAAGAGACGGATGGCTCGATTCGTTGGGAGAGCGATCCGAACCGGCAGTACACGGTGCCTGGCAACTGTGCTGGCTCGGCTACGGAGAGTGATACTTGGAGATGAACAATGGGCTACGTGCGACGGAAAATGCAGAACTGTCCATTCAAAGTCTTTGGCCACTTTTCTACCATTTCAAAGATCTCTATCGTCACTTTACGACTCAAACGAGCAAGCCTAGCACGAACCTTAAACGAGCGACTGGACCGACGAGCCCGCTTTGATATTCTCCATCCAAGCAGCGAGACGGGATCGGAGGAGCTCACGTATACAATTACTGAGCCAGCTTAATATCTCCATAGATTGGGACGCTCTAGACGAGGTCTATCGAGATCTAATAGCGGATGTGAGAGAAGCTTGTGAGAAGCTTCGTAGTGGATACTCGCCTTGCGATGTAAGCCGTGACTGTCCTGTTCACTTGTCCACCTCGTCGGCATTGTCATCCAGCTAACGGGACGTTTAGATCTCTGACGCGCTTCCAATGTTGGAAGTGCTAGGCGCAGGCCATCTAGCGATATCCACCCAATCTCGACCAGAACAAATGGCCAAAACCGAGTCGTCCTCCGTGCTCTACTGTCATCTTCGTCCCTAAGAACCATGACCCTCAGCAAGACACGTCAACTCCGATCCACAAACGATCAACCCTTTTCAGCGTCAAACATTGAACGGACGTAGTAGCCGCTGGATCTGTTGTTCTGATGCAAATGCATACGCCTAGCCATCGCCAACCTGTCGTTGCTGGAATGTTAGGTGATATCATATCCACTAGACATAGGAAGCGAGGCATTGTCGGAGTGGTGGTTGATGGACGAGTCCACGACGTCGTAGGCTGTAGCAAGCTATGTGAGGATGGAATTCTTGTTGTGTTTCGGACGGTCGACGTAAGCTTGCGTCCCTTTCTTATACGTTTCCAAATCTGATCCGTTCGGGTCTAGGTGCCATTGAGAAGATAGAAATGCTCTGTGTCCTCGTTCAGAAGCTTTCGGTAAGGTTCGAATCCTCCTCATACTGCCTTTGCACGGCGTGGCTATTTCCGATCTGATGGAGGCAGCAACTCTTGCCGTTTTCGATCACCGCTTCGATGACGTTCAGCTCTCCTGATTGCGGCTAGCAGCTTTCTTTACACATTATTATAATACCAACGCGCAACATTGATGAGACTCGGTTCGATTGCCTCGAGACGTCCAACAAGACCTCTTCTTCTTCTCTAAAATCTCATCGCTTCCGAGGAGACTTTCCAAATGGACCGCGATGATCTCCAATCTCCGACATCAACCTCAGCTGCAAAAACTCTTGACCTGCTGAATTCTGCTGTCTTCAACAGTCACGTCAACGAACTTCTAGCAGACTTGCATGTCCCGGGCCTAGCCATTTCACTGGTTCATGAACGAAGAATCGCATCGACGGGATAGGGGCTGGCAACACTGGATCCGCCTGTTCCCTGCACTTCGGGAACACTTTTCGACATCGCTTCTGCTTCCAAATCGTTGACTGCAGCTTCGGTTGGTCTTCTTGTCGATGACGATGAGAAACACAAGCAAGTGCAGTGGAATAGCAAAATGTCTGCTCTTCTGCCCGGGGATTTTGTCATGAACGAGGAAAGCTATACGCGAGATGTCACGGTGGAAGACATTCTCAGCCATCGCAGTGGCCTTCCGTCGTAGGTACACGGAGCGTTCAGCGAAGATTAGAATGCTGACAGGGAGAGCAGTCATGACAACTCATACCTCTCTCCTCGCGCCACGCATCCGGACACCGCTAAGACTGTGACACAAAATCTGCGAAATCTACCGCTGGCCGCGCCGATCCGGACAAAGTACATGTACTGCAACATGATGCTGACAGTGGCGACTCATCTGATAGAGGAATTGACGTCGACTACGTTTGAGTCTTTCTTACACACCCGCGTATTCTCCAAGCTGGGAATGAATTCCACTCACCTGCAACCGGGAGCAGCCATCAAAGCCGGCCTGAAAGACAGAATGTCAACACCATATGCATGGGATGAAAGGAGCAAGGCTTTCATCGCTCTACCGTACGAGGAAGGACCCGAGATGCAGGGTGCTGGCGGCATTATCACCTCCGTGAATGATTATGCCCTCTGGATACGTGAACTGATCCACCACGAAGGCACCGTCATCAGCGAAGATCTCTACAACGGAATCCTTCGGCCACGCATTCTCGAGAATCCAGATGCAACGGATGAGGATTTGCCTCCGTTCAGCTCCTGGGAAGCGTACGCTACGGGCTTCGAGACATATTTCTACCGCGGATACCGCATAGTAAGGCACGACGGTCTGATCGGCGGTTTCGGGACGACGCATTTCTTCGTTCCGGCTATCAAATTCGGCGGAGCCATCTTTGCAAATTCTGGCGAGACGGGGAATTCGGCGGCGGTTTTGCTAATGAGGGAGCTTGTGGATGAAGCTCTGGGTATTCCCGAGGATCAGCGAAGTGATTGGAAAGGCTGGCAGGCCAAGACGGATGAAGAGAGCGCCACTGAGCGCGAAGAAGAGCACAAGAAGTTGAGAGAAGAGCTCTGCCCGCCGGGTGAAGAGCGGCAGCCGCACAAGATGCCTTTGAACGCTTACACCGGCTCGTACTTCAATGCCGGCTACCACGGACTGGTCGTGCAAGTCCAGGGCGAAAAGCTCTTCATCGACGCGAGCGACAGATCAATGGGTTTCACTCTGACCTTGGAGCATATGTGCAGTGGGAAAACATTTCTTGCCCACCTCCAAGACGCCGCCGATCCGACGGACACTGACCAGCTGAAGGCCGAATTTCAATGCGAAGGCGACAGAGCTCTGAAGATGGGACTCCATCTTGAAGCTGATTTGGACGATCTCATCTGGTTCGACAGAGTGGACGCCATGGGATCTGAATATTGAGTCGTGAGTCCTAGGGAGCAGTCTTCTACTCTTGAACAGCATGCTTCTGTCGATCTTTGTGGCTTCTTCGTGATACTCGTGAAACAATCTGCCGGTAGATCCCGTCGTCCTCATGCCTTTCCGGCTCTTTGTTGCGCCCGTCTCGTCGCACTATGTCTGGTAACATCTGTACGAGCCGAGCTATGTACGAGGAGACCAGATGCCGCGGTAACAAGGTTCCTCTGCAAAAAGCCGCCGTTTGTTTTGTGGGTGACGCATTGACGATCGAACGGCAAGGATTGCCAACCTAACAACCTAACACCTCGTGCCTCGGCGGTCGAGCTCAATCTATTCCTTTTAGCTGCCCCGCGTTTCTCGAGTATGGTATATTGCAGTCCATGAGCCTGCAAGGGCGTCCCCAAATCCCAGAGGAGCCGAGGCCCGCAAGCCCGGCACCTACAATGAAGCTTTGAGCACCACCAACGCTTCTGGTGCTAGTGGCAGTTTCCAATCCACACTAGGAATCGCTTGATGAAACAATTCTTGCGGGGTGCACAGGGTGGGCTCTCTATAGATACACGTGCGGGCCTAACGGTTCGCAAACGATGAGATTTGACGGAGGACCGTGCTGTGGTTGCTGAGACCTCACAGCTCTTGCGTCTTGCATCCTTGCCCTCCTTTGTTGTTATCGTCGGGTCACACCACAGCTGTTGTGTTGCCCAAAATATCTTGTCCCCCCTGGCCACAGTACCCGAAGACGGACCGGAATTGGGGCAGCAATCCGCTGTCATCCGTGAAATTACAGCGCGATATGCCACCCGGGATCATCATGGAATGCACCTCTGGACCAGAAATCGTCGAGGCAGCGAAATCTCATGATGCTCATAGACAACTGCAAAAACCAGATTGGAATGAGAAGAGTGCCGCCGCGACGATGATGACGGAAAAGCGAGATCGTGGCAGCTTCGCGACGCTGACCCCAGCTGGATCCGAGCGAGGAAGCAACACCGACCTCCACATGGATGGCGAGTCCATCATGCTCAAGCAGCTCGACGCGACGTATTCCACGACAACATATGATCAGGCGGAAAATGGCTTGCTGTATAGAGAAGGCCAGCTCGTCCTCCAGCCAGCGCCTTCGGCCGATCCGCGAGACCCGCTCAACTTGTCGTTCAGAAGGAAAGTGATCGCATGTCTCTGTCTTTGCCTGTACGGCAGTTTCGCCTCCGCAGCAGAACTCATCTTGGGTGCTATGCTTCCCGTGTTTGCGCTGGAGTACGCCGGAATAAATCCCAAGTTGCTGTTACCTCTGACCAAGAGTGGATTGCCTCCTGGAGATCCGCTCAAGACTCTTTCAGGTGAGCATCGATGCTGGAGGACTTGGCTCAATGTCTCGCTAATGTTTTTGTCCTGCAGAGTTGCCTAACTCTCCACCAATCTGGCACGTCTACTTGCTCGCCAGTCTCCCGGTGCTCATGATAGGCCTGAGCAACTTGGCCTTGATCCCTCTGGCAATCAGCATCGGACGTCGACCTGTGATTCTGATCTGCGGAGTCATCGCCCTCGTTGGAATGATTTGGGCAGGGCATTCCCAATCCCTCGGGAGCCATATCGCAGCCCGTGCGGTCCAAGCCATCGGCGCAGGTACCATTGAATCGTTGATTCCTTTCATTATACAGGACATAGTCTTCGTTCATCAGAGGAATACTTGGATCTCGATGTTGTTTGCCTTGCAGGGCGGCATCATCATCGCTCTGGGCATCGCCTCTCCGTACATCATCATCTATCTCTCGTGGAGATGGATCTACTACATCTGCGCGATCACTGCTGCAGTCTTTCTCGTTGGCACTGCCATATTCCTTCCAGAGACCCGCTGGGATAGGACAAAGGCCGAAATGAGTATATCTCCTCATAAATGGCTGTGCGTGAGAACATCAGCTAACTCCTATTACCACAGACGGCGTTGCGAAGACCGGAGACCGTGCTGTGTACCAGCCTCGAACATGGGCGTATGACCTGGCCTTTTTCCAAGGAGGCCTGAGATGGCGAGAGGGCTGGAACGCGTTTGTCGACACGCTGAGGACTTTCTTCTACCCGCAGATGTTCTTCATCACCATGTTGAATTCTGCTATGATAGCCTGTACATTTGCCGCAGGCTACACCATTTCGCCTGCTTTGCTGACTCAGCCATGGAGCTGGCCCTTTTTGCACTTGGGCTTGTGTCTTCTGCCTCTGCTCGTGGCCGCCATATGCACTGGTGGATTGACCGGCTACTTGGGCGACTTCATCGCAAATCTGGTGGCGCGTAAGAGGGGGAAGCGAGTGCCCGAGAACCAACTTCTGAACTTGATTTTGCCAACCTTATGCGCTGTCCTCGGAAGCGTGATATTTGGCCTCGCTGGATCGCACCAAGAAGATTATCATTGGATGGTCTTTCTCACAGGTTTCGGACTGATGGCGTTTGGATTTCTCGGCGCGAACACGGTAAGCATGCCTGCTCCGAAGCCGTGTCATGTTGCGAACTTGGCTGATCATGTCTCAGGTCGGAGCGGTCTATGTCTTAGAATGTAAGTGTTGCGGAAGGCGCCTTCCATTTCCAGACACTCGCTGACTTTCCTTCCCTAGGCTATCCTCACCTCGCTGGCCCAGCGCTTGTGAACATCGCATCTTTCAGGTGTTTGATAGCGTTTGTGCTGTCATTCAAGGTCTCTGAATGGGTCGCTGACCTCGGCTATTTCCATTCAATGCTCATTTACACTGGCTTGATGGCCTTCTTCGCAGCTCTCATACCGGTGGTGTGGTATTTTGGAGCAAGTTGGAGGAGGCGTTGGCCAGCGGATTCTTTCAGGCGTTGATCCTGATGGTCCAATCCCACAATGGAACGAGGTAGAGATCTTCAGGTTGTATACAGGAAATTAAAGTCTTTTGCGATCCAACTGAAGAAAGTGCGGGAGAAGTGAGGTCCATACAATGTTGCTGCCTGCTGCAAGGGCGCCAGAGCTCTCCGCAGAGAAGAATCCTTCGCTGACAGTTTGCCGTTTGCGAGAACGATCACATATTCCAGAACAGCCTAGTGAGCGAGATCTGCAGAATCTTGCTTGTCCGAGGCATCCTTCGCGGTCCAGGTGGCATCCTGGCTGGCTTGTCGTTCCTTCTCAGCCCTCTTCTCTTGTTGCTTCTGCTTGACCTTCTTGGGCTTTTTGGCGCTCATCTTGGCGCCATCGACATGCTTATTCTTCCACATGCCGCCATATCGGTAGTGGGGGAACTCATCCTCGAAGCCTCTTGCATCCTCGACGCCTCCAGACACTTTCTTCCAGCAATCTCCAGGGCAAATGAAGTTCCATGTCTTCGATTCGTCTATTTGACATCGTACGAGCACGGGCCGTGGAGTCCCGCACATCGTACAAGGCTTGTCATGGCTCTGTTCGTGGTCTGACATCGTTGATTTTGTTGTTGTGAATGCTCAGGTTGATATGTGTTGAGGGCAGGAATGTTTCAAGGGCAATGGTGATGACATGGATGCTTCATGCCTCAGGCAAAAGACCTGACACGCTATCCCGAAAGGGGAGGCGCTAAACTAGGCGCCGCTAGGTTTCCAGTGACAGACTGAGGACTTCACTTCATGTTCTCTTCCAAACACGAACACAAACCCAAACACAACACAACAAGCAATCGTCCCAACGCGCTCGCAATTGGTAGTGCGGGCTCACAGTGCAGCTTTTTGCAAACTCATTGCTCGCCTTGACATTGCAAGCTCTGCTACGAACTGAGGCATGTCCCTGATTCACCCCTCGACAACTCGGCAATTTGAATCCATCTTGACAATGTACATCATTGTGTCTGACTGTCCGCTCCGAGTCATGCACTACGGCAGTCCACTGTCGCTTTTGCGTGTGCTCCGCTCAAGATCCCCATGAGACTCTTGAACATTGGCAAGCTTAGGCTCGAATTCTGTGCAACTTTCCCCGGGTAGTAGCATGCTGCTGCCTCGTCCTCCAGGATGTCTTCCTTTCCGAGTAGTAGCGAGCTGCTGCTCAATCGCTTTGGGCAGTAGCCCACTCCTACGGGACCTTCGAGACTGCTCGCAGTCGCGTTTGGAGGGGTATGTCGTGCTGAAGGAACGCGGACCCAGAGGCCACTTTGCATGACTGTCACGAGGTCTTCTATCGTACGAACTTGGTGATCGTAGCCATTGTTCATGCTTCAACAGGATTTTTTGCCCGTACGACTGACGCGCTTCTCTGGTCTGGCTGTTAGCTTTCGAGAGAGGTGTCAATGCCGCGTGTCTGCATTCGACTTTTCTTGAGCACTGCAGGAGGCGCGCATGGGCTCGAAGAGACGACAGAGTGCCTCAGATGCAAAATACATAGCAATGGCATGATTCTTGGGAGAGAGCTGGAAGAGATGAAAGCGATGAAGACCGAAAAGGTTCAGAAGATATCCCACGAGGTGAAGGAGAACATTTCGTCGTTGAACTCAGACTTGGGGGAAAAGAGAAGGCTCACAGCGCTCCATCCCTCTGCTTTGCACCTCAAATGCGGGACTGTCCGGCGTGCTGGTGGCCGGAGAACAGATGTGTGACGTCGAGACGTCCCAACCAAGAAGCAAGCCACAACGTAACCATCGGATCTGCATCCTGAGTACGCAATATCGAACTCTCTGGTGAACTCGAGCATCCGGCGCACACGCGATGCCCCCCGAAGCGTTGGAGAAGCGGCACATATACTCTTCGCAGACGGCCAATCGGGCTTGCATGTGATTCGGCTAGAATTTGAGCTCCCTCCTCGTATATGCTACTTCAAGTCGGCCCACCATTTGCCGCGCTTATTGTTGTTCTCTATGACTTCCTACCATTGCAACCCAACTCACATCATACGCTACACCGACCGCTGGATTCTTGGGTACATTCATCGACAGAACACTGGAGACTCACTCGGCGTGGCGATTTGCAAGAGGAGACGACAGTCACGGCCGAACCATCGGCCGCTACTGGAAGTGATCCGCTGGACTCACATTATTCGAGTTTGGTGGATGCCGAGACAGAAAAGGAGGTCTCACCAAGTACGAAATAGGTCGCTTTCTATGACTCCAGCGACGCATATATCGACAACACGTTAGTAAGGAATTTGGCCGGTATCGTCAAGCCGGCGATACCTTGCGCACTATCCTTTGCCGACAACACAAGCTGGTCGTCGGTAACGCATAGCTATGATCTTGTTCTGACTTTTAAAGACCTTGTGACTACGCAAGATCCGGCCGATTTGTGTCTTCACTGACATCGATACAGGGCTGGTAAAGGGCGAGGCCAAAGGAAGAACTCGCCTACCTGACGAGGTCAAAGGCAATCTGCCACCGGGTTCGAAGTCTCGGGTCATTCAGACACATATCGAGGTCTTCTCCTCCAAGATCTTCCCCAAATTGCACGAATACTTCAAGAGCAGAGACGTCGGCAAGTCTGGTCGTTTCTGTTCTGACTCACTCTAAGCCTCTATTGAGGTCCATGGGCTTCTTGAAAGGTAGAGGCCGATTTAACGTCGCGATTACTACTCGTGCCTCGGATGTATTCTAGATCATCGAAGGCGACATACCTGTTCGCAAGGGCTATATTAGCGTTCCCTCTATCACCCAGTACAGGCGGAGGATGGAGCAAGATGGCCACGTTCGTGAGCTCACCTCTAGATAAGGTCTTGACGCAGGAGTTCAGCCTAACAAAAGGCCGAAATTTCGCATCTGGGCAGGCACATGTCAAAGAGTCGTGTCTACCAGACAAGGTGTGCAAGGTATTAGCAGCGCCGCCGAGCACATGGTGATGCGCACTCGATAAGAAACCATAAGAGTAATAATGAGAGGCGTCCACACATGACAGCACGTGAAGTTCTTCTGCCGGTTCCTAATCCTATCTGCCTTATTAGCCGCTGCAAGACGATGACAAGTCGCATCGGCCCACATGTTCGCGTGTAGTGTCGTGCATGGTTGAGACAGCAAGCTCTCCCAGCTCTACCGATGCGGCGCAACATGTGATCGTGGTCCCGCCATTCGTCCAGGCAGCTCCTGCTATTCCTTACATGGTCTGCGCACCAAGGCTCATGTAACTTGGCATCACAATCCTTCACTACTTACCTCGGTATCGCGCGCTTGCTTGGCTTGGTCGTTCATGTCGTTGGGACCTGGAGCTCTCACGAAGTTCGGTTGCTGAGTAGTGGGGCACCGCAAACACCGCAGCCTGGTGATGCTGCCATGCGTCGTTTGGCAGCGACGATGTTAATGATCTGGAGACCGGTCACCCAACATCGTGCGTTCTCACGTGATCCGTCAAAAGCTGTTTTGCTGAGAAAGCTAAGCGACCGCTCTCGTTATCGCGAAAGCTGAAACCCGACGCGCCAAATAGACTTTCGGGTGTAGAGCTACCGACAGCTCCAGATTGGACCCTTCTTTTTCTCTCCGACACGGTCATGATTCTTCTCACCATCGCATTCCTGTGGCCACAACGAGGCATTGGAGGATTCTGAAGCCTTCAGGAGCTGAAGACGGGCGACGAGAGATGCATTTTCCACAACGTTTGGTGAACGAAGGCGCTGTGAATAGTTGCGACGCAGCAAGAAAGGAGTTCCTGCATTCAGCGATTGTTGAATGACGCAAGAATTGGTCCCAACATGATGCTTCAACAATTTGCAGGCCTCATCCGATCCCGACCAGATTTCGCGTGGAGTCGCCTGCAGCATTCGCGCCTGCCTGCCTTTCGCGTTTCGCTGTAGAGCGCAAGGTGGCGCCTGCCTCCCCGCCCGTCGCTCTCGTTTAGTTTAGTTGATATCAGCATCTCGAATCCCTGGTGCCTTCCCCGTCAACTAACGCGGGTTGGGCCGGGAGCGGACCACTTGTCAAAGCACTCAAAATACTATACCTTCCACGCCCGCCCACATACTTCTCTGTCTCTGCCCCTTCACCTTCTTTCCACACCGCAACATCTCACCGTCGCTCCACACCCACAGAGCGACCTTCTCACCTACCGACTTATCGACTCTCGCTTCACCTGTGCGAGTCAGTTACGACCCGCGTCAACACATTGCCGGCGGATTGATTCCTGTCACCTCGACCCTACAGACCGCCGACAGCACATCCTTCAATATGCCTTCGAAGCAGCCTGGGGAACCTGACCACGCCGTCGACCCAAAGTTCGAGTCGTCGACACCCGCCCCGGAATCCAAGCCATTCCCGCAAGAGCCCGTCAGGAATACCAAATATGACCCGAAGAAGCCACACATCACAGAGACTCCCATGACGAGGAAGAACTGGTACAAGCACGTGAACTGGCTTAACGTGGTGCTGATTGTGGGCATCCCCATTGCTGGCTGCATCTACGCTTTCTGGACACCCCTCTACCTCAAGACTGCGATTTTCGCGGTACTCTATTACTTTGCCACGGGACTGGTGAGTCTTTCTGAAGATGTTAGCTTATGTGCAATTGCTAACGCGTTCTAGGGAATCACTGCTGGATATCACAGACTGTGGGCACACACTTCCTACTCCGCCTCCATTCCCCTCAAGATCTTCCTCGCCGCTGTTGGCGGTGGAGCCGTCGAAGGCTCCATTCGATGGTGGTCTCGCGACCACCGTGCCCATCACCGATACACCGACACCGACAAGGACCCGTACAGCGTTCGCAAGGGCCTGCTCTACTCCCACTTCGGCTGGATGGTCATGAAGCAAAACCCAAAGAGAATCGGCCGTACCGACATTTCTGATCTCAATGACGACCCAGTGGTTGTTTGGCAACACAAGAATTACCTCAAGGTCGTTCTCTTCATGGGCCTGATCTTCCCATGCCTGGTTGCTGGATTTGGCTGGGGTGATTGGCTTGGCGGCTTCATTTACGCCGGTATCCTGCGCATCTTTTTCGTCCAGCAGGCCACCTTCTGCGTCAACTCTCTCGCCCACTGGCTCGGAGATCAGCCATTCGACGACCGCAATTCTCCTCGTGATCACGTTATCACCGCACTCGTCACTCTTGGCGAGGGTTACCACAACTTCCACCACGAGTTCCCATCCGACTACCGCAATGCCATCGAGTGGCACCAGTACGACCCAACCAAGTGGTTCATCTGGACATGCAAGCAGTTGGGCCTTGCTTACGACCTGAAGCAATTCCGATCCAACGAAATCGAGAAGGGTCGTCTCCAGCAACAGCAGAAGAAGCTTGATCAGCAGCGTGCCAAGCTCGACTGGGGCGTTCCTCTCGAGCAGTTGCCAGTCATGGAATGGGACGACTATGTCGACCAAACCAAGAACGGTCGTGCTCTCATCGCCGTCGCTGGTGTTGTCCATGACGTTTCGGACTTCGTCAACGACCACCCAGGTGGCAAGGCTATGATCCGCAGCGGAATTGGCAAGGACGCTACTGCTATGTTTAACGGCGGTATTTACCTTCACAGCAACGCGGCACACAACTTGCTCTCCACCATGAGAGTTGGTGTTATCCGCGGAGGTATGGAAGTCGAGATCTGGAAGCGATCGCAGAAGGAAAGCCAGGGTTCTCAGATCTTCAAGGATGAGAACGGCAACCGCATCGTGCGCGCTGGTGCTCAGGTCACGAAGGTTATGGAGCCCCCGGCCAGCGCTGGCGCTGCATAAACGATCAATCGTCCTGGGATTTTAGCGTTCTTGTTCTTGTGGTTACTTTGGTGCGTACAAGCGATGGGACTAGATGGCGTGGAGAATTGGGTGTAATTCACACATTCGCTGTAGAAGTACATGGTTTCTAACGATGAGACCTAGCAGTGGTACGAGATGTTAGCCTGCTAGACGGCACATGAATCAACAAATCTGCACCATCATCTTTTCGAAGTCTCAAGAACCATCCACAGAGTCAGGTTAATTTCCATTGAGCTAACAGCGCATGTTATCACATGATAGTATTGCAGCGAAGCTAGTACAGCTGGTGCATGTGAAAGTCATGCAATGTACATCCCTCGTCCACCAATCAGCATCCGACATTTAGTCTCGCTTGACCATCCTGATCCAAATGATAAACGCCAACAACCCAATCCCTCCAAAGAGAAAACCAAGAAACTACGAAATCCACCTTCCTCCTCATCACCTCCCTCCAATCCTCATCATCACCTCATCACCTCCCTCCAATCCTCATCATCACCTCATCTCTGCCGGCGTCAAAGCCTGCACCACCGACGTCCCATCCATAAACCTCGTGCGGAAAATGCGATTCGCATTCCCAAACATGCCATCTTTGAGCGAGACGACGATGAACTGGCTGCCTCGGAATCGTGTGCGGATGAGACGGCCGATGTTCTGGGTGTGCGAGAGGTCGAGGGCGGCGTCGACTTCGTCGAGAATGTACATTGGTGCGGGGCTGTATTGGAGGAGGGAGAGGATGAGGGAGAGGGCGATGAGGGATCTAAGCAGAAGAAGAAGAAGAAGTTGTTGTTAGTGGATTATTTTGGGGCAGGAGGAGGGGGGTTTAGGGGAGGCAAGGCATACCGTTGTCCACCGGAAAGTTCGGTGAGAGATTGTTTCCACACCTTCCCGAGGCAGACTTTCACCTCCAACCCGTCGGAAATCTCCTTGCCCTCCGGCGGATCGAGTTTGGCCGTGTTCCCGGGTAAGAGATCGTTGAAAATCAATCCGAAATCTTCGTTGACTTTCGACCAAGTCTTATACAGCGCCTCTTTCTTGTACTCATCCAACGTAACAATCGTCTCTTCAATCTTCTTCTTGTCCTTAATCACAGTCTTCATCATCTGCTTCAAGGACGATTCCTTCTTTTCCACACTATCGATCGTAGCCATGACAGCCGGGTTGATCTTTTTCCTCATACCTTGGAATCGCTCCGTCACGTTTTTGAGATTGGATTTGCACTCGGACATGTTCTGGCCGTTGAAGTCATAGGGCGTCCCGGCCTTGCCGAATGAGGATTGTTCTTCGAGGATCCAGTCGTGTTCCTTTTCAAGAGCGGTGACGGATTGCTGTGCTGCTTGTTGGGCTTTGGCGAAGCCGTCGATGGAGTGATTGAGCTTTTGTGCTTCCAGATTTTCGTCAGAGATTTGTTGTGCTTTGCGTTTCGAGGCCCGGTCGAGGTCGGCAATCTCATCGTCAAAGCTGCTCAGCTTTCGTCGCTCGTCATCAAGGGCCGCTTCGGCTTCATCAGACTTCTCCTTGAGCTGTTTCCGCTTGGTCTCGTGCGCTTCGAGTTCCTCTTGATGCCCCGAAAGCGTGACCTCCGAGTCATGTAGCTCTTCTTGAGCAGCCGATAGATCACTGCCAGTCTGCTCGGCGTCGATATTCGCATCTCTGACCTCTTGCTGCAGTGGCTTGATGGATTCTTGTGCTTTGGTGAGAGCCTTCTTCAGCTTGTCAAGATCGCCTTGCAGCTGGTCAAGCTTGGCGCCCTTGTTCGATGAAAAGTCCTTCATGTCTTTCTCGACCCGCTTGACCTCTTGCTCGGCTTCTGATTGCCGCTTCTTGGCTGCTTGGATGTTTTCCTTCAGCGCGGCGATCGTCTCCTTCATCTCACTGACAGACGCAATGATGCTGCTCGACGAGTTGCTCGCAATCTGCGATTCGGCAAGCTTAATCTCGTGATTCTTGAGGTCGAGCTCCTGCTTTGATTGCCTCGCGTACTGTAGTTTCTTCCCATCCCTTGCCATGATCCCCTCAAGAGCATCGAGCTTGGCCTGTTCTTGCTCTAGCTCAGAGTTGATGGCGTGAAGCTTTTGTAGTTTCAGCAGCACGCCACTGCCTGATGCTGCGGAGCCACCTGAGAGTGTACCGCTTGGATCGTAAACATCTCCCTCAATAGTGACACTCTTCAGGCGGACGGACGGGTCAAAAGTGACTTGCTTCGCAGTGGAAGCGTCGGCACAGACCAAGGTACTACCAAAGACATATTCCATCGCTTTTTCAATCTCGTGCGCGTAGCCGATGAGATTGATCGCAAGATGGACTTTGCCAGGACACAGTTTCTGCGCGCTCTTGACGCGATCGGCCGATGCTCTAGATGGATCAATCTTATCCAAAGGTACAATCTGTACTCGCCGCCTCAGCTTGCCGTGGTCGATCAATGCGGAGGAAGTCTTTGCGCTGTCCACCACGACGTTGTACAAACGGCCACCAGCACAGACTTCTAGCGCAGTGCTCGCTTCTGTCGATTCCACGGGGAGGGTGAAGAGCTGTGCAACCAGGCCCTTGACGCGGCCGCGATCGAAATTTGGCTCTGGATCGGAGTAAGTGAAGTCGAGACCTGCCACCTGTCTCTTCAAGTTCTCCGAATCGGTTTGAAGCGAACGTATTCGCTTCTCGAGCTGTGACTTCTCCGCTTGCTGCTCTTCTTCCTTGCCGGGCTGGAAACCAACCTTCTCCAGGTCTTTCTGGAGTTTGGCAGCTTGTGAACGCAGAGACTCTAAATCCTTGAGAAGACCAGCATTCTCCCTCTCGGCCTTCTTTGCGCGAGGCTCATCCTCTTTAATTCGGGCTTCCAGATGCGTAATCTTCAGCTTCGACTGTTCGATTTCTGTCCCGGCTTTGCTTGCATCGTCGCGCGCTGTAGCCAGCTGACCAGCATAGCCACCATCGGAGCCTGCGTTGGATGAGATACCAGTCTGTAGTGTCTGAAGCAATTCCTCCTTCTTCTCCACTTCAGACTTTTGGTCTTCAAGATCCTTGTTGGCTGCCTCAAAGCGCTTCTGGAGCTTTTGGTGCGTGTCCGTTTTGTGCTTGAGTTGTTTTTCCAGGTCTTTTACGGACGCCTGTGCTTTCTGCAATCGCTCCTGCTCTTCCGACATAGATGTCTGCTTTAGTTCGAGAACGGCGTCCAGTCGCTCCAATTCTTTAGCGTGCTCCTTGACGGCCTCTTCCAGCTTGGCGAATTTTCCGCCCTTCCTCAGCTCCTTGTCGCGAGCTGCGCGCACCTTTCCCATGTCCTCTGCTAGCACCTCGATCTCTCTCTGCAGCTTCTCGGCATTCTCCTCTAATTGCGTGGCTCGCTCCTTCTTCTCAGCCAAGTCTTGCGCGCTCTGCTGCATCTTCTGCTTTGATCTGATGTAGTCGTATGCAACCACGAGTTTTGTGAGGCGCTCGAGATCGCTCTGTGTGTTCTGGAACTCCAAGAAGGCGCGCTTCTCGTTTCGCAGCTTGTCCAGCTTCGGCTCGATCTCCTCTTTCAGCAAGCCTTCCAGCTCCTCTACTTTGGCCTGCTTCTTGTTCATCGTCTTGAAGGCTTTCTCTCGCCGGTCCTCAAACATACGGGTACCCGCTGCCTCTTCTACCATGCCCAGAATCTCCGTGCTCTTCATGTTCAGAACCTTGGTGATGCGACCTTGCATGATCAAGAAGTTGGGGTTGTTGATGTTGAGCTGCACGCTCTGGAACAGATTCTGCACACTCTGCTGCTGCGCACGATGGCCATTGATGAGATACTTGCTGGTTCCGCCCAGCACGATCTGTCTCGTAACGCTAATGCTGCCATATTCCTCGAATCCGATCGGCGACTTGGACTTGTCGCTATTGTCAAAGACGAGTGTGACGGAGGCTTTGGTGATGCCAGCCTGGCCACGTTTGTAGATGAGGTCGCTCGCGCCGCCACTTGCCCTGAGCAATTCGAATCTGCCAATTCCCAAACAAAAGCATATCGCGTCCAGTATGTTCGATTTTCCAGAACCATTCAGTCCAGTGATGGCGTTGAATGTGGGGTCCCATCCGGAGATGACGGTGCGTACGGCGTACGACTTGAAGCCGTCAATGATCAACTCCGTGATCCTCATGGTGTCGTATCTTCGTGTCAGTGGGAGAGTCGTTCAAGCCATGCGCGCATCGTCGGTGGTCGTCGGTGGTCGTTGGTGGTCGTGTAAACAAACAATCGCTTACTCACGCGGGAGGCGCTCGGACCGGGCAATCGCATCCGCCATCACCAACGCACGCGTGAACACGTGATGCTTCCTCGACTCGAGATTCGCGGGGCTCTGAGAGAAAGTCGCGGAAAATCCTTCTTCCGAGTCGCATCAGACGGAACTCAAATGGCAATGACGGATCGGGATCAGATAACCAGCCGCGTGCTATAAAAAATCACTCAGGCCAGCAATTCACCGCGGCGCTAACACACGATCGTCAACGACCTCAACCGACTTCCCAAGACACTAGATACTTGGGCCTCGCACCGCCCAGCGCATGGCAGTGCGACGCCATGCTCGCTCTCTTCCGAAGTCGCACTCGCACTCTGCATTCTTGAAAATTTGACATGGAAAATGACTATACCTATGTATTCGTGTACAAAGGCACCCGCGTGCGGGGGACTTAAGAAGGCGACCGTCCACTGCGCTCGCCAGTATTCCTCCACCTCCAAATCACCGCCGCCGCCGCCCGTCAATGGCAAGCACGGCGCCCGAGCAGACGACCCTCAGACTCAGCGCGACCTCTTCGTCAACGTCCTGAACGCCAACGCCACCCGCAGAGATGCGAAGCAGTACCTCTCACGGTTCAAACAGCCGGAGAAGAGTAATGCGGAACCCAAACCCGACCTGTATGCTCTGCTGGAGGAGCGCAATGCTCGCCACCGCAAAGATCAGGATCGATTGGATCGTCTTGGCGTCAACTTAGGTGGTCTGTATGCACCAGCTCGAGCCATCGCGAACAGCCCACGCTTCACCCAACAGGATGAGGTCCGGAAACAGTCGATTTCCGCGCCTGTCCAACAGCAAGAAATACATGTCGCTCTGGCTTGTCTCCGAGCGCCTGAAGATATTGACGATGCCACCATCGACGGCCTAGCTCGAACTCTTGCCCAGCTTGTCCGGCTGGATATGCGGATCGTGCTGGTTCTTGACACCAACGGCCACGGCCCTATCAATCCGGGTGATGTGAGAGCTCTTCGAAAGCTTCTGGCACAGCAGGCCGATCGCCTCTGCGATGCCATCGATCGCCACAACGCCGAAGGAGGTCGGTCCGTGCCAAATGCTCTTGAGGTCACTGACAACGACGGTGACATTCATGTGACCTTACCAGATCTGTTGATGGATCCCTTGAGACGAGGCATGATCCCAATTGTGCCGACAATGGCCTATACAGGCGCGGGACAAGTTGTGCCGGTATCTGTTCTGGACATCATGACAGGGTTGACTAGACACATCATCGGAACCGATAAGCACTCTCAGACGTCCAAGGCCAGCGAGGACGAACACGTTCAGCTGGACCGTATCATCCTATTAGATTCCGTAGGAGGCATACCGAGTAAGGATCGAGGAGATGGAGCCCACGTGTTCATCAACTTGGAACAGGAATTCGACGACATAGCCGAAGAGCTGTCCGAATATGCCGCGGAGTCGAAGGAGAATCCCGACTCACAAATAGGTCCTTGGGTCTTCAGGCAACATCAGAAGAATATGTTCGCCGTCCGCAAGTGCCTGGAGCTGCTACCGCCTTCTTCCTCTGCTCTGATTGTATCTCCATCCGAGGCTGCGAGCGCTTCGCGATCTGCAGCATCACTTCAAGCGACGCCCATTTCTACAGGAACGCGACGACAGAGAAATCCACTCATCCACAACTTACTTACCAACAAACCTCTGATTTCATCTTCGCTGCCAACCGCGAGACTTACTACCAGTCCGGATGATCAGTCGGCACATCTCAATGTCGCGACTGTCCTCCGCCGTGGGATGCCTCTCAAGGTCATTCCTGCCGCTCGTCGAGGCCAGGGCTGGCAGCGACCCAAGAATGGATTTACCACTCTGAGTTTGGAGGACGACCCTCGTGTTGACCTTCGACGCCTCGTTCACCTCATCGAAGACAGCTTTCGACGGAAGCTTAACGTCAAGCATTACCTCAATCGTGTTCAGAATCGAATAGCCGGTGTCATCGTGGCCGGCGACTATGAAGGTGGTGCAATCCTGACATGGGAAATGCCTCCCGGAGTCAACGATCCCAACCGACTCGTCCCTTATCTGGACAAATTCGCCGTCCTGCAGACATCACAGGGCTCCAGCGGCGTAGCCGACATCGTCTTTCAGGCTATGGTTAGAAGCTGTTTTCCCGATGGGGTATGTTGGAGAAGCAGAAAGGACAACCCTGTCAACAAATGGTATCTGGAGCGAGCGACTGGCACGTGGAAGATACCCAACAGTAACTGGACGATGTTCTGGACTGGAGACGATGTCGTGGAAGGGGAACAGAAATGGAGCGACTACGTTGGAGTGTGTAGTCACATTGCTGCGAGCTGGGCAGATGATGGGAAGAAGCCTGACTGAAAGGATCGGAGTGTCGAAGGGCTCTTTATAGCGGTTTCTGCTCAACTGAGCATCACTCCGAATTGCGGGAGAAGCGGCCGATGCTGCACTGCTGCTAGACGCCTAGTCTGACGTGTGCTTTACCATCGCAACCGCTCCATCTCCAGACATCTCCACCGCTGATGAGTCAAGCAGAGGCAAAGATTGCGGATTTGTGATGCTGTGGGCGACCAGTTCAGCGGGGATGGACTCAGGGACTCGAGCTGATCGCGAGTGCCTTTACAGTAGTACTACCAGAGTAGCGGCGACAACCAGAAACGGGCCTATCGATCACCGTAGCAAGGTCCATCCTGCGGCTGGAAGAGGTCGATGTCCATCCAAATGATACCCATATATCTGGCGAACAAGATCCAAGTCCGCAATCGCCGCTTTCGCTACGACGCGATATGCGTAAGCAACTTCGAAAGCCAATTCGTCCGTCTATACACTTTGTATACATCAGTCTCTGTCCATGAACGCACGGGTCAAGCCCGCTCTCACTATTGTGATCCAATTTCCTTCCCACACACCTTCCCCTTCAACCTACACAGAGAACTTTCAACCCTCCCTTCGAAATGCCACCACGAGATTATCACACCCTGACCAAGACTGTATGTACACAGCAATACATATCCAGCCATCCGATCCAACCCAACCCAGACCAGACCAACCAAATCGGGCAAATCCATCTTCATCTCCGGCGTTAGTGTTACTTGGGATTTGCCGGAACTTGTGAGGGAAGGAGAAGGAGAGGGAGATTTTGGAGGGGAAGAAAATTAAGAGTGAGCTTGGTTGCGTGAGAGCGGCATTCCATCATATCTGTAAAGATCATTTGAGTCGAATATCATTCTCGTCAATATCATTGAATGCAGCAGCGTTGATGCACCTCCTCTGAAATGACCTCTCACCAACGCCGGCGCTCGAAATTCCGAAATTCATCGTTCCATATCCATCTACTGACCGCTTGGAGTCCCGTTGCCGGCCCGTCCCTGTCGTACGAGCCAGAGCAGCAGATCGACCTTGGTCGCGACGGCCTTGGCTTCCAGGCCGCCTTCCTTGTTCCTCTCCGTAACGATCGCAGCCGCATTCCAAACGAAGAATCGCTCCAGATACCGCAGCGGTGTGTCCATCGTGATCTCCACGTACTCCCTCTTCGACTCGTCCTCTCCCTCGGTGGCGCCAATATTCTTCTCGATTGGCTTCACTTCCTCAATCTTGGCAAAGTTGAACATGACGTCCTTGACGGGAGAGGTGATCTTGACTCTGCCGGAAGAGAGATAGGATAAGCAGTTTCCGAGCGTCACCATCCCAACGAGTCGACGACCTGTTCCGGATGTCACAGGAATCTGATCGTAGCCCTTGTCGCGCATGAGCTCGACTGCTTCATCAACCAGGGCCGTCTCGGCGATGGTCTGGATTGGCTTGAGACGAAGATCGCGGATCTTGGCGGCGGCATACTCGTCGTTGGTCATCTTCTTGGTCAAGATGGGAAGCTGGGCCGGTTCAGGAGGATGAGAGGCTTCCGGAGGTGGCGTGCTCGGTGCCGTGAGAGGCATCGTAGGTGGCAGGAGATCATTTGCTGCAAGCCAGTCGTCGTCGACGAATTTGCTAAGGTAGCTGCGAATACTGTCTGGGAGTATCACGACCACGGCGTCATTAGGGCCGAGCTTGTGGTCCTTGATGTACTTCACGCAAGCACTCATGGCAGAGCCAGAGCTTCCTCCTACAAGCAATCCCTCTTCACGGATCAGACGTCGTGCCCAGTAGAAGGAATCGCGGTCATCGGTCTTGTACCACGTATCTACTTCCTTCTGCGAGAGCACGTCTGGAATGAAGTCGTAGCCAATTCCTTCGACCTTGTAGGGGTTGCCATCGTACTCTTCGTTCAAAGCCGGCGGCCAGGCCAAGATGGAGCCTTGTGGATCTGCGGCAACAATCTTGACCTTGTCGCCGTGTGCCTTTCTGATGCCTCTTGCAATACCGGTGATAGTGCCGCCAGTACCGGCACCTGCGATGACGGCGTTGAAGTTACCCTCGATGTCGTTTGTTTGCTGGACGATTTCCGCAGCGGTGCCAAACTCGTGCGCGAGAGGGTTGTTCGGGTTGCCGTATTGATCGAGAATGACGCCTCCTGGGATCTCCTTCTCCAATCGCCTGGCAACACCGATATGACTCTCCGGGCTGTCCCACGCAGCGCTGGTGGGCGTACGGATGATCTCAGCGCCTAGCGCCTTCAACACACTGACCTTCTCACTGCTCATCTTTTCCGGCAGCGTGATGATGGTCCTGTAGCCCTTGACAGCACCCACGAGGGCAAGACCAATGCCAGTGTTACCACTCGTTGGCTCGATCAAGACGCTGTGTCCAGGCTTGATCCGTCCCTCTTTCTCTGCCGCCTCCACCATGCGCAGCGCGATACGGTCCTTGACACTTCCTCCGGCATTGAAGAACTCGCACTTGGCATAGATCTTGCACTCTACCCCGATGGATTGCGGGATGCGGTTGAGGTGGACGAGCGGGGTGTTTCCGATATTCTCGAGAATCGAGTCCATGACGGCCGGAGGATTTCGCGGCTTGACGGTGGTGAGGTGCGACATGACGGGCGTGTTGCGATCCCAAGCGGCGATAGATGAGAGGAGGAGGAGGAGAAGAAGAAGAAGAAGAAGAAGAAGTGGTGACCAACCTTGGTGAGTGATGCTGTGGTATATGACTAGGACATTCCTTCCTGCGATGGCGAGACAAAGCACAGGGTACACGTTGGCGGGCGACAGAAAAGGTTGGTCGTCGAACTTGTCGCCCATCGCCCGTGAATAGCCGACGGCCCGGCTCACCACCGAAAGTCCTGGCACCAATTTCTCCCTCCTCTTCATGTGAAAGTCAACAACAACACC